CCCGCTGGTAAAGAAGTCTTTGGCGACGTAACCACCTCGATCAAAAGGATTGAAGGTGAATCCGCGAAATGGTTCTATTAGTCTCTTTGCTCTCTGAGGTGTAGGATGCTCGGGGGCGCAACCTTTCGCAACAGTATGCTATCAAGACTGCTGGAGAGTCACCAGAGCGAGACATTTTCCAATAATCCCAGCCAGAAGGACAGACAGCTGGACTAAAGGTGAGCAGAGAATCAGCCTCGCCGATCTCCCAGCCAGAGGGGTAGCATGAAGTTGGAGGTGCTGAAACCAGAACGGGATACGTAAAGGTGCCATCCTGCGTCCAGAGCAAACTCGTTTTTCTCCAGCTAGGCCGGCAATTACTTGGTGGAATGTATGATGTAGTAAGTGCGGCGCGATCTTGTGCAAAGGTTGCCGTAGGTGTCATTTGTGTAACATTTGAGGACACGGCTGATGCTAAATCTTCGGATGTGTAAGCGCTCATCAACCCTTTCAATTGAGCAGTATGGAAGACATCCAGGATACGAATCCGACGAGGGGTATTAACGCTTTGTTACTCTTATTCATAAGACTGGTCTTGCTGTTGGATTGACTTTGCACATCCTTGCGTAGACAGGCCATGCATTTAGCCGGCTAGCCCAATGAGGTATCCTAGGCGGTCCCTTTGCTTGATCAAGCACAGGGGGGCATGATGCGGCTGTGCTGCGTTACGTACGGAATGCCCTGCTTTATCCTTCTGTTTCAGAAGTGTTGGTGGAGAGGAGAATGTCGACGACCAACACGATTAGAGAGTGTTATCTGAACGTGCTGAGGAGATTCGTGGTTGGGATACAGTGACCTTTTAGTGGGTTCTGGAGCAGACATTCGAGTTTTAAGCTTAAAAGGTACGTGAATAGGGAGGACTCTTAGCATAAAATGCAGGTATTAACACTTTGAAGTTGGTAAATTGAACGGTGTAAACAGATCGAGGGACCAGGAATAGAGAGTAAAGAGATGCAGTATCACACATTGGTGATTGAATTGTTATGATGCCTTTGTTCTTCTGTCATACATTAGTACTTTAGCTGAGCCGCCGCTGAGCATGCAGAAAAGGCTAGAGAATAGCTGGAGCACTGCCAGGTCCAATAACTATGAATTACTTTCAGAACTCTGAAATCAAGGTACCATATCAATATTGTTCCATTTGTCAGATGTTTAAGGTAGCGAATGTATAACTTCCCAGTTGACCTGACCTGACCTGACCCGTCTTGTTGAGCCAAGACGAACGAGGTGGAACAAGAGCGGGATCTCCACTGTTGCCCGAAACTCTGGCCATTTTGAACCTTCCATCAACCGACTTTAATTATCGCTTACCAAGTTCATCAAGTCATAACACTAATATTCGTCAATCCATCACAGCCTCAACTTCCCAAGAGCGAAACTTACCTGATTTCATACACTGAGTTAGGCAAAGCAATCGCTACGATGTCATGACACAGGGATCTCCCCCACCAGGCTAAGATCAATCGGGGTTCCATATGCAAGTGACCCTTGCCTAATTTCCTGCGATGGCCACAAGGCTGAGTTTTCCCCCTTCTCCATCATGATGCGCAATTGACAAAGTCCTGTCGCGCTGCCATGTTCAATCGAAAGCGTCGCGGCGTCACGGATGAGGAGCGGCTCAGCAGTTACGAGCTAGACTGGCCAACCTCGCAGCGATGGAAGCCAAACTACTCTGTCCCGCGCAACTCGCTTGAGTATGATCTCAATCCATCACGCGACTCATCTGACCCCAGCAAAGAGTCCGAGAAACGACCCAATGTACCGCATCCGATGTCTTTCGGGAGTCGGCGCGACATGGATACCTCCGCCAAGGCCATTCGACAAGGAGTTCTGGAGCTCAGGGCAGACGAGGAGGAGTTCTCTAATTTGAAGCTTTGGATAGAGACAATGTCCGAGTTGTACATGAATGATCTCGACAATCGGGCTCGGTGGGATCCTCGCTGGCTCAATGTTACTCGCAGAGAGCGCTTCGAAGGGCTGGACTCTGTCGCTATTTCAATTGTTGACTACTTCGCCAATGAGACCGTGGAGAAAAGCGAGCTCGTCACGACAAAGAAGGATCTCGCGGTGGCTCTTGACTCGAGACCGGAGAGCTCCCAGGTGCGAGTCATCATGGTTAGCGATTTGAGTCGCTTCGTCATGGGTGTGCTAGGTCAATTGTACTCAGTAGATCCCGAATTCTGGTACGAACATCTCATCGCCTCAGGGTACTGCGCAAGCGACAGTGGTCTCAAGTTGAAGAATGCAACGTGGATGAACTGGGCCGAACAAGAAACGCGTTTCCGTCATCGCCCTCTCCCGGGGATCGGCCAGCGAACGGAATGGAACCTGTCTCGGAGAACCAGGGCTCGTAAATGGGCACATCTTCGTTGGGGTCGGCTTGGTCTCCTTCATTACCTCGGGCGCAAGGGGTTTTACGAGGATGAGATTGCGAAGCGCATATCTGATGGACGCTGGACAATTGAACGAGATGTTGTTCTTGATAAGTATGGGCTACTCCTGACTGACAAGAGGAAAAAACGTGCAGAGAAGAAGATGAAGGAAAGGAGAAAGAAAGAAGAAAAGGCAAAAAAGAAGAGCCCGGGTGCTTTTGATGTTCCGAAAACATCTAGTGGCCACGAGATTGAAGGCACATCGGCAAGGGCCAAAACATCGAATGTGTACCGCCCCTACAGCACGTTCCATCCTGTGCTACCGCAAAACCCAACGTACTGGAACAATCGAGATCTCAGAGTCATGGCTCCAGAAGGCCTGGGGTATTGGTCAAGTGTTGACAAGGAGGGTCGAAAGACAAGTAAGCATGCTCCAGGCAGACTGGCAATGTAACTGACACTCGCAGTCATTCTGGTCTTTGACCCACCACGAACTATGCAGTACGACAAGACCAAAGAGACAACACCATCTCTAACATTTATGCCTCGAGCCATGGAGTTTGAGTCGTATACGGATGAAGAGCTTTGGCGTGTTGCTGACCCCGATGAGACGTACCTGGATCCACCTGCGCCAACCTTTACAAAGAAGCAATTGAAGAAGGACAAGAAGGAAGCCAGGAGACGGCGAGCACAGGCTAGAAGGAATCAACATGAACAGTCAATCGCTGTCAATGAGAAAGGCAACGACACCGCTTCAGAGTACTCCAGCGACTCCGAATTCGACGAAGAGTATCGAGAATCACTTCGAAAGGCTTACAAACATCGTCAACAGCTATTACGCGATCGCGACTTTGCGCGGAAGTACTCTCTATCTACCATGGATCTTGTGTACCGATACATTAGCAAGATACCCACCAGCATGCTCAATCAGGACGACTCGATGATACCGTCTATCCTCACGCGACTCCCATTCGACGATATGTGGCAGCTCCTAGCCGAACTCCGTCTGATGCAGGATCATATTGATGCTGATCTTGGCGCAGACCTGCACATTCATTTGCTTGAAGCTGCTGGCACAATGACAAGACAGAATGCGGCATGGATAAGGTCGACTTTGCAGGAGCTGAGTGAGTGGATCGGCCATATCAGAAAGTCCAAGGGTGTTCTCAATCTACCCGAAGACCTGGAGGAAGAGATGGCCGAGCTCACGGCTGATCTCCAATCCCTGCAATCACGCTCAGAACAAACGCTCAACCTCCTGGTCGCTTCGACGGGCATCGCCCAATCTTCTCTCGTCATCGATCAAACGTCTGGCATCAACAAACTCACTGAACTCGCATTCTTCTTCATACCCCTGTCCTTCATCACATCCGTCTTCTCCATGCAGGTCGCAGAACTCACCGAATCACCTCCCAAGATGTGGACATGGGGCCTCTCTCTCGGTCTAGTCTTTCTCATAACCTACCTCATCCGCAGTTTCGTTCGCTCCCCGTCCGTCAGACTCTCCGCCATGCGCGTCCGTGTAACGATGCTCAACCGCTTCACGCCCAAGTCGCGGTCTGCATCGCACCGTCTCAACTCCGTCGGCAACCGTGCTATCGCAGGTTATATCTTCTTCTTCCTCATCCGGTGCTTCTTCGTCCTCGTAATCTTGACGTTTCTTCTGCTTTTCATCTTCCTTGTGCATTTTGGTATCTGGGCTGGCGCGGTGGGTACGGCCATGTACTTTATCGTCACGCGGTGGCCCGAGCCGGCAGTACTGGCACCTTGCTTCGTCGCGATTGTTCTGGCGGGCATTGGCTTTTACGTTACGTGTTGTTTGACTGCGGACATACAGGCGTTTTGGGAGAAGTGGAGCATTGAGGTGGCGGAGATGCTTATGAATATGTTGCCTGAGAAGTGGAGGTTTGATCGGGTTGATGATGAGGATTTGGCGGATGAGGGGGTGAATACTTATGCGCGACAGGCCATCTTTTTTGCGTCGACGTAAGATGCTTTGGCTTGCCTGGGCTTGGATGAGTGCTTGTGTTACCTGAGAGTGTTGCTGGTTTGTTTCGGTGGTCCTGGTCAATTCTCTGCGCCTGCTGCTCGTGCGTTTGCACAACCATTGGTCTAGATGCCAACGCCAAGCGGCTGTTGCAAACGACCTCATGTGCCGTTTGGCATAATCTTGCACGCAGCACACAATATATGTGGCGCATTAGTCTTGTTAATGAAATAGATAACAACCCTGACCGTCATTAACTCGGTATCGCGAAAAGATTTTGTGCAGAAGCTTATATTGAGAAGCAAACTACTACATAGCCAATAAATCAGGGAGACTTACAAACATGGAAATCACAAGGTTTTGTGAATGTTTATGGGCTTGGTTGAGTGACAATCTGAACAGTGACGGGCAGTGACATTATTACTATCGTTTGCCTGCATCTACATACGCCGACCGTGATTTGCTGCGGGTAGTCGCCTCTGTGAATAGTCACTCTGCTCACATCCTTCAATCAATTTTGTCGTTTGCTGCAAACCCTTTCTCCTCTTCATCTCCCAACAAACACAAACATTTCATTACTGAAACTTGCCAACCCTTTCAACATGGCTCAAGGCGATATTCCTATGTCTGATATTGATCCCGCCTTGTATTTCACCTCTCAAACTCATCTCAGCGATTATTCTAAAGAGATGGACACTGAAGAGCGATACGCCGTGGATGACCTCTGCGCTTCGTCGATACGCGCTTCTTCCTACAAGCTTCTATTTGATGGCGCTTACTCCGACATATCGATAGTCTGCCGCGGTCGAGAGTTCAAGGTTCATCGTGCTATTGTCTGTACGCAGTGCGAATGGTTTGGGGAGGCATTCACAACCCCGCCCAAGGTGCGCGATCTGCTATTTATCACATGCTCTCACTCACTTTTCTCAGAAGCGCACCATTAGGAGCGTGGCTTTAGATGAAGACCCGGAAGTGTTCCAGCATTTACTCGAGTTTCTCTACACTGGAACATACACTGCTCAAAAGCCTACGGCATCAAGAGAGGCTGAGAGAGAGAAGGAGATTCAAGACAGACTTAGCGGTTATCCACGCTGCCCCATCGAAAAAGACTTGACAAAAGACAGTGTGCCAGAGCGCCCTGTAAGACGATCAAATAGGTTATTGTCCACTACACCCGCCACGGCACAAACAGAACCCACAGCCAAGACAGCCTCAAGCTCACCGCACGACATCATCCTCGCCATGCATCTCTTCATCATGGCTCAGACATACAACATCCCTGCTCTTCAGCTCCTCTGCCAAGACCGCTTCTACACGGCCGCCAGAAACCGCTGGGTCAATAAGATATGGACCGACTGGGAGGCCACCAAGGAGTTTGAGGACGTTGTGCTGGACGTGTATGGCTCTACGCAAGAGGTTAATAATCCATTGTGGAGGGCGCTGTGCAAGTTGATTTGCTTGAAGAAGGATGGGGATAGGATGAAGGAGAGGATGATGGCTGTTAAGGGTGAGCAGGTATTTCTTGAGGAGGGTATTGCAACGTATATGCGAGAACCCAGAGGCAGTGAGTCTAGATGAGGGCTGGCCTAGCAAGACAGGATACCATAGCTTTGTTTTATGCTTGGTCTGGGTTCTTTCAAAGGATAGATCAAGGTTTCACAGTTTCTATGAATAATATTTCTACACAGAATAAGACATGACTTTAGTTTGGATTGATTACTCTGACTAGGGCCTAGACATGGTGCATATTGTAACTTTCGATGACAGTCACCAGGACAATTTCTCAATTCTATGTGGACTGGTGATGCAACTCAGCCACAGGTCTCCTACAAATAATACATCTAGCATAACCAAGAAATTATACCATAATGTCTAACCAATTACTGTAGCACAAATACCGATAAAAAGAAAATCTAAAATGACTATTTGCCTGCCTTCACAAGTCACAAGATTGGACTAGTTGAATAGCCCTCGCAACTAACTCCCGATCATTCTGAAACGTCAACTTCTCCAGAACCTCTTCATAGCCATACCACTCAACCTCGAACTCATCCTCACACCTCCCGACAGTTTCATTCTCATTGACAACCGCAACATACCACCAAATCAGCTTCACCTGACCCTCACCAATCCTTCTCATCCGCACTGAAATCGGCTCACAAACACCTTTGAAAACACGTGCTTCATCAGGGACATCTCTCACGTCAGAGGGACAGAGGCGAGATTTCATGTTAACTGGTAGTAGACGACAAGAAAGTCCTGTTTCTTCGGTTGTTTCGCGGATTGCAGTGTCGCGGCGGGACTCGTCTACGTTACGACGTCCTTTGGGGAGGATGTACTCGTCGCGCTTTATATCACGCATGATGTAGATATCGTGTGTTGAGATGCGGAAGAGGATTGTCCCAGCGCTCTCGATGAAGTTTTCGGATGTGAAAGTCTCGGTTTGGTAGTGTGAGGTTGTCATGGCTGGGATTCTGTCAGGCTGGTCTTACGAGGTGGTGTGAGTCGGAACTTACTTCTTCTGAGTATTAGAGCGATGGTGTTGTTTTTTTGTTGAATTTTTTAAGTGTATGGAGGAGTGGTGAAATTAGGTATTAGGGATGAGTAGAAGGTGAGAGGAGTGAGGTTGACCTGAGTTAGGAGTATGTGAAGTGGGGCTTTGGGAGGTTGAATGATGCTGCATGAGCCAATCAATGAGCTTTCAGGATATATGTGATAAACTCGAAAATGTTCGTGGTAGCAGAGTGTTTATAGTTACAAATATCTTCATCCTCATATAATATTATGTGAAATTAAGAGCTATTTTTAATTTTGCCTTTGAAATATCCTAGCATAGTCTACATATAAGTTATTGCCAGTAAATTGCAGAGTTCGCTTGAGAACTGACGGTTGAAAAGACGAATATTTAGTATCCTATTTACCGCAAAGAAAGTATCAGGATAGGATTTCCTCTTACGTTTCTAATATCAATCACCTAATGAGCATATTGATCGCTCTCTACTGCACGGAGTCATCCTTCACGTGTGAAGTCAACTGCCGTGAGATGCTTGAAGTCAAGCTTTGGTATTCGAGCGTTGGTATCAGAAGACATTGATACTTACCAGGGAGGATTGTACCTGGCTTCTACCGTGACCATAAACGATAATACAGTAGACGGGGGGAGGTAAATAAAGATTGAAAATATGAGTTTGTGCTGAATAAGATGTGAGGTATGAGTAGGTGGAACATTTCTCGATTGGAACACTAACCGACTAGAATCAACTCTTAAAAGAATCAAATGATTGAATAATTGGCCAATAATAAATTGAACAGAATTACCTCACCTAATACAACTTGCCTGACAATCCCATCAAGCCACAGCATCTCATCTTAAACCTTATCACCACTCACCCTACACCAAATGCCTCACTCATTCGATCCGTCCCTCCCGGCAAACAATCCAGACCCTCAACACATGCCCTCCCGTTCCGTGGCGACAAACTCCAACTCATCATTCTCATATCTATCACTGCCGATCTATCTAAACTCTCTTTATTCATACCAGCCACTACCGATGGCGCCGCGTAGATCCCGACGGCGTAGCCCATCGCCAAGACCGGCAGCCAGAAAAAACTCTCCGGCCTGAGCAGAGTCTAGAAGCATGCAGGTACAGCCGATCCCTGCCTAGTGCGGACATCCCGACGTCAGCCAAGAAAGACGTTGGGGTTGTAATGCAGATTCTTGGCCATGTGTCACAAATCTCGATCGTCAGAAGCCTCAAAGTCACGCAAACATATTTGACGACAAACAATGGTCTAATGAATTGGTATCTGTCATGAATGGTCAAAACACACGCTATGAATGAACTCCTAACCAAATGATCATGATGGACCTCTATAGTAATCCCTTTCCATCCCTGAATACCTCATCATACCAGCGCGTTTCAGTCTCCGCTTCATTACTGGCTTTACAGATCGTATCCCAATCTGTCGACCGCAATTCCCAAGCCTTTGTGTCCTTATTCTTGCCAAACAGTAGTGACGCGCTTCCTTTGGTCTTTGCGTCGTATGACCAAACCTCCAGGTTACCATCATCGGCGGCAATACTCGCTAACGGTGTTGTCGTGTTTGCTGTCATGTGCGCCTCGATTAGGTTGCGCAGCTGGGGAAAGTACCACGTCTTATCCCACCATGTCGATCGACGGGCTTTTAATCCATCTCTCCAGGCATTGTGATGTATCGCGACGGGAACAGAGGTCGTCCAGAAGTCCACATACAGCGAAACGTCACCCCAACCGCCTTCATGATCATCCAATTGAGAAAATGGAGCTTCGGCCTTGGAAATGTCGCTTGGCACACCACCTACGCGAGGGGGCGAAACACCAGCTTGGCTTGACTCCTTGGCAATCGTAGACGGGTCGTCAAGTGACACGAAGGCTCCGCCGTAGTCGGAGTAGCAAGTCGGGTAGAAAAGTTCTTGTGTGTAATCCAAGCCGACGTGATACTCAAATTCGTCTCGAGCAGAAAGTGCCGCCTCTTTTCCAGGGTTGTCGCCAGCAAAGTCGTCCTGCTTGATCTGTCGACGCCAAAGTTCCTGCTCGCCAAAAATCTCGGCAAAAATACCCTGGTCGCCAGCGAGGTCCTCGGCAGACCTGACCTCAAGGAGATCTTGGTCCATGCGATCTTTGACACGTTCAAAGTATCGTCGCATGTCGCCTGCGGGTCCCATGAAACTGCCGCTGTTGACATACTTGGGGCGCATGTATTTGTATCGCGATACCGTATAGTCGGTGAAGAAACCGAACACGTTCTCGGGGAGGGTGCTGTCGGGAACGTCGCTGCAGTAGAGGTTCGAGATTTTGTCGCGTGGAGCGATGCAGCCTTTTTGCGCGGCGGCAATGATGGTCTGCTGCATTAATTCTTTGTCAAAAAATCCATATTCCTCTGCAATTCGCCGGTTCGCTCGCTCGTTGCTGCTGTAGTATCGGTGCATCATAACGCTCGGGGGTAGTTGTAGCCAAATGTCGTGTGCGTCCAGCATAAGCACGAGATCATCCTCTCCTAGCCTTTCCGCCTCCGAAACGTCATCCCCTGTGGCCCATTGCAGGTAGTTCAATGTACCAGTGATTTTCCCCAGCTGCGAAGGTCCAATACCGTCGGCTTCGGTGTGGAAGTCCTTCTTCCAATTGACAATTACAGGCGCGGGATACCCCAACGCCACGGCGCTGCTGACAACCTTGCAGAGATCGGGACTCGAATCGTCGACGGGTAAAACGATGACAAACTTTCTTTCCCCTGAGGAGATGTTGGCTGGGGTGACTAAAGTTTCTTGTAAAATGGGAGCCGTTGGTCTCCAAATACTATCATTATGGATCTGCTGATTAGTTTTGAGCTTCAATCGGGGGCAAGGAACATACTAAGTAGTAGATTGTAAATGTGAAAGCAAACAAAGCAAATAGCAAAGTCGAGCCCTTCTTGACCCATCTCCAATTTGAACCATTGACACGAAATCTAGGGCGAGGACGCGCAGCGCCAGGGAGAGCAATATGTGAAGGCATGTGTCATGAGCAGGAGATGTATGTATAGTGAAGAAAGAGAGAGGAATGTATCAGGGGACAAGAAGAAACGAAGTTTTCGGATAGAACGTCAAGCAAGGGTTAAGGGAGAGACAGAAGTGGACCGTGGTGGAACAATATACTAAAAGAGAACAGACAAAGGAAGGACGGACGATCAAGAAGGATGCCACACAAAAGGAACAGAAAAGCAGGATGTTGAAAGGGTTGAAAGTGGACAAGCGACAAGGCAGACAGAGCCAAGGAGGGAAGACAAGCACAAGACACTCCGGTCAACGGCAGTCATGACAAGGTACCTTAGCTGCAGCTCTCTTCCCACTATAAACCCGGGCTGTGGAGCACCTAATCTTATCGAGTCGCTCGAGTATCTTGTCGGTGTGAGGCTCATATTAAAGGTACATGCGCCCTGCGGCTGTGAACACGGCATGCTCGACACTAGCGGGCTAATTCGAGACAGATCATCAGAGTGGGAGACGCTGTGATTCGTCAGAGCCGCTGCTAGGGCTGTTGCCGTAACCGAAGTTAGCACTGCTCGAATCCTACAAGGCATTTCCCGCTGCGTTGATCTCCGTAAAACAATGGCAGCGCCAAAAAGACAATGACGCCCTCCTAAAATTTCTGACATATTCAGTGATGAGAAACTTGTAAATGCTAGCCAAGATTGTCGTTCCAAGGTTATAACCTTGTTAATTTGCAATACCAAGCATTGGCATCGAGATTGCACCAAAACGCAAATCCCCGAGTTAAAAGTCCAAGTGCTAGAGAGACTCCACCCGCTAACCCGCGGCCCCCAAGTCGACGTACCACGATGAAACATTCCTTCTCAGCACGGCCGCAAAAACTCGTTTAGGAGATATTATGTATGTATATCAGGGGGAACATTGGTGCTGACGGCGCGCAGACTTTTTTTCTCAAGTAATTTATTACCTACAAAATAATCTAAGACAAGTAAGCAGCCCCCCCTGAGTCTGGAAGCAAGCCACGTTGAAGCGCCCAAAACGCAAAACACTTGACTGGCCAGAAATGAAACAAATCTGAGCCACCGCCAGCGCCATCTCACCAGGTCAATCGCCCTATTGAGCCCTGTACATATCCAACATGAGATACCTTCCGGTCGCCGACGGACCCTTTCGAGGCGCAGTAATTAATTAATGCTTGCTTTTTTATATCTTGCTTTTTACCGAGTGCAAGATAAAAGTCTGTCGCAGCCCGCGGCGATGCGAGAACCGGTTCCAGAACTGTTTTGGAACCGTTGCAAGGCGCAGAGTGCTGATCGCTCACTAAAAATGACGACAGATCTTCAACGCCAGGGGAGAAAATTAAAAGGCCACTGCGTAATCCATACACGCGACCACTAAAATCGGGCACTTCCTCTTTGGGCGTGCCTCGTTGTTACATATGGCCGTTGATGTTTGGCTGCCGTGTTTGCCGCGCGTGGTTGGTGGGGCTGACTCTCTTTTTTGGGGGCTGAGCTGGACGGAGTCGGGCCAAAATGTCATCACAAGCCTCCTGTTCTGACACGAAAGGGTTCATAATCCTTCTATTCTTGGCATGTTCTTCATGTATGCTTATTGTCGAGTCCGAGATAGACATGGATCGTCATCCTTAAAAGCTTCACTCGTAGCCGAGCTGGAGACAAGCTTGGTCAGGTGCTTGTTAGCACACGCTATACGTAAATCCCCAATAAATACGCAAATCCTGCCATTGTGATTTGTCCACAATGGATACCTACTTGAAGGATTCACATGCATAGCCTCGCCCGGTAACGGATGTCATAGCGAGATGGTGGCCTTGCCACGTATATTTGTCAAATTTAGGCAATAGCCGAGCCTTCAGCTTTGCAGCCGAGTAACGAGCAAGATTAGCCGGTTGCCCAGCTCACGATGTCAGGTATTTCAAGTCTCGACTGCAGGATAGAATTACTCAAAAAAGTTGAGGATAATAACTGCTCATAAACGCAATAGGTTCTTCGGCCGCCTTGGGCAGTTATTTTCAATATCCTTGTTAGTGTCCACGTCCTCACGTATCAAATTCTAAAGCTGTACGGGTTGACCATCCTCAAGAAGCAAGAATTTGGACCTGGAAGCTAAAATAAACTGGTCTAAGGACTTCAAAAGCTAAGGCTTGCAAAAATGTGCTAAACTTTCCTAAGTTTATTCATCACTTAGAAAAGAGGGTCTAAGTTTTCATCCCTCCCTCGTCATTCATTCATCTGAGGCAAAAAGGGTATGCAGATGAATAGAATACTCCATGACCCCAACAGCGAACTCCCCATGCTTCATCATCACACGCCTCATCTTATCCCTGACCCTAGGCACATGGATCACAGCCGCCACAAGTCTGCACACAATTTCCCTCATCGCAGTGTCTGTTGGCGGCGTGGTCTGATACAACTCATCAACCACGTCAGCAAAGCACTCGGCCTCTTCCCAAACGAGCTCCACGGCGCGGTAGAATCGATCACGCGCTAGGAGTCGAAGTGCAGGCACGTCGTACTTGTCTGCCATGACGTATAGCCGGAGAGGCAGTGTCATGTCGTTGCGTAGCTCAGCGAGTTGCTTTAGTCCTTCTTCCCGACTGCAGTGACCTTCTCCAACCGCTTCTGACACCTTTTTGAGCTCAGATTGTTCATCTACATCACTTTTAACCGAAGGACTGCCCGTGCGGTCGTCGTAATCATTGTATTCTTCATCTGGCTCGTCGTCGGTGACCCATTCGTCACTTCCCTCCACGGGTGACAACATATCCATTTCTTGGGAACCACACGCCGGTTGCTGTAAGTTTTGAATAACAGTTTCGGGATCAAGTAAAGCCGCTTTAGATGGCTTTCCCCAGGTAAAGTTGGTACCGTCGCTGTAGGTTCCAGTGTACAAGAACTCAAGGAACCGTTCCACGACATCAGGATCATCCTCCAGCAACTCGATAGATCGAGACGTAGATTCCTAAACACTGATAAGTCTGACTGCCCATGAGCTGTCATAGGATTCTTGAAAACATACTTTGTAGTCGCCGCTCATTGCTTTATCAAAGAAAGGAGACTGCGTGCATACAACAGCGCGGTGGGTTTTGAATTGACGCTCTCCGCAGATGATGGTCATGTCTGAGAACTTCTCACTGTGAATAAGGGTCGCTAGCGCGGCATGAATAGAAATGCCTTCAGATTCCTCGATGTAGTCATAATTGTCGTTTCTGTATTCGTATCCTGCAGAAGAGTAAGATGTTGCACGGCTGCGTTCTCTCGGAGCTGGTGTGGGTGTATTTGGCGCTGCTGTCTCCTGGGCAGCCCGAGCTCGGGTATCTCTGGGAGGAGAATGAGGAGGTGGAGGAATTGTTGTCATGGTTGCATTCGTGTGTCCGTAAGGCCTTTGGAGAAGGAAGCCCAGCCTACTAACCGAGCAGTGGAGGTTATGTTGTTGCAGCTACGGAGTACCCAAGTTCAGTTCTCAAATGCGGGGCTTTGCTTGATTGGTCAGGGTCTCCCGTTTATGCATGGCCTGGATTGAGTTATGAAACAGTTATGCAATATCCAACCATTGGTCTCCCATATTCGACACTTTGAGAATCCAAAGCATTTTCTTTTTGCTGGGACCTCATGGGGTAAGATACGCGATGCAGGCATTAGCTGTAAGGCCCATCAAATCAAATATCACTCTCTTTAACACCCTCCAGGCAGCAAACCAACTATCCACAATAGCCCGAGCTGTTACCTTAGTCTACCATGTTGATTCGCAAAAGGTTCGTTGTTTATATCATTTCCTATCCAAGTGCTATCCACTCTCCCACTTTTGAATCGTGAGGATAGCATCTGTGAATTCATCCGGAGCCTCCATGGGAAACGCATGCCCAACGTCAACTTCTCTCCTCTCATAATGACCAGAAAAGTGCTCGGCATGTGCGGCAGTACCGCCTGGTTTCAAAGGATCCTGCCGTCCATCCAACGTGATGGCTGGAACACTTATCTTGGGCTGAGCAGCTAAAGCATCCTCCAAGTTCTGCAAAGCTGGATCGCCTTTTGCGTTACCAAAGCAGAATCTGTAAGCGTGTATGACAACATCGACGAAATCAGGATTATCAAAAGCGTCTGCAGTTCGGTTGTAAAAGTCTTCTGAGAATTTGAAAGAAGGGGACCACTGCTTCCACAGAATTCGACAGAGATCTCGTCGACTTTCAGTTAGACATGCCACTCCCCGTTCCTGTTGGAATAAGTGCTGATACCAACAAACACATTCCAAACTCGGTGCAAAAGGCTTTTGGTAAGTTGAGAGATCCGCAATGTCGTAGCCGGCATATGAAACGAGTCCAACGACACGCTCGGGCCAGAGCGCAGCTGCTACGCAAACAGACATTCCGCCCCAGTCAAAACCACCCAAGATGGCCTTGTCGATGTTCAAAGCGTCCATCAGCTCAATGACATCTGATCCAAGAGCTGCTTGCTGACCACTTCTCATGGTTGATTCTGAGAGGAAGCGAGTTGGGCCATAACCGCGAACATAGGGGACGATGACTCTTGCACCGTCAGAGACGAGTTTTGGAACAACTTCATCGTATGCGTGGGTGTCGTAAGGGAAGCCGTGATATAAAAGGACAGGCCAGCCTGATGAGGGGCCATGGTCGTAGTACCCGACTTCTAGGGTTCGTGTCTTGACTGTTTTGAGTGACATGACTGTCTAAGTGAGAGATTGTTTGAAATGATGGTGCCAATATTCGGATGACGATTATGCGTGATGTTTTATTGTTACTTCGCGCCTTGTGGTTGACATGTACTATCATTCCTGATACAACCATGTGACGTCAGATCTAGGAACAGCATTATTAATAACTTGAATAGTAAGCATAGCCTACTTCGACAATTCACCCAAGTCTAACGTTATTATCTGAGATTCTTAATGATACACGCAAAGAATCCTCTCTTGAAGGCTTTTGAGATCAGTCTGCTCCGAACATTCGTTCAGAGGCCCTGATATTCACAGAAATCTTCCCGTTGGAGTTATGTCCAGGTACTCGATTATTTCACTGCAAACCCTTAAGATCCTCATCTTTAGCAAACAAGTAAGGCGCGCGAAGCAATCATAAGCTGTCAGGTGGTCTCCTCAAAGTGACACTCTGATAACACAGTTCATGTAGTATACAAAATGCCCACACAGTTGCCCAAAGTGATTTAGCAAAGACACGACAGTTAAATATTCTTAAATTCCAGGATAAATATTATCACTGAGTGAATGCAAGTGGTAGTTTCCTAACTGAATATGCCACATATAACAGAAAGAAGTCTCTAGAAAACGAGATCAACTTGTATATACCATGAAGTTATCGACATTCTCTTCTTCGATAAGTCTCAAAGAAAGGTTTCCTCTCTTCTCTCCAAGAAAATCCCAACAAGATTGATAGACAGATATGTATGTATGGCCTCCAGTCTCTCCTGTTCTTGATAGTGCCGCTGGAAGTCAAAATACCCCTTGTTCAGCAAATGCTCTTAATCCCCTTTTTACTCAGCAACGAGGTCTTCAACATCATTAAAAGGCAAAGAGCTGATAAACGGTATGTTTCTCGCTGCCTTGCGGAACAAGGTCTGTTTATATGCCTCAACTCAAATCTGTACTCCATCAAATCGAAAAAACCGTGACTGTAATCTCTTTGAAATCAAGTTCTTCCGTTTCTCAGGCCTTATCTTTGGCCTGGTGCTCTGGTAGCCTAGCTAGGCAGTTGTAGCTTCAAAGCGTCTTAACTTCCAACTTTGTAGCAAAATTTTGATGTTCATTTTGTGAAAGCTGATAGAAGATTCTGGATGATTTATCGTCTCAGAATTCTTGAGTTTATAACAACAGAGAGCTTCAGCTACATGCAGATATTCGATATGGGTCAATTGGTTCTTTGCCAAGTGTGAAGCAATTCGTGGTCCAAGATTGCTCGATGTAGCTTCGCTGGTTCTTTGTTGCCAGGTTGGAGTGAAACCCTGTCGACCACTTGAGAACAGACCCTTTATGAAGCATCTTATAGAGACGATGTGTGAGAGAAAAGAGAGATAAGGTGGCACAAGGTATGTGCCCACCCCATCAGAATCTGCGTTTCTCATACTCCCAACTCCATTTTGGGTCGCGGTACGATGCTTTCTTGAACTTCTCTGACGGACAAGTCGGACAAAATAGGTGATGGACGGATTTATTCGCTCCCGACATCCTTCCACAGGCGCCAAAAGTCCCCAGAGCACGTTGACATAAAACCTGTTCCATGCGTGAGTCGTATAGCTGCTTACACCATATACAGGTGAAATGTGTCATTGTGTTTCCACACATGGTTGCTGGTTGAAGTTGAGGGTGGTGGGAAGTTGGTGTATGAGATTGCCAGATTGGTGAATACTTGAGGAGCAAGTTTAAGCCGTGAATATTGAAAAGTCCACTCATATTTATAGAGTCATCTTTGAGACGATATTGTTATGCTTCCTTTTGACCTCTGTGCGAGTTCATTTGAAAGTTCGTATCACTGGTTTGGGCCATAAGCTTCCCGATGTTGAAGTTTATATGCCATGAGAACGCATATCATCGTTCACATACATTTGACTTTATACCGGTCTACCTTATTGAGCAAGCTTACTGGTGGATCCAATGTTACAAAATTGTATGCAAAGAATAAACTTTAGTTATTTAGAGTCTACCTAAGTTTCTATCAAGTAAACCATGGCATCATTGGAAAGTGGGAGTATTTGTCTACTTGTAACTAAGCTCGCTGATAGGAAGGCAAATCACAAAACGAAGCCTCTTGGCCACTCGTCGAATATGAGCTCGCCAGCATCGCCCGTGGCTCATTTGTAAGCTTTAACTCTCGTAGAGAAACCGCCTACAACGTAGGTCTATGTGAAAATTCGCAGCTGCATGATGGGAGTAAGAGACCGCTCCAGAGCATGTGTGTAAGAAAGCAAGCTAATGAGAAGTAGCAAGTATAAGCTACAGTTTCTTGTCCTAGTCTGGCCTTATTGCTAAAATTCCAGACTTTGTTGACTTGAGATTCCTGTGTTTTATAATGAGTGTATGGTCAAGAAAATATTGCCGCTTCATGGATGGTAGCTCAGGAATGCCTCAGCCATGCTTCAGATATCGCTCACTGCTATTATAGGCGGCCTGCCAGAGCTACCGAAATAACCTTGCTGCACAAGCATGGGTGGTCTAAAACATCACCCTCAAACTGTATTCAAAAGCACGAGCGCGCAGTTACCCAAAAGACTTAGATAGATACACCGCATCGATTGCAAAAGTCTTCTGACGCTTCTCTATAAAAGGGCGCTGACGCCCAGCACTGTTACCTAGCACTGTTGTATAAGACTATCTTTTAATCCCCATCTTTAGACAATTAATTACCCGCTCCCCTTGACTCTTTCTATTGTTATACCGACGATTCTTCCACTTTCATCATGCCACTTAGTAGAAGCCGCGGATAAATGTAACGGTTGTGGTTTTAAGAGATAAACTGGTCCATACGAGGTTTATAATAGTAGATATATATAACGCAAATACTAGGTATTGCGAAGTACTATATCTCTTAATAGTGAATAGAGCAGGTTATGTATATTTAGGGAAAGGTACCTTTATCAATGGCTAGTAAGTTAAGTTCTAACTAGTACTAAGTAAAAGTATATACACATAAGGGCATATAACTTTAACAATGTCAGTTTAACTCTATTCAATATACAGGTTAAATAGGGTTCGTTTAACTCTTTTTATATGAGTCAAATAGTATGTATTTAACTCTTACGGAGTAGGTAACTGCTTATTAGTAAAACAAACTGTAGGGGGTGTCTATTACGTGTATTAGACTAGACTTGTTAGGTCGTGACAAGACGGGTATTTAAGTATCTTTCAAGGCTTCAGGGAATTTGAAGTAATCTATTTTAACCTTAGCTCTGGAAAGTTAGGGTTCTGTTAAGTTGCTGCTACATGTATATTCCTTTGGTGACTAAATACTATTAACTCCTCTTCTGTCAAAATCTACTACTATAAACGTATCTTTCCTTGCAATAACGACACGCTTGCCAGCACACGCAGTTGTACCAAATTGGCCCCGTGGCATGAGGCAGACTATTTCATCTCCATACGTTATCCACCGGTCGTCTCCAATGTCATCACAGAAGACATTGTTGTATACGCAATCTGGGTAAAGCTGGTTCGGGGCAGTCGGCTCCACCATCTCAACAGTATTTGAATTTGACTCCCATAACAGGGACCGGAATTCTTCGATATTCCAATCTAAAAATGTAATTCCAACTGCTTCGTCATTCGAAGAAAACGAGAGATCGACTACCAGAATGTTGTCAAACGTCGTCGGAAAGTGTTCTGCCCAGCTGACCATGTTTTGGCAACACCCTGTTCTCGTATCGATTATTGCCGCTGTAGACTCTGTTGTGACTAGAAGTTTTGTTGCATTGGATGAGAAAGCCCATCGGTTGACTCTGAGATAATCTTTCAAACACCATTGTCGTTGGCCACTAGCTACATCCCACAAGTCTAAATATCCACCTCTGTTTGCCACTAACCACTTTGCATTTGGCCCAGGGGAGAAGTCGATCTTTGCGATCCAGTAAGTCGTGTCCACTATGTCCACTATGTTCACGAATGTCGCTGTGGTTCCCTGTAGCCTCCACAGGCCCAGCTCTTGTGACTTGAGTTCAGTTGCCAGCATATTTCCATTTGAACTGATGGCTAATTCATGCGTCCATTCAAACTCGCCTGTAATGGTTTGTTTTAGTGACCCTTCTTCTAGATCCCATATCGATAGAGCGCAGTCGTAATTGACTGTTGCAAGTGTCTTTCCGTCCAGAGCGATCACCATTTTCATGATCCGGCCAAGATTAGAGATATATAAAGGTGGTGGCGTAATATCATCGTGAACAGCTAGCAACTCTGGCTGGCCTTCTCTTCTACAATTGGGCTGTAACGGCAAATGGAAGATTGATAAGACGGAAGCTCCAGCTGCTATCATCTCGCTATTGGGGAAAAATGCAACATTCATCCCATAGCTATCTCCGACGCATTTTATCGTATGTCGATGTGAGATCTGCCCTTGATCCCGAACCCAAACCCAGATTTCGTCGCTAGACCATGACGTCAGCAAGTTGCCGCATGGCGAGATGGTGACGGCTTGGCAATAGCCAAGACAGCCATGAACACCAACAAAGACTGTGACTGGTTCGGTTTTTCCACAGACGTTGAGAAGGTATATTTCACCGCTAGCCTTGATCAAAGCAATTGTAAATTCGGTGTCGCTCAACGCTCGAAGAGAAATGTCGGTTCCGCCGTCGAGAACGACGTTGGATATTGTTTGACGATGACACCCAGTCTCGGAGTCCCACAATCGTGGTATCGAATCTTCTGATAATGTTACGATTAGGGAATACTTGGCACAAATAGCACAACTTGCGAAGTATTTGTCACAAGTCACAAGCACATGCCGTCGGGTCAGCTCCTCGGGTGACTGTATCGTATCCCACACAAATACTTCTTTTTCTTGTGTCACCGCTGTGATGATCCTCTGATCTTCCGAAAAGGCCACTGCTAGGAATGAATATCTTCTAGGTTGATCATAAGGGAATCTTCGAATGACAATACCGGTTGAAATATCGATCAGACACAAGTTCGATGGAGCAGTGTCCGCCACCAGGCAACCATCTGGTGAAATTGCGATTGGGCCTATCAAACGTGGCTCACTGAATTCGCTCACAAGGGCTCTTTCTCTGGCAATGAGACCACCCCGAATGCTTCGAATGCTTGCTATACGCATCTCCTGACACTCCATAGCAAGCCTCTTGACTGTATTCCGTGGGTCGCTCAGTACTAAAGAAGTACCATAGGTTTGAAGTGGGTATTCCTGTATTGTCGTTCCGTGGTCCTGAAGAAACTTCTGTGCATCGCTTAGGAGCTCGCTTAAACTGTCTCTTCTCTCATATTCAGTTTTACAACTCTATGGTATGTTAGCTTTGTTTCCCCTCTATATCCAAGTAAACCTCGTATTAAGTCAACTTACGGATAGTAGGTTCAGAAGTTTTCTGATGGCTGCTCCCCCTTCAGGCAATTCTTTCAAGATTGAAAGAGCTTCGAACCAATGGAGGACGTGTTTCGTGAAAAACGTATAAATTATTTCCCAGTCTACTCCCTTTTCACTTCGCACCAAATGATGTACCCAGTACATGCATGCGTATTGGAGATCATCAGGGATGTTTGCTGCAACCTGGTCTCTATCAATGTCTTCTGTTCTTGTTGTTGGCTTTGGTAGCATGCAGAGGTTCTTTTGGAGACCAGGAAGTGGTAAGCCAATGCGCCTTCCTTGTAACATTCGACTGGTGCATCGCTTTGCTAGGAAACCATGTGTATCCGAAACATTAATCCTTAAAGGGTCTGAAACCTCCCCGTCGTCTGCCAGAAGGAAGTCGGCAAAAGATTTATGGACAAGCTCCACAGGCGATCCTTCATCATCAGAAACATGTATCACTGCGTGAAGACTCTTCAGCCAGTCATTGACTGAACTCTCCCTCATTTCGAGAAGGCTACTCAAGGCCTTTCTAGTCAAGGGCTTTGTGAGTAAGACGAGAGACCCCAGGACATGCCGCAGCTCTGTACATTCTTCACCATTCAACGGTTCGGGGGTGCCATCCTCTCCCCATTCCCCGTTCAGTACTGCCTTCATAATCGGCACGTACATCTGGTCGAGCTGCTTGACGCTGACTAGACGATTGCTTATCCAGTCTTGGAGTCTGCGAACTGGATCTCTCTTACTTATGTAACGGAGCAGGGTTGAGATGTAGACGAATAATGGAAAGGGGTGCGTAGCATGGTGAACTATAATATCGAACTGTTCAGAACTTGGCCAAGTTTGTCTTTCAATAGACCGTTTTTGACAAATCTCGGCAAGGCCATGGCTCAGGACGATCTCAATCTCAGATCTTGTCTCCTTTTTGAAATCTTCATGAAGTGCAATTGTTTGGCAAAGGTCGCTAGTTCCAGACATCCCCCCTACAGTGACAGGATATGGGGGGACCCGCCTACTGGTAAACAAAACACAAAGCCGAAACGCTGTTATTTGCTCGAGAGACGCGAATTTCTGGAGCAATAGAGGTATGTCCTTTGGGCGTGTACATTCGTCAAGGGCATCGATAATAATGATTCTTGGAAATCGGCCGTCTTCAGGATTGAGAGTGCTCAAAGGATTGAAGATAAGAATTTCGAACTGCTTTGACAGAGCCAGCTTCTCAAGTCCTTGTATAGTTAAACTGTCCAGTGATTGTCTTAGGGCATTCGGGTAGTCAGGGATTGTCTCTATAAGCTGGCTTGTGATTGTTGAAAAGATTCGACAGGTGTCATTGCGTAACTCATTACCACGCCTAAAGAAATACCCAGCTGCTAGCCGGTTTTCCTGTCTAAAGTCGTTGACTAGGGTACGTGCCAGAGTTGACTTTCCTGTTCCAGCAGGGGCGTGTAGCCATATAACGGATTTTGCGTTGAGATCCAGAACCTGAGAGCGAATGATAGATCGAACGTGGTTTCTAGTGTCTTCGTGGCACTTAGGGTGTTCTTCTAGATCTTTACTGTCATATCGTGCCTCGTACACGATTGGGAGGGAAATTAATGAATCAGTGTCGTTGTTCAAGAGGCTGGGTCATCATTAGCACGCGGGTGGGTAGGCGGCAAGGCCATAAAGTGAAGCTGTTGGGCTGCTTTTTTGGGAACAGAACAGTATTCATTTTGTACCAGTCACTCACAAATTAAAAACTTGATCTCCCTTTACTTCTTGGGACCCTAACACTTGGTTGTGTACGGCGGTGGCCCGGGCGCTAGCTGTAAACATCGTTACCGATTTCGTCAGGTTGGTTTGATCCAGTCACCTCTCTCTTGTGAAGGAGACCAGACCCATTGTGGCGGGGACAAATATTTAAAGCATTTTCCTGACACTGGCTGAAATACTGAATGCCTCAGGCTAAACATGTTTAATGCAAGTGAATCCACATCTGGCCAACTTGGCAATGCTGCATGGCCTCGACCTTGAGCCGGAATTCGCTGCATGCAGCAACCGGACCAATAAAAGGCTCCCATTCCTTCTTGAGATGCTCCTGCACAGTGGGCTTTGGGCACCAAATAAACTTGCGCTGTAAGCGAACACACAGGCGGTGCCGAGGTTCGACTGCAACAGGTGGACTAGGCCAACACGTCAAGTAATGTTAAAGTTTGAATTCACTATTTTCCGAAGTGTCACGGATTAACCCAAACCACATGGTATATATTCTTCCATTTGGAACAGCAGAGGTAAGCTTTAGGCATGAATTTCGCCGCTCTAATCTTCATCGATGGGTTAGACATCATGAAGCAGTTTTCATCGTTCTCTTGGCCTTACAGCCTTTGCAGAACCACATCACTGCTGAGTCTCTTCTCAAAGGCCTAGTCTGGTATGGTGAACTTGTCCCAATTTCACTTTGCATTCCACTGTATACTGTATGCATAACGATGGCTTATAGGCCTTGATACATCTATCAGTAAGGATTCTACAGCAAGCTCATGAGGATTCTGGGATGATGGTACACCACTGCCGGTCAGGCGGTAGGCCAGAATACGTGGAGTTACATGAAGAGTCTCTATCCTCTAATTGAATACCTGATCACCACTGATGAGCTGATTTCCGAGGACCTGGTTCTTAATCTCCCCCCAATTGTTATTTTCAATTTTGGGACCATGCGACTGAATTGTCGTTAGAATGATGGTTTCCACTGGGGAATGGCTAGCTTACAGTTTCTTCTGGTTTCGCACCAGGCTCGACCGAGGCTTTCTGAATAGCGCCAAGAACACTTTTATATCCAGGGCTGTCTTCGTCAGCAAACTTACACATAGTCTCATGGTTTGCATCAATAGATGCGTGGTCTCCATATCCGTGGACTCGAGCATTTAATTCCGGAACCACCTAATAAACTGTGTGAGATTGCAAACCGGCTAGTCGCAGATCAGATAAAATTTACGCACCAGAACTTTGTGTAGTTTCTTTGTCTCATGAAAGAAGGTTACATGGATCTCTTTCCCTTCTCGAATCCGCTTGTTTAATACTGTGGCAAAGTTCTCTGCCAGGATTCTCAATTTCTCTGACTTTTCTTCCAGATCATGGACCTTTTGGCTATCGGTTGCCCAAATGAAGTTAACCATTGAGCTAAGGACACTGCCAAAAGGGGCGACCGGAGAGCCATGAAATGGCGTTCCTAAGAAGATCATACCGCGGGTATTGCTCGCGATTATAGCAGGATTGTCGTTACTACCAACCAATGTGCCTTTCACGATGATCTAGACGGCCTCGTCAATCTAGACATAATTGACGGTACATGGCGTTCTTACCTGAGCACAGATCAAGCCACCGAGGCTGTGTGCAACGAAGATCAGCGGGCGATCAGCCTGGAGATGAATGTTTAGCAAGAGCGCGGGAAAGTAAGGGGGGTTTCTCTCACTGTTTCTGTCTTAGATCTCAACGTGACGAGCCTTTCGCATAGATCGACCGCATGTGACTCCATTACTTGGGTCGTTACTTCATCATTCCAATTGAACTTGGTCACGTCGGCATCATATCCAAAGGTGAAGATACGAGCATTTTTAATATCGCCAGTAAGTAGCCTATCTGGCCAAAAGACTCCGTTCTTTGTCCAAGTTGATCGGCGGTTGCCAAACAGTCCATGAACAAAGATGATACTGATTCATGAACGATTAATAGGTATTCATGGCTTGATTTAAATTATACATACTCTAGCTTAGCATCTTCTGGCGATGCTATTTGTTCCAGGCCGAGTTGCGCCATCTTGACAAGTTACAGTCTTAGGAATACCCAATTCGAATAAACAAAGGCCTGTGTGAGAGCAAGAGAAGATAAATTTTAATAACTCCAATATCAGGATCTTATACCCAATCGACATCCCTACAGTCCAGAGCTGAAACACGGTAATCTCCATTTGGGGCTGCGCCCAGCTACAGTGTACCCTATTCTTTGAGCCATGATCTTATCAGCCACTTCCTCGTAATATGTCAGCCGGACATCAAAAGTTTGCATAATGCATATTGAGGCCCTCCAAAGTGGAGATACATCATTTTCTATTGGGCATTGCTCGCGAAGTGATGTTGGCCAAGAGTCGAAGTGGTTGTTCAGCCGGCCTGATCTTCTAACCGGTATTGCCGATCACAAGTTTCCACCAATCGTACGAGTTCTTATCAAGAAAGACCTTTCCAGTCATGCAGTCTGCCAAGATAGTTGGGAAATTCCGGCTACTGGATGGCCAACAAGGATTTACTTGTTATCAAGGGTTATGTCATTTTTGATGGACTCAAGTTACGTAAAATGATAACAGCGGTGTTTTGTGTACATTGTGTGGCGTTCCTTTGTCATCTTAACTCCGCTGTGCGTTCTCTTGAAGGTATTGAATGTATGTATTGAGCCTGCATCTTGAGGAGTGTTTCTGACGTTGAGTTAGAGAGCTACGATGGGTGACTGGGGTAGCCTTTTTATTCTTTAGTAAATGCATTTAAGTTCTCTTTATATATTAGATATAATTATTAGATAGGCTATTAGGTAATTATATTAGAGTATACTGCCTAAACTAATTTAATAAGAGTATTATTTTAAGTTAATAGAAACTGCTACTGATGCTTATAGCACGCGCCTTATACGAATGTATGTATATTTATAAATATTCCAAGAATATAGCCATTTAAACAATGTCTTCGTCTTACACAAACCCCTGCGCGAAGGTTCAGAACTCGGTCGCTAGAAACTAATATATTGGCAGTGACCAGACTTTCGTCCTGTGCGTGTTGATACCCAAGCAGTTATATCCAAAGGCTAACCCAGCGGTGAGTCCGAGCCAACTATAACGTAGGCCTACGGCCTGTATTAATACTTTGAAAATTCTAAAAATGAAAGCCACTTTATAAAGATATGAACAAAGAACTGACAGAGTACATATAGTTTGGAGCAGATCTCCAAATGGATTTTTGGTTCCGAATCTAATAACTTTTTGTAACAAGGCTTTCATGATTCACGACAGAGACAGAGCAGTGACGGAGACGGGCAAATGGTTCCTTACAGGAAACGAGTTTGATCGATGGAGATCTCAATCGAAATTTGTGGCTATATAGCAAAAGTAACTATGGCAGGAGGACATTCAGATAACATCCAGCTAATATATTTCCCAGCTAGTTGCGGAAAGACTATTTTATGCTAAATGTGCTATAATATACTCGATAAGTCTAAAATCTTTTATAGCTCTTCTATTATCAATCAACTTGAGGTGGATTGCATAGACGATGATAATAAAGCGGTGATATACCACTACTTTACTGTCACGCACGATCGATCTCGGACTTATTGCATGTTGCTCCAGTCAGTTCATCACAGGTGGCTAGCTACAACAACAGTACTTGAACTTGATAGAAGGTTTGTATAAGAAGAGGCGTGACAAGGACCTTGCAGACGACGAGGCTAAGCTTATAGTCATATTCGAAGCTCTTGCAAAGACGCTTTCAGCTCTTATGTCATCATAGACTCTCTTGACGAAAGTACTGACCACCCTGGGATTACGGCCAGTTCTACCTCAATTACATGACCTTTCAATTCCCGGTATATGGATCTTGGTAATTAGCAGTACAACGGTCCCGCGCGAAACCAAGTCACGCATAAGAAGTCTAAGTACTGAACAAGTTCGGGTCACTAGCCAAGATGTTGAAACAGATATTGAACTTCATCTTCGGAAATTCAACCTTGAGCAATGGGACGAGTCTCAAAGGAGGTAAATTGTGGAAAAGATGAAAGGGCGTGCAGGGGGGTCGTAAGTTGTCGAGAGCAGCAGCCTTGAACACAACACTGAACTAAGTTTATGTTTCAATGCGCCGCTGGTCGTCAGTTGATAGGAATCCAGAATTGCTATGATAATGAGGAGCTCAAACAGGCACTGAATACTCCCCCGAAGACCGCCGGAGACTTACAATAGGATCTTAAAGGAGATCACGTCGCCTTCTAATATTACAAAGCTCAGAACAGTTCTTGGTTGGGTTCTGTACTCTAGACGGCCCATGCGAATCGAAGAGCTCCGAGAAACTACCACCTTTGGTTGTAAAGAGAAGCCCTACTTCAACGAGAATAAACGACTCAATATGCGCCCGCCATTTTTGGTTCAGTGCGCATTTCTCATAGCAATGGAAGACGGTCCGGACACTGCTGATATGTTCAATTTTGACGATGACAGATCTGGGGCTGTTCATTCCAATCGAGGCCTATCTTGTTATTTACGGTTGTTTCTTCGCCTGGCTCATCCAGACATTTTTCGGCATTTTACTGATACTGAGAATCTGTGTGCTAATTCTAGGCAGTTTGCTCCAACAGTTGAAGATGCACATGCCGTTTCGAAGCAATCATCTTTTGCTTCTATCCTTCACCGGAACGATGTTCTCAAGGGATCCACCAACTCGACGCAAAGACTTCTCTTGTTGGACTATGCCTTGGAAAGTTGGTACCACCATGCCCAAAGGGTAAGCTACTCTTTGTTTAAAGAAGATATATCAGCTCTTTTCCAGGAGGTTCTCAAAACAACCTGGCACATCTACCGTTTGGTCGCATACCCAAAATCGGTCAACAAGATACGATCCAGCCAACTAAGGTACGCAAAGTCTTTACCCTTCAGCAATCCTAGGGTCCCGGGCAATTTCATTCTTATTGGTCTAAAATGTACTTAGATGCTGTCTTTCTTGAATACTATAAGGCTATTCCGTACTCTGTAGTGTAATTGAAGTCCGTGTCCGTGTCCGTGGCGCAGCAAGCTAAGCGGCCCGAAGTACAAGGATCACAACCCGCAGCGTATAATCCTACGGAGCTCAGCACATATAAGACTAGCCAAAGCCCTTGACTCTCTTTGAATCATTTCCCGACTTACTCTGCTCTTCAATATCCAAGATATACACCCTGCAAAAGTCATTCACAATGGCACCGAATCTAAAATCAGTTGTTTCCAAAAACATCCGTGATCACACTACACAAACAATCCTCAGAAAAGCCTTGGAAGAAAAAGATGGAAAGTCCCTTGAGCAATCACCAGAGACCGCGGCTATGGTCCGTGACTGGGAGATTCTCGGCGAGAAAAGGGGAAGACAGGGTCTAGAGACTGTTGATAAGGCTATACAGGAGAAGAAGCCAGATGTTGATGGTATGACGGATGAAGAGCTGAGTCGAATCAGCATACATATTTCGTCGGTTGAAGAAGAAGACGGTGAACAGTCGGATGAGAAAGTGAAGGATGAGGAGACGGCCAAGTTTGATGAGTATAAGCATCATCAGTTTATACAAAGATGGGGGTTATTTCAAGACTCGGATGGGCGTGATGAGGAGTGGTTCGTCACTGATCCGCCTATCCTTGAAGAGGCGGATCCTGAATATCTGTGCGATATGTGTCGACACATTGACTTCAAAGTCCTTCTATCACAACGAGACTTACCGGGAAATCAACTACCAGGACAGTCCCGCATCTCAGTTTACGGCATTCCCATGGTTATGGACGAGAACAGTTGTTGTTCTTTTTGCAGACTCATTCGAAAGAGGGTTATTCAGGATGGGATACTCGCGAATGTTCATCCTGAAGATTGGCCGGGGATGCAATTGAGTATCAGTACCCTGGATGATGGACCGAAGCTTCCTCTGAGATTGGAAGTCGAATTCTCAGATCTTGATCGGTCAAAAGTTTCAAGATTGGTGATACATCCAGTTGAACCTATGGAGAGTCAATCGAAGCCTCTTCAGGGTCTTGTGGTTCGGAAGGACTCTGCTGATATATCTCGCCTTCGAGAGTGGCTTCAGACATGCAACAAGGATCATAAATCAACAGAAGCTGACTCTACTGAATATCTCAAGCCTCTCATGGGCACACTGCGAGTCATAGATACTGTCGACAACTGCGTGAAGGAGGTTGACACTCCTTGCGACTACATCTGCCTTTCTTATGTCTGGGGAACTGGTAGCCAGACACAATACACTACCAAAACAAGAGGCCAGCTCAGCAAGCCTGGAGGTCTGGGGCACGCCGAGCTTCCGCAAACTGTTCTTGATGCCATCAAGGTCACAAAGGAGCTCGGTATCCGTTACATCTGGATTGATGCTCTGTGTATCATGCAAGATGACAAGGACGACAAAGCTAGGATAATCTCTAACATGGGAACTATCTACGCCAATGCAACGTTATCAATCATGGCTTCTTCCAACGTCAACCCCACCGACGGACTGCCGGGCGTTGGTGTCCCTCGATCACAGGAGCAGAGCATCGAAACGCTCCAGGGACTTACTCTTGCCGTTGCATTCCAAGATGCCAGACAAAAGTATTCTGATATCGAGGATAAACTCTGGAATACCAGAGCGTGGACGTTCCAAGAACGAGTCCTCTCAAGGCGATCAGTCTACTTCACCGACTCTCAAATGTGCTTTGTCTGTCCCCACGGAGCCTGCTTCGAGGATACCGTTCCTGTCTCTAACCCCATTTCATACACGATCACGTCTTTCAATGAACACCTCCAACTAACATCTCGAATCCACAACTTGTGGATTCGCATATGGTCTGATCCAACTCAAGCCGCATATATCAACAAAGCTTTCGCGACAGAAGATGACGTGACGATTTTTATCGGCGAGGACCCAACTACTGGCGAAGCTTCAGAGGACGGTGCTCCGTTGTACAAGTCTAGAGCCATTCCGAGTTCAGATACAATCGATGCACCTCTCATCAAGGGATATACACTCTGGGAAGCGTACGCTCACGCTGTTGATGCTTATACAAGGAGAAACATGACTTGGCAGTCCGACGCCGTCAACGCCTTTATCGGTATTGCAGACCTTATTCGTCGCGGGACAAATACCAAGTTCTGGCACGCTATGCCTGAATTTGCTCTTACGCGATCTCTCTTATGGTACCCCAAAGAACCCCTTTCTCGAAGACGATCACCAGATGGAAAGATTTTGTTTCCCAGTTGGTCCTGGGCAGCTTGGCAGGGGCACGTTGCGTACCGTGGCAGAGGTTTCCACAACGCCGTGTGTTATGAGCCAGTTAGTATGATAATGTGGCTGAAGTCAGCTACAGTTGACGAATTCATGGAGAAGTTTGTACAAGTGGAGAGAACACAGAAGGAAATCGACGAGAAGAGACGCCAGGCTGAGAATTCACGGCTTTTGTTGCACAAGACTGATTTGTGGTCGCTTTTGCATATTGACTGCTACGAGCATGGATGGGCGGTAGAGCACAATGAGGACCGAAATCAGCATCTCTTCGTGCACGATGCGTATCCGGGCATGAAATTTGAGTTTCCGATTAATCTTCCTGACGAGCCTATCGTGGAGTTGCCTTTCGAAGACACTTTGTACTTTCGTGCAAAAGCGGTGTCAGTTCGACTATGTGATAAGCCATCTGAGTCTTATTTGGCATCGCCTATACAGGATAACTTCATCCAGATAGGGGTCAACGATGAGGATCGATCAGCCAACGACCGTCGACCGTGGCAGCGTATCCTCTACCATCAAGGATACCGCGCAGGAAGCTTGAGCCTCAACGTCTCGCTTGAACATCTCAACATCCCCTCAACAGCTGAAGAAGTCCAGAGTTCACCGGTGAAATACATCCTCGTGGCCATATCTCGCGACAGTCTTCCGTATATTGCCCCTCCGCCCATTGGCTGGGAAATGTACTGGGATGGCGATCCAATGAGAATGCAGTACGAGCTTCTTCAAGATGAGTGGCTACAGCGCAGGCGCTTACCTGAAGCACCTGATGAGAGTGTGAAGCCAAGTGGTGAGAAGGTTAATGAAACTGGAGATCCACGATGGGATATAGGTCGCTTTGGAACTACCACTATATTGGATGTTTGTAACGTGCTGTTGCTTAGAGAGACGAGGGATGGAGTATCTGAGAGGGTTGGCGTTGGGAAGATCCATTACTTGGCGTTCTTTGCGGCGAAGCCTGAGCCTGATGTATTCTATTTGAGATGAGTTGGTCTAAACTCATATAAATTAGTCCTAACTCATACAAGCTGGTCTAGACTCAGATGAGTTGATCTAAAAATCACCAAGCCAGCGCCCTAACATTTAGGGTGCTTGGCATTGGGAGTAGATTGCAGATACTTGCGCCAGTTTACTTCCTCGTGCCTTTGGTGGGTGGCTCCAAGTCTTGATCTTCGTCTTCGTCTTCTTCATTTCTCTGCGCGCTCGGTGTCCGTTATGTTTTAGTCGACACTCTGTATATCATTCATGAAAAGGACGACAAAACGAGAATCATCTCCAGCCAACTACTTCCTGACTCGACGCCTCTTGGTAGGCGGTTCCGAGTCCTCCTCTTCGTCTTCATCTTTCACCTCCCTTTTGACTTCTGCAATTACAACCTATTAACTAATTAGTTCAGGGCTAAAGAATATGTAAGTAGTCATAAGTCTTATAACACCTTCAGTTGTTTGCAAGATCGGCAACAGCACTCCTCGAACTCCTCTGGTGGGACTCTTCGCGTCTTGTAAGCGGCGAGAGAGTCCGAGAAGCTGGTATAGGCTACCTCCTCCTTCTTCGTCTCCTCCTATTCATCTTGACAGTGCGACGAATTTTGACCAGGATTGCTCTGATCGACATTGCTTGTACATCTATACACACATTAGCTCTGAGTACCTCATTCAACGCGCTTGGCGTACCGGCGGCTGTAAGCTTTGATCGGCCAGTGGCCAATCTGGTCGAATTAGAGTCCATCTCTTCTTTGGAATTCTTTTTTTATTTAAAAAAAAAAGAAAGGAGATTGACTAAGTCAGAGAACTGGAGACGGCGGGGGACTAGAGACGATGGTGCTGATGCTCAAGCTGAAGCTGGCTTTGAGAAGAATCTGATTATGAGGTTGTGAAGAAAGTTGACCAGTGACGCCAGCTGAATACCATGTCCCATTCGAGGAGGCAGTGAATCAGGGACGTTCCACCTGGGGAGAGCCCGTCACTGCCATCCAGTTTTACCAGGCAAAAGCCTCGCCGTGTTCAGGATTACAAGATATCACGTGCTTAGCATCATAATCTTTTATTCCGCGCCGTTTTCTCTTCTCTCTCTCTCTCTCTCTCTCTCTCAAATTCAAAAGACGAAATGGCTGCTGCTCCGGGTTCGACGCTCACCATCACCGAGCCTGATGGCCATCCGCAACCCATGTCTCTTATTCCCCTTCCTCCCACGGCAGCCGAGTTGGCTTTACTCCTGAAATCTCCCTCTGGAGGTTGATATAGCCCCCTCCTAGCCCGCCCAAAGTCCCTGCCGCCAGCAAGTTCTTCTCTTGCCATACAGACGCATTGAAAGGGGTATCAAGTATAAACCATTCATGCACTCTGTATCGCATCCCAGTATAAGTTTTATAGCCAAATTGCCTATGTATAGATGAGAAACCTTTGACTATCAGAGAGATCATGGCGAAAATGCACCGTAAAAGTTGAAGCCGACATCGAGCGGAATAAGGAACGGAGACGGGCGGCCTTTTTGGATAAGAAGAAGCGAAGAATTCCAACGGATGAGCTCGTTGCTGCCGGTTTGGTCAAGAAGATGAATTATATTAGATAAAGAAATCTACCGGTGCCATATGGGCGCCCCAGGAATCCAACCCTTCACCCTCTGGCAAACCAACAAATCTTGCGCACCCTCCTCATCCTCGCCCTTCGACCCAATCGTAGCATAAATTGTGAAACCACATCTCTCCAATGTCTCAATCAACTTTAGCAGTATGATCCTCGTCTGAACAGTATCTGTCCCTGAAGGATTCCACGGCGTGTTTGCAAGATGTATCTTGACGCGGTCAGATGTGATTTCTTTACGTCTTACATCACGACCAAATGTTTGAAGGATTGCGTCTGTGAGGTCTTTGGGTGGTGAGTCTACGATCTTTAGTTTATCGCTGTTGTCGAAGGATATACAGATCCAGTCGCATGGTGGTGGGATGGGATCTTGTTTTCGGAATATAAGTGAATCTAATACATCAGCTAAGTTATTCATATAAGATAGTCAGAAGTCTTACCTTTACTCTCAGACTTGAGCGTAATCTCCATAGCTCCCTGCAACACCCAACCCATATCAAACAACTTCTCCAGAATTCTCAGCATTAGTCTCCTCGAGTTATCGTTCCCATCACATCTATGTAGCCAAGGTCTTCCACGAAGCCTAAATTCCATTGACTCCCCGTAGGGTTGCACATGTGAAAGACCCGGTGACCACCGGGCTGCGACGACTTCTTTGATGGCTGATACTTCTGCTTCCGTGAAGTTAATGAGACGAATGCGGTCGAACATGTTGAAGGTCATGCAGGCGAATTGGGTTTGGAAGATGGGTGGTGATGAGGCCATTGTTTCTTGGAATGATGGGGGGAGGTCGGAGACCTTTTCGGTCGTTTCTGTAGCTTTGGAGGTAGACATCTTGAGATGAGTTTATAAATTGCGTGTTGTGCTAAATGATGAAAAGTGCCATGTGTTGGGTCTGTAAATTGATGTTGCGTGGATGTGTCGCTTCAAGGTGGGAATAGCGTCATTTGTTCTTAGTTGAAAGAACACCAGAACCCTTCTAGAAGAGAGTGGGTTCTAGGTGCTTTATACACGGGCCCAGGCTAACCAAGTTCTGTTGGTCCTGTTACCTTAGCGTGGCTGTGCGGGGCGCGAGGCGTAGCAGGATCACCACCCTGCCACCCACCACCAAAGTAAAGTTACTGGCAGTTGGCTGCTAATAAACTGTGCTAGCCCTGCTGTACTTTCCAACAATATAAACCCCTCTCAGCGAAATGACATATAAAGCTAGGCCAATAATCTCAAGGACTATAACAACAAGACTGGCAATAAATGTATAAGACTACAACAGTAGTTATTAGCAATCATCAAATACACAAGAGTCAGATTATCTTACCATTTCTATGCACAGAGTTACCCAAGGGCCAGAGCTGTGCCGGGACCTGCTCTGGCATGACCAAGACCATAGGTCCCAGTCACCCTGAAGCACTTCTTTGTCGACAATGAAGTAAATAGTTGCGATAACCCAGGCTGCAATCACAGTACCAGAGCTGGCCAGCACGGCAACGGTATGTACCCAGCCATCGCGCAAGGATTGGGGCTATCCTGATGTTAGAAAATTGTGAATAGGCTTTAAGTTGTCTTTTCGTGAACTCACAAGACTGAGATGAGTTGCTAAAGCTATTATCTGGACAAAGGATGCAAAAACTGCAATTGCTAGCATTAACCAGGTCGAGAACATGTTAACCAAAGCCCGTTGAGTTCCCCAGCCATCCTCGTTTCTATCCACAGAGTTATATGTTATATCCCAAGTATTAACTCCATGGATAAGTAAACTCAGAATACTCAGATCGAGTAAGAGGATCAAGATGCGGAGGCAGAGTCTGACGGTATCAAAAGCACCCCGACGTTTATTCCGCGCACGGCGCCTCCTGAGGAGAACATGTTGGTCGGAGACGGCTAGGAATTCCTTTGCGGCGTAGTCATCGTCGACTTCGTCATGAGGGTCGAGCCGGTTCGAGTATGACTCGTAGGCAGAGGGTACACCAAGGTCCATGATGGTTTAGTATTGGGTCTTGGATGTAATTATGCTTGGTACGGGCTCTTCAAGTTTAATTATATGCGCGGGGGCCGTCATCTTCTTATGCTGTGATATCGTCTGGTGCATTCAACGTCAATGGCAATGGACTTAACGAATTTTCGTGTGGTAGTATCCCGATCATGTCAGCCGCATTCGGCAACGCCGTTCCTTAAGCCTTGGACCCTTGGATGGCCCAATTATTTAGCATGTAGACAATGTAAGTAAGCTGACTATCAGCCGTCACGATAAAGCTTGACATTTTACCTACAATATGCTCACTGCATGTCAGCCAATCTAGACCATTTGGAGTAGCCTAAGATGCAGAGCTGGGTCGTTAGCCAGACTTAGGTGGGGTAGCTCCCCGCAGCTCTCTGCTCTAGGTACTAACCTAGGGAGAGAAAATTCGCTTGCTACAGAACCTAGGTAAAATAACTTGTCAGCCTGGAAGAACAGCTGAATATGTTGTTGTACCGAGCGTGGCTGTGCCCAGCCCTGTTTTGCTTACATGACAAGAACGTGATTAATGCGCTCCGTCGCGCAGCGGAAGCGTCGTGGTGAGAAGCATCTTCAGTCCGCCATTTTGCTGGTAACCTCCACTGCTATGCAGCGCAAACACAATCGTTAGTGGCCGGGGCACATCACTCAAGCAACAGCTTCACTACTTGTTGGCCATAAGCTGATCCTCACATCTTGGCAAACAAACCCCAGAGTCAGAGCAGCAATTGTCTTTTTTTCATTCTCTCTCATCAAAGTCTTACAAGTCTAGTATACTACGCGCCCCTCCTCTCCCCGAAACTCCAATGCCTTCTACTACGACCAACCATGATCCTACTGTAGATTCTACAAGCAAAAAACGCAAAACTGCCATGTTCTGTCATGCCGCCGCGCCGTTTTTTGTTCCGCCCAAATGATGATGATGATGTTGCTAGTATACAAGAATGTCTTTTTTCGTGAGTGGCTATTATTATCGCTTGCGTGTGTCCTTGCCCTTCTTCTTCCCTTTCTTTTTGTCCTTGGGCAGTTCGAGTTTCGTGTCTTTGAGTTGCTCTGCCATGTTGCTGAGCATGTAGTCGTCGATGGTGTGCATTTTGTGGCCCCATGCGTTGTACTCTGGTTCTTCTTCCACTTGAGGTGTGTCGAGATCATCGAGTCCGCCGTCGAGAACGGACTTGCCAGCGGGAGTACCTTGACGCGCTGTTGATGTGCCGGAAGCATTGTTGTTGGGCTTCTCGGTAAAGTCAGCATCGTCGGCTTGGATTTCCTTCTCTGCGACACGGGCAGCTGCAACATCCTCTCTGTCTTCTGCTTGTTCGAGCGCCCGGCCGACTCGTCGCTGGTCAGTATTGGTGTCAGGGCCGCCGAGGACTCTATCCAAGGCGGCGTCTGCAGCATCCAATCCTTCGCTCTTTGTGTCGAGTTTGTCGCTGAGGACGTCTCGTACAGAGAGTTTGTTAAAGTAGTCGGTAGTGAACTCTCCTTCTTGAATCACCACATCATCTAGCATCTGCTTCTGCGAAGCTTTGCGAAGAATGTTGGCCTCAATTGTGTGTTCACTGACTAGACGGTAGATGTGTACATCGCGAGTCTGTCCAATACGGTGGCATCGATCTTGGCATTGCTTGTCCATGGCGGGGTTCCAATCTTGGTCGTAAAAGATGACGGTATCGGCACCTGTAAGATTGATGCCGAGACCGCCTGATCGAGTCGACAGGATGAAGCATAGAATTCGAGGGTCATTATTGAATCGGTCGGTAAGGATTTGTCGCTGTTCCACTTTGGTAGCACCATCCAAACGGAGATATTTGTGACCGTGAATGTTCAAGAATTGTTCCAGGATATCCAAGACCTTGGTCATCTGTGTAAAGATGAGGGCGCGATGACCACCAGTCTGAAGCTTTCGCAGTAGCTTGTCCAGAACCTGAAGCTTTCCGCAGTCGTATTGTAAGAGACGCTTGTCGGGGAATTGAATGCTGAGTCGCATGCGTCCTTCGTGCCAAGGATCTGGTGGCGCTTCTTTAGGTAGGAATGGCGCCCATCGGACGGGTTTCGAGAGCTTGAGGTCTTCGTCTGTAAATGCTTCAATTCCTTTGCGACCAAGGACAAATTGCTCCATGTCTCTAGTCACAACCGCCGGTGTAACACATGAGAACTTCTCAATGATCGTCTTGAAGCTGTCGGCACGTTGATTGACGGTTGGTATCATCGACTGAATGAGTCTCGATTCCTCTTCGAACCAAGACATTACCATACGAGGAACTTTAGGCCGAGGCTTGTATGGCCTCTTATCGGTACCAATAGTTAACAACTCTACCAAGTTCTTGCCATAAATGGGCTTCTTCTGGCGGCGTAGGGCATTAAGATACACACAATGTTGAAGCTCTTCAAAGCGTCCCCATCTTGCGCCACTCTCCAAGTATGCGATATTAGATGCGACTGTTGAAGGGTCTAGGTGGTCGTTTGCTTGGTGTGCTCGGGTTCTCTGAGCCTCTTTAAGGTCCATTAATATTCGATGAGAGCTGAGTTGTGAGATTCGCTCAGCCTGTGTTGTGGAGAGGCTTTCGGATTGTGTGGGAATGAGGTTGAGGAAGCCAAGGCTGACGTCTTTCATGGGCTTGGGATCAAGAAGTAGCTTCTGAACCCTTTGCTCGATAAAGTCATAGTCTGAGACGACAGACTTGTTCATTCGGAAGGATGTCATGATGGGTCGGTCAACGAAGAGATCTGGGTGATTGCAGACCTTTCGCAGCTGCATGAGACAGTTGATGATGGACAGATAATTGCCGGAGTTGAGTGTCTCTTTGGTGTCATTCCGCGAAAGAAATCCATCGTAGAGCTCACGTTGTCGCTTGGAGAGTCGGCAAAACTCAACGTGCTCATACTTGGCGGGCATTTGCTTCTCGACATCGGCTTTCAATCGTCGTAGCAGATAGGGTCGCAGAACCTTGTGTAGCTTCGAGATGATAGCTCGCGCCTCATCGTCCATCTGTTCTCTTCCACTCTCAAGAATTTGTGATTCAGGCTTTGCGAACCAATCGTGAAATTCCTGTAAGTCAGCGAAACCACCAACGCCATTCTCGGCCGGCATGAGGAAGAAGAGGAGTGACCAAAGTTCTGTGAGATTATTCTGAAGAGGTGTTCCTGTGAGTAGTAGCCTGGCTTGAGTATTGAAGCCAAGTAGGGTCTGCCATCTTTGAGATTTGAAGTTCTTGATGTTGTGTGCTTCATCAAGGATCATGTAGTGCCAGCGACGTCGCTTGAACACTTGCTGATCTTGAAGGACAAGTTGATATGAGGTAATACAAACATTCCACACATCATCGTTGTTCCAGCCTTGTCGCTTGCGTTTTCGTTCCTCCTGAGATCCGTAGTATGCCAAAATTTTAAAGCCAGGGCACCATTTCTTGAACTCCATTTCCCAATTGAGCATGACACTGGTAGGGACTACAACGAGATGCGGTCCCCAAACCTCGTGCTGACATGCTAGATGTGCAAGAAGAGCAATGGTCTGAATCGTCTTGCCGAGACCCATTTCATCGGCAAGAATACCATTGGTGCTGTTGGCGTAAAGACCTGCCAGCCAGTCAAGTCCATCGCGCTGATACTCTCGTAGTGTGCCTCTAAGAAGAAATGGTACATCAATCTTGTGATTTGATGATTGCTGTGGTGAAGCCGATCGACTTGGCCCAGTTTTGTCTACTACCATCATCTCCCCGGAAGAAGCTGTGTCCAGCTCAGATGGCTTGGTTTCTGATGTAGGAGGGGGAGACATACTATGAGCACGACTGGGAGGATTAGTTGGTTGTTCTGATGCTGATCTGTGATTTTCCAAGGGTAGAGTTGGTGCCGATTCTTGTTCCTCGGTGGGTTCTGTCATGACAACTTCAGTATCTTGAAGCGTGGAGTCCGCTGGGGCTTCAGTAACGGTATCACCTTCAACCGGGACATCATTAGTCGCCGCGTCGGGTGCAATGGTCTCTGGGGGCGGTGTTGAGGTCTTCTGTGCAATATCGGCGGCCCTCTCCTCTTCTGTCGCTTTGGGCTTCTCAACAGATGCTCCCTCATCCCGAGCTTCACCATTAACCGTTAGCGTTGACTCTTCTGCGTCAGGCATCTCAGTGTCCCCATTCTCGGTTGGCTCCTCTGTCACAGCTTCATCGTTTATCTTCTTCAGCTCCGACTTGCCAAAAAGAAGTCCTAGGAGACCACCCCCAGCATCTTCATCAGACTCTTCTTCCGATGCATCATCCCCCTCCTCGTCACTATCCATATCGGTAGACCCCATATCATCATCCATATCAACAGACTCGTCGCTGGTGTCGGCATTTTCTTCCGCGGTTGCTTGGGCAGTATCGACTGCATCAGTGTCATCGCGGCTTGGTTCGGTGGTCGGTGTTTCTGCATCCGGCTTTTCGAGTTCTGGTATATGGGCATACTTCTCGCGCAGCTGTTCTTGTGTCAAGTTCTCATCACCAACATCCTTCAAGTCCTCCTCTTCGTCACCCTCTTCCTCATCTGAAGACATGATATCGCTGTCGGGGTCGTCCTCGTTATCTCCGTCTTCTCCCGACGCTAAGTCAAGGTCATCGTCATCGTCCATGCTCATATCGTCGCTAAGATCATCGAATCCATCATCTTCCTCTTCAGAAAGTTGCTCCGAGTCCAATCCTGCTCTCCGGGCTTGCAATTTCTGTTCAGAGAGGTTAACAGCTTCATTCAAAGCTGCCTTGACTCTCTTCTGCTCTTCTTGTTCCCATTCGACCAACCTTCGACGATTGACTTCAGCACGAACATTTTCCCATGTGCCAAAAAGTGCCTTCATCACAACACGATACCGAGATATCCATCTCGCCCTTTGTTCCGCTTCGATCTCCTCTTCTGACTTTGGTTGGCGCCGTAACCACTCGTCTCGACAGGCCTCGGCCACTTTTTTCGCGGTCAATCGATGCCGTTGTTGCTCAGCCAGCATCAGTTTTCGAAAATTCGTCATAGCCTTCACCATGTGGTCTTGTCGAGCCCATTGCCTAGGTGGCTCTTCCTCTGCTTCCGGGAGGAATACTGAGCAGCGCCCTTGGGAGAGTAGCCCACCAGGTTCAACTTCTTGTTCGATTCGAAGAATGGCGCGCGCGTCCTTGGCAGCCATTTCATCAGTATAAGGAGGGCCATCTTCAGAGGCAAGGAGTCCACCGTCCTCAACAGGGATGTCACCAGCTCGAGCCCAGAAGTCTTCAAAGTTCGTACTAATCTTCGGTTTCTTTCGGACTTGATCAGGATGCACCAGAGGAATATCGCCAGATCGTCCGACTCGTAACTTAATGCGGGGCGATCGATTGGTAACATTTTTCGATTCTTGAATGTCGTCTTTAATATCACTAAATCGTGCGGATCTCCTTGATCTGGTCGAGGCTTTTGGAGAAGGGCTTCGACGTCGGGTGGAACGGGAAGGACGGGTTTCTGTAGGCTTTTTTGAAGATTTTGGAGTCGACGCGGGTGTTTGCTTCGAGGGAGCTTTGGTGGCGGGGCTAGCTTTGTGTGAGCCGTTGGGCATCTTTCTCGAGTTGCCATTAGTCAACTGAATTTCTGCCTTTGGTTTGGAAGCATTGGAATTTGCGCCAGATCGTCTCGTGCTTCGAGTTTTTGTATTTGTTTCGAGTGGGAGTGTATTGATGCGGCCCGATTTCCGACGTCCATTTTCCGTGAATGACGTTGGGCCGTCGGCAGCTATCTTCTTCCATGGTGGCGACTCGGGCTTAATCTTTTTCGGCGTGCGTGGAGGTGTTGACTCTCGTGTGCGTCGTCTTTTTGCAGGTCGTTCATCGTCATGGACATGACCGTTTGGCTGTGATTCTGGTGCATCGCCGTTCGTCTCATCGTGACCATTAGTCATCCCGTTCAACGCGTCATCCCCATTGACATGCGCCTCGGGCGCGTTCTCGTCCTTGATGGCATCAGGGTCCGACTTGGGCAGCACGTTGGCGGGCGACGCGGTCTCGGGCATAGTCGCAACGTGGAGACAGTGGACGCAGGGGGGGTTTTCTCTGCGAGGCTATCATTTGCGGGGTCGAAATTAATGTCTACAGAATAGTAGCGCTTCAGCGGATATTCATACAAATTTTGCACATGTTCAGATGCCTTGCGGGCGAACTGTGTGGAATTTAGTGGTAAAATCCAATGTCGTCAGCAAAACTTTTGAGCTGGGGAAGAATCGAAGATGCACGCCCCTGGACCTCCAAATGAGCTAACCGAAAATGGCCCGAACGCGCTGGTTGATGCCTGAGGCCTGATTTTCGGTTGAGAATCATCACAGCCTCCATTGGCTAAAGCTTCAACGAGCATCACATCACGTCACAGAGCAATTGGTCGCCGCGACACTGTCCCTCGGCCGAGGTATGCTGTCAGAGGAGTCCGATACATGTTCAATTGATCGCTAACTTGTCAGATGCTCCCTCAACGAATTGTGCGGGCCTCGGCCCTGCGCAGCACCATGACAGCTGCTCGACGACTTCCCACGATCCAACGCCGAACCTTCCTCCCCGATCAGTATACCGACAAGAAGGTCATTGACCAGAAGTACCCCGAGCCTCCCAGCTTGAGCGAGGCTGAGGACCCCGGAATGGTCAGTGATGATGGGTGCGAGGAGGAGCGAAGCTGATAATCTCGCAGAACGGAGGCTACATCAACCCTCCCCGAATCAAGCGACAGTTCCGTGATCCTCATGCGAACTGGTGGGATCCTCAGGAGCGACGAAACTTTGGTGAACCCATCCACGAGGATAACGATGTTCTTGGAATCTTTTCTCCCTGGGAGTATACCTGGACTACCGCTGGTCCTGGTGCAGTCATGGTCGGAACTTTTATCGCCGTTTTCCTGAGCGTTACGGGAGTTGTCTACCTTAACTATCCCGATCGACCTGCCTATCCCCGAGAGTTTGAGGGTGGTCTGGAACGAGAGCTTGGTGGCCCTGGAGCTACAAGGGTGAGTGGTCAGGGATATCCGATGTTCGTATGCTAACCTTTATAGGCTCGCATGGAGGGTGACGAGGAACCTTGAGAAAATACTCATTTGTACATAAGAAAGAATGGTTCAATGGATTAAGTCAATGGATATTAGAACTGTGTGCCAGCAATTGATTGAGACGAACTGACATGATACGACAAACAAATGGCTTGACTGTGTAAGGTGTAGTTTGTGGCACGGACTTGGTATAATCAGAGGCCAGTCAATGAGTACAGTTGAATCCTAATTGCTGTTTGCTCAGAAAGTATCTCTAACGACCTGCTTGCGCCGAGTCAAACTTACACCGATGTCTTGTGCTTCCCGGTGCCTTTGCTCCTACAGCCTGCCGCGGTCCCTGAAATCAGCCCTATGGACCACGTTTAGTCCCTAAAATTGGCCAAACAGGCTCCTCGTCACCTTCCTACAAGCATAGCATAACATCTCGGGCAAGAGCAAAGACAAGCCATCATGTCGTCAATAACATCTCCTCCTCCAACTCTCATCCATCACTTCTACTCTCCAATATCTTCCATCCCGTCAAGATGCGATACGAGGATTGGGATGTCCTTCTTTTCGAGGAGGGCTCTAGTATTCCCTCTCGGGAATTCAAAGTAGCATGTCATGTCGTTCAACATGCGGGTAAGTCAATGTTTGGGGTGCTCAAGGCCAAGCTAATCATCACAGAGGCCATGGGCTCTGCTCTTCCAACCCTCACCTGTTTTGTCCCTGCCCTCCACGCAGGAGTTCCTTTTCGTCTGTCTATCCATTCTTGGAAAGCATTAAAGGATTTGAATGGTGATCATATCCTCAATATTAGCAATTCGATCCTTGAAACCAGGCTATTCATCGATGGAACTCTCGCTGCGTATGTTTCCTATTTGGCTTTTGGCATCATGCTAATATTGGCAGTACTACCTCCGCCACCGGCAGCATTCGCTTCCCGTTGATCATAAACAGGCAAGGTCACGAGAGCCTCAAATTCCCCATTTTCCAGCAAGAACTGCTCTATCAACGTCACTGGAGCCCCGCCGACAACCTCGGCCGTATCAAACTCCTCATCAATCAACGCTTTTCCAGCGCTTCCCCGAGCGTTTTGTTCACAGGCAACGTCAACAAGACAGTGGTCTTCTCCTTTCAACATGCACCCCAACACATTTTAGAAGGCCTTCAGATAGCCTGGCCCAACCCAGCCATGTGGAATCGTCAACGCCAACCTTCTGCACCAGCTTCTACGGACAGTTCCCATGCCAGCTCACGGCCGCCACTGTTTGCGCGTCGTGGGCAAGCCGGCCCGGAACATATTAGCGGTGCCGCTCTTGGAGCAATGCCAGTTTCTGGAAACCCTACATTCGGATGCCCAAATACTCCAGTGAACGCGCCAATGTCACCATGGAGTTATGTTCTCGTCCCGCCAGGAAGAGAGGGATCACCATATCTGCTGGCTTCCGAGGTGCAGCCTCGTAGAAACCACGAACGCGCATGGCCGACTTCTCCAGTTTTCAACGACGCCACGTTTAGGTTGGATCAGACCCAAAATGCATCGCAACAGGTGTACTCCCAGCCGAACAGTGCCCCGATGTCATTTGTGCAACCTCAGCTACATAGTCCTGCGATTCAAGGGTCGACCGAATTCGGCCGAGGAACAGCTAGAAATCCTGCCAGGCTTATCTTTGCGCCGAAACGCAACAATCCACAGGAGTCTTTCAACTTGGATGTTGTTGAGAGGGCGACAAAGAGAGCTCGAGCCAACACTCCAGAGTCTGCAAAGACACTTAACCACGAAGAGGAAAACATCAGCCCTCACTTTGATAGCCCTTACGAGTTTATAAACGTAGCTGAGGATATTATTTGATCTTCCAAACGGCGGTCTCCCTGTAGTCGATTACAGAACGCATCACATGGCATAGTAGGGGTTTGTTATCTCACTGTTTCCGACATTGTTTTCTTGTCCTACATGTAGCATCAACCCATGTTTTATCACATATCAACTTTGTTGTCTAGCTGGTTAGATGTACAGGCTTAGTTTGGCCTTGACAGGCAATCGTTAATACAGCATGCGATGATTCATGAGTTTCGCGAAGGTTCCGGGCTTCCGTCTTAATGCCTTGCATGTAAATGACTTTGCAGAAATATGAATGGCAGGCTACTAGCAGCTTACAACACCTTGTACGACAGTTGTAACACCCAGTCTCGTCATGTTGACTCACTCAGCGTGGAAGATTCGACGTCGGTCATTCGACCTCCGTCCTCCGGTCCAAACTTCATTCATTACAAAGCTGGGATAATTCGGGCTCGGGGTTTATTGTAAGTCCGCATGCTGCGAAACCTCAGAAGTAGGGACCGTTCTGACCATCTTGTTCTCTTCTAAATGATCAAATTGGTTTGGTTAGGTCGCACAACTTCTCACTTCAAGCCTCTTCTTATATCGTGTAGCACATTTGCACCCAACCTATAACGAGACGACTGCCGACCTGATACGATTCGTGACTTTCATGCCGATCTATGCGAGCTTGTCAAAGGATCAAATGTTCACATAAGCATCTACCTCAAGACCATCGCGAGATCAGATGAGATTGGCCACTCTCTTTGATCCCAAGATATACGGGCTTACCACGACTGAAGCTGAACGAAACTCCGACAGTCATCCAAGGCTTGTAGACGATCCGAGCATCCTCAAGCCTCACGGCTTCCGGCCTCCGCTAGGCCGCAATTTCTGGCCTGGAGGAGTAAATGCGCTACACGATCTTATCGTTGCACGCTTTCTCTTGGTCAAGGCCGCTGAAATCATGGCAGGCCCCCATATGCATGGGCGGAATGCCACACCTTTGTGCCAGGCCACAACTGCAGGTGAAGATCTTTTGTCAAGTCTTGTTGCTGTGGTTTTCTCTGGCGCCCGAGGTGAGACGAAAAGTTCATCGACTCAGCATGAACTTCCTGAAAAGATTCCGTCGTGTCACATTGCTCTGCAGGCTTCTCGTGGGTGATTGATGAAGCTAAAAGGACGTGTCTTCCGCATGCTTGGCTGTTGGTCTTTCAGTTTACTTCCAACGGCATTCGTTGCAACTCTTCAAGATGGCTTCTATCATGTCTGCCCCAGACTACTCTATGGCTGCGACGAGTCGTTCGCACCTGAGTGTACGTCTGCCAAAAGAAACTCTTTACTCATCTTTGAGGGAATCTTCTCGCTACTTTAACTTTGACTCAGAAACAGCCAAGCTTGCTCGGGATGCTGATGAGTGGCTTGCGACGCATCCCAACGGTTCGGGATCTAAGGAAAAGGATGTCAACGGTATAAGTCGACCTTCGTCAATTGCCCCAAGCAACTTTAGTGTTCGATCTTTACCAGCAGACTACAGTATGCCAGAGTATCATGGCAGAGACTTTCCTCATCCCGTTATGGGCTCAGTGCGTCACAATGAGATTAGACCTCGATCCGCTGCTCCGACAGAGAGTACTGAGAAGCTTCGGTCATCGCCTCCCGTGGACGGTGTTGAGCCCACAGGGCCTGGTGAAGAGTATCCCACTGGAGTGAAGCTCGCCTTGATCACCCTCGCTCTCTGCCTCGCCGTCTTTGTCATGGCCCTAGGTAAGTTCATCATCCTATTAGTGACCCCGCTCACACATCAGACAACTCCATCATTGCAACCGCAATTCCCAGAATCACCGATGCTTTCGAGAGTCTCAACGACGTGGGGTGGTACGGCTCAGCATACATGCTCACAACGGCCGCACTGCAGCTGTTCTTTGGTAAGCTGTATACCTACGGCAGCATCAAGTGGACCTTTCTGTCAGCCATTGCTATCTTTGAGGTCGGTAGCCTCATCTGCGGTGTCGCCCCCGACAGTGTCACCCTCATCGTGGGACGAGCTATCGCCGGCGTCGGTGGCGCTGGCATATTTGCTGGTGCACTCACCATCCTTGCCTTTTCGGTGCCTCTTCACAAGAGACCTATCTATACTGGTCTTGTCAGTGGTATGTGGGGTATTTCTTCCGTTGCTGGGCCTCTGCTTGGTGGTCTCTTTACAGACAAGGTTTCATGGCGTTGGTGTTTCTACATCAACCTTCCTATCGGTGCCATTACCGTCGTTGTCATTCTCTTCTTCTTCCCCGAGCCCGAGCGTGATATCGAGCCTGCGACATGGCGAGTGCGCTTCTGGCAGCTCGATCCTGTCGGGACTGCCATCTTTATGCCCGCCATCGTGTGTCTCTTGCTTGCTCTACAATGGGGTGGTGTCGACTACGACTGGGATGACTCAGTCATCACGTCCCTCTTCATGCTCGCTGCCTTTCTTCTCATCTTGTTTGTCTATGTGCAGTACAAGATGGACGAGAACGCCACTGTGCCTCCTCGTATCTTCAAAAAGCGCACCGTCTGGGCTGGCGCCTGGTTCTCATTCAATACGGGCGCGTGTTTCCTCACAGCCATGTACTTCCTGCCAATTTGGTTCCAAGCTGTACAAGGACAAAGCCCTATCATGTCGGGCGTGAGAAACCTCCCGATGCTTCTCGGCATCGTTCTCTGTGCCATGGCCGCTGGTGCGGCCGTCACTGCCTGGGGCTACTACACACCCTTCATGATCGCCGGCTCAGTCCTCATGGCCATCGGCTTCGGCATCATCACCACATTTGAAGTCGAAACATCAACAGCCAAATGGATAGGCTACCAGCTCATCGCCGGCATTGGCGTAGGCGTTGGTCTTCAGCAATCCCTCATCGCCGTGCAAGTCGTCTGCGAAATGGTCGACGTCCCCACAGCCACAGCCCTCATTGTGTTTGCTCAAACCCTCGGCGGTGCGCTCTGCGTCACAGCTGGCAACACCGTCTTCACCAACACGCTCATCAACAAGATCAATGAGCATGTGCCCGGTCTAGATCCATACTTTGTCATCGCGACTGGTGCGACCAACATTCGCAGTGTGATTAGAGAAGAGTGGCTTGATGGAGTGATTCTCGCGTACAACGACGCGCTGACGACGAGTTTCTATGTTGGTGCTGGAACCGCGTCGGCAACGATCATTGGTGCGTTGTTGGTGGAGTGGAGGAGCGTCAAGGGTCATGAAATTGAGATGGGAGCGGCTTAGGTAGTGGTCGGGGGCTGATGATGATTGATGTCGGTGTTGGAGAGGCGACGGATAGAATAAAATGAGGCTGGAGGTGGATGATAGCAGAGTGTTCTTACGAATGATGATGGTTTGTTTAATTTTGACTTGGGTGAGACTCTTGTTTAATGTTGTGTCTTGTTTATGCCGAAATGTACACCTGAAGATCTGAAATTACCCTGCACCGAGAAGTATTTCAAATCGTTATTCTCGGGATTTATATTGTCTCACGAGGTTTCTACTACCTTGTCCTTTGTCTAAAATCGAATTATCCAAGGTTAGATCATTGGTTCTTAGCTGTGTCAAAGTCAAGACAGTCACGCTCGTGACCCATCTTCAATTGAGGCATTCCGTTTGACACGAATTCCTCTGAGCTTGGTTCATGGATAAGGCACGAGAGAAAATACAAAATCGAGAACAAAATTCATGTGCCGATGACAAATAGGAAAACACAAACTGTATAGACAGCCCTTCTCATATGTCAATTCATAAGATGTTCAACTCAATCGTTATACAATTAAGAAATGTCGTCGCGATTAAGCTGTTTCCTTCCATCTTTAAAAATGCAAGCTCTTAAGCTTAAGCAAATTTAGCCAATGAAATACCGCGACAGATGCGGGGGCGGCCATTCCCGCGGGATGTCATGTGACGCATCACAGGAGAGCCAACACAAAAGTGGGACGAAATCAAAACTCAGTTCCTCACCAAAAACAACACGAAAATGCCTCACCAGCATCACCGACGTCAAAAAGAAGTTCTTAGGGCTCCACCGGGGATTGAACCCGGGACCTCTCGCAAGCAGTGCTTTTGGGTTCTACCCAAAGCGAGAATCATACCACTAGACCATGAAGCCGAATCGTAGTTATTATCAAGACAATTGTAAAAGAACAATATGATCGTAATGTTTTGCTGAGGGAGACTTTTTAGCCCCGGACACCCTCTCACTGTCCACCCTAGGGGGCCTGTCAGCAGTTTCCCGTCTGTAAGAGGGCAACCTCATCATGGTATCTTAGAGACACGAAACTGAGAGCTGGCAGCACGTTAGAACAAATTAGAGCAGAGGCACTTCTCACGTGACCAATCACAATCTGTCCTCTTGTAAGCATATACGTTGCTCTTTCTAGCACACACTTTTTACTATGCTCTGTGTCAGATGAGGCTTTCCGGACTTTCGGAGCTCCCCCGCATCACCAACACCGAGTGGGGCCGTCAGAAACCAACCGCCATATTGAAACAGTACGACAACTTATTTCTTAGCATCGTTCAATAGACTTGGAAATATATCAGAATAAGGGTTACAAACAGTAGCTTCCTAGTAAATCAAAATCTGTCGGCAGCCAACGCCACGCGTGGTAAGCGTGGTTTCTCATATCATGCTCCATAATCCCTGCATTTACAAATGATTCAACCAACATGCATAAAACCCTGGTCATCACTATGCCAGTCAGTCTACGCGCGCCCAGGTTGACTTGCTTCAAATAGAGCGGGGAAGGATGGGCGCATAAAAACCTCACTATACTGTAGCACATCACAAGCTCCTGGGTTGGCCTGCTTGATTCAGCATTCGCGTTGCAAATCCACCTACCTCATTTACTCACTTGATGGATCCCGTCGCAACCACCAAGGCCGAGGCGGATGCTCATTTGGAAACTCTTCGTCAAAAGAGGGGCGTTGGTAGAGGACAAGAAGAGGAGTCTGTTCTGGTACAAAGTCTGGACCAGGCACTTAAAATGCATGTATTTTTTGTCCAGGAGTATGTTGTATTGTACTAACTACTTGCCAATAGTGTTTCGGATCAACTCTACAAAGCTTCAACACATTTCATTCTCGAATTAATCCAGAATGCAGATGATAACCAGTATGATTCTGAGATTGTGCCCAGTCTGCGACTGGCATTGTACAATAATGAAGGTCAGGGATATTTCCGGTCTGACTGTAACGAAGTTGGCTTCACATTCAAGCAACTTGACGCTCTAACACGAGTCGGTCAAAGTACCAAGACCGCCACCATCAACAACTCAAAGTCGTACATCGGTGAAAAGGGCATCGGATTCAAGTCCGTGTTCAAGGTAGCTGATGTGGTCCATGTCGCAAGTGGGCTTTATGAATTCAAGTTTGACCGCAATGCTCGCATCGGAATGATTCTTCCCATTTCCTCAAAGTTTCCTACCGCAGAACGCGTAGTCGACCATACGCAGTTCCTACTTGAGTTGAAAAGTCAACGCGACTACGATATCATCAAGAAGGAGCTAAACAGTATCGAGCCAGACCTGCTGCTGTTTTTACGAAATCTGGACCAGGTCCATATATCGATCCGCGGCGTGAACAAGCAGTATCGACGCAAGATCACCAAATTGGACCCAAGATATGACGGAGAAACTGTAAAGATATCTGTCCAGGGCGACGCCGTAACCTCAAAAGAATACATTGTCCACCGATATACTGCCCAAAGCCTATCTACGGTTCCCCAGAGGAAAGGCATTGATTCTTCCGAGGTTATGATAGCATTCACGTTCGACAGTGAAGGTAATCCCGTATCCAACACTCAAAAGGTGTTTGCCTTTCTTCCAGTTGATGACTTTGGCTTCCGTGTAAGTGACCCTTCGGTTGAAGCGAGTTTCACAAAGGCATGCTAGTATTTGACACTGTTGGCTTACTCAGTTTAGTTTCTCATCCATGCGGATTTTATACTTGTAGCCAGTCGAGAGGGTCTCGATGAATCAAGCCCTTGGAACTGGTCTCTCAGGTACTCAATCCAACTGGCCTTCGTGGACTCAATCCGCCGTCTTGTTACACTATCACCCACCCGGGATGGGGAGGGTCTTTGCTACATGTGGCCAAAATACCTCCCTCGCTATCATGAGACCTCAGGGTTTTGGTATGGTCTTCATGAAAACATGATGAATGCCTTGCGTGATACACCTTTACTCAAATCGCGAGCGGGCGGCGCTCTAAGAAAGCCTACAGATCTCTACTACGTACCTGGAGAGTATAGATTTGAAAACGGAACTATTTTCGACCTCCCGTCACTTTCACACTCGCACTTGTCGTTTAAGTATGACAGCGTGAAGTCGGAGCTTTCCTTGATCGGGGTCAACACTCTTGATATCAATGATCTATGGCGAGAACTTTCCCAATGGATCAATGAAGCTGGAGTTGGTGGTCTAAAGGCACAATCAATTGAGTGGCACCAAAAAATCAGTTCGATCTTCTGCAACCAACAAAAGCTACGAGAGAAGCTCCGAGATTTGCCAATTGTGCCTCTTCGGGATGGCTCATGGGTCAGGGCGTGTCAGGATCGCGTCTTTTTTACTTCTACACACACCCAAGAGCATGTGCCCACTGGCATTGAGCTCTCTCTCGTGGATAACTCTGTATCTCAAGACTCAGAAAGAAGAAGATTTCTAAGTTTCTTGGGAATTCGAGAATACAGCCCTGTTCAAGTTTGCGAATTGATTATCAAACTTCACCATGATCTGCCCCCGGGGCCCTGCCGCACAGAAATGGATCTTGTAACGGACGCTCTTTATCTTTTTGATCATCAGTCGTGTATCAATTACGAAGTTCCCAACATTCACTTTGTCGCTATAGAGGGCGGAAAAACCGTGCGAACTAGAAAACGCCATCTATACTTGGTCGACCCCGATGTCAAGCCAGGCTTGATAGCAAAATATCAGTATAGCGCGTCAAGTCCACTCGTGGTGGTCTCTGATAAGTATGAAGCTGAGCTCTCCAAAGATAGACCACGACAAGAGGCAGAGTCATTTCGACGGTGGCTCCTTGGATCCAGATACAAAGAGTTTTCTACAATCCCAGCACTTTTATGTAAAAACGAACTAAGTGCCGAGTGGCACTTTCTTCGCAGCCACGACGTGATGGATTTGCTACAAGCCATGAGGTTACAATGGGACAGAAAAGGCATGCTATCCCCCATCATTATCAAGGCTGCGGCGGAACTTCAAGTGCCCGGCTCAGATGGCCATTGCAGACCCCTACGTCGCCTAGCTATCCCGACTACAGAGCTGAAGCAAAAATGCCCGCATCTCGACTTTGTGAGCCTTCCGAATCCTGAGTGCAACTGGGGGTTTCTATCAGTTCTGGGCGTCTTAACCACCTACAATACAACAGCAACTCTACGAGAGCTCCAGAAGCTTGCACAGCTGCAAGTTGAAGATGTGGATAAGGATGCAATAAAAGGAATCTACGAAGCACTGAACGCAAGCATGCAATCCGAGTGGAAGGAGATACAGTGAGTAAGACTACACCATCCATCTGAACGTCAAAACTAACTTACCACAGAACAGCTTTCATGGAAGAGCCCCTCGTGCTTGTTCAAAAACCCACGCCAAAATGGTTAAGCCATCTCTCCTGCGTCTGGGATGCCCCAGGTGCTCTGAAGCAGGTCACAAAACTCATCAATCGCTACCCCACATGCAGAAAGTTATTCGTATCCATTCTGGGTGTGAAGCAAGCCGGCACTGGAGATATTGTAGAGGAACTGTGCTCCGTCCCAGATGAAGGCGATCTGCTCGTCCAGCGTTTCAGCGAGCTGTTCTTTCTACTAGAGGAACACCTTATTGATCATGAAGGGCTGAGCAAAGATCACATCCGAAAAATTCGAGAAGCTGTGGTATTTCCTATTGTGGCTGAAGGGGCAGGCGGTGACGAACAACCAAGTATCACACGACAGTCTATATGTGAGGGTGATTGGTACGTTCCAGATGCCATACATCTGAAGCAAGCTTTTCGATACAGGGTCGCTATGCTTAGCATGCCTGTAAATGATGTCAACTCTTTACGTCCCCTGTTTGAGGATCTGGACTGCGAAGAAAGGTTTCTCTCTTGTGCTGTTGAGCAATCAACTGAACTGAAAGGAACATGTATTCGTGACTTATGCCGAGAAGAAGATTTAGTGACTCGACTTGACTATATTGCGTATGTATCACTACACCACGCGATGGATTTGTGCTCACATATTGATTCTAGGCTAGCAACAGAGCATTCGGCACTCTTGGAGGATCTCTCGGTGCAGATGTGGTCAGTATCATCGATTCTTACTAAAAGTCGACTGGGAAACATCGAGATCAGCAGTGAAGACAATTTAACCACGATCAAAAATAATGGAAAGGTCACAAACATATACATACGCAAAGATATAGCCATGGCCATGCAGTTCAAAGTCGATCTTGAAATACTGGACTACTTCTATAGTCTATTGAACGATGTCAACAACGCCATGCTGATTGCCCTCCTCCTCAAAGAACCTATTGTTCAACTCCCCAGCATCCTGGAGCGATATAATATTGAAATACCCGATAACACGAACAATGGAGATACTGGCAATCAAGAAAGTGACGACGAGGACCAAGAAAGCACCTGTGAAAATCAAGACAGTACCGACGACGATCAAACAACGACAGCCTACTCAGTCAGTGATTCTGACAGGGAGGAACTGATCCAGAGCGGTGACGAAAGCCAGTTGATCGATCTTGCAACAGAATTCGGGAATCTTAGGATTTCATCAGCACCATGTAGCAATGATACGAATTGCACCACTCCAGAAAGCTCGCCTCGACTTGTCCCACGACACGAAATGATTCCCTCTCACGATCCAACAAGCCAAGGAACCACCAAAAGACCAACCGTATTTCATTCAGACGAGACCCCAGTTGCGAGAACTCCGAGAAGTACTACTCAGTTACAAGGAGTACTCGACCAGCATGTTCCAACACAAACAGCAGAAACCACATCTGAGAGCGATCTTTCTTTGACTCAGCATTCACACCTAGAGACTGCATTCTACCAGAATATCCTCGGTTCAAATAGCCCTAGACCCGAACATTCTCCCAGAGCCTTGGGAGTTCCATCTAACAGATATAGGGAGATTGGGTTCCTTGGGGAGCGTTTCGTGAGTTATCCTAAGCAACCATCAGACTGTTATTCCCTGACGGATATTTCCTGTAGGTTTATCGTATGCTTCAACCTCGTATCAAGGATTGGACATATAAGAATTGGACGAGTAAGTTGCGAGTCGAGGCTGGGCATCCTCGATTCACTGAGCGTGAAAAGGACTTCTCAGACTTTACGTACAAGGATCGCTTTGGTCACATGAAGGTATTGTTACGTGAAGCTGGCGTAGACGTAGTCACCGACTGGTCTCACGACACGATGTTTCATCTTGAGGTCAAGGCAACACTAGGTCCTTGCAGTGAGCCATGTTTCGTGTCCCAGAATCAGCTCGACAAGGTGTGAAATACAGTGCTTTGTATGGCATATATATTTGTGCTAACGCTTTAGCAGATGCGCCAGTACGAAGGGGACTTGGGCAACGTCTACATCCTCGTTCGGGTTTTTCAGATGGAAGCAGAAGGGGGTCCAGGTTTTCGATTAGTTGTAGATCCTTGGAGTCTCTACTTGAAGGGGACTCTCGACTTTAGGTCGGGTGAAGGATATAAAGTGTTTGGGTTGATATAAGATTCTACATTGCCGAGCTTTAGTGCAAGTAGTTTCGCAGCCTAAAGTTTAACCTTATAGGCGGCAATCATGCCCATAGCGCAAGTAGTTTGGGCTGTATGGTTGATCCAAGTTCTGTCTGCTGATTCTGTACGATTGATAAAGGACCAATAAGGGGAGTGTATTGTGTTTCTTGGACAAAGGCAGTAACGTATTTGCGACAATCAGAGTGACAACACGTAACAGTAAACTCGTGATCTTGCCACACGGAAAAAAAGCGAAACCAGCCACCCTGAGTTCCCGAGCTGCCGGACACTCCCCTTCTCCACAGAGTCCTCCCACGATTCCAACTCCAAACCATGAAACACAAGCTTCCAACATTTCAACTTCAACATCAGTGATTCCGTGTTCCCGAAGGACTCGTCGACATTGCCGTGTGGTCTTATAACCAGACTGCCAAGAAGTAGACTCACCTCATCTCCTGTCCGTCTCGCAGAAGCGCTCTCACGCAAGTCAGTTCATGGGTACAGGTCTTGACGAACTTGCCGCAGTGCAAGCAAGTCGCCACTAGACCACACTTCTCCCTGCTATTGTTGACCAAAGGTGTTTCGGGGGCGACATGCGACGCCTCCAAGTACTTCGGCTTGCTGCACAGGTGTGAAATATGCTGATGCTGGTCGGCGTGGAGTCCACGCGACCAGGCCAAGAATTGGTGCAGTAGGGCAAATTTGTTGGCACCGTTTTTCGATACCTGGATATACCCGTGCTTTTGTTCTGGACTTTGGTTGAACCCCAGCAGAGGCCGTCCCGAGACGAGGCGTTGACGATTTTATTCTCAATCTTCTCTGCCGACCGCGTCGACGACGTCTCGAATCAGCAGCGCGTGCCTAAACGGCCAGTCAATCAGGGTTCGTTCAAGGTTCGAAAACATACAGCTTCCAGAAGGTAAGTTAGTAGATAGGGGCACAGTAGAGACTCACTTCTTGTGGGGAAAGTTTAACCTGCCGGTTTCTTGGGCGATTCTGGTGCTTCTTGGGGCATATCACATATGGGCGCACTAGGTCCGAGGCGCGAGGTCTGGGCCGGTGACGGTTCCCTCTCCTGATTCTTGACTGCGATCGTGGCTTTAGTGTCTATATGAGGGTATAGTTCTTGTCTGGTGTAAGCGCAGCTTTCCATCGTGCCACAAAGGTTCTGTAGTGCCAGCTTTTGGCCGTAAAATAGAGACTGTAAACGGGTTTCCTAGGAGGTGCTATCTTTATTTTATTAGTCTTTATTGTAGAGTCGGAAGGAAGGAGTTTCTCCTAGATACGGAGATATAGGTATAATAATAACATACCTTGAACGTTATCGTTTTATATATAACAAGGGGTACAGAGAGCAAGTTAATATTATATTAAAATAGCTTTATTATAACCAATCTTTCGCCACCTTATAACTTAACATTCCCTAACCTTAACTAGTTTAACCTTTTCTCTAATAATATAGCTACTATATATATATTTTCCTCTAAACCTTTATCCTTTTAACCTTTCTTTTATAGCTACTCTTTTTTCTTAAGTTACTAAGTAACTTATATTTACCTTAAAGCTATAAAGTTAAAGACTTATAATAAAAGTAACTAAAGTAGCCTTTTTATCCCTTAGTAAATATATTTAAGTTCTTTTTATATATTAAATATAATTATTAAATAGGCTAAAAAGCTTATCTTAGGTAATTATATTATGTAGTTAGTATAGTTACTGCCTAAACTAATTTAATAAGAGTATTATTTTAAGTTAATAGAAACCGCTACTAATGCTTATATTACGCGCCTTACACAAGAGCAAGTTAACTATCTAAAGTTTAAATGGAAAACTCCTGGTAGGCTGGCTTGGTGATGCTGGAGATAAATGGTAATCTCCTCCGATTAGTGAGGAGTGATTTGTTTTGGGGATGACTCATCTCGTAGATTCGGCGTCTTATAAATTAAATTTATACATGGCATGGAGAGACAAGGATGTACCTGCGATAAGAAGACTTTGTTTTGTTTGGTAGGCTGAGGTTTGGCAAGCGGAGGGTCTTGCGCCAACACCCAATGAAGTCACGAGGCTGCAGCCTTCTACCCCCGCAGTCTCTCCCCAGCCCAATCAATACAGAAGGTCCTGCCTGACTCTGTCGAATCTTCTGGCCCTAGCGGCTCCTCCCTTTCTTTTTCCTTGGGTTGGCTGGCTTAGAAGCCTTAGATACCGTGGTAGAGCTTAACTGCTCCATCTTTCAGACTGAATCTTTCATAAAACTTATTCTATCGCGCTGCCGATTCGCGTATCTAGAAAGGGTTTCACTTCATTCTTCCATCATATCGCCCATCACTATGGCTATTTCTGGAACTATCCGATCTGTAGTACTCTGACTATTCACGCTTCACTCCTCAGTTATCCTAGTTCAACTGTGTCTTACCGGGAACATCTATGCTAGAAGACGCCAACAATGGCTCTGCTTCTTAGGCCTTAGAGGAGGAGCTTTGAACTCCTGGAAACTTGTTCATTTGTCTTCGGCTCATGGAGCCTAGCGCTGGTGCCCTTACTCATCCCCGCCACTGATCGACCGAGCCTGGGTGTTTGTCAAAGTTCCCAGCTCCGACAATTACACCAACTACCGTGAGCAATCGAAGCCATGTTTCAACGATTCGACTACGAGATTTACCAAGGGAAAATAGCTATCCGAGTACCTGGACTAGTACACGAAGCCTTTCATCGTGAGTTCGACTTCCGCCTGCGTTTTGAGCCTGACCGAGATTCCTTTTGGATAGGGCGTGCTTTTTGCTGCCGGGTGTCACCGCAACCACATACATTTCAATCACATAGTATGAGGCACATTCTATGGGAGGACTGCGGCCTATAAGGCTAAGCTTTAGGGTGCGAACACAGATAAGTTGGCTGTTGAACACTTTGTTGCTGTTGCGTTGTTGACGGGGCGGTGGACCCATTTGTTGGTTTGCAGTTGAGGCTCGTGGCTAAGAGCTTAGATCCACAGACAGAATTTATCTGGTGTAATAGGATATAGGCTGTTGGAAATCCCCCAACATGAAGCTATGGGAAGTTGTTGATTGTCAAGTCGTATGGTCGTGACCGGTTGTTACTGGCCATCCGGTAACCTTAGGTACCTTAGGCGCGCTTTCGACCGCAGTACTTGAATACCTTACTCATCTCCATCTTGATTGGGCACGTATAGGCACTCGCACATCTTCCCAGATCGTGAACTCCATCCGATTGAGTCACGCAGGATCCAACCCTTGATAGTAATTCTGGCTTTGAATTCTTGAAAATATGTGCTGAGACTGCTCTAAGTTCTGTCTGCTGATTTAAGCTCTCAACCACAAGTATCAACTGCAAATAACTTATCTAGCTAACAACTGCTGAGATTGCTCTGTCCAGAGAGAGGTTGCGAGGGGGAGAAAAAAATCAAGCTCTGTTTGTCTGCTACCATCTATCGCTGTATTGGTACCTTGAAAGGTCATCGGAATTTCAGTTTTTGCCGAGACTGTAGCTGTTGTCGGCAAGATCATAACCTTTATGAGTATAGGAATGAATCAACTATCTATACAACTCAGCGTCACACTTCAAAGCTTTCAGACATCGCCTTGCTGCGGACAGAGGCCATGCACCACCAAAGACGCTTGCAATGGCACACATATCTGCTTGTTACAAGCTCATCAAATATAGGCAACTTGCTTAGCCTCAGATGTTACCATCGAAGCCAGGTGAAAGCCAGCGAAACGCCTGTAGCGATGATCTAAGAGCTGGAGTAGGTGTCTTGTCGAAGGGATGATGGAGAGTTTCGAAGACAGTCAGCTGGATAGATATCTGGAGGGAAGGCTTGGGGATGAGCTACCTTTCGTATTTCAAATGGAATGGCATACACCGGAGTAAGTTGAGCACCTGTATGGAATCGGAAGATGGGAGAAACTACACAAATGTTACAACCATAATGTCACCTAATCCTGAGTCCATGTGTCAACGAGCTGCATCGTTCACTACCTTTTATACCATTACAAGGTCTAGATGTTGATTCTGAGCAATGATTTACCAAGTCCACCAAAGCCAACACAACTTGTCAAGCCTCGTATCCTCCAGTGTAACCATGGGACAGGATCTCTGCAACAATCCACAACAAAACAGAGTCTACCCGAGTTCTATTCCTCCATAGAGCGCAGCGGAAAAGAGAGGTGGTTGTGAAACTCATCCCACTTGATAGAGAACAGCCCCTTGAAGTTGCCATCCCGGAGAATCTTGCAGTCCTCCTTGTGACCCTTTTCCTTCCATCCATAGAGCTGGCAATTGTGGCCGCAGTACCAAAAGAAATCGCACTTGGCGCACTTCAGTAGCTTGGACGACTTCTCGTTGCATCCATGGCAGGTTCTCATTCCGTTGGTGAGGGTAGCATGAGTTTGGATTTTGTCGCTGAGCTTCATCATGTTGTCGAGGGAGATCGGGAAGATCTACAAAAGAATTAGCATAAGAAAGCAGGGAGGGTGAGTATATTGACCTTGAGGTACTCAGGATCTTCATGCCGGATGCCGATGGTCATATCCATGAAGAGATGCTTGACAGCGTAGAAGATCACCTGGCTGTTGTTAGTTATCAAGTTTGACGTGATTATTAGGCAACGGGCACTGACGACAGTGTTTCCAGCTTGAAGGTTCGAAGCACCTAGCTCAAGACCACGGGACTCAGTGTAGATAGCGATTGGGATCTCCAGGCCATCTCGGTCCTTGACGGTGAGCTTAACGCGGAAGCCGATGTCGACCTCGACGATCTCGCCGATGAAGACCCAGTGCTTGCGAGGCTCCCAGAAGCCGTTCTCTCGCTGGCGGTAGTAGTCGAGTTCGAGTTGATTGTCCCAAGATAGGTCCTCGAATCCTGGGAAGTGCTTTTTATCTTGCAGATTCGCGAGTTTGGTGTCGTTGGAAGCCATGGTGCCTGGTAGACAGGGGTGGCTTGATGTCACTCGTCAAGATCTTTGAGCAGACTTGTGATGACACGAAAAGGCTTGGAGGAGTTGGAGAGGGGAGAGGTAGAAGATGAGGAGTGGGAACTAGGAAGAATTTACTGCAAGGTGGTGGGGGCGCCGTTTGGATACGGCTGGGTGCAGCTTTTGTCGGCCCCCTGCAGTGCAATAGACAAACACACAACTTGGGTTTCTCTTTAGAATAAATAACTGTTAGGCAAGCAAGAGATTTGCAAGGCCTAGCAGGTAACCGGCTTACCAGGCTATGGTTCAGATGGCCTATACATTTATTGTGACTTTTATATGAGGTTCTTCTCTGTGGTTTATTGCTTCCATTTGGTGGCAAGGACTGCTGGCAAAAATATGACTATCCCACCCCACGGATTCGAACCATGAACCTTATCGCGATGAGGAGGCGACCCGTAAAGGTCCCATACACCTAGTAGCCTAAGTGGTCGCGCGATATGTGCTACCATTGCACCAGAGCGGGCTTCTGATTGTTGGTTGACAAACATGTATTTTTGGTTGATATATTATGAACGAGAACTACTCATGACTAGAAAAGCGACATAGCTCCATACACCTCCTTCAACTGCTCCCAAGTAACGCTCTTTCCATAGATCAGCCCAGCGACCATCCTCCCAGCAAAGAGACTTCCTCTGGGTGAAGACATGTACTGGCGGTAGGTGATCTCCGCACCCTTGGAAGCCATGTAGGTGGAAAGGGGCGTGAGATTCGACTGCCCTGTAATCTCCAGATCTGGGCTATCAAGAGGCGGTTTTCTTTCTTGAACTTGCTCCATATCCCTTATGAATTGCATAACAAGATTCTTAAAGTCGATCATGGGTTGATTCTCCTCATCTGACATCCCTGGGAAGGTGGCGAATTCTGGGCACACAGACAACTGCTCCAGAGGAGCAGCTTGGGCACTACTCCAATCAATGATCCCAGTCAAATTGTACTCCTTGTCAAACAGCATATTGCCAAAATGGAGATCAAGATGACATAGAGGAAAAGGGCCTCAGACCCTATCTTCAATGATCATGTGGGTGAGACCTGATTTCAGTACCCAGCATGCTGTCAACCAGTCTGGATCGTTTGGGTGCAGGTCAATCGCTTCCCGGTTTTCGGCCTGTTTCTGGTTGTAGAAATATTCAAACGACGTTTCCAGCGGACCGGGCGAAGCATGCCAATCCATAGCTATGACTTGAACAGGTTGATCAGCTTCATCTCCACACCAGAGGCGCCCAATGCGGCTGAAGGTTAGGTTTTGAAGTTCTGCAAAGACGTGTGCGAGCTGCCTCGCTACTTTGGGAAGATGTTCGCTAGGTATAGTTCTCGCCAGACCATTCGGAAGGGAGTGGCCACGATGCTCCATGAACATGTACGGGTAGCCAAAGGGTTGGTCTGTAGACATCTCAAAGCTAAAAACTGAGGAATAGGGACGGTAGTGTGTTGTTGGATTATCCTCATTGTAGTAATCTCACTGAGAAATGATGTTTTGTCGTTGTTGTTCAGTGTTTGATGAGGAATTCGAGCGACCCAGAACACGCTGTCCGAAAATGCAATTTTCAGGACAACATTGTTGAACCCGGATGCGAAACGCTTCAGATCGATGCTGCATGAAACATCCAGAGACAAGCTCGACTCGTACTTCCTCCGCGACTCTATCGCGCAAGCCTCTAGATATTCAAAGTTTGCTGAAGAGAATAGGAGCTGAATCTCTTGTGTTTCTCTGAATTAGGGCTCAGACTGTCAAAACCCTGCCAGGAGCCACTTGGTCTTTCCATCTTGTCTCTTGAGCTGGAATCGATGGCTTAGGGAAGAATTGCCGAATTATACGGTTCAGAAGGAGCGAGAAGAGATAGAGAAAATAATGAAAGGGTGAGGGGGAAGGCCAGGAGATGGATGTTGGTGCCAGGTTTAGAAAGTGGGCGATGTAAGGTAAGATAGGTAATTAAGTTTGTTAAGTGGTGGAGGCGAACCGTGTGATTTACTGGCTTATATCACCTATGGGTCTTTGAGTGGAGAGGCATCTGGGACAGGAGATTCATGAAGAGGCTGGTGTATTGTTCCTTGTCCTTGAATATGGGATGGGGGCGCAAGTGGAGTATGAGACAAGGTCTCGAAGTTCTGGCTTATAGTAATATGACTAGATCTTTGGGATAACCCTAGACTGTTTGTTTCATTGCAATGACTGCGGCAGCATCATTGACCGTGCCTATTACTCAGAGGTAGGCGACGTTGCCATCCATTCAGTAGGCTGGGATTTGTGAGCCTTGCACTTATATTATCTGCCTTATGCGAAAGTGCGTGTTAGCGTCAGCGGTGGGGTCCGTGTAAGTATCATTAAGAGGAAAAAAGTGACTGACAGACTTCCTTGGTTCTGCTGTATGGACGAGAGTCGTCGAGACCTTCTCATCGTTCATTTACCCAGAGAATGACTGGGGTTCGGGGTGGTCATTTGCAGACGCGTCATTCCCCGCACGAACCGCGCGATGTGGGGATATCTCGCTCTATTGGCCAATCAAAAGGGATCCCTCTGATTCTGCTTGCAATGTCCCATCGCGCGTTGTTCTTCATTGCAGCAACTTACTGCAACTTATAGTCTATTGCTTGACTTTTGCGATGTCACTCCTACGCTTACCCCCAGAGACTTTGAAACAGATCTTTGACCACCTAGATTCGTCTTTCTTTCACGAGGATATAGGCCGCCTCACAGTCTGCAAGAGATGGTTCGATTTCGCTCTTCCTGAATGCCTCAAATGCATCACCCTTTCCCAAGAGGCCCTCTCAAATCTAGTCATCTCGGCAACTTCAGCAAAGCCCTCGCCGCTTGAAAAAAATTTAGAGACACTGAATCTCAATCTGGGGGTGTACCAAGATGAAGACAGTATCTCACCGCCCTCTCCTTGGGAGCTGCTTACTGCTCCGCCTACCGCTCCAAACGATGCTGCTAGGGACAAGTCGGTCGAGACGTGGACCAAGTCCCTAAATGATGACCTAGCTCATCTTGCAATTATCGTCCAGAAATCTCATAGGTTGCGTGTGTTACGCATCTCGGCCCGGCGTTGTCTCTTATTCAATCCTGTCTCCAGTCCAGAGGATTACCTGTCACTATCTACAATTCGAGCTTTTCTCTCGGTGGAAAGTCTGAGCGTCTTGGTGCTGGATCTACCTGGCACTTCTTTGGATTCATCAGGACAGCAAGGAGATGAATGCCATATTTGCCCATCTATCGCTGCGCTTCTTCCCACTCTTACAACCCTTCACTTGCGGATGCGCACTATCTGCCCTGACGCACTGAAAGTTCAAGATCCCGATAGTACATTGAGATTAAGCACGGTGGTCATCAACTTGAGTCTGCTTACAGGCCAGCTGAGTATGGCGGCAGCGACCCACGCTACACCTTGCGATTCCCATGGCGGCGGTATGATCCAACTAAGAATGGACATGCAAGAACAGGCGGAAGCTCTCGTAAACCGAATGGTAGCACCCAAAACCATGAGGATTCTGGATCAGAGCCTTCCGCAGTTTGACACAATGTCACTAGATGTCTTGACTGGCAAGATAATGAAACTGAGAGACGATGCGGCATGGGATGAAGACGGAAAAACTATTCAAGAGGACTCGGAATTAGAGTCCGAAATTTCAGACGGGGAATTTGATGGGTTCTTAGATGACTGATCTGTTCTAGTAGCCAACTTTAGATCAGCTTCTCTCGTTGACCTGGCTTGCGATGCATGCGGGTTAGCAATATCACCTATCTGCCGCCCAGTACACAGGCCTGCTGGTAATGAATCTACTCATCATTCGAAATGCTTGGGTCTCAGAGTTACCTTTTAAAAATGAATCACCTGATAGCAAGAAACAGGCAGTTGCAAGTCAGTGTTCGATTTATAATTGTTCAGCCATTCAGGCTTTCTGAGCTTCTTCACCGTTCACTGCAGGGCTTCAGTACCCGTATCGTCTGTCTTCCCACAGTATTACATGTTGTATGATCCCAAAGGAACCTTTCTAGATCTGTCAAACATCACTGATCTCGTATAGCGAATATGCCATTCTACAAGATTATGACAATATATGAACTGAGAGCTACTCACTAAGTTTCGGTGATTTGCTTTAGCTGATCTGGCCTATCTATCTATTCACCGAGAGACTTGACTACACAATGATGACTGGGCCAAGTTTCTTGACACCCGGCTCCTCCAAAGCTTCCCCATGCATGATCCCGTGAACGTATGCTTCTCCCACCAGCTTATACCGCCCATCACCCGTATGTCGTAGCAGGCAAGGAACCTGGCATCCATCTAAGATCCACACTTCATCACCTTCACGAGTCGAGTGTAGACCCAAACCTAAGCGTCCATTTTCCGTTGCAAAGAGGCCGCGACCAAAGGTTGCCCCTAACACCTCATTTCTAGTACCGACTTGACGGTGAAAGAATTCAGTCAAACGGCACTCAAGATTATCCCTATAGGTAAGAAAGTATTGCCAGAGGCGCCCATTTACTCCTTTTTCTCTACGTGATAAGATGATATTCCTTGCCCCTGCAAAATGCTTGGGGTTCTGGGTGTCTTCTATACCGTCTGGTAGAGCACCCTTGAGAATCTGGAGGTTCGTGAACTTTCTCATTAAATCGTCCGTGCGATCCTTCCATAAGTTCCATTCTTCATCACTCTTCGAATTTAAGGTTGCTTCAGATATCGAGTCACCCATCTCCAAAAGGATAACATCTTCCATGTCTTTGAATATCTCTTTACCGCAGCTATCTCTGGCAGGATGATTGTTTTCTGCAGTGTCTTTCAACATTGTTATCCAGAAGACTTCTGCCTTGGACTGGTAGCGTGAAGCCTGCTCTTGGGCCGCCACGATGTTGAGTGGCCTTAAAACAGTAGGGCCTCCGTTCCTTTCATGAAATTCATCCGCAAGTGATGGACTTGATGTTGGCGGTTGGATTGTCGAGAACTAGGGTATCGATGCCATCAATTCAAGAACATCAGTTGCTGAGATGTATACTAACTCGCAAGTCTTCTTAGAACCAACTTTCGGACCAGCGGCAAAGACATCACGAAGCAACGGGCCCTTCCAAAGACTGACTTCATCAACCCGTACCCCATGAAGCTCTACGCAATTAGATGGCAAATATCGGATATCGTTTGTGGGTGCCTTCAAACCGGCAGCTGTCCACATCGGTCCCATGGCGGCCATAGGACTATGACCAAATGAAACACTAAAGTCGGGTACCCATGATGGTAGGGACTTGAAGAGTCTCAGTTCCTCATCTTCTCTCTGGGAAAAGACTTCAAGGTTAAACCCCTTTGACTTCATGATAAGTTTGGTGGCGTCGATTTAGACACTCTCAATGCTTCGTGAATAATCTGGGACAATCTGGGCAGCCTTTTGGGTTGCTTCATTTTCGATGAGGCCAAGAAAGGCGTAAACCTTGTCTCTGGGGTCTGTAGCTTCAGATGCGCGGAACATTCTAGTAATGGTGCCCAGGGGAAGAGAACCACCGTAGTAATGATCCTGTATAAAATAGTTTCTGATGCCTAGGGAATAGGCGACCCTTTCTATGTTGCTGAAAAACTCAGAAATAACCGTGGATTGAAGATACTTGTGCTGCATTTGGAAAAAAAGTTTCTCGAACCAACCAGTATTTTTGAGGAAGGCCATGAAGCCTATTAAGTCTTGATGAAAAGGCATCAACGTCAATCCAAAGAGTGCATTTGACATAGGAGCAAGGACTTCTTCCTGTAGGATCCATGACCTCTTAAACCAGGCTCGATTGAAAAAATTAATCATTCCACGAGCTCTTTTTCGAGTGATTCGACGGATGCCTAACACTCTCCAGGTCTGGCGATCCACCATGTCAAGGGCCTTGTATTTGTCACATTTATGTGGCTTCCAGTTGAGTGGCTCAAGGGATTGCCGGACATACTGCAGATCCCTGGTGTCTTTCTGATAACCCCCGAGCCATATATGAACCAGAACGCATTCGCGATATATTCGGCCCATGAGCTGGACTTGGGAGCTCTTTTCGGAAATATCGGCCTGATTGATGCAAATTTGATCAACCCAGATGTATTCCGACATCCTGAAGAACGGCAATTGTGAGATAGGCGTTTGCGGCTTGGACAGATGATAGCGTATGGCGATCAGAGCAGTGTGTAGATTTGTTGTGACTTTAACTCTCTGGCCGTTACAAGCCATACCGAAAGGCGTAGTTGCCCAGCCACCTGGGGCTGTTGAGTCTGAGCTGCTCGACTCACGACCCAGCGGATCACCCCAAGTATACGACAATGCATCGTACTTGGGTCGGTCGTTGAGATCTTTGACCACCAGTGAACAAGTAATAGGTCGGAATAAGTCCAAGTTATCTTTGATACTATGGAGACGGTCTATTTTCAGAAGACGAATAGACGAAGGTGTTGGGAGTTTCTCGTATTTCAGAGGAGGTAGATACGAGGTATATGTAGGTGTGTTTGGTGGCTCAATGAGATTTATTTGAAGGGACGTCATGGTTAAGACCCAGGTTGGTGATATGTTATCGAGAACTTGGATATGTAGAGATTTGTGAGAGCCTATTGCATTATATAGTTGGAGATTCAGCTGCCTAACGAAGTGAATAGCATCCAGACAAACCAAACACTGGAAGAAGACAAACACGAGGCATTGCATTTTTATTTGTTGTTTGTTGCAGCACTAGATACTAGGAAGTGAATGGTTAGTGGGGAAACAGTTACCAGAAAACCTGACTATCTGATCATACCTGATTTGTCAAGTAAGACAATAAGTTGAAATTAATACGGAAATGGCTATATTGGCTCTGCTACATATGTCTTCTTGGCCATTAGGCTGGGGCTGAAGCTTTATTTACATCTCTGGCCTTAGAGTAGGCATGCGAACCTAATAGATCACTTAGAGCTTTTGGATTACATACAGTGTCTTCCGTTTTAAATACTCACATTTCTTATTCAATGTCAAGATTGCGCAAACCTAAAGGAGAAAAATAGAAGAAGACTGCGTCGAGTCCTCTCAGCTTGGGATTTGCTGCGGTGTTTGAATATAGCTTTGGAGATAAGAATCTATAAAACACTCCATGGTTAGCACGGTGACACACGCAAACCTGAAAGCTGGATAGGTAGACTTGAACTGCACAGACTAACGTAGTTCTGCTTGTCATATTGGACTAGTGATCACTAATGAGTCCTGACAAAATCAAAGCCATAGGACAATACAGCGTCTCGCATCGAGGAAATCTAAGAGACAATTTCACAAGCATGGTTTGATTTTCTTTGCTGACAGGACTCTCCAAGGCAGACCAACAAACAATTAATAAGGATGCGCAAACTTGCCCCGGGTAACAAACTTCTTACAGGCAATGGCTGAGAGAACGATGAAACTGTCACACCTGTGAGCTTATTATTTGCTTGCCGTAGGTTAATACAGGTTTTTACGCAAATTAATTTATGCACTAACAATAGATAATATCACAAGCAAGGAGATCCTTCGAGAAGACGTAACTACATTCAATATTAAGGTATTGAACCACGATAGGAGGTGCCCAAAAGCAATGGCAATCTCAAAAGTCATGCTTTTACTGAAGATTAATATTCGTCTATAGTCAACGCTTTGACAACTATCTCCGTTGCTTCTCATGCATCCCAGTCTTCTCACTGCAACGTCAACGGCAACGGCGGCAAACCCGCTTGAATACGAACCCAAGTGAATTTTCGGATTCACCCCCTTGTCGCGAGTAAAAGGGGCGCGGCAACTAGACCCAATACCGATTGGACCGTCTCTAGGTGGGAGAGGTTCTTTTGAGATACGCTATCGCCGATCGAAAAGCAATCCCGTTTCACAACGAGGCTGCAGTTACATTGAGAGATGCGACGTGTTGAGTCAGAACAAAGGGGCTTGATGGTTATAGGAGCGTGTTGGAGTTAAGAGTAGGAGTTGGAGTCTTATCCCTGTATTCTCCGACGGGACTATTGAATTGGAGACGGTGCGAGAATTTACCGACGTTACGAGTCAAACTCTATCTATTGGATATGTTTCGTCATTGCACTATTCGAGTCAGTGTCTGGTTTCGCTGACATTTTGTACAAGAGTCATTTTGCTCATGGTGCTACAGAAATCAACAGACGTATCAATCTCCAACGGCTTACCTGTAAGACCTAATAACTAGGCCAGAACGAAGGCATCGAATCCATGACATATTTAAATATCCCAATTATCGATTATAAAAACCAAGCAGGGCTATGGTGGGGTTCACAGTCCAAGCTCTGCCCTAATGTTTCGAGACCAAGTAATGCATTCACAACAAGGATAACCCGTATAGTCAAGCATCATCCCTAACCCCCGAAGCGAACCGCTCTCCCCGTCTCCGTAGGTGTCCACAAAGGTCATTTCAAGACCCCATTTCCCAAACTCTAATTCAAATACCGATGAAAGTCAAGACACATCCTTTCGGAGGGAAAGTCTCTGTTTGAGGATGATCGTCGATATAGAATCACTCCGATTGACTCGTCAGAAATAGTAGCTGTAGATCTAGTCTCGTCAATGACTCGTAGTGCCCGTCGGGTTTCAGCGGGCCAACGGTAGATGCGCAAATTAAAAGCAGCCTTGTTTTAGTTTGAGCTGACGACACCCAATGTGGAGTAGTTAGTGAAAGATGTGCAGCACTGAATGCCGTTGGATTGCACAGACAATGGATCGTAGTGGCTGTTAGTTCTCGTATGTGTCATACTATCTCGAGCTTCCGGACATCTTCTAGAACAGTATGTTCAAGATCTAAATGCTCGTTTTTTTATACCTTTGTTGATCCTCGTATTCTCCACGATGCAACCGGAAGCCCCGTATCCCGTGAGACCCTCCCAGATCAATCCTTGGAGAAGCCCAACTAGCGCCAGGGGCACTTAACATATCTCACCACTCGCGGCACAAGTAGCCCACAAAACGATCGGCACTGAAGAAATCCCAAATCCCGTATCCTTGAAAAACCAGGGCAAGGAGATGCCGTTCACCGCTGGCAACCGATGACTCGTGTGCTCAGCTGCTGCCCAGTTATATAGACAGCGAATGATAGCATTGCCATATGCCGATGCTTAGTATAACGCCGGCCGTTGGATCTGCATAGAACATATCTCGCCCAAGTTAGTTCTTAACTCACAAGTCTAGTTCATAACGGTCCAAAACATCTGTGGATTCACTAATGCACGTACGTGTCGATCCTGGATCCATGATTTGCCGCGGGAGCAGAGGTCGTATATCATAGCACGATCCCTCAGGCGGTTCGCTAATCTATTTGATGCGCCTCTTTCATTCTTCTCTTTCTTTGGCTTCTGAGTCTTGACGACAGAGGTTACTTGCCCATTACAAGATGGAGACGACCCCGAGGGAGTCGAAGCAGATTGATTTGTGGATTTCGGAATTCATCACGTTTGGGGCTGCGACGGTTTTTATCGGGTTGCGGTTATTGAGTCGACGCCTTACGAGGATTGAGTTTTGGTGGGATGATTGGTTTGCCATTGGGTGCTATGTGAGTTTGCGACTACACCTGCCACCACTTTGAAGGGTATACTAACTTCTACAAGTCTGTAGCGATTGCTTGGGTAGTCATCATTCCTATCTGTACGTCTCAACCAATATTCGAAACGACCGGATCTAACCTCGATCAGGGATCAAGGATGCTGGACTTGGACTTCATATCAACGACATTCATGGTCACGGGACCAAGGCGGAAATATTGATGCACAACAGTCTTATACTCTACGTCGCCGAGTTATTCTACGCCACTGCCCTCTTTTGCGCCAAAGGATCGATCTTGAGTTTTTACTGGCGCATGTTCCGAGTCACCAATATCAAGCTGCCCATTCAGATCCTGGCCTGCTGTTCACTGATATGGATTATCATTCGAGTGAGTGCACCTGCGGCACACTACGCCGGACAGGAGACTAACGGTAATAGACGTTCATGGGCATCTTCCATTGTATCCCAGTGCAGCGCTTCTGGGATCCCTCTGCTGGAGGCTCTTGCGCCATTGAGGATAAAAAGTTCTTTTTCGGTACTATCCTGGTCCACGTTATGCTCGACATAGCAATCATCGCCCTGCCGATTCTCCAGGTCCGTAAGCTACAGCTACCTGTCTTTCAGAGGATCGGTATCATGCTCATGTTTCTGTTTGGTATTGTGTAAGTGACGACGCTATCGCAGTGTGAGTTTTTCTAACCCTTGCAGCATTTGCGCTTCCGCCATGGTCATCATCGTGGCTTCGACTCAGTTTGATGCCACGTCGGAGGATCTAACCTGGAACTTGGTCACCATTGTTGTCTGGGCTTCTGTCGAAGTGAATCTTGTCACTGTGTCAAGTATGTAACAAAGTCTGCATCTCTGGGAACTTACTAACCGTGCTTAGCCTGTCTGCCAACCGTCCGCCCTGCCATTCTATATCTCTTCACTTGCACCAACCCAACATCGACCATTGGATCCGGTTCCAATAGCTACGGTCACAGTTACGGGCGCAGCCACGGCCGCAGTCAGACCAAGAACACGATTCGACTGTCAACCGTTCCCAATAACAAAGACAACGACGAGTCAAGCTCCACTCATCAGCTTGCCGATTCCGATCAAGGTGGTCGCGGTTCATTGTCTGATTTCGAGAGTCATGCTATGGATCGGTACCGAGGAAATTTGTCAACGGTCACTGGCCGTGCTCATGATCATGGCTCTGAGGAATTCAACACTGGTTCGCCATTTGGTGGAATCATGGTCAAGAACGAAACGACAGTTCGTATTTCAACTGCCAGACAGTAATAACGATGCGGAGGAGCATGGGACATGGGAGTGAAGGGTAATACAGGTAACAAGATAACCAATTCGACTTCGGTATATACACGAAAAGCTGGGCCAACAGTCACGAAGCTAAAATATGTCTCAATAGAAATTGATGAATTTGTATCATAAGTAATTGATGAGGTGATTCCCTCATGTTCTAAAGACCTTTCAAACTCTTATCCGAAGTTGTTCTGTGATCCGAAGCTTTCGGGTTTCGGGTTCGCGTTTGGCCTTCGGATTTCCTAAAGCCGAACTTCAAGAGCCCCAGCAGGTCGTCAGAACGAATACCTCTAATGCATGCAACGGACTATTTACCCCAGACTATCTTTGGACCTAGCTCCAGATTCCTTTGCCGCTTGCAATTACCGTTGTTGCCCCGCAAGGTTTTCACTCAAGGGGTTCTGATCCGAACCCTCAACTATAAAGACCGTCCTCCGGGCCCACCCACATACCTAGACATCAATCCAGACATCACGGTAACTCAATTTCCCACTTACTCAGACTACACGAAAATGGTCTTCACACCTCCATCATGGGTGCCAAAGCTCCCAATCGGTATGAACTAGTCCCCAGCTTACAGAAACAGCGCTCATTTTTGTAGACCCGCCTGATTCCATCTCCCTTCACGAATTTATGACAAGCGAAAACTACGGCCGACTTCCAATCGCCAAATCAAGAAACCCATTTACTTGCGGCATCACGGGAAGAACATATTCCGTCTCTGAGAGCCATCAGCGAGCCGACTTCCTCGCCCGTGCGCTCGCCAAAAGACTTGACTTTCCACCTAATGAGGGTGTGGAATGGGACAAGGTGGTCTCCATCTTTTCCGTCAACACGGTAGGTGAAATTTGATCTACTCTGTTTAGGGATGACTAATGGTTTCCAGATTGACAGCTTCTCAGTTACCCAAGCTGTACACCGACTCAACGGAATTATCACGCCCGCAAGCGCTGCACACTCTGCTTCTGACCTGGAGCATCAACTGCGATCATCTGGGGTCAAAGCGCTCTTCACATGCACTAGCCGTCTTGATATTGCCGTCAAAGCAGCTAAGGCCGTGGGCATTCCTCAAGATCGCATATTCATTCTAGCTACGCCAGACGACAGCTCAAAACTGCCGTTCATAACGTTCGATGACCTTGTGAAGGAGGGCGCAGAGCTCCCAGAGTTGGAACCGCTGAAATGGGTCAAAGGCCAAGGTGCAAGGCAAGTCGCCTTTCTCTGCTACTCCAGCGGAACCTCTGGTCTTCCTGTAAGTGCACGGGACTGTTGCGGCCTGTTCGTTTACTCACAGATGGTAGAAAGCAGTCATGATCTCCCATAGAAACATCATCGCCAACGTCCTTCAACTCACGACATACGAAAGCGTTTCTCGCCAGAAAGATGGAATCGAGACGCAGGCCTGCCTTGGGGCTCTTCCCTTTAGCCATATTTACGGACTACTCATCATTTCATTTGCCAGTACCTTCCGAGGTGACGAAGTTGTCGTCCTGCCTGAGTTTGACCTGGAAAAGGCCTTGGTTGCAGTCCAGAAATACAAGATTGCTCACATGTTTGTCGTAAGTTGTCACCTCTGCCATACAGTCCAGACTCTGACGACTATAGGTCCCGCCGATTATTATTCGTATCATCCACAACAAGGCCCTGTGTTCGAAGTATGACCTGAGCTCCGTACGCTGGCTGTACACCGGTGCTGCACCTCTCGGCCCCGAAGTTGTTGAAGAAGTGAAAAGACAGTATCCAAAGTGGCGCGTAGGACAAGGATATGGTATCCCCTTGAAACCCCAACCTGAACCATAGCCAGTGCTAACTTGTGTAGGTTTGACCGAAACCTGTACAGTAGTTTGCACCACAAGCGAAGATGACATCGATATCGGATCCTCAGGCTCTTTGGTGCCTTCTACGAAGGCCATGATTATCGATATCGAAACGGGAGAAGAGATCACAGAGTACAACAAACCGGGTGAGCTGCTTGTGCAGACTCCTTCGTTGGTCTTGGGTTACATGAACAACGAACGTGCTACATCCGAGACTTTCATCTGGAGGAAGGACGGTCGCTGGATTCGAACTGGCGACGAGGTTCTCATTCGACTAGCGCTTTCTGGGAATGAACATCTCGTAGTGGTTGATAGACTCAAGGAGCTTATCAAGGTCAATGTAAGTTTGCTTCAGAGTCCCATCAAGCTTAGATCTCCAGCAATAGCGACTGACATGTGGAAAGGGACACCAGGTTGCGCCCGCAGAGCTCGAAGCCCATCTCCTCTCACATCCATATGTTTCAGACTGCGCTGTCATCCAAACACCCAACGACAAAGCCGGCGAGGTCCCAAAGGCATACGTAGTCAAGTCGGATGTTTGTGGTGGACAATCCGATGATGTTATTACTCGCGCGATCTGCAAACATGTTGAGGATCACAAGCAAAGATACAAGTGGCTTGGAGGTGGCGTTGAGTTTATTGAGACAATTCCAAAGAGTCCCAGTGGCAAGATTCTGCGAAGGTTACTGAGAGATAAAGAGAAGGAAGCAAGGAAGAGTTTGGCGGCCAAGCTTTAGCTGTTTATTGTTAGGGATGCAGTTTGCCTGTTCGCACTAGTAGGACACGATCTTTTACGCATATCTAGTCAAACAAGCCGCAAGGGACACGGCCTTGAGTAAACATAACAAATGCCAGAATGCCCTTGCTCGCGTTACCTAAAGATGAAAAAGCAACCTCATCGTTGTTCGATGGGAATGGCTTCACTGCCGATTTGTAAAAACAACATCACAACCACACCCAGGCGCTCCACCCGACCACAAGAAAGGATTCCATATCCACGCTAATATCAGACACTTTCTGTATTGTTTCGCAATTTGGCGGCAAGAAAGGGAAAAGAGAAAGTACAATAGTTCATATATAACTGACTCCCCCTGAATCCATAAGTCCTCATTTAGAAAATTCCTGTTGAGTCATTCGACACTCCAACACCAGCTCTTGCACATCCAAGCGTATTCTGGCATCTAGTTTTCGTCCAAATCATCAGTCACCTACTGAGCTAAGAAGAAGATGGGGCGCAGGAATTGAAACTTGGAGGATTCTAGGAGCGGTCGCTGTGTATGACTTTGCCGAAATGCGGTGAAGATTGGCCAAGCCAGAATGATACTCACGATGATTATATGGCTTTAACTCCACTTCAAAAGGAGCTGCAGTATCTACGAGGCGACAATTTGCGATGCGAATTCAAAGTTGACGTTTTGCTGGGAATATCGGACTTATGTGGAGAGACTGACGAAGTCATTAATCAACTCTGAGAATGAACCTTCCATGCGGAATTCTGGGATTACCGTGTTGAGTGTTGAAGTACCATCGCCGTCAAAATCAGGCTGGTCCAACGAGCCCTTTGGGTGAACTCTCCATTGACGTTGAGCTGTCGAGTCAGGGTGCACTGATGGGGGAATTCTTGCTCGTATATAGTGTATATAAGATGGGCGCAACTTCCAAGACCTATACTGCTCGCTGTTGTGACATAAAGAATTGATGGATAAAGTCTGCCTCAATTCAATGTTCTTCGAGGCTGAGATGAGTTGATGGGATGTAGTTGGCCGATGTGGATCTAAGTGGGCCTCCGTCCTATCACCATCAACAAGACCCATAAATTTAACATCTCACGACAACCTCACCTCTTCGACCTCTCAACGACAAGATTGGCTCTCATTCCTTTTCTCATAGAAAATGCTCAAGAAACGGAGCAAGATGAGCGCTAGACCTCAGATAGTGGTGTAGGCTGGTCTAGGCTTTCCAGAGATGGCCAAGGGCAAAGAAAACATTATTCAGGAGTTTCAGATGCTCAGTCAACTCGCATTTCAACTAGCTCTGACTTCGGTGCAGTTTATAATCAGAGCACGGCTTATCGAAGTTGAAAATCGCGATTACATTCAATGAGGCGCCCCTAGATGTGATCAGGACCAAGTAGCGAGGACGTTCTCAGGGTCGTCGGTCTATCGCTCGAATCGGGTGCATTATCGTAAGTGGAATGTGGCATTTAAATTTGATAGGCCCATTATGTATTGCCAACTCTGGTCATTGCTGAATGAGATCTCCAGTGGAGGGAAGCAGTGTTGCGTCAGCAAGAAGTGATCGAAAGCCACAGCGTTTGGCGCTCGGAACGAAACCATGGCTCCATGTGCTTTGTAATTATCACGGTGCGAATCAATTATGCTGTCCGATATCCAAAATGTAGAGCTTATGAAAGAAGCGATATTCGAGTGCGAACGTCATGTTGTGTGCGCGGTCCGATGCGGTGATATGTAGAATAAGAAAACACATCGCGAACTACCACAAAGCTAAGAGTATCATAATTGATTGAGCGATGCACTGTCTACCTATCGAAACGAGAAAGGAATGCTTTCGTAGGTCTGAAAAGGAACTATTACCATGTCAAAGCATTAAAAAATCCAAAAATTTTGGCCAGGATTGGTCTCGCCCTCGTCAGGGGTCATTGACTGGGTTCGAAAGGTGTAACCCCGAGTTGAATCTGTGTGCTGACCACCTTTCTCATAGGGTTGGGTAATTGTCCACCTGACCACATCCCCGTTTTTTGTCGTGTCCCATTTGCTTAGAGGTGTTTTACTTGGGACTATATACCTTACGCAGCTGTATCACTGACCGCGGAACATCGATGCTCCTGACACTGGCAGGCAGTGCTCCCTGCACCACTGTCAAACCACACCGCAGAGACATGTGTCTCTGCGATTTCAGTGGAGTTCAGGCATTGGCATGTACCCCAGTAGCTTATTACCACACTCCTTTAGAGGAAGAGTGACCGAAAGAAGAGTCAATATGTGAGAAGACTTTTATAACAAGCTTGGATTTTGTTGCAACTTATGAGTCAAGGGCTCTTGATGCATGAGCGACAAAATGACGAATATGCTTAGATAACTCTCATGATATTGTTTTCCAAAGTGTTGAAGTTAATTGGGATCTTTGAGTGTGTTGCCTTGATATGTTTCGTTGAGATGTCACAAGCTTTACCCATTAATCAAGATGCTCGATTATGACATAACTACACTGAGAATAGAAGAAACGTTTGTACAGTCTGTCTTTTGGCAAGGAGAATAAACTAATTTACACCATCAAATATCTTGGAAACTACTGCTGTTGAATGCGCCCTGTCGAGTTGTCATGGCGTGGACTTGGCTTGTGTTCTGCCCCTCTCCCCAAACCCTCTCATCAACCATCAATTTCCATTTCCATCTCCGCAAGATGTTCCTTCTCCAACTCCATCAAGTGAAACACCTGACTGGGAGTACAGTGATGATCGACAAGAACACGAAGACTGTTCGGGATCGAAACGCGGTTTTGGAGACAAGTCTTCCAAACATCCTTGAAGTGGGTGTAGGAATCGAAATACTCCTTTGGTGGGCCAAGTGCGCCGACCTCTTGTTGTCCGACCTGGTCCGGCTTCTTCATGATTTCTCTTCGTGCGTGTCTGGCAATGGCTCGATCTGGAGTCGCCAGTCTCTTTCCCAGAGTCTTCATTTGCCGAGTGAAGTCGCGTAAGGTGAAAGTATTGTCCTCTGTCTCATCGTCATCGCTCATCGGAATCGGCTCGTTTGTGGCGTCGTTAGGCTCAACAGATGGAAGTAGGTTGTCATCTGACTCTAGCTTTGGAACAGTTGGGCCAGAAGGTTGAACAGCGGGACAGAAGGCATTGCGAAGCACGCTCTCGTATTTGTTCATATCGGGCATTCTGGTGGTGACAACCCAACGAGACGCACCATTCACCGTTCGGATTTCTGCAACAGGGTTCTCGTTGTTTTCGTCCAATTCAATGACGAACGCACACGACCTGACTTTGTCCCACACTTGAATAGCAACGGATAACCACTGGATCCCATTGAGCTCGCCGAACACCTTAACAACGTCTTTGTTTTCTTGAAAGAAACCTTCATGAGCAGGCTGCAGTTTTCGGTAGGCCACTGCTGCAATCACACAGCCCATGACATGTGCTGGTGGGCAAACAATCTTCTTGGTACCCGCATGTATTCTCAGGATTTTTGATGAATGCTGTCGAAGAAAGCCCATCCCTTCGAACTGATCAAGCGTCGAATGCCGAAGCGGTTGGTTACTGGAGATTCGTTCCCGAATGGCCTTGAAGCATTTCTCTGCTTCATGTTTTTGAAACCCCGCTGAATGGAGGATATCGGCGGTGATAGCTTCATGGAGCCTGTGTATCTTGGCCGGGATGATATGACGATAGGGAATATTCTTGCAGACGTCAACCCCAATGCCATGAATATCTACGGTTTCGTCGTTGATACTCAGAGCGAGTGCATTTTGATTTTGATCCATGTCGGGCGCGTTGCAGCCAGGTCGTGTGGCGCTGAGAGGTTGGTGACTGGAGAGGATTTACCGGGTGATTAGAAATATAGGAGACACAGGCTGGAAGAACACTCACAAGATTGCTATACAGGCTTTTATGTATTTGGAAAGAAAAAAACATGAAAAGTCTTGAAATATTGTGAGGTTGGAGTTGAAGTTAGGTGCACTGATTCACTGTGTGATAAATGTGGGGCCAGATTCGAGTGAGGTCAAAGACCTTAGACTAAGGCAACAAGCATTCTGATAGAAGAATAAGGTACTAAAGAACTCTAAAGGAGCCTAAAGGTCTTATAAAGTTATCTGTAATTTGCTAAACTTTGCCTAAATTATAAATTTATGTAAAGTTGCCCTTCTTGTCATTCAGTCTCGAGGGTCATGACCTCCTTTTGAACGTCAATATCACCCATGCTGTCTTCAAGATTGACATCCACGCCTGGTCTTCGATTCATATTGCAAAGAGCTAAATAATCAGTGGCTAAGAACCTCCCGCGTCTACAAGCTGTATGACAAAAGTGGCCGACTGGTGCAGGGAGTTATGCCCACCCCCGAGCGGGTTCTTGAGCGCCATCTTGAGAGCATTAAACACAGAAATTTTAATATCTATACTTATAGAATACTAATTCTCTATGTTAAAGGAGAAAAATATTGTGTGAGTAGCTTCGTTGACGAAGACGATACAAACTGGCTGCCAAATATGAGAAGCAGAGTTGCAGCAAAGCAAGTCTGGCACTTGAAAGACTTCATTTTTTATTTAACGTTCCCTTGACTGGTACGCGTGGGTAGCGGTGTTCGCCAGCTGTCTGCCAACCCCTAGCGCTCAACGACCCTCCTCGTGCACCAGCAGGCTTCGCTTAGGTAATTGCGAGGCGCATGGCGATTCTAATCCTGCCCCTCTTCAGCCTTTTTAACTCTTCTCTAAATTCTCAAACCACCCACATCACCATCAGCATGCCCAGAAAGCAAGCCGTAGCTCCAAAGTATAACCTTCCTCCCACGCTGAAAACACCATGTGTTCTTCAGATCAATGGCGAACCTTTCGGCGGCAAGGAACTCGGCATCGCCACCAGTATTTCCACCTATCTGCGCGCTGTGAGAACCCCAGATAAGGATTCATACCTTAGCTTCGTGATCGAGTTTCCGTTGCCGGACGAGGTTGAGGCCATAGGTTTTGGAAAATGTCATGACGGTGAGCTCTTTTGATTATGTTGTTCAATAACGACACGCTAACAATTCTGACAAGTCGACGATTCAAGCCGCAAGGTCAATCCCAGCAACTCACGAAAACTCACGGTCAAATTTCCCCGCGATGACATTAAGATCACGTACCGGGCAGCGGATGTAGAGGAAATTGCGAGATACCCTAAAGCCAAGAAGCATATGAGTTGGGTTGAGGTCTTCCTTGGCGAGAACACAGCAGTCTCCGTCAATAGATTTGGAATTCCATATTCAAACCCAGGTCATCCGGCTGAAGATTGGCTGCGATCTCCTGATACGGCACCCGTCCTGCACGGGCTTAGCCTCCTGGATATCTTCCAACAGCGGCACTTTTGCTTCCTTGCTGCTAAGATAGACACTGCCATGATGTCAAATTGGAGTGTGGCCAGCTTAGCACCCAGCTTCGACTACGGCTATGGTTCGGACCAATCATGGGACTTGGAAAGGTATATGAAGCAGCTCCATGAGATCAAAGGCCACCGCTTCCAGACTGCCTGGAGCTTTGAAACCGACGCCTCTCATGTGACTGCTCTCACACAGAGCATAGTCCAGGACTTTATGTGGATTCAGAAATGGTGTCTCGACATGACTACCAAAACGGGCTCCGCGTACTTCGTTAAGCATCCCGCAAGCCGGCAGTCAAAAAGATGGTTAGCCATCGTGAAGATGGAACCGGGGCTTTGGAAGCAACCAGCATGGTCTCAAGCCTGTATCAACGGCACGATGAAGCTGGTAGTTCACCCCGGGCCCGATGAAATCCCCGAGTCATGGACGGAAGATCTTTCCGAACGCTGGTCAGCCCGCATCTGTCACGATCCTGATGAAGTCAGATTGCTCAAACGGCATCCTCTCACTGAGAAGGATTTCGTTATCAAGGTAATCGAGCCGGTTCAGCCCCAACTGGGCCTCAAGGAGTTTGACAGCCGCGAGGAAGCCGACGCTGCCTATGAAACCGACCAATCGCATTATAACCGCGTTTCGTTTGAATGGGACCTTCAGCTTCATGATGCCAAGCGCCAAGTCGACGCTATTTGTGACCTGTTACCATCCGCCACCCCAAATCACCTCTTCTGTGATCAAGGCCGCGAAGCCCCAGAGCTTAGCACCGGCAATAAGGCATTGATGATGAGTCTTCACAGAGATCTCCTCCGAGGCGATGGTTTCTGGAAGACGATGGTGGCCGCAGACCCGGCCGTGAAGGAAATGTCAGGCCACATGGGAGATGTGAATATTGGTGGCCAGCGCGAACGATTAGCTTTACCTATGCTACCGTTTGTCAACTTTCTCAAAGAGAATGGTAGAAGCGGCTGGTCTGATGCTCTACTGTCCGAGGTTTCTGGGGCTGACCAGTGTCCGCTTCGTTACTACCTCAGCAACCGTCCTTTAGGGTTTGGTATTATCAAAACTGTGAGGATTTAGCCCTTCAACTCATATTTCTTACATACTGACGAGAAATGTAGGTAACCAATATCAACGATACCGCCGTTCTCCCCGTGGCGGTTCTTGCGATGCATGCCACCGTGCGAACCGTCATGGCAAGTGGTCCGACTCCTGACGCCGTCAGCGAGTTCGCTTCTGACCTCTATGTTGTCTCTCGCAGCGTCGCAAGCAAGTACAACATCGGAAGGGGCCAGGAAGCTAGTAGCCGAGCTCCTCTGATCATCCGTGGCTTTCAACTTCAGGTTGAATGCGAAGCCTTCAAGCGTTTACTTCAATACCCTCACCTCGGTGATGAAGCGGTCGGCTGTGATGAATGGGGCGTTAAGTTGGACTGGAAGCTCCATCTCTCGGCCACATTTTGGCTTCGTGTCTGCCTTGGCTCCGACTCTCTCCCACTGCTGCACAAGGACGATAGGAAAATCCTACACGAATTCCAGGTGTTAGTTGCAAGAATAGATATGCTTGCCCCTCTCCTCGAACGGGTATCTGGCAAGATTTCGTGGGAAGAGTACGTGGCTGGCAAAACCGTTGGAGACGCTGAAATCATGGCACTGATGAAGATGCTCATCGATAACGCCGACATTGTCTGTACGACCCCATCTTTAGCCCACACCGAGGATCATCTCAAGAAATGGAAGGTAGAGCGGGCTCGGGGCATCGCCGTTGACGAAGCTGGCCACATGAGCCGTGGCGATCTGTACTCTGTCTGGGGTAATACACTCTTGCCCTGCCTTCTTGCCGGCGATGAAGAATTTGTTCCGCTAGAGGTGAAGAGCTACCATGACATGGATAACTACCGAAACTTTCGGAACAGGTTCGGGGATGATGCTCGGAAGTCGGCGCTTGAGTTTCTCACTGCCACTGGCTGGCCTGTCTATCGTGTTCGTGGTTGATGAGATTTGGCTGTGTAGTACAATACACATGGAAGGGTATGGAGTACGACTAAACTGGTCAAATATTATGAAGCTTTAGGGTGGTCTTAAGGACGGCCTTTGTTAAAATTGAGAAACTCAGTAAAGTCTTTATGCAATTTATCAAGATCCCAGAATAGAGTCCGAAATTCCTTTAGCCTTGAGATGGCATTAGAGTAGTATGAATTCTTGAAGAAACCAGGGCAAGTTGATTATACTAAGGCTGACATAGAATAGAAAGCAATGACATGTAGTGGAGACAAGCAGCGAGGGCTCAGCGTGGAACAGCACAAAGAAAAGGAGGCAAAGGGTCTTGCAATGGCAAGGCTCCGTCCGATTGGATACTTGTGTAGCACCAAAAGCTTTGATATATCATTAAGTTAATGCATAGGTTTCGTGCAAATTGAAAGGGCCATGTGAGTTAACCAAGGTAAAGTCTAAGACATGGAACGCCTGAAGTAAGGCTGGCTTTTTCGGTGAGGTGCGTGATTCCCGCCAGTCAATGTCTCACTTATTCTGCCGCCAGACACCGCTTCAGGCAATAGCTCCAGACCAGCGCGTTGCTGCTAGAGTGCTTCAGTGAGGTATCGCGGCCATTTATCAGCGGGTGTTTGATCCTGGGTCCTTGGGGAGGGAGCCTTGCATCACGCACGCACCTCACCTCACCTTGGGCGGCACGTAGGGTAAGTAAATGCAAGCCCGCCATCAAAAACCAGCTTCCACAGCGCGTATACTCACACTTCTCCCTTTTTAACGTCTATTCCGCCACTCGGAGCACGGCATCGCTGAGCCACTCAGATAATTTATTGTTTCGCGCTCCAGGCCGTCCGAGGCTCTGATCTTTCAGCTCGGCGCACTGTCCAGTTCTCAATAACTCCTGTCAGATCACGCCTTCTCAAGTAGTCATACTGCACAGCTAGCATCTACATAGCGCTTCATCACCGATCCGCAGCCATCTCCTATCGCCTCAGCACTGCTTCTCCGCAATGATGGCGCCTCAAGAAAGGAACACAAACGTCCGGCTTCTCGCATGTCTCATTGACGACGACGACTCGAGTGATAGTGATTATCGCTTCCTCGTCGACGGGCAACATGTGAAGTACATATCCACAGCACCAGGCACGTTTTGCGGGGCCGAGGACGACCGTACTTTCGAGCCCACCCTGCTTGGCGAGCTTTTCCCATCATTTCCAACTGGAGATTGGAACCAGGGCTTTGTAGCTAGGGACCCCCAGGCGGGGAAGGCTACCTTTGTCAGGACCGAGACAGTACAACTTGCCGGGATAAAGAACTGTTGGCATCCCGTGAAACTCAATGAGTTAGAATTCACGCGACAAGAGCGAGTGAGGCAACGAGTCCATATCTCGACACATCCTAAGGTTGAGGGCGGCAAACCCGTGCTTATTAAACTTGCGGTCTGGCCCTGGGAAATCCCCTCCATGGAGGTCGAGACGGCCGCCTATCAATGGATTAGTTGCAGCGGAATCGGTCCTAGGTTTCTAGGCCACCTCACTGAGGGCAAAGATGGGCGGGTGGTTGGCTTCGTTGCTGAGTGGGTGGAAGGCGCGAGAGCTGCTGGGCCAGCAGATATCGATGACTGCAAGAAGGCTTTAGGTCGGTTGCATGAGCTTGGCATCAAGCTTGGCGATATCAACAAACACAACTTTCTTGTGCGGGATGGGTATGACGTGGTTCTTGTAGACTTTGAGATGGCGAAGCGAGACTGTTCGCCCTTGGAGCTCGAGGACGAGATGAGCACCCTCAAGAGCAGCCTTGAAGACTCGAGTTTCCGGGGTGGGGCGGAACCCGCTTATGAATGACAGAACCAGGATATACATGCCGGCATTAGCTTAGGGGTTAAGGGGAGGCTAGCTGCAGATACAACCAAACTCCACCATAAGATCTGCCAGCATCGTCAGAACAAATCACTAAGAGAAATGCTGCTAGTCTAACAAGTCTCTTCCAACGTCTGCCAACTCTTTTGCGCTGCCCACATCCTCGATCGCGTTGGGGACCAGTGATATGTCGGCCATGATAAGTTTTCAGACGTAATGAATGTTGTGTTATGTTGATTAGATGCGTTGCCTACGCTGGGCAAGACATTGTGACATGAAATGTTCTCTTCTCATACGGCTTATAACCAGCGTAACATCCGACGTATTGGCTCCAGTCCTCTGAAATTTGCGAGATCCAGCCCGACGCTATATCATATCACCATTAAGCTCTCTCCGCCGCGTTTCGCCCTCAACCTCGGCAGAAAATGAATGAGTGAATATCACAACTGTAACGTGAGTCTATATCACAAGAGTAACGTGAGTCTAAATCTAATAGCTCAAGGAGAAGGGATAAACACAGTATAGTAAAGAGATAATATTAGAAAGGGGGAGATATAAAATACACTTGTTGAACAAAGCCTGTTCAGCGAAGAGAGCTTAGTCCAAAAAGAATACAACAACTATTTACAAAATGAAAAAATATAAAACGGTATTTCCCGGGATATGAGCCGAACCCATGCGCCCACGGGAGTTTCGCTTGGCTATTTGATGGAATACAGAACAGCCCCCCCGAAGAGGATCGTGCCAAGCGATCGTGTGATGCTACCTACACTACCCGGGATTTCTTTATTGAAAGCAGTTTGCATTATTCCAGATTATATAGAACTAGCAGCGAGCACACTTATGTTGTTTCTGTCACTCTCGAGAGGGTCAACTGTCCCCGCTTCCTCATGAAACAACTGAAGATGGCTTACCGAGCATATGAAACCAATTTGATATATCACTGAGATAGAGCTATCAAACACATCAACAGGCCATTCATTTCACCTCCTCAAAGTTCTCTCAGTTTTGGTGCCTTCTCAAAGCCATCGCTGTATCTTACAGCCTCGCCATCTAGAATCCACCCTTCGTCAACCAAGGCTGCTTCCATCGCAGCCACGATTCACTGCCACCTCTCTGACTCCCTTCTTACACCATCCCCTACAATGGCACTTTGCAACTCCAAAAGGAGCTTCAATGCTCACAGGGGTTTCGCTGCCCTTCCCTTCATAAGCCTTATCTGATATCTCGATGCGAATCTCCCATCGCGGTCCTAGAACTTCACAGTTATGTCAGCCACATTCTCGACACCAATCTCCAGGATAAGCGACCGAACTTACGCGACCATTAACATTCTCAAGAACCTATCGTTTCTCCCATGCGGAAAGCCTCCTCAAGCTGAGCCAGACGGAACGCCTCATCTGAGCTACAATGATACTCGACAAGACGACGAAGACTTTCCGGAACACTTCCAGTCTTTGCCAAACTTCGGTACCAGCGCCGCTCGATGCACGGAAACATCTGCGGACCCTGGTGCAATGTATGCTGCAGGCTCTGAAGCGAGAACGCCATCCCAGCTCTCTAGTCAGCGATGGCTTCATTCTGCAGCTCAAACGCAGTGGTGAAAGCGCTGCGCTCGATCTCCATCGATTCTCGCTCCTGCTCCACAAGCTCGTGCGCCTCGCGTTCCATCGCTTTCATCTTCTCATCATGAAAGTCAGCGAAGAGGGCGACTCCCCGACGGACTTTGTTGACAACCTCTCGACGCTCCGGCTCTGGAAGTCCCTTACGCAAGGGCTTCAGATCTGCAACGTAGAAGCGAAGGATGTCCGCGCCCATGCCACAGAAGGCCATGTCCTTCCGTCGGCTGGATACCTCAACAGTATACTCCCATTCGGAGATATCTTCGTCGATGAACTCGGAAAGTTTGTTAAACCACATCGGGTCGTGACTCAAGCACCAGGTATGAACGGTGTGCTTCATCTCGGGAGGAAGAACGCGAAGGATGGGCTCGGCCAGCCACTTCGATACCGCTGGCTTCAAGAGTTTGTCAACGAATTTTGACTTGCCCATCTTGTTGATGTTCTCGCTGGTATGTTCGAGTGCTTCTTCTCTGGTGATTGTCTTGGAGACCAGAGTTGGGGCTGGGTCAAAGCTGTCGACTGAGGAGACGGACTCTGTGTCCTTCTGTTCGAAAGAGGGCTCAGACATCTTTTTCCGGGTTGTTCCTCGCAGGGAGTTAGGTCGAACGTTAGAGATACTCTTTGTCTTGTGACGAGCAACTTCGGCCCGTACGGAGGCAAAGAAATGCAAGACAGACTTCAAGGTTCTTGCTCCCTACTGGTTCTTCACCGAAACACTCCCGAAGACGTCAGTCAAGCTTCTGAGTCAGTTCGCAACATAGACTCGCCAACAAGCCCAATGTGGTGATTATAAGCTCTTAGCTACAAGTCGTTAACAACAAACACAACGCTTTCCCTTGAGCCTTCACTGCACGAAAGCAAGATACAGCAATAGCAAGACTTGGCAAAAGATATGTTGAGCAAAAGAGCACATAAAAATGTCAAAATGATTCAAAGTTGGGCTCCCGCGCAACAAGACGTAAGCCAAAAGTAAAGATTAGGGATTCAGAGTCCGTCAAGATGAGTGAGTGGATCAGAGGAAGAAGAGATGAGTGGGGTCTCAAGTAACAGTCTCCAAGGGTCTACCAATCCTGCCATTACATCGATCAAGGTCCCTTGCCCCTGTGTTGTTTGGTCCGGGGCAGATCCACTACCTATTGTTACACAAGTGAGATTGAGCGATATCGGACTACTTCTGCCTATTTGCAAGGACCACCTCGTGTTCGGTTCTATAGAAGTTATTGTCGTTGCGATGCCGAGGAATACGTGTTGGAAATTGACATAACTTTCTCCTTATGTTGTTTTCTAAACAAACGGATATTGACGTGCAAGCTTTGATTTTCAGAAAGACCCTGCCCCTCCTACGTCTCTCTATCCACTTCCATTCTGACTCAGAGCAACTGAAGAAGACGCAGAAACCCCAGTCACGGCACTAACTCAAGACCTTGGGCATGATCCTGAAGCCACGAGAGAATTTCTCAAACAACAGACTGACGAGATGAAACGGCCAGTAACTTGAGAACTCCTTGGCGATGCATCAATCATCCAATCATAGGCCGGTTCCGTGGTCTAGTTGGTTATGGCATCTCGTTAACACCGAGAAGGTCCCCGGTTCGATCCCGGGCGGAACCACTCTTTTGCTCTGTTCTCGATTGAGAAGTATTTCTTTTTGTATTCTCTTTGATCAAGATGTTTTGCAACAGTGCGAGTTGTAAAGAGACTTTGATCTGGTTGTAAAAATGATCTCAGCTAATTGATTTATTTTGCAAGCTTCAGTAAGCAAGATATCTTCTGATTTCTTAGATGTTAAGAGTAGCAATTAATCTCAGGCTGACTAAGTCTTGCCTAAAGTTTCTTTAATCGTTTATTATTCAGGTGAGGTATTAACATTTCTTGACTCCGGGGTTGGGATACTGGAGCTTGGACGTCAACCATTTAACGTTGAAGATGAGGTTGAGGGCCACGGCAGAAAACTAGCGAGAGTGCAGAATAATGAGATAAAGATTTAAACTATCTTCTCGGAAGAATTCGGATTTAGTACGTCAAGATCTAACGCTACTATAGACGATACACGACGGATGGGTCAGGCTTCAGAAATGTCTGAAGCATGAATAGTCAGAGGATAGTCACAGAAAACAGAAAGCAAAGCGATTGAAGTTGTTGAAGTGATCTTTAAGTATATATATCGTCTATAAAATGCTGAAATGCTCATAAATCATTGTATCCCCCCTCTTTCATTAAACCCTCATTAAAGTCCCATCTCTTTCATTTGTTTTAAATCATTAACACATCTTAGTTAGTTTATCTGCTGGATGCTCTTCCAGCTTCCGCTGTGGTCTCCGTAAATATACTCGCGTACGCTCGATGTTGTAGGAGCGTCACCGCCAGCATAGTCGACAATGGAAATGCTCTTGTAGTAAGCGTTGAAAGGACCCTGAGAGTAGTCGGCAAGACCACCGGCCCAGATGATGGTACCAGGAGCAGCATTGGGAGAACCAGCAGTCCATGTTCCGAGCTTGATCTGCATGGGGGTCTGGGGGTAACCGTTGGGGCCAGTGGCATCGGTGTAGGGGAGGGTTCGGACGACTTGGTCGTCGATCAGCCAGTTGATGGCGGAGGGAGTCCACTCTATGGAGTAGAGATGGAACTGGCCTGTTGGGTTGACGACGGGATGGAATTCACCGCGATCATATGTTGAAACATCTCCCTTGCTGAAATAATTGGACTGAACCTGAGCGTTATCGCCTCCAAGCCATTCCCAGTCAATCTGAAGCTGTTAGTTCGATGCTTTATATAAGTTGCTAGTGAACTTACCTCATCAAGGTTATCAGATTGAAGAACAGCACTAGTGCAGATGCCTACACCCGTAGAGGCCTGCACCTCGACATCCACACGGCCGAAAAAGATGTACTTGCCCGTCGCAATTGTAGGAGCCTGGTTAGGTCCTGAAATTGTAAAGACAGCACCATTTTCGTTATGCTGAAGGGTAGTACCAGCATCCTCTGCGAAAGCGTCACATGCACCCTTTGTAAAGTCACAGTGAACAGTGTCTCTTCCAAAAGCAGGGTCGGCAGGACATGCTATGTTGTGTAAGTCAAGTGTACCGAGTTGTTGGGATAGTGGTGAGACTTACTGGCTGTCATGGGGTTACACTTTGTGAATGTTTGGGCTGAGACAAGAGGTGCCGCGAGGGCGAGGGCTGCGATGGCTTTGGCGAACATTCTTGCTAGTGTCGTGTGACGAGGTACAACAGGAAGATGGCTTGTCAGTAATGTATAATTATACAAAGAAGTGATAGGATGAGGATGGGATGAGATTATTTAATGTTCTCACGCACGTTGATATAGTAGTTAGATTCTCGAGTCAATTGGCAATTGGTGAAGGCTGGTTTAATAGTTTGCTTCTCTTCAGCCAAGAGGGCTCCCAACCTCCCCTGTCAAAAAGCCTCGGTTTATATCGATCAGGCGATGGCTCGTATTGCAGTGCTAGCGTCGACTAAGCAACCAGGGTTGGCTTGCGAGCACGCCAACAGCGGCAGGGATCTCCACATCCCTTGCATCAGATCACCAATAGCACGGACCAAAACCCTGCCAAGAGTGAGTGAGTGAGTGAGTTGCTGTAGGGAACTGCTATGAGACAAGAGGCTTTTCCAGATCCGTTGGATGGTGCAGTAGTTGAGTGGCTTGCGGAGTCTTACCAACCACTGATACGAACTCCCGACCGGCCATTTTTTGGTAGCAAGGGTCTAGATCGTGGTGGGCTGCTTGGCTAGCGCGACATCGTGGGTGAGCGGGCTGTGTGCGATATGCGTCCAGGGACTTTGAACTAAAGCATGCGGATTGTCAGCAGAGGAAGCAATTCCTTGTTGCTGACGTCAGGTCAATCATCAGAAGTCAATTGACTCACTGTAACAATAATTCAACTGTCTCTTCTCTTCTCTGCTCGTGGTATTTTCGTATGATAAAGGTCGGCTAGTCCACTACCGTTCGTATGTCTAGGCTAAACGGCCAACCTCCCCAAATACGAGACGCTATCAAGACAACAAGCGGCTAAGAAAATGGGAGGCTGCAAAACCGCTGAATCCGTAAAAGAAGGTTACGATAGGGATGACTATGACCCGTTCTTCTTCTTTTTTTTTACCCGCCGCTCTAACCGACCTTTCTTCTTCTCCATTCTTCTCTGCATGTAAACCCTTGCACGACCATGACCGAGGCCTACTGTAAGCTGAGAACATGTCAAAGCTCCTGTTCTCCACTGATCGTTATCAGCTCTCCACAGATGAACGACAATCTGCAGGTTTATTGTTTCGGAGACTTGAAGATCTCGCGGATCTTTATTTGAGCTCAACTGATTTGATGTCATTAAATAGGCAATCATTCATCGATCGATCAGTTTATCACTCAATAAAGCTCATGAGAATTTGCCAAGAGAGAGAGTCTCAGTAAGCTTCCGTCGTGGGCTCAGCTGGTCCGTCATGAGGTGCTGTACCCCGCTTGAACCATGCATCTTGATGGAGAACAGGGCCCTTGATGCATGCATCACCACTCGGACCCGGCATCATCGACACAACATAAGGTCTGACCGTATATCGACTTTGTCGTTTCCCCGCTTCCACATGCTGATTCAAGCAGATCTCGTGCTTTAATCAGCATAGACCTTCCTGATGAAGACATCACGACGTATGCATACAACCCCAATTCTTCACTCGCGCTTCAATCATAATCATCCGAGCGTGAGTTGATGCGATGGGACGTTGGATATCACAAGTTCCACCGATACAAGGCTGTAGTGAGGGGAAATGCACGATAATTCTCAGCCTCATGGTCTAGTGATCAATAACTCGGGGTCATCCTGGCATCCGGATACCCGTTCTGCCGTCCTTGAAGCTGTAACCCCGCTTGTTCCCATTCAAGAGACGACCAACAGAGAGTAGCTCGACGGCCAATTCCGCATTCTTTCGCGAACGCAATTGAAGTGAAGCTATCTCAACATCGCAAATAGAAGCATTTTAACGCAAGGCACAGTCGTATTTTAGCAGTAGTTGACATCTAAAAATACCAATTAGAACCACGCTTTCACAAATGCGGACCAACGTTGCAAAAGGTGAGCGCCACAATCGGTGGCTGGTTACCTCAACAATTGGCTGGATCCGGAGGTCCCGAACATTAAACTGACCGCTTGCGTGCCACTCCAACACGAGGCATTTGAATACGATCGCTACACGATCCTCGGGGAGTAAGAAAATCGATATAGGGTGTCAAAATAAACTTAGCAAAGAGCCCCCTAAGCTTAGGCTAAATTTACCTAAATATTTGTATTTCTTAGGGTCAAGGATGGATGTTCACTCTTTGAATAAGCCAATGTGGCTAGAGAATTGATTGTCACTTGGCGATTCTTAATAGCGCCGAATTGTTCATTCAATTTATCTCGGCATTCCTCCACATCGTATAGTTTCATTCCAGCTACCGCACTGAAGAAATGGAACGATCCGCTCCGAAAAGAATTGTTCTAGCTTCGAGAATCATTCCTCCCGACGTCCAATCTCATTACAGCCGCATGACCTCGAGTTGTTCCAGAAGCATTCGGATCATGAAACCAGTAATCATGCACAACTTCAAATCCCGACTTCTCGTAGCATTTCATGGCCGCGACAGAATTAAAGTTGACAAGAAGAACTAGCATCACCTTCTTGCCCTCATTATGTCTGACAACAAAGTCCTTGGCGTACTCGATCAGCTTATTCGCCAAGCCCTTGCGCCTCTGCGATGGATGGACGTAAATCGCGTTGAGCACGTAAGCAGACTCAATTTCATCCGCAATGGGACCAAAATAAGTGCTTCCGGGTTCGAATTCCTGTAGATCTTCCCATGTTTTGGCCGCGGTCTTGGCTTCGAATGGGCCGTACAGAACAAGCGACGCGAGCCATGGTTGGTTCGGAATCAGCGAGATGGCGTCGGTTGTACCGGGGTTTGGGTTGGACACGATGATGATACTGGATGCTGCTGGGTTGCTTAGGCGTGCTTCCCATATATCCTTGGTGAAAGCCGCCTCACGAGCGTAGTTTGAGCTGAATGACTCGGGCGATAGTTGCAGAGAAAGTAAGCGGAATTCTTTGTACTGGCTGACGAGTTTGTCCCATTGATTTGGGTCGGGCAAAGACTTTGGCAGAGTTAAAGCTTTGAGAGACATCTTGAAACTGCTTTGCCTTTTTCATTGACTGTGTCTGGGCCTTAGTCGCTCTAAATATAGGAGTTGAGAGTTGATAGCCGTGGTCTGAATGCATAACTGCTTATGACTCATACGTCACGCAATCCTGCACATCAATCAGGCAGCCATCGTGAATCTTAAGAGAACAACGATATGAAACTTATTCACGCCCCTCGTGATACTCTGAATCAAGTATCCCAAAGCTTGTTCAATAAAGTAATGGTCGGCCAAGCATGATCACGCTCAAGCAACGTAACCAACTCCATAATCGCAGCCTGTTCTCCCGGGTCTTGGAAATACTCGCCACACATGGACAGTCCGACTACAGCAGTCACCATTCCCTCTCGGTACCACTTCTGTGACATAGAAAACCCGCAAACACGTCTTGTTGAGTCTCTCATAAGCTCTTCCAGTGCTTTATGGGCAGCCCTGCCGCCGATGCCGAGTTGGATCTTGGTGTCGTGCACGGCAAGGACTATACGTGCTAGTTCGATGTGTTGAAGGGCTAGCATTTGGCATGGGCTTGTGATCCAGTATTGGGGGAAATATCGACCTTCTGATGGGCTGCGTTCGCGGTAGTAGAGAGGTGCGAAATGAGGTGGTCGTTTCTCGTCCCAGTTTCTCTGGAAGTCTTTGATAGCTTCCCATTGTTGAGACCGCGTGCGGTTATCGATTGGTTGTTCGTCATCATCATCTGGATAGCAGAATTTGAGAACGTGAGCACACCAGATGAGGACTCGGTTAGTCCAGTCGTAGTCATCAGCAGCCAACGTATCATCAAAGATGCCATAGCTTTCCACTGGCAGGATTGGTAGTCGGAATGGACGGCGGTGCATGAGAACGGACCAGATCTCTTAACGAAGTGCAATGAGACAGGCCGAGAATCTGAGGGAAGAGAGAGAAGTTGCATAGACATCTGAGCCGCGGGGAGGTTGAAGAATCAGGTGAAGAAGTCCATCTGCGTCATTCTGGGATGCTTGGAATATGGCGCGAACTGCAATCGAAAAGGTCTCGTTATCGATACCGGTAAAGTGGGCTAGAGCATTGTCAGATTTGAAAAGGAAAAGGACAGATGTCTCGTACTATCAACCTGCTCATGATATCTCAGTATCGTAATGGCAGCCAGAGCATCGTCACTACAAGAGTTGATCGGATCTGCTGATACTCCCATCAGATGTGAGATGCACTTATTGTGATAATGGATAGCTGATTCCATGTTGAGGTCTGGAAGCTGTGTCCCCGCATATTCGAACACTCTGTCAGGGTCTTGGAGTGAGGAGAACCGAGTGAGGAAGCGTGCTGAGGCGGTGCATATGGCGTTGAGAAGCAGAGGGCTATGTACAGCTCGGAGAGGAAGTACTGAGGTGTAATGATGATCTCTGTCAGTAGTGTCAAACTACCCCAAAGGTCAAATTGAATGCCCCCTGATAGATATCTTGCAAGGGTCTTACCGCTCTGGCGAGTTTCTCAACGAAGCAACGAAGGAGGCAAGCTTCCTCTGGGCCCAGTGACTGAGACGAATTGGCACTCAGCAGTGAAGTTGGATTCTGGAGTTCCAGTTCCATCAGTGAAGGAAGTGTATCCGTTTGATAAAGCTGGGGGTTGAACTGCCCAAAGGGTGACTGTCCATCAGCCCCGCTAGGGTTCACATGCTTTCCTGTATCCTCTTCAGGAGAGGAGTGCGGCCATTGCGTTGGGAAAACAGGAAGTGATGACGTTCCATAGTGATTAGTAGCAGAATTCGATTGTCCACTGGGTGATGAAGTAAGTGATAGTTGAGAAAGGTCTTGAGAGGCGCTGAAGCCCTCATGGCTTTGGGATGTCCCGAAAACGCCGGAGGGCGCTTCTGAAACTGCTTCCGTTAGAGATGCTTCGTGCTTGCCGTCTATTTGCGTGTTGCCATTTGATAGAGTTTGCAAAACAGAAGCAGCAAAATCCAAACTCTCTGATTGATATCCATTCTCGGAAGACGGAGATTCAGCGGTGGTCGTACGGGAGTGGCGAGAGGCAGAGTTTGTTTCGTCAACAAAGGAAATTGTATTTGATTTTTCTGTCAAGCTCCGTTACGGAATTGGCAAGCGAATAGATCCATTAGACCGACTTTGATTCGATGTTTCTATCCATGTTTGGTTCGGATCAAACTTAATGGTTTTTTCATTCGTGATGAGCTTTTTGATGCGGAACTTTTTCGCACGAGCGCAACTGATGGAAGTCTTTGCACAATTGGCACAGGGAGTCTCGTTATCGCCTGGAACCGTCAGCCCGAACCTATTTCTTAAGCATGGGCATACATTTCAGATGTTTTTCTGTGAGTGGTGGTCAGCGCGATCAAGGTATCCTTGCAGGCTTTAACGAACCTCGACTTTGATCGCATGGCTTTGTCCGAGTACGAGGCGCCGAACTCATGATGATTCGGAGCTTGAATATGAGTTACAAGAAGAACGAGACGGATTAGGAAGGATTTCGCCGGGTTTGCAAGGAGAGAAGCGTGGAGTTGGCATAAGAATGAAATCTCGGGGAGTAGACCGAGTTGAGGGCAAGGATGACTTTAGCTTACTTTCCCCGCATTCTAGCGTCTTTCATGTCCTAAAGGGGTTGAGTTAGTGGATTGATCCACTGCAGCTTTCCATGCCCAAGAATCACAGCTCTAACATCAATTTTTCGGGTGATTACATTCTCTTGAAAGCAAGTTGAAGTAAATCAATAATTAGATTTCTACAAGTATCACGTCTCAGTGCTGGTGTAAGTCTTTTGGAAGGTCAATACGATACAAGTCAGGAATAATGGTCAATTCATCACGTTCACGTCAAAGTCACATTAAAACAAGACATAAAAAGCCATAGTCACAGGCAATGAAACTTCGATGTGCACCAGAACGTTGACTACCTTCTTGGACTTATGCAGCTAAAGGAATATCACAAGCCCTCAGATACTTTGCTTAACCTCAGCATGCTCAGCACCACGAGCATGGCCGTCCCAAACCTCATGCCGAATACGCTCATAAACAGCCTCTTCATCCGCAAGAGCATGATCTCCAAACAGCTGAGAAATCTGCTCCAGAGACTTGTTCGCTGTTTTGGGGACAAGAAAGAAGGAAAAGATGGAAGCGAGAACGAAGAAGATGCCCAAGAAGAGATAAGTACCCTAGCCGATCTTGATGATCATCTCGGGCACAACAACACCGATGATAAAGTTGGCAAGCCAAACCATGGCAGTCGCGGCTCCAACACCCTTAGCTCGGAGGGAGCTGGGGAACACCTCGGCGGGGAGAGTCCAAGCCAATGGTCCGTATGAGCATGCGTAGCAGAGAACATAGATGTCTGAATTTGTCAGCACGGAGTCTCAAGATCGGGTAATGATACATACAGATGAGAGCAACGCCAAACCAGCCCATTCCGGGATTGGCTTCCCACCTGCCGTCAAACTTGCCAACGACGCCGGACATGATAAGATGAGGGACGGCCATAGCAGCACCACCAAGGATAGCAAGTTTGCGGCGGCCCATCTTGTCGAGGTAGAGGCATGTAGGAATACCGGCGGCCTAGGAGTTGAAAGTCAGTATTACTCAGGGACATGTGCTAGAGACATCGACTCACCAGCTGACAGATATTCACCATTCCAGATAGAATTAGCGCCATGTTGTCATCCTGTCCAAGCGCCTTGAAGAAAGTAGGAGCGTAGTATACTGATATCGTTAGAACCAATCCCAAGAAGTTTCGTAATATGACTTACCGAACGCATTGATTCCAGAAAATTGTTGGAAGAAGGGTATTCCAAGAGCTACTGCAGTACGCTTGAGGCATCTAGATCGGGACAGATCACCCCACTGCTTCAGTTCCAGAATGATACCTTTATCATTGGGATGCTCCTGGGAAAGAATCTCCTGCTGAAATCGAATTTCAGTAAGAACCCCTTTCCATTCGGCTTGGACGCGATCATCGGTTGCGGGGACGCGGCGGAGCTGGGCGAGGGCGTGAAGAGAATCGTCGTCTCGTTGGCGCATGACGAGCCATCTGGGGGAGTATGGGAAGAAGTGAATGCCGAGGCCGACTAGGAGAGCAGGAGGCTATTATTCAAGGTCAGTACTAGTAGTCTAATCGGTGGAAGCTGGACGCACCATCTGCAGAAGGAATGACAGTCGGAAGGACCATTCACTGGCCATATCTTTGGTGCCATAGGTAATCCAGTAGGATATGATTGCTCCTATGACAATACTGCACTGAGTTAGATTGCTGAGGACCCGCCCACGAAAGTTGACTTACGAAAGAGCTTCAAGAACCAGGAGAGAGCCTCGCAGGTTCGGAGGGGAGATCTCAGAGATATACAGAGGTGCACCCATGGCCAGAGTTCCAACGCCGATTCCACCAATAGCCCTTCCAGCCACGAGTGTGCCATAGTTATGAGAAGCAGTCTGAATGACAGCACCAATGGTAAAGAAGACAGTAGCAACAGTCATAGCCCACTTTCGAGAGATTCGGTCTGCGAGGTATGGAAGAAAGAGACAGCCAACAAAGGCACCAAGTTCGAGCATGCCAGTCATGAAACCAACATTGAAGCCATATCGAGGATGGTCAGGGGCTGTTTCAGGGAATTGGTCGTGGAATTGCTTCATGGTAAGGATGATACTGATCACGCCCTGATCTGGTAACTGTTAGCTTGGAGATGAGGTTGCGACTGTAGACTTACCATAGCCGAAAGAGAATCCTCCGAGTGAAGCCAGAGTAGCAGCTCCCAGAACATACAGAGATCGAATGATACCACTCAAGCCATTGCTATCATATTCAATGGCAGTCTCGGCTTGGGGTGTTGGATCTGTCTCCTCGACATGACTGGGCGAGTTGCTGAGAGATTCTTTGGATATGATGAATTGGAAGTCGTAGAAGCCAATTGATAGAAGAAATGTGTAGAGCTGATTAATTCTAATGTCTTCAAAGTTGAAGGGATCATGAGTCTTTATACTTGGTCAAAGATAACAAAACCCATGAAGTTGACCTCATCCTAGCATCACCCCACAGAATTTAGTCTGGGGAAGACCCTAGCTCCCGGGAAACGCTTTGGAGTTAGCCCATTCACGGCCTTGGTGGCTTTCTTGGAGAAACAGCCTTCGTGGTAAGTCAGGTCTTGTTGGGGTAAGTTTTCGGCGAAACATTTCCATTTTGGAACGACCCACGGCGAATCGTTCCCCGGACTAAATTCTGCCATCTTGGACTGAATAACCAATTGGAAAGCTGGGAATTGATATGGATCCGTAAAAGATCATCCCTCACGGAGGTGTTTCGGTATACTGCTCTTTTTCGGCAAGAGAGTTTTCAGTGCACGCTCCACGATGGCATCCTGGATGAATCGCCATATCCTTTCCAAGTCTCCATCATCATATACGGCATTTGTGAAATGGATATATAACCGGCCATCAGACTGGTCCAAAACCGAGATCTTGGACAGAATATACTTCGATGCATTCCTTTCATCATCTCCTCCCGCATAATCTGGAAATTCATCGCTCAGTGGCTCCTCTGCGAGTCTCTTGGCAAATCCCTTGGAATTGTTCAAGATGACAATGGTAAATGAATTTCTCAGCCAACGTGAATCGACGGTCAATTCATACTGAAGCAAGGCTTCGCGGGAAAAGGTGCTTAGATCGAAAACATATATTACTGCTGACACTGCCTCGAGTTGAGGAAATAGTTTTGTCCGGTTCACTGTTGCATTACCTGGATCTGTCAATCGCATGGTGAGCTGGCCCATGTTGAAGATTGCCTCCACACAGCCAGGCAATGGTGTTGGACAATTTATCGCATCCGAGTCTGTCGGTATATAGTTATCTTGCATGATCCTATCGATTTGATTTAAAAAGCTAGGAGAAAGGCGTCAGTACTGCAAGGTAAGGTCGGAGTTATCAAAATAACATACTAGTCGGCATTCTCAGGAAGCACGAAGGTTTCGTCCGTCATCAAAGCCTTAGCCGCCGAATGGCTCATTATAGTATGAAATATTTCGACGACCCACGGCTCAAACCCATTGTTGAGATCCAAATATTTGTCGCATATCAACACGTCTTCCAGACACGCCCGGATGGTACCCCCTCTAGTGGTCTTATCGGCCAATAGTCTCTTTGCCAAATACTGAATACCTTCTAAAACTATGCCGAGGATTATGGGACGGAACATACGTAGTTGCTCAGTTGTGTAACATTGTGGTTGGTAGTCCGATAACCTCATCTCTTCAAAGACTCGCTTCCTCGATTTTGAACCAAGGATGACTACCTTGACTTCTCGATTAGTCGATTTGGAATCATCTTTCAAGTTCTGATCAATACGTTGGGAATTCTTGGTTTGAAGCTTCAACCTGCTTCTGGCTCGGCCTCTCTTCAGAGGTTGCATATATATGTCCACGGCTGTTTCTGTCAAAGAATTCATTTGTTCTCCCAGGCTTGCCGATGACCGAATCACTTCTTCTGATGTAGTAGTTTCTGCGTGCACAAGAGTAGTCTGCTGCTCGTCGGTAGATGCACTCGAGAAGGTAGCATCATTATTTGAGATTTGTTGATTGTCTTGCTGAGTGGTATCTTTCGAGCGGTGACTGTTGCTCCGCCGTGCCGTTGCGAGCTTCCGAATCCATTTGTCGTAAACTTTAGTGATAAAAAGCTCCCGGTCGAACGCAAACTGAACCGGCCATCGCGAAGAGCTTACGGATGTAGCTGTAATTATGGAGTCAGAGTCTCGATGAACAATGAGAGACGCAGTGTCTCGGTCCATGTCCTCCAAAGCCTGTATAATTTTAGGCTGCTGCAAGATTCTAGTTTGCTCTTCCAAGGCATTTCTGTGGTAATGTAAGTAAGTTAAAGAATACTGTAAAACTGACAAACTCACGAGTTGCAAGCACTTAGCAGAAGTGTTAAGGTATGTGTCTGTTGATCAACCATCCGCTGAATTTGCTCCATGTCTTTCGTCTTGAACAGAAAGGAAAGCCTAGAACCAAGCTCTAGACCACCAGCTGCAGTCTTCTGAAACTGTGACACTTCACTATCAATTTTGCCAATGAGAAGCCGGCAGCACGTAACGCAGCTGTCCACTTGCATCACCAATTGATGCGACTGTTCGCTTGATCTGGACTCTGTCCATTTCTGTATTTCAAAAAGTGCAAGTTTGAGGAGATTAAGCTGGTTTTCGAAGGCGAACACAGCGAGGTCGGCGACTTTCCAGGCTTGTCGCATGTCACATACCGTTGAGATCGTTTTGGTGAGGACATCGATAATATTTGCAATCGCTCCCGCTGTCCCAATAATTGATAGGGGATCTGCCATGCTGACGTTACGATTGATTTATGGGCAAAGTTGCCGTGGATGTTGATAAGTAAGGAATGAGTGGGAAGTGGGCGTTTGCTGAAGCCCCTGAAATAATCTGACGTGGCGGTTCGCAAATCTGCCTCGCGAGGCTGTGCAGGATTGGAATTTCGCCAAGCCAATTGACAAGGCTGAGAGCCATTATCTTCATGCAATTGTAATTTCTAAAATAAAGTGAATTTATTATTATTTAAATTTATCTTACTACATTCCGCACTACGTGAGCTTAGCTTTCATGTGCAACTGAGTTCTCTATACTGATTGAAGCTCTCAGCCTCAACTGCAAATAACTTAGGTATTCATTGAATCAGTGCCCTAGTTATCGTATAGGGCAATGCTTTCTACTCCCCTTCACCTTATAGTTACCTCAAGAAACCAAATATTGCTAACTTATTTATTTATCTCTATTACATTACTAAGGCAACACTTGATTATCGACACAGGCATTTGACAAGTCCTAGGCCTTGGCACTTCTAGTAGAGACAAAAATGTCTCCTCACTGAAGGGTCTGCCGGTAACTCGACTTATCGAAGCTGTTCGTACAGTTCGACAAGAAACTCATCGGGCCAATTTTACCTCTTAAATGTCTGCATTGCATAGTTCCCCAGAGCCAGTGGGTGATAAGAATGAAGAAAGGTTGAAAGAGTCTCTCTCCGCCATTGACCGATGATGATAGCAGTCTTTGGGACATCCGGGTGGAAGACTCGGATCGGAGAGGATGAATACCAGGGACTGGCCTTGTAATCGGTTTCCAAGCTAACCTTTGTTAGATCGTCAGTGGACACATTTGAGACGCTAAGTACCTTACCTATGGTTGCGTTTTGCCGTTAAAGCTGTGGTCCCGGGTGAGACAAGGCTCTTGATTGACTCGAGCGTTTATGAAACATCACCAGGCTTTACTAGGCCGTCATCGCTCGTAGGATCGATCTGCGTAGGGCATCCCTGAGAGGTAATTGAAACTGCAGTAGAAGTTAAAAGACCTTATTATGTACAATGATATAATATTGGTGACTTCGAAGAGCTGGTTGATATCAGGCCATGTCGTCATTTTTCACACTCAACGATTGTAGTTGGGCAAAATTGTACTGAGGAGCTTGGCTTCAAACCTTTGAGGACACATGTTGAGTAGTAACTATGTCAATTATCTACTATTTCTTTCATTGTCTGTTCCCCGGCCATTCTGTTAGCCTTGTCGCCCGCAAGAACCGGGAATGAGGAGTGACCGAGGGGATGTACCAGGCCTATGTAACTCAAATCAGCACTGGATTCATGTCCTCTTCAGGAAGGGAGAAGTATGATAGAGGCATTGACTTTGCCGGGATCAAGGAAGCCACTCTAGGCAGCAGAATAGAGAAACTCGCCCACTTTGTGATTCATCAAAGAAAAAGATTTTAATTGTCTTTGGCGTATACTATCGCACTAAATACCCCAGATCATGTAACAATTCTGGGGAAGCTGCGGCATCGAGTTCGAACAGTATACTAGGCTATCCATGCGGCATTTATCCAGAACACTGCGTCTAAGCTTTAATCAAGGCAGAAGACAGAACCCTTTCAATCCCACGAGGCAAGCATGGGTCAAGGAACGTGTTCTACTGCGGTGATCATGCCGATCTATACTCACGCTGTCGGTTCCACCGTGCCTTGTGTAAACAGTAAGGCCTTATGTTCTTGCTACGAGACCTGGCAAATGGCATATAAGCCATGGGAATGCCTCGGTGAGGAGAGAATCTTTTTATCATCAGTAACAGCTCTACTCTTCGACATCAAGATACGATCTCTTACCTCTATTGTCTTATTCCTCTCTACAGCTCTGGCGGCTGATATTCAGGTGACCTGGCGCCTCGAGAAGCATACCAAGGCATCTTCCGTGAGCGCAATGGGCTCTGATGGTAAGGTCATTGCAGAGACCTGTGGCAGTATCACCCATGCTAAGTATCGATTGAAGTCGATCGTCGGGTCTTGCATTGCCTGTGCAGATGAGATATGACCGCTATATGACTGCGACTGATTGAGATGAAGTTCGTCATGGTTTTGGGATGGGTTTTGCATCTTCTTCCCGTGACTGATGTAGTGCAGTATGTAACAGTTCTCGTCCATGTCCGCTACGAGTTCACTGAGCGCCGAACCCAGGCTTGCTTCAGGATCAGGATCGCCGTCCTTAATCATGAACGAGACAGCATCATAGCCATACGTCTTGATGAAGACATCTCGAATACGGTCACTTGTACTCTCAACTCCGAGGTGTTGTCTCTCTCTTTAAAAATGGACACAGAGAGCTCGGGCTTTCTTGTAGGGTCTTTTCGGAAAGTTAAACACGGCGTTGCTGAGACAGGCTTGCTTTAATGCGGTTTCAAACTGATCGAGGCTCATATGCTGTGGACGCCACCTATCGGGCAAGTTTGAAGTAGCCATGGCGATCTACCTTTGATAGACAGGCAATGACTAGAAGTAGTAAGTAGGTAGAGAAAGCTAGGAAGGAGTCTCTTTATGTATAAAAATTTAGGAATGTAAAATGTGGGCAAAGAAAGTATGCTTATCTCAGAGCTTACTTATGAAACTTAAATATTTTTCAGCTTCATGGGTTGGCTGTGTCGTCAAGAAGGTTTGTTGTTAATGCCAGCCGTATGGATTTAGCTGTAAGGATCAAGTTGTCATCCCCCCCTCCCGTACGACTTGAGTAAGCCCCAAGAAAACATCAACTGTTCCAATGCTGCATCCTGCTCCGTCGGTCAATCTGATTCAACATCCTACACTATCGGTTGGACTGCCAATTCCGCTGGTCCTAGCTGGATCTCAGGGGGCTTCAGCGTCAGTAAAAGCTGGATGACTGGAAAACAGTTTTTGCGTCTTTGTTCCATCTTCGGCAGTCGCCCGTATGGACCGGGACTTGTTGGCCGGCTGGGATATGAAGGGGATGCAATAAAACCTAGGACCTCTCTCCTATGTAATAAAAAGCCTTAAATAGCCTTAGGTAAACTTAGGTAAACTTAGGTAAACTGAGTATAATTTAGTATAGACTTAGAAGATCTTAGACCAAGTGTTTTAGCATCTCAATTTAACATCAGAAGTCTTCTTGCACCCTGGGAGATGTTTCGATACCCCGAAGATGACCATGAATAGTTTGTGACGGCTGGCCGCGACGTTAAGTCTCTGGGGTTGGGCAGTAAAGCATTCACCAGTGCTTTTATCCACCGCAAGACACAGGACTACCATATCGTTTTCTCGGCCCTGATTCCGAATCGATGGCTGTAGCCTGGACATCCTTGAGGAGAGTACTGGAGGCCAATTCAGCACGAATATGCCACAGGTTGGAACGGTATGGTGTGATGACGACAATACGATCGGCGGGGAACTTAACCGCCTTGGCAAAATCTTCCAGCCACACCATCATGCATGCGATTGCACGTGGGTTGTGTTTTGACTTTGTAGTGTCATCAACACGACAAGGGCAGTCCTTACAGTTCACAAAAACAGGAGACATTGTGTCCGGGGGCAGCTGCAGTCCATTGTGGTCATTGAGAAACTCCCGGATAGCGCTGGCGAAGAGATAGTTCTCTAGCGCAGCCAGCGGACCGTAGGAGAACCGAGCTTCCAGATGGCTGTAGGTCAGACGAAGTGACAGATCGAACATGCCCTGTGCCATTCGATGCTGCTTATAGAGATGAAAGGCCGGGAATCTGGCTCTCAGGCCCCAGTTATAATTTGTAGAGGGTACTTTTGATGCGGTGCCTTGAAGATAGCCAAGAAAGCTTGGCATCCTGCCCGAAGCGGTTCACCGCGGTACCATCAGGATATGTGTCTCCCATGGTTAGAAGTGTCGGCGGGAGTTGCTTCTCGTCTCCAACGACGAAGGTGGGTCGCATGGAGTTGCCATACACGATGAGTCCGTCTGTCTGATGCATGGCCGCTGCCTCATCGAACAAGGCCGCCTTGGCATACCAAGAGTACGATGTGCGTGATGTGAGCATCAGCTGTCAGGTCTATCAACTCAAAATAACACCCTTATAAACTCAGTCCAGGCTGTAAACCAGGGCATACCAAGCATGGAACCTGTTGTATGGCTGCGAACCTGCCATAGCCGGTGTCACTGTCACAAAGTTTGTGCATCGGACAACATCACGCATCAGGCGACTTATATCATTGCCTAACGCGAGCTTCTTTCCCTGAGCTTTCTGACGCTCTTCGTACTCAGTGAAAGTCATGGTCTTGCAGGCGATTTGGACAAGATCGGTGAACCCCTTAAACGTCTTCTTTATCGTGAGCCTGACCTCGGAATCGGAACAGTCTGAACTATCGTCATCCGTAGGGAATGAGGGACCAGCATCAGCGAGGCGTTGAAGCTTCACATATTGCTTGCCCAAATCTTCATTCTCTCGATCAACATCTAGCCTTTCCACGCCCTCTAGTTCAAAGCCAATGGCACGAGCTGTCCACCAACAGAGAGAATGGTGAAACTTCCAAGGCGAAGGATCTAGCTCATCATCCTCTTTCACCGGATGACCACGGAGGAGCGACATGAGTTTCCCGGGCTCTTGGTGAAGAGCAAAGCCACGCACCGACATTGGGATACGAGGCTGAGGGCCTCATTTCGACAACTGCTCTCAGCACCCTAGCTTCTTAGAGGGGCTATCGGCTTAAGCCGATGGAAGTTTGAGGCAATAACAGGTGTGTGCTGCCCTTAGATGTTCTGGGCCGCACACGCGCTACACTGACGGAGCCAGCGAGTAGTTGAGCAATGTCGGAAATCCGTTCCTTGATATTGTCGCATGCGATATTCGAAGGAGCAGAAATGATGCACTGGGAATGGCTCTCACTGAGCCCAAGGATTGAAGCAATCACCGCAGTGATATGGGACTTTCCAGAACCAGCCGTGGCTGAGATTACCGCCATGCTGAAGAACATCTTGGATAAATACTGTTGGAAGCGGTCGTTCATGTCTATATGTAGAAGCCTGGTCCACTGCAGAAGATGTGATGATATCGACATGTTTAAAGTAAAACGTGGGATCGCTGGGAAGAGACTTGTTGCTCTCAAGCCCTAGGTTGACAGTGGAACCCAAAGAGCGTTTTCCGAGCTGGCCAGCGATTCCGTTATCATGAGTGATGTGCGAGCTAGATGTGTTGTTTGCAGTTGAGAACTCAGCAGTCGGTGTCGTCAGACAGTGTTGCAACTGGAGGTCCTGGAGTTGGAGAAAGATTCGAGTCCACTCTCGCCTTGTCCAACGTTTGTTGGCAAGAAATCTGGTTAAGTTGCTTCGAGGCCGAGACCCTATGCGTTGGAAATGGGTATCGAATCTTCACCACTCTAGGTTGTAGAGCATGGTTCCACAGACCCAGGGCAGTCGCTGGATGCTGTATCTCTATCTGGGCTTTTGCAATGAACGGGCCAAGACGTCAGCACTGCGAATTGACTATGCTCCAATAATTAGATAATGTATTTGAGGACATTGATAGCAGACTCACCTAGCCCTCCTCGGAGATTATCAGACCGATAACCACCTTCTTTATCCTGTATATAAGTGGCAGTTCTGAGTCAGGCCATCTAAGTCCAAGCCATGTTCAGATACATCTTGGACATGCGTCTTCTCGAGCGCTGGGTCACGGAGCTCAGAACTGTCGTGACGGATAAGAGGCGCGGAACACTTTCCGTAGTTGGCCTTGATCACCTTGTCGTGGGGTTAATCGTTCCACCGATGTCTATTGATGAAGTTAGCATGCTTATGTCTGACTCCATCAATGTACGTACTTACGCGCCTCCTCGCCGTAGTGGTGTTGTATTCAAATCGACAAGGTTTATGAAGGGTGGAAGCTTCGCAGGACCCTTCAGGCAGCGAATCCGAGTACTTGTGAGCCGGTGACTGAGACCATATATAACAACTCAGAACGCGTCGAGGTCTTCGCTTTGAGTGCAATATGATATATATAAACTTTGGTATCTAAAATGTCGTGGTCAGGTTAAATCACATTCTGTTCACGGCAGAATCGGAACAGGGCCTCACCATTTGAGGAATAAGTATGTTAACGCGACACTGAAAACAAAGAGTGTTTTGTTTGCTTTTGTTTGCTGGTGAAGTGGAAGGCTTGCCTGTTTGCCGCCCAAAGGTTTCACGGCCTTGAAAGCTTTACTGCGCGTATAACGATAAAATGACGTTTGCCGGCTTAGATCCGTCTTTTGCTTGAGTAACATGCGTTGAAATGGTTGATTTCGGTGGATGTTTGTTGATGTGGAAGTGAAAGAAGAAGAGTAACCATATGGACCTGGTAAAAGAAAAAGTGAAGAGAGGCGAGAGAAACGAGCTTGGCCGCTGGTGGGAGTCAATGAAACGGTCACGTGAAAGAGGCCTTGGATGATGTGCTTTCGCGCCGTGGCACTGCTATGAACTGCACGGTGAGCATATCGACATTTGAAGTTGCTATGTGCCGGTTACGCACATACACAACTCTCTATACCTAGGTATACATCCATCAACAATCGCCCAAGAGTGTTTTTAAGTAAGGGCTTTGCCACCTACGTTGGAGTCACACCACAATAAATCAAGAATGTCAATAAATAAACATCGGTTTATGAGTTAATCATAACAATTAATTGAAATACGGGCCTTTGACGCACGACTGTTTCTGACCTCCAACTCGTACGACACTGCAAGTAACAAATCTAAGGGCCTACTCAATCACAGTAAACTTACTTGACTCTTTGTAGTGTTTGGGATATTCTAAGCTCTTCTGCCTCCCTCCTCTTGGTTTGAGTTATTGGTATGTATCTCTAGGATTCAAAATCTACCAGGCTAACGTCCCGGTTTGAGCTCATCATATTTTCAGAATAACTTGATGCTGCGACCGTCTATTCGTATTTAGAAATAGGCACAATGGCCGACAAAAAGTTCACTCTGCCGTTCAGGCTAGTACGTGAAGTATGCGAACCGGTACCATGGAATCAAGACAACTCGCACGTGTGGCTTGCTCACTTTGAAGCCGAGCAACCCATGAGCAAATGCACTCTCACTCTCGAACGTACCGCCACGCTCGTTCGCAACTACACCTATGCCGCCGCCAAGGATATGAATGTTACGATGGAAACGAAGAGTAACCGCCTGCTCGACAGAGGCTACGATTTTGACTACTACGACGGCTATGTTGGATCCCGTTTTGAGGAAATCTTCGATGACCAGGGAGTTGCACACAGCTTCATGACTGGGGTTACCCACCTCGCTGTGATGGCCGCACGGGTGCACTGGTTCATTCACGGCCTCAACCAGATAGGAGAAGGCCATTCAGTAGAGTACGACATTTCGATTTTGTATTCCACCTCTGTAGGCATATCGTTCACCACCTCGATTCCCGCAGGATACGACGACCCAGCTCGGTTCAATGCCCGCCACCTTCGCTCCCTGCGTACTCTCGAAGACCTGGGAACGTACATAACTCCATACACCTATAAACGGGCCACCATCCCCAGCCTTCAACCCGACTCCATCGATGACAACTCCAAAGTCCACGGCGACATAGGGGGTGCTTCTGTCTGAGAAGTCGAGGAGTACGCTGAGCTGCCAGTCCCGGAAGACGTGACCCTGAACGATGGCTAGCGCAGGGCTATTTCCAGCGTCATGTTGCCACCCGAAGTTCCCTTACCGACAGATATACAGCTTTGCGCGAACAAATTCACTCCCGAGGTCAGCTACATGTGCATCGTCGACAAGGTTGGAAGCGTGGTGGATCTCAGTGAACCTCCGACAGGTGCTTAAGCGGGGTTTGTTTACAAGTGTGTAGATGTCTGGAACACTGTTTCTTTCTTATCTACTTAGATAGAGCAGCCTACCAGATTTTCCATTTCTGATCACCAATAGCACAAAGTCGATTAAACAGCTGATCTCTCCGAGCCATTGCTGTGATCAAGTAGGACTTCCCATCGCTTTCAACTATTTCCAGCCCATCCGTAATCTCACTTTCCAAGGCCCATCCAGCAAGAAGCTTCGCTTTAGCTCCGTATCCAGAATATTTGTTCAGTGTTGTGATTCCCTTCACTGGTATCGTCCAAGTTGGCAGTACCTCGTGATAGCTTGAACCATCAGAATCGCCGGCTGATCTTCTTGAGAAGCATAGGCACGGAAAATCAGTGTCGGTAGTGAGATAAACATATCCCTTTTCTCCCTGCCAGCGGCATGTGAACTCAACCGGTCCAGCAATCGATGGTTCGTCCCTGGTCGATGCAGCTCCGACCCTACTCTTAGCTGATACCGTTCCAGTCTTTGCTCGGATTTTGTTGACGCCTATGACTGTCTTTGCTGCTACCTGGACAACAGGCTTGACGATAGCTAAAAGCTTGCCGCGTTTGTTTCCGCCAGTTTCATGGTCAGGGTATTCGTGGTCGTCGCCGCCAGTGTCTTGGACAATCCCAGGTTCTCCCTGGACAGCCTTTCGAATCTCCTCGGATGACGCTCCTACTGGACGGTCTCCAATTGATGCACTGAGAGCTTCGCCATCAAGGTCGTGAGGTTCCCCAAGAGGTGGACATTTTGGTTCGGGAGATGGTGGCAGAGGGGCCTTGTTACGTTCACCCTGTCGTAAAAGGGCTATAGTCAATTGGGAATCTGTTGGTATTCCATGGAACACAATTCTTTTCAAGTGTCAGCAGGATTGAGAACGATTTTGAAAGGGGCGTCAAACCTCTCCACGTTATGCTTTAGCCAGCCATAAGAGTTTCTCAAGAAGATACTACCAAAGAACCCAACCCCAAGACCCAAAGTAATAACTCTGTAAAACATATAACAGGATGTAAAAATTGACAGAATGAAAATCGGTAGGAGTATTTGCACGACTCGATGGCGGGCATTATCTCTTGGGAGAGGTGCTTTTGGATCAAGGAGACTGACCGTAAGTTGGGTGTTATCATCGCATAAAGTACCATAACTTCAGAGATCAACTTACTTTGCACTTCTCTCCCATACATCGCAGAAGCGACATGTCCAGTGCATCAAGGGTCTCATCTGACTCCACATTAGCTCCTGCATGGGCGATTTGCTCTTGTCCCAGGACGGTTTCTCGATTCCAGCAGCCTTGTCTTTCGCGGTCGCTATTCTAGTAGCTAACGACCTTGGGTCCGGAAGGTTGACTGTCTTTCCACCTCCTCTCTGGGATTCATCGTGCTGAGGATCCTTGTCGACAAAGATATTTATAGACAGCGCTACAAGACCTGTTGCAAAGTTGCTAGCTTCTCTCTCCAGAGTCTCACCTTTGAGGCTCTCTGGAGCGCCTGTAGCTGTGTCGACCGTGCCTAGGATACCAGCGGCTGGTTTTATCAAGTGGCCGCCTTGGTAATGGACTAGTGCAGGCGGGCAAGGCGGGAATAAGGTATTCCGAATTTTTGGAGAGACCAGGATGGCCATCAAACCTGTCAGTAATGTTGGCATGAGGAAGTTGAAATACCATGCACCGAGATAAACCTTAATAGTCAGCGGAGGTGTTATTTGCACGAGAAAAGGATTCACGAACTAGACAGAAGCATGATGTTCGTCTTGGTTCCCTCCAGGACTGGAGTCTCGAGAGGTGTTGTCTAAACATAATGAATCCAAGTATCTATAGCGGTCAGTATTCTTCGATGACCCCGGATTGAAACGCCTACCGCCCCCATGTAAAGTCTTTCGATTTGTGCACGCAGTTTGTTCGGAGAGAATTGCTCCTCTTCAGCAACGTTGAAATCCATCTCATCTTCCGGGTGATTTGGGGCATGTTTGAGATGGAAGACACGCTGCTTCTAATCAGGTTAATGAACATATAACTTGAGTGGTCTACTCACTTTATTGAACCTTCGGACGAGAAGCCAGATATCCTCATTCTTCATGCCATCAATAGCATAATCCTCGGGTCGTATCTGGTCATCGCCCCAGCCCACGTCTTTAACTTCGGCTGTATCGGGGATAGCATCCTCCTGTCCTTTGTCCATTGCATCGTGACGCAAAGGCGCATTCTGAACACTCGTGTGAAGGGTTGTGCTGCCATCAGCACCGTGCTCAAGGTTGGCAGCGATGTGCCTCTTTTGACATGTATTCTGATCCATAATACATGAATTCTCACCCAAAACATAAATAAAATATTTCCGCAGTGAATACGAAAACTGGAAATAAGGATACGGGGAGTCTTGACTTGGGGTAGCCAAGATCCTTAGCGCATGATGTCAGGGATGGCAATTGCGCCGCGTCGCGTATCACGGCGTCATATTGATTCAAGCAACCACTACAGGTGCATCATGCACAGCCAAGAAGTAGCGCAATCGAGGAGCTTTTCCTCCGTGATGTTCCAAATGTGGTCGGTGAATGTCGTGGCGTGCATTTGTGTTGGTCCGGTTGAGTGCATGGTTACTCATTTCCTGTCTGACGTCGGTCGCGTGAATTGACGATGTCGGAGGCTTAGGGTAGGAGAATTGTACGGGGCGAATTCTGTTCAATTCCAGTGCAAATATTTGTCAGTCTATTTGTAGAAATTTATTCAATATATTTAAATAACTATATTTTGATCCCTCAAGATTGATCGGGGTAGATTGCTATATATCTGGGTCTACTTGCCTCGTGTTTCTCTTCTTATTTGGTTGTATTGAATGTAATTCAGAATCGCCTCAACCAATATTCTTCCCCCACCATGGCATCGCGTGTCAACAAAGACGCGTTTTCATCGAAACTACCCTATTGATGGACAAATGGGCACTTGCTACTGTGTGCTTTCATCAAAAGTTTGCCCAAATTTCCAATTGTCGCGTGTTGAACTTGCAAGTGTATAAACAACACGTCTTCATTAAGGAACGGAAGTAATTCTGGTATCTTGACATTATTGACGTGCAAAGACAATACTAACTACGATCAATTAATATTAGGCCTTCACTTCCAAAATTTCATTCTTCTCTAATGCCTTCTTTCCAATATCGACCATTTCCGCATTGGACAACGTATCCTTACCGAACCCAGTGATCGACTGTTCAATTAGTCCAGCGACCAACTCCGTCCTCCCAATGTTCGGGATGTTGATGACAGCATGTGAGAACCAACGCAGCCCTTGTTTCAAGAAACCCATATCCGGATCGTTGACCATTCCTGACTTGGTAACGAGGACCTGCATTCTCCCGTCCGACAGATGCGCGCGTTCGATGATCTGTTTCTCTACCTGGCCCTGGACTTACTGTTAGCAATGGAACGGCTGCGATGTGCTTCAGAACGTACACGAAGAAGACAGTAGTCTCCAAGAATCCATGGCTTCTTTGCAGGATCTCGTTCGGCGTTGCAACCGCTCACGTAAATGAATCGCAACGGGTCCGGATTGCCCTCGCGCGGAAGCTTCGCAAATGTGTCGGCTGCATAGAGCGCATACTCATAGCAGATCATACGGACCTGGTCCCAGTCGTACTGCTTCAATTTGCCGGGCGTCACTCCGATAAGCCTGCACGGTTAGTTGTTGTGACATTGAGAAGCTGGTTGGACGTACCATATGCAAGCATCTGCCCCAGAGATCTCATCCTTGACGTATTGCGGGTAGTTCTTAAAGTCGGAACAAGTAACAGACGTGAGCTTAGACTCGATTTCTGGTGTTTGTAGGTCTTCGGCGAGATCGTGGTCGTGACGCGATAATGTGACGACGGAGGTGATCTGGGGGTGCAGGAGCGCCTGGCGGACGACTTCCTTCCCAATAAACCCTGTTGAGCCTGCGATAACGACCTTCATTTCGACGATAATGGAATACTTGAGGCGCAACTTTTTATTCTTCAACTTGGAAACTCCAGCGACTTAAATATCGGATGTATCAGTGATCGGGTCGACAAATCCTCATCTGACGACCTGAAAAGGTCCCATGCGCCGCCAATATTTATAAGACTCGTTATCGCTCCCGTCGTCATCTCCAAGAAGCCTCAATTCTCCGAAAGCCACAGGATCTGCACTAGCATCGATCTCATCAACAAACAAGCTCATGAGGCTTGCTCTATTCAATTCAGCATGCCAGAACCAGGAGACTGCAAGGTCCGATTCCCGGATTTACGGCGCCGGATCGGGTATCGAGTGCGAGATCCATTACAGAAGGCATTCCACCCACTCTTGAACGGGCAATTTATCGGCAGGGTCCAGAGATTTGGGAGCAGGTAAGCTTGTATTGAGTTTACACATAATCCGTGGCTTTCTGGATGCAAATGTGATCATTCCTGACTGTCGAAACAGTGCGCCTCAACCACAGACGATGATCATGTCAGCCTGGTCGATGTGGAAGCCGAGTCTGCCTTGTTCAGTGCAAATCTATGCAGGATGCGATACCGAAGCTGCAGCGCTGTAATTCCGCTTCCCCACCTCAGCGCCGCCTGATTACAGTGTCTCGGTCACTGAAGATGGCAGGCTTCATGCAAGGCATTCTGCCCGCCTGATTGAGGCGACAGTCACCAATTCGAAAACCTTTGTCGCTTCATGAACTTCATCATGTAATGGTGTGTGAATAGATTCATCTCAAGATGCCTTCGCTTCCCTCGTTTCTGTCTCGTTCAGTGCCGGCATCCAGCGGCAGCAGCGGTGTGATCACTGATGCCCCTGCGATTCCCAGCACCCGCCTGGGTCCTGCAGCCGACCTGCTGGAAACCGAGCTGCTTCGAATGTACTGGGAAGGAGTCGAGCGCGAGCTGCCTTATTTGCTGTTGACATTCGGGCGCTGGCAATCACGTCAAGACACATGCGAATTCCTCCCAGAGGAAGAGGAAGACTTTATTTATGGTTATGATACTTTCCTCGATTCAGTTTCCGATATTTCTCGCCAATTTCATGAACGCAACAAGAGAAACCAACGATCAAAACGTCCAGACAAGAAAGCGAAAAAAGACACAAAAGCGCCACCTTCATACGATGAAGTCCTTCGAGACCGTGGCTGGGATATCTTCGCCGACATTAAGAGCAACAGCATCAAGGGCGGTATAAGAAGAGGCCTCAGTGAGCGCAAATTACTGGACCCAGCGAGACGAAGAGCCCGCATGCTTTTTCAATCAGCACAATTCCTCGACATCGACAAGATTATCGAGCATCGCGAACCGGAGAAAGCACTATCGTTCTGGAAAAGACCTGCCTCTGCTCAAATTCGGCTCTGGTCATATGACGATTTACACCAGCCGGTATTCGTCCCCCAGCTTTGCTCCGAATGCAAGGCGACGATTCGGGGATGCACCTTTCAGGACACTAGCGACGAAAATATTGTCATATGCGAAAGCTGTTATCGAGCGACACATTATGGCCAGACACGCTTCGTTAAGAAATACAAAGAATGCTGTCTACCTACAGCCTTGACGCCAGAGATCAGTCGCAAGTTGTGCTATTGCAGTACAGTTCGTCGACGGGACAAAGATGGACGCTCCCGGTCGCTTTGGCCGATTGATCCCTCGCTCGACGAGGGCCATCATGTCAAAGGTGGGCTTGGTCGTGTAGGATGTGGATTGTACACAGTCACAGACCTCTTTGCAGAGGCAAAGTATGCGTCTACACGATCACAGTTTGGCAAAAACGACAGTCTACTTCAGTTACGAAAGAAGGACCCTGTAGGAGGCGAGCTTCCGAAACCCGTCGCCGTGACCAGGAAGCAACCAAGTCGATTGGGACATCTCAACGAGACCTCGGTACCGGAATATGGCTATTCTTATGGGTTCAGTACTAATGAGCCGGAGAATATCCCGATATACTTGCGGTCGACTATTGAGAAGTATCCTTTCGGAAACGTTCATATGGCAATCCGTGTTGGCCCTCTGATCATTGAGAATGGTGTCGCAAAGTAAGTCGCCCGACTCATCATTTGACAGAAGCTGACAACTCAGTACTATGGGCGGCGTCCTTGTCACCAGTCGAGATCCGCCTTCATTACAAGTCATCCGTGATCCCTCGGAGAACATCACCAAATCCCTTCTTCTCACAGGCGAGAGAGATCGTCTTCTCTACCTGCAGGATAGACCGCGACACCCGAAGCGATACAAGGCCTTCATGAAGCAAGTCGTCGGAGGGGCCTTTTGCGATTTCTTCGAATCTGGCATTGAAGATGAGCTTATTGACGCCTTCATACATGAATCCAATTGTCTGACCGCGGACGGATTGACTTTTGCAGAGCAAGAAGCCATGCTTGAGCGGAGTACCAAACGTCTGCTTCTCCACGTCAAAGAATATCTCGCATCGAGGGTTCAGGCGTACATCTCGAGCATCACTGCCCATCTTCTTGACCCAGAGGTCCAGCTTAAATGGCATTATCGTGATAATAATTGCCAGGCATTCTGTGATAAATTGATCGACCGCGACATGTTCGGTCCTCTCTTTGCCCCCAGGACAGCGGTAAGCCAACCAATGCCGCTGTACTTGATGAGCTTCGTGTGTCGACCTGGCTCAAATGTTCCTACACGGGCATTCTCTAAATACGACGTCCCAAATGGTCTTACAGAAGAATACCTCCTCAAGTTCCGCTACGGACGCCACGATGACTCTGACATTATAGATACGCTCGCCGAGTACTGGACAGACTGGGCTTGCCTGGAAGGACCAATTTACCCATATCAAGATGTCTTTCCATGGGATTGTACCGAAGCATATGATCGGTATCCCGGAAACTGCGGCGATTGCAACATTTCGAAACACGTTCTTGCCTTCCCGTTTGACTCTTGGTCTATCGCGTCTCTGCATCTTGCGCGAGGCCGACAACTGTATCCCGCCAATGCACAGCTTGGCATCGGAAAATCAGCAGAGAAGCGGACATCCCCAGGCATAATGACAGACACCGACTGGTTCAAGAATCGCATCACCGTACTACTCGGCCAAGACGTCCTCCTCACAACTGCGGTCGCTATGGCAAACTCAAGTCAATTCCGAGCATCAACAACGTGGCTCACCAATCATGAGGACGAGACCATGGATAGACTCAAGCTCGGCGGCATTCATCGCGCACAGCCTTTCAGTCACCACTTTGAGAAAGGCGCTTACCATCAATACTTTGTCGCCGACTGGGCCTTCCTCGCTCAACCGTTACGACTTGTAGAGTATGAGAAGTTCAGGGACTGGAGAGCAATCAAGACCGATGTTGGTACAAATACGTCAGATGATAGTGGCGGAGGAGGATGCGGCACCGGGCCATTCGCCTGTGGTGCGGTAGCAGCAGGATGTGCAGCAGGATCTCCAGGAATGGCTGGGGACAGCTGTGGAAGTGGATGCGTATCAAGCTGCGGTGGCGGTGACGGTGGTGATGGAGGATGTGGTGGTTGCGGAGGATAAAGCATAGCACTCTCCTAAGTTCTGTCTGTTGATTTAAGCTCTCAGCCACGAGTCACTCTACATCAACCATATACGAATCTTATACATGAATCTACATCAATTATACACAAGTCATATACATTGAGTCATATACTACGTATGATGTCCCGCCCAATGACACTCATGTTTTCCCTTCCCACAAAACCACCACCGAGTAGACCTTTTCCCTATAGGCCACATGCATATCGCGCAATCGACATTCCTTGGCAATGTTCTGCTGAGATAAAACTCATCCCTCTTCTCCCTCATCTCGGTGAGTTTCTCCCCGTCAAGCTTGATACAGTATCGACATAGGTATGAACCGCCATCTTCCCATTGCGGCCCGCGGAAGGAACAGTAATTGATATGCTGCATCTCGAGATCTTGCATATTCCACTTCGCATTGAATGGAGCTGCACCGCCAGGAGCGGAAATCAGGTAGCACATTGTACAGACTGCGTAACAATGCGTGAAATGATCCTTTATACGGGACGATCTGATTCGCTGTTTCGGGGCTCTGCAGGTCTACGATGATGTTAGCATTGAGAAGTGAGACGTGCCGGTGTAACTTACGTCGCATATCACACGTTCGCATGACCAGCATTCGCTCTTCGTCCCTTTGAGACACGATGCTATACATAGAGACTCTATTCGGTCTCGGCGAGAGTCTGGATCCATCAAGGGATAGAATATGGCAGTGCGCATCAATTTGGATGTGAGCGATAAGTTTACCATGTCGTCGTAGTGAAGGTGGCTCGCGACTCGCTCAGCGATGCCCTCGTTTTGTAGCATGATTGCCAATAACCTTTCTCGACCCGAAGTCTTCTGCGATAACAGTCGATTGATGTCATGCGGCCATCTCTTCACCGGTTTGTGCTGTATTGGTAGGAAGCATCGTCTGAGTACAATCGCTGGGACGCTGATGAAGCGAGGAAATGCGGCGAGCGGGAACAACAGAACGTCCTGACTAGCAAGAAGGATTATTGTGAACATTGTCATGATCTTACCAAGACTTGCTCCGAATGTCCAGTCTTTGGATCCTGTAGGAATCGGGTTCCGGCAGACTTCCACAATCAAGAACAGAATGATAGCCCAGTCAACGCACAAGATATAAAAGCAACCGCGGCTTCTCTGGGACGAGTTCCATGAGCCCAGCGATCCTTGGCTCTTGCATGTCGTCGCAATTATTGCGCTGACAAGAGGCCATAATGTCAACCAGATGCCCTGCAACCGTTAATACGCATGTCGCAAATTATCTAGAGTTAGTTACTCACGAGAAATTGACGTCCTCTGTCTAAATGTCCCAGGCTATACCAAGGACTAAGTACTACCAGAGAGCCGTACAGGCAGAGGGGGATAATCGACCAGAAACGAAGCCGTCCAAATGTCCTTGCTGTCCTGCCACAAATGCTAGCTATGTTGACGAGCATGAGGATACCCCATGTTATCATAAAGATCGAGAAGAACGCTTTGTGTAGAGTATTCATGATTGCATTATACTGTTAGCATGAACTGTGATAAGGTTGTGGGAGGTTAAAAGAGGCTTCAACCCCCAGGATACAGTGGTGTTGATGTTGCGATGTGAATGTCGCAGCTCAGTCAGTAAACTTACAGTGGGTGGCCAGTAGCGGAATAACCCCGCGATGATCGACAGGTCGAGAACGCCTGGGCACTCTGCCTCTCTAGCCGGGCGTAGGATGACTTTGTTTCAGGGCGCGCGATTGGTGAGATTGCGAAGCTGACAAGCAAGGGTGCTTGAGACGTGGTACACTTTTTGTTTGAGGCGAGGCGAGGCAGTTTTGGAGGATTGCTGGCAGACTGCTTGCCCGGCGCCACCTGGATCGCCTCATTTTGCGGCACTGCCCAAGAAATAAAGATGTCCACAAAGAGGAACCTGAATCGTGAGAAACGTGATATTTTCTGATTTATGCTGCAAAATGGCTTTGGAGCATCGGCTTACTAAACTTTCCCTCCATGAGCAGGGGAAGGACATGGTCTCAGGCTCATCGCGTCCAAAAAATCCGAACGGCCTACCATACGAACTCGCCGTCAAACCAGAGGACTTTCCAGTAATCCCAGACCCTGGCATCTTTGAATTTACGACACCAATCAGTGTCAAAAATGAGCCTTCAAGACGACGGATGACTCTGGACTTGGCTCTGCCTACTCTGTCTGAATGCGCGGCCCACCTCGAATTCCTGGAGACGCTCTTCATCTTGAGGCAGAAGATTCTAGTTTCTAAGGAACTTGACGATGTTATGCAGACGAAACCTGTGAGGGAGACCAAGACGGGGGCTCAGGGAGATGAGAAGACGCTCAAGGATGAGAAGCTTTGGGAACGAAGACAGGCGAAGTGGCCGAAATTTGTTGAGCTTGCTACAGTTCGCTTTCTTGCATGGCGAAAACACTTCAACAAGTCTTCGGCAAGAGAAATAACGCGAGACAATCTCCCGCCTCTTGACATTCTTATGGTTTGGCATTCATTCCTTCTCAACCCTCGGCTGTTCTTTAACACCTGTTCAGAAGAACCTCTTTTCTCAGTCAAGTTTCCCTGGAAGCACATTCACCATGCCATTAATAATACAGAGTGGGCTTTCACCCTACCTCCAGCTGCAGCAGCGAACTATGAAGAGGCGTCGGGCTTCGCACCAAATTTGTTCAACGATATACTTTCATGGAAGGACCTCACATACCTGACGCTCATTCGTATGTCGGACACCGGGTTTGGGGTCAGTGGATATAGACCCACGATACACGAAAGCCCGTGTAAGGAGTACTCACAGCTCTTTCAAGAGTATGACTCGGAATTGGCGAAGCAACTGAGAGATGCTGTTATTCGCCAGGCATCGTTTGTTGATAAGATGAATTCGTTCATGTGGATTCGAAGTCCTAGCCTTCAGGGAACAATTCGGCGAGCTATTGCGCGGTATCAGAACTTCTGCAAGCTCCTCAAGATGTCGAAAACCACTGTTGTGCCAACGTTGGATATTGATCTGGTCTGGCACACTCATCAGTGTACAGCCAAGTATTACGGACAAGTGATGAAGGTGTTGGCCGGAAAATTCGTCAACCATGATGACACCATTGAGAAGCCACAGTTAGGTGATGGTTTTGGCGAGACGAGGAGATTGTATCGAGTGTACTTTGGACAAGAATATCGTGTCTGTGGGTGTTGGGACTGTCAGGCCCTGTTGACGGAACTTGAAAGGGCTGTGGAGGACGGACAAGACGTGGATATGGATAAGATCACGGCGAAGGTCAAGGAGGATGTGTTCTATTATAGGGCTGTGGAATGGTCGAGGAGACATAAAACGAGCTTACCAATGCGGCGGTCATGAGAGTGGACCAAGTGGAGCATGGAATCTTCTTTTACCTTATCCCAAGTATAGTCATGCAATTCCCTTAAGCGAAGTGAAGGGGGCCATTGAAATTCAAACTTTTCATATTGAGGTGATTTTGACAGCCCCGGGTCTTGACGGTATCTGGTCCCTATTACACAGCCAGCTTGGAAACAGCACAGACTGTCGATGTGTACCAACATGAGCCAAGTATTGTGCCAAGTAAATGGATATCTAAAACATTTGGTCCATGGTTTCCGGCTGCTGTCAAGTGACATTTCATACCTTGATCATTTAAAAGATGAAGCACAACGTCTACCCGTAGAATGAGCAGATCATAGCCACTAAAAAAGGAAAACCTGGAGAAATTACTGAAACTAGCTTGCAATTTTCCAGCTAAAGCAAATACTATAACTAAGTTCTTTATAGTAAATCTGACTAAGTTCTATCTACTGATTTAAGCTCTTGACTATAAGTCCTAACTATAAATAATATATCTAAGGTAGCTTATAACTTAGTGTTACGATTGGTGCCCGTAACAGCGCTGTACGGTAGCACACCTACAGTTGCTTTCATAGCGATTATGGCCCGATTTTTTGCCCTGTGGTTCAACGCCTTGTGCAACCGTTACACGATAATCGCTGTTAGCGGGTGGCCCGAAGGTCGAGGGTTGAGGGTGAGTCCCCCTTCCTTTGGTATAGCTGCTCACAAGGGTGATTTCTGTAATCTCGGGCTATAGTTTCTTGGCTTCGCCGCTGTCAGGCCACCGGTAACGTACGGGATTACCATCTGGTCGAGAGGTGATCCAGGTGCCGTCGCCCAGGGGTTCAAAGTCATATCCTTCTTGAGAGTGCGCCTCGAAGCAGTCACTCACTGTGCCAGTCCGCAAGTCCACTCTATGGAAGTTGCGCCACTCCTCTCCATCATTCCACCCGTTCACAGCCACCACTGCGATATCTGAGTCAAGAAATCCGCCGATGTAGTCTATCTGCAACTCATCTTCATTATCGCTCTCATTTGCATATCCAAGGTCCTCAAGGTTAAGGCGCAATACCATCTCGCCATTTGGAAATAATTGAAATGCGACATCGACTCCAACGTGGTTAACAGTCATGAAGTGCCAGCCATTAGGTGCTATATCAATCAGAACGCGATCCTCAAACTCGTACTTGTAAAATCCGAAATGATCGCCAGCGACAGTTGCCCGGAACATGCTACTCCCATCCTGGCCTTCGCCAACATCTAGCAAGATGTGCTGACCGTCGGGGTGAAGAACATGCTGCCCTCCATGCCCAACAGTCCCCAGAGACATCTCCGCGAGCACCTTGCCCGTATCAGCACCCAGCGCCACCCATTTGTCGTCACCTCTATTAGCCATGGCGTCAGGACGGTACACCCAAACTGTAGACCCATCAAGGGAGAAGACGCTGTCTGGGACATGACCGTGGAGCACGGTCGAGTGAGGCTCGAGCTCGTAGCGCCACAGCACGCCGCCATCCTGGCCGACGCACACCACGCTATTACGGGTGCAATAGACAGCGCGGCTTAGATCCGAGGCGACATCATAAGCTAGGATCTTGTGAATCTCCTCGTTGGACTCGGGCTCGGCCTTGTACGTTGCTGCAGGTTCAACAGGTCCTATCGAGTTATCCGGCTCCTTAGACACTCGGTAGGCGCATATACGCCCATTCAGATAGCGTGTGACTGTCGACTTCATGATTGGAGGTCTAGCACCAAATAAGTGAAAAGGAATCACGAAGAGTAATGTTGACTGAACTGACAGGTAAATCCAACTTACTTCTAACCGATATTTGACCGCATCTACGCCCTTTACGACCTAATGAGAGGAAGCGCTTACGCTATATATATGCCCCATATTTTCCCTCCAATCATAAAGAATTATCATCACAGGACCTGCTTGACCTATCTTACAGACATCAAGAGCTTTCACAGAGAAATCAAGCATGATTTACCAATGGAACAATATGCGTTAGAGTTCTGGATGAATTATGCTGTTTCGAAACAGACTTCGGGAGACATTATTCGAACAACAGGCAACTTTTCACAAGACAAGACGACATTTCTGTAGTGACATCAATTGCATCAGGTCGACGATGCATGAAATGAAAACCCAGGGCCCCCTCAATCATCTGGTCTATAATATGCTTGTCTGGACGGACTCGCAGGTGCTGTATGAGACCTGATTTTTAAAACAAAATGGGTTGGTTGTGTTGTTGTTAGTTCCAAGTTACATATATCTGAGAGGAGCTGTGCTCCTTACATACCTTAGGTAGTATCTACATCCTAGCCACCATGAAATCGGACAATCTTAGTTATGCTGTCCCAACAGCCCTTCAGTAATACTATATATAAGGTAGCTCAAATGGGTTGCCAGGTTACGCGACGTCCCCTGCTCAGGTTAGGTCTCAATGATCAGCAGTGAGTGTCTTCCATAAGCTGGCAGTGCAGTGCAGGTGTGTATCCGCTCTCTCGTTCATCAGTGTCGGCTAATTATAGTATAGGAATTCTAACAAACACCAGTAGGTAGTCAAGTGATTAGGGCTACCTGAACATTCAACACATTCTACACATTCTACCCAGGTCGCTGCCAAAATTCTTTCTTCATCGGCTAAATCCATCACGGTCGACATTCCTACCCTCTTTTCTCTTCCTCTCCCGTCTCAAAAATCTCAACATTTCTCTATCATTTGCATCTTCATCTTGAGAATTATCCTCTGCTTCGCCTAGACGTACATTCGTACTGTGCGAAGAAGACAGACAGTATTCGAGTCCACTTGTCTTCCCCAGCAAGACATTTCGGAGTTCTACTATATTTGCGTGGTCTAAAGACTTTCAGTCAACGCTCTCCGGCTCCTATTATAGGCTGTCAGTCTTCCTCTTGATATCAAAGTGTGCTTTAGACAAAATCAACTGACCATGTACTCTTCTCACAAGGATTCAGACATATCACCGATTCCCAAGCGACACGCGACTTGGCAAAATCTCCAAATTTTGATACGCTACATCTTGCTACACTTGTAAGAACTTCCGTATCGATCGCGTGGTTCACCAAGCTGACTGTCTTGTCAGAGCACCATGGCTAATGAAAGCGCCCCAGCTGAAGGCCACACCGTGACTCTGTCCATTACCCGGGAACAAGCTCTCGCCCGAGTAGGCGAGGTCATCAGACAGCTACGAGATGCATCAGTCGGCCGAAAGTCATTCAAGCCTCAGATGGAACGCTTGATGGATTTCCATACCTTTTCGGTTCTTCCTCTGGGTATCAAGATGAGAGTGCACAGCTAGTATCAAGTGTACTCTCCAGAGTCTCAGGAACGTATCCAGAGATTTGAAGGTGTCCTGAACGAGGATATCAGCCAGATCTCCTGGAAACACCAGCTCCCGGGTGAGCCAATTGACAAACAAGACGAAGGCCTTGCTGCATCCCCCATGAAAGTTCTCGCCGACATTCTCTACCAACTCAAAGGAACCGATGAGCAACTCAAAGGAACCCAGGCGCAGCTCAGAGGAACCCAGGCGCAGCTCAGAGGAACCCAGGAGCAACTCAAAGAAACCTTGGTTCATGCTGACAGGGAAAAGCTCAAGTTCCAGAAGAGTGCCCCGCAGGAGATCGTCGATGACTTCAAGACGATTTACGCTCAGTATGGCATGGCAATTCCCCGCGAACTCCTCAACATTGCTGGCTACATCCTCACCCCGGACCAACACAAACAGGCCCTGGCTGCCCGGGACACGGAAATCATGGCAGATGCCTAGACGCATCGAAGGCGTCCAAGTCCTGAGTTTCTTGCACAGCTTGACTTTCAGCACTGATTCCCAGTGCAGGATCGTCGCTTTCGCCTCACTCGTTTATGTCTTTCGCAAGTCCTTTTTCTGTCTGCCGAGACCAGCCTTTGACCCTTTCCGATTTTTTGGGGAGGGCCCAAGTAGTACTCTACACTCGATCGGCCCAATATCGCAAGAGCATTTGCTCCGGCTATACCAGCTCTCAAGCACGGGAATGTGGGCGGTGGTGTGCTACTGTTTTTAGGCTGAGTTCCTTTCACCGTGTCTACATACTAGTCACTTAATAGATAAAATTTCTTTCAATGAAACTCTCATCAATAGGTGACGGTTAAGTCTAGTGATATGTGCTACTCGTGATTGGTTGCTACAAAGTCAACTAATATTGGGCATCTGTCTTGGGTGCCCTGTGTCGAACGGGAAGACTAAAAGTTTAGTAGGGTCATAGCGGTATATTACAGTGGATATAGGCCTGCACCTTCAATAATCTGCTGCATCAGCCAGGAGACCGACCTTACTTGGGTGGAGCGGTCACAGTGCGAGCATCAGTTTCGCAACGCGTCGTTCTTGCCTTGGCCTTTTGTCCTTTTTCTTCTACCAAGTCCGCCATTTGGTTCCAAGCCATGCCTATAAAATTCTTCTCCAAACAATTACCGATATCTATAGATCCGTGGTGTTCCTGCTCGAAGCAATGGCATAGTGTGGCGGTATGCGTTTGTTGTTTATCGATCAAATGTGACTGATAATAGCCCCATTGTTGTTCCGTGGGTTTGAGCTTGTCCAGTCTCGTCACGCTAAGCGGTCTCGATTGGACCGTGGTTGTTTCAGCCGAACTCCGACTTGTCGGCACCAGGCGATTTCACGAGACAAGATAGGTTACAATGTAGGAGCTTGTGGAAGGGCTCAATGGCTTTTAGGACTGCCTCCGATGAGGCTAACCATATTTAGCTGAAGAGCTGATCTTGAATCGGACGCCTGCTCCTCGACTTGAATATTTGATTACCCTGCATTGTTTTTGTTTTAGAACTATGTAAGATGCAGATGAGTTTATAACGACTAAATCTATTCTTAACTCGGATTAGTTTCGCCATCTGCTTGACCCTTTTCTTTGTCTTAGGCTTCTCAACCGCCACCACTCCTTTTCATCATCGCTATTTCTCCTCAACCTCTTTCAACATTCTCCCCATCAAAGCTTGCTTGCTCTTTATTCCTTCTACGATCTCCACTTCCCTTACGAAGTTTAGATTGCAAGCAAGTCGTCAGTATGTCCCTCATCAACGCCTCACCTCCTCTTGAGACTCCAGCGAACTCTTTCCCTAAGCATATCATCCCTTTCTCTCAAAGCTCCAGAGCTCTTCCTACCACATCTCCCATCCCTCATGATCTCCATTCGGACTATCAGAGGAAAACAACCACGATAGATTCTCACATTCGATAAAAAAAGACTGAAATAGACTACTAGTTGCTCCCGAAGAAGGACAAATCGTACAATAAAAATGCTAAATGGGCGCTCGAGTATTCTAACATCTATAGCTTCGCCCCTTCGGCGCGTCTCTTCTCACGCTCCTTATCCCTGAGAAGTCGGCGAAGGATCTTTCCACTTGGGCTCTTGGGTATAACCTCTAGAAACTCAACACCTCCTCTAAGCTGCTTATAGGAAGCCTTGTTGTCCGCGACATGCTTCATGATGTCGTTCGCCACCTTGTCTTCATCCAAAGACTCGGCCAAAGAACTCTTCACTACAAAAGCCTTTGGTACCTCTCCCGACCTCTCATCAGGTACTTGGATCACAGCACAGTCAAAGACATGAGGGCTCGTCAGAATATGAGCCTCGAGTTCCGCGGGTGCAACCTGATGGCCCTGCTAATTGTCAGTATTGGCTTCGTCAGGCGGAATTAGTTCACTTACCTTGACCTTGATGAGTTCCTTGATTCTATCTACGATCACAATATGCTCATGACCGGACGGGGCCAAGGTCACAATGGCTTCATCTCCAGTGCGAATATATCTGCCATCCTCGTGATGAACAAAGGTTTCAGAGGTAGCTTTCTCGTTGTTCAGATAGCCCAGCACAACTGACGGGGCTTGAACGAGTAGTTCCCCTGGTTTGTCATACTCAGTGACTTCTTTGCCCTCAAGATCAATGATCTTGGCCTTGGCACCCGGCAATAAGGATCCAGAGCCTCTTGTGAAGACATCATCTTCACTTGAAGATGTCACGACAGTTGCAGTTTCCGTCATCCCTTGTTCCTGTCAGTCATTTTTCTTGGGAATCTATGGTGGATAGACATACCATAGGCCTGGGCAATCGTCCAATCGGGATAAAGATTCTTCATGTCCGAAATTGTTTCCTCGCCGAGGGGGGCCGCACCACAGTAGACAAACTTAACGCTGCTGAGGTCATACTTGGCACAGATATCCTTGAATCTTAGGACTTGAATAATGATTGGTGGTACCTGACAAGACTGTTAGTAATGATAATGTGTCTCAAAAGCCCAGATAACCTAACCACCAGCAGCTGCCGAATCTTGAACTCCTGAACAGACTTGAGGAAGTCGTTGAACTCAAACTTTGGGAGAACAATGACCTGATCACCTCGCCATGTGCAAGTATGAGCACCAATAACAAGGCCGTAAATATGAGAGAAGGGCAAGAAGCCTGTGACTGCTTGAGTTACTACACCCTTCTTCCGTCTGGCAACAGAGTCATAGGTTACATGTTGTAACACGTTTGAGATGACATTTCTATGAGATATCATCACCGCTTTCTGTATCATATTAGCATCTATCATAGCTAGGACGGGAATGATCTTACCGGCAAGCCTGATGTTCCACTTGAGAAGCATAAAAAGGCTGTCTGGCGTGCACCTTGACCTTGAACCCACTGGAGTTTCTCCAATTGTTTAAGTTTCGAACCTTCGTTGATGAGATCCTCTACAGAAGCATGTTTGAAACTGGAGGTAGGCTTAGATCGTGGTATATCGAACAAGTAGACGTTTTCGTCTGCTATGCCCACATTCTTGGCTGCCTCAAGTGCCACCTCGAGTAGAGGTGTACAAGTAACTAGAGCTTTGGCTCCTGATGCCTTGAGCTGGTGAGTTAGTTCATCAGAGGAGTAAGCAGCATTCGCTGGCGTAGCTATGCCATTGAGTCGATGAACGCCATAGATGGCAGTTACGAAGTCGATCTAGAGTCATGTATCAGATAGCTGTCCTCATACAAACGGGCATATACGTACCGTGTTCAAAGAGAAGATAGCCAAAACCTTATCCCACGGTGTTCCCTCATTCGGTTGCCATTGAAGGCGCTTTGCCAGAGCTCTTGCAAAGAACTCTGAGCGCTCGAATAGTTCAGGTGCTGAGTATGAACGACCAGTGATACCGCAAGTAAAAGGATGTCTACTCTTGGCGATAGGTTGGCGACCATACGCCTCGTTCTTCATAAACTCAGCAATAGGTATCGAATCCGGAGGATCTTCAATATGTCAGCAACGGGAAGTTTCGTCAATTAAGGCACGCGACTCACCAATTGGGAGCTCAGGCACCCAGCTTGGAGAAGTGAACACCATTTTGATACGAGGTCCTTGTTTCTCGCACGTTAAAACGCGTTTTGCAATATGATAGGTTAGAATGATATTGAGACAGCCAGAATGAATTTCTTATTGAAGGACATCGGCAAGCCAGCGAGTCAGCGACCTAACGTCATGAAAACAATTGTGGTGGAGTTCTTGGCGGAGCTACACTCTTATAGGAAAACCGAGAGCATTGCCATCGAACATAGCGGCCAATCCCCCGCATTCTCTGGATTTTTAGAAGTGGGTTTCTAAGCCAACCATAGGTTCTCGTTGCCTCGCAGAACCTCGGTAGAAAATCCTACCGAGACGCGTCCCTGTCTAAGGTAGGAAACCGAGCTGACTACAGTTCTGAGAAAGCCGAATAATAGGAATTGATTTAGGCTGGACTACTGCTACCAACACCCCGGTGAAAGAAGACAACCTTGCTTACCAAAAACATTGATCAAATTCACTATGACTGTTACGAATTCCGAAAGAGTGCCAGCAACCATGTTTGCGTGGAGGAAACACAAAGGAAGTCCGAAGCCGGTAATATACGCTCCTGATTTTCATAAAGTAATAAATTAACATATTCGAGGTTTTTGAAGAGGTGCCCGTTCCCAAAGTGTCCCCAAATGGCATTCTTTGTAAGATGCTGGCATCTGGCGGTATGAACACCCCCCTCTGGTCATTGACTGACACCTGACCAATACTCTAGTTTGCAGAAGCGATCATTCTCTCCTCACGATAGAAAAGCAAGCCTCTTGGTTCCAGGAAAAGTATATCCTGGGCCACGAAGGTTGCGGACAGATTGTTGAAGTGGGTAGCAATGTTGAAGACAAAGGACTGAAAGTGGTAAGTGATATTCTTCAAATATTGGAATTGACCAATGCTAAATGACCGAAAGGGAGATATTGTGGCTCTTCATGCGGTTCCTGGTTGTAATCAAGACGATTGCCCCGAATGTTCTCGCGATCTAGCCCAGCTATGTGAAAGAGGCCATCACTCCGGCATTGGCCAGGATGGCTTCTACGCACCGTATACTGCAGTTGATATTCGAGCTGCGGTCAAAGTTCCCGATGGCGTTAGCCCAGCAGAAGCTGCCGTAGCTACTGACGCGGTGAACACAGCCTTTCACGCCATCACTAGGAGAGGGGAAGTTAAAAAGAATGAGACGGTTTTTCTCTTCGGTCTTGGTGGGCTCGGTTTCAATGCTCTCCAGATTGTTCGTTATATCGGAGCAAGGGTGATAGTTTCCGATATTCGGCAAGAACTTCTTGATGAAGCCAAAGCTCTAGGCATACCTGAGAAAGATATCGTTCCGGTGGGAAAGCCTCCCCAGGATTTCATCAAAGAGAATGGGCTGGAAGGAAAGATAGACACTGTTCTTGACTTTGTTGGTACCCATCAGACATTCGAAGATGCTCAACATATCGGTAAGACATGGTCTTCATTTGAATTTTGACCAGCCTATATTAATATTTGTTTAGTACGCCGTGGCGGCAAACTTCTCTGCATCGGCAGTCTTGACACAGAAAACACGATTCACATGAAGATTGGTACTAGGAAGAGACTATCTTTCATTTTCTCTTACGGTGGTCAAGTCAGAGACCTCGAAAAGGTTCTTGAGCTTATTGCTTCTGGTCATATCAGTCCGCGAGTTGAAACCAGAAAGCTTCCGGACTTTGAGGAAGTGCTTGGGGCATTGGGTGAAGGAAAGATCAAGGCGAGAGTAGCCTTACTACATGATTAGCGTCACTTATAAATTCAATTGACTTTGCAATGAGCAACAAAGGGTTTCCATTCAATTTACCGCATATTTTTCGTAATCGTTAGCCGAAAGGCACTTTTAAACCTAAACCTTAGTAGTCTCAAAGTCAAATCATTTTTGGGTGGTTGAGGAAGCTTAATCGGGTAACAGGTTTCCAACAGAAGATTGAAGTCTCGGCATTAATATGGACTGTAGAGTCGATCTCAACCGTTAACGCTTGCGCCAGCAGGCAAGCTAGTTCCAACAGCAGCGGTTGTCCCAGCATCAACTGGCAAAATAGCTCCCGTAATCCATCTCGCATGATTACTCGCCAGAAACACAACAGCACAAGCAGCATCCCAAGCTGTACCTTCAGTTCCAAGTAAGCTCCTTGCCTTTCTCGCTTCCCTGGCTTCTTCTGACATCCCTTTTGCGTACATCATTGGTGTATACAGCATCTAGCAAATATTAGCTCAGTCCTATTGCTCTCGTAGATTCATAGCTTACTCCGGGACAGACGCAGTTGACTCTGATGCCGTCTTTGGCGTGGTGAGCTGCCATGGCTCTCGTCATGTTGACAACTGCTCCCTTTGCAGTTGGGTACAAGAGATGAGGTGTACCGCCTTTCAAGCCGGCTACACTCCCCATATTGACGATAGATCCTTTTATCTCGCCGTCGTTCTTGGCCATTTCTGGTATAGCATACTTTGCCATTAAAACCATGCTTGAAACGTTGACTTCAAGGCCCATCGTCCATTTAGCCATATCCACATCAATGGCTGTCCCTGATGCTCCAGCTATGCCGACATTATTGACGAGAATATCCAGACGACCAAACTCTTTCACTGCGAGAGCAACGGCCTTTTCACAATCGTTTGCATCTGTGACATTTCCTTGTGCTGGTATCGCCTTTTTGGAAGCTGCGCTTTGGTTGGCCATATCAGCTGTCTTTGTTGCCCATTCTAGATCCATGTCGAGGCATATCACATTGCAGCCCTCGTTGGCCAACATGATTGATATCGCCCTGCCATTGCCAATGCCATCTCCAAAGCAGCCGGCGCCTGTGACGATGGCGACTTTGTCTTTTAGTGAACGAGAAGGAGGTTGAGTGGGTATCTCGGCCATGGCGGTGTTTGTTTTTGGGTCTCTTGTATTATGAAATGATACAATTGATCATCTCAACTCACAATATTTAATCATCAGGTCAATATGGAGAGGTGCTTCCTTCGGAACAGTTGAGCGGCTTTCCTAATCAGGAATTGCCAGAGTCTGATACTCTAATTCAACCTCATTTTGTGGGGTCGCGCCGAGGTACAACGGCAGGAACGGAGACGGATCACATGGCCGCAGCCAATTACGTGCTCTGAGGCATTGATACCCCTCAAGACTGTGTTTTGGTGAGGAGAGTGACTACTACTGAGACTAATCAATAACGTGAATTATCCGTTGAAATACATCAAATCTGTCATCATGTGCGACTTTTCGGAATATGGCCCCAAATCTGCTGAATGGCTTGCAGTAGAAGCGAGTCTCCCGCCTCCTCCAACTTTCGCGGATATCTATGAGAGACAGGCCGTAGTCAACAAAGGCCGAGAAGAGATATCTGCTAATGGCATGAAGGAGCTGGGTCACTTGGTCCGCATGAAAGACTACAGGATTCCTACGAGAGACAATTCTTTCATTGAAGCTCGAAGTTATAGGCCCGTCGATGCTGCGGATGATGCTCACCTACCGATTTACATCCACCTTCATGGCGGAGGATATTTATTCGGCACTCTCTCATCTGAAGATGCCATCTCCTCGCGGATTGCAATTGGTGCCAAAGTAACGGTTATCAATGTGAACTACCGCCACACGCCGGATCATACTTTCCCTACAGCTTGGAATGACGTTGAAGATGCCTTCTACTGGGTACACGATCATATCGACGAGCTTCAAGGCAAATCTGACCAGGTTGTCATTGGAGGGATCAGCGCTGGTGCTCAGTTGGCAGCAGCCCTGACTCTGAGACAGAACATCTCTGCGCCAGATATCCGACATTATCCCAAGATTGCTGGGCAGATTCTGATGATCCCGGCCTTGGTTCATCCTGATCATTATCAGTCACAACTTGACCAACTCACGAGTCCCTTGGTGTCTTCATATGTTCAGAATGAAGATGCACCGATCCTTCCAAAAAAGGTCATCGATTTCTTTACTGGAATGCTGAAGTTTCCGGTCCCTTTTCCAGATGCTGAGGATTTCCGAGCAAACACTGGAAATGCATCGGCTTCTCAGGTGAAGGGTCTTCCTCCCACTGTCTTTGGAATTGCCGGTGCCGATCCTCTGCGGGATGAAGGACTCTTGTATGGCAAGAAGCTTGCCGAGGCAGGGTAAGTCAGCAGTCTCTTACTTTGATATCAGTGAAACGACTGACATGAAACGATAACAGTGTCCCCACGGATATTCATGTCTTCAAAGGGTTGCCTCATGGCTTTCGTAGATATGGGACTCAGTTGACTGAGTCGAAGAGATGGGATAGAGTTATGGAGGAGGGGATTATTTGGGCACTCTCAAACCCTAAGGCTAGGTCGTTTGATGTTAAAACCGCTTAGCCAGCACATCTCGTCTACCATAACCTTGAGGGCCTCGGAAATCTGAACTGGATGATAAGATAGGCGATAGATAATTTTCCAATACTTTGTAAACTGATTATAAGATGTCGTAAAATACTCTAAGTTCTCCTAAAGCATCCTAAATTTCCCCAAGTTTAGTAGGTGTTTTAGATGCCATCTACCCATCATCAACTTGAAAATAAAGCTACTCAACTAACCAAATTCTCTATAGCATCTATCAGGCCTCGATATCATCAAAATGTAACATATCATAATAACATTCAAATTCTATTAGACTCTATCCTCAAGCGTATGTCAACACAAAGTCTGAATAATCCCTTCCCTTGACCTCATCGCACCTCTTTCGATACCCTGGGGCAGGGCCATTATATCTCGTCATGGATCTCTTCTGCTTATGAGCCAAGTTTTTGTTGACCCCTGTCATCCATGAGTCAACTTCATTAGCTAGTAGGCCCTTTCCGCACTCATGCACATGTTGAGTCCATTCCTCCATTCCCTTGTCAGTTGCTTCAGCGCTGATGATCTTATTGTCACGAGCATATCGGATAAACTCGGCAACCCAGTTCGCTGCATACTCAATGGACCTGAACGGTTGGTTAGTGCTGATAGTAGTGAAAAAGGGTGATGGCCATACCTAGGAATGTTTCCAAACATCTGATGAGGACCCATAATCATAAACATGTTAGGAAAGTCCTGAACTGTAAGTCCCAAGAACGTCCTGATACCCTCAGCCCAGACATCCTTCAGCTTCGTTCCATTTCGGCCTTCAATATCAACTGCGTTGAAAGAACCAGTGACAGCGTCAAAACCAGTAGCGTAGATAAGAACATCAAGCTCATAAAACGCATCTCCCGTCTGAACGCCAGTCTCTGTGATTTGAGAAATCGGGTCTTCCCTAATATCAACCAACTTGACATTTGACTGATTGAAAACCTCAAAGTAACCACTCTCAAGAGGGACTCTCCTTGTACCGAAGCCATGATTCTTGGGAATCAACTTCTCAGCCACTTCCGGGTCATTGATTCTTGCACGAATCTTATCAGCGTGGAACTTGCTGTAAAGCTCGTTTGCCTTGTGGTCTGTGAAGACATCTGAAGAGACACTGAGAACCTTTGCAAAGCCGGGTTCGGCGTATAGCTTCTCCCACTGCTCTTGACGCTCCTCTTCTGTCATAGAGAAGACACTCCTGCTATCGCCAACGTGAATGAAGCATGCGTATGATTCGGCACATTTTCGGAAGATTTCTGGGTATCTTGTGCGGATCTCATCCATCTCTTCTGGGCTGATTTTCTTGTTTCGCAGTGGAGCTGTCCAGTTTGGTGTCCTTTGGAACACTGTTAAGTGCCCGACCTTGTCTGAGATGGCTTGTATGGTCTGAATAGCTGTTGCGCCGGTACCGACAATTCCAACTCGCTTGCCGTTGAGAGCGGAAGCATCACTTGGCCATCTGGCTGTATGCCAGGCTTGTCCCTTGAAGTTTTGTACACCGGGAATGTTTGGCAAAGTCGGTTGGTTGAGAATGCCCATGGCGGTGATGAGGTATCGACATGTATATTGCTCGCCATCCTCTGTCTCCAACAGCCACGATGATGTATCTTCTTGAAACCTTGCCGATTTCACACGCGTGTTGAATTGCATATCACGCTTCAAGTCAAACTTGTCTGTGAGATACTGGATGTACCGAAGCGTTTCTGGTTGAGGAGCAAAGTGCTCGGTCCAATTCCACTCATCGAGAACTTCTTGTGAGAATGAGAAGATGTATGAGTAGCTCTCTGAATCAAACCGAGCACCAGGATACCTATTCCAGAACCAAGTTCCGCCCTCCCCGGAACCAGCTTCGATAACTCGTGTCTTCAAGCCAAGTTCCCGCATGCGGTACAGGCTAAGAATACCACTGAGTCCAGCACCGATGATAAGGACATCATAGTCTAAGTTGCTGTCTGGTGATCCAAACGCATCACCGCGAATTGGTTGTGCTGAAGGCATTGCGAAGTTGTGTAACGATGATAATAGGGTGGTTGCCAGATAGAGAAGTGGCGCTGTGGTGAGGTATGACAAAGTTTTAAAGATCGATGAAGCCTGCAGCACAATTGGTATCAAGAAGGTTACGTCCGGCGAGTCGATTTATGCCCGCGGGCCTATTCTCTTCTGTATGCATTCCAGGGAGTCCTTGTTCAACCCCGCACATCCGGGGATGATGGAACTGGGGTATCGTGTAACCGAGAGCTAGACTTGAGGCTATCCCCGCCTTTCCGAAATAGGATAACCAGTCATTGCCGAGTCATTTGGTACCGCGTAGCGCTAGCCAAAGGGCGTCCGATGCTCGGACACGGGGTTGATAAGAAACCGAAGTTGTTGAATGAATGGCTTGCCAAGACAGTAGAGTCATAAGCTAAAGGGAGCTTGTGACACCTGTCAGAATTAGCAGATTTCAAGCCGGCAATCCAGATAAAAGTTGCCCGGTACTGAGTAAACGAAGGCTACTTCACGGTGACTTCTCAAATAAAGATAGCTCGAAATACAGTCGAATTCAACTATTCACTCAATGGCCCTAGTTAAGCTGCTATGATCTAGTCTTTTCGTCCATGCCCTTTCGGCTTTCCAGTAAGCCCTCAGATTCCCAGTATTTCTCCAGATCGCGTAAGAAAGCCCACTTCAACCCCTTTCCAAATCCTCTTTCCTTCCAATCATTCAGACTCTTCGGAAAGTGAGGAACTCCATCGCGGACAGTGGAGTCATGAGCAACAACCACGAAGATATTCTCGTTACAGTCTAGTTCCTGCAGCTGCTTGGTAGTCTTGGAAGCAAGTTCTAGATCCAAGCCAAACGTCAAGTCAAAGAGGGTATCAGTTGGTGCCCTTCCTCGTGATTTTTGCAGCCTTGCAAAAGCTTCGCCGGGGCAGAGAACTCCATCTTCATCTGGATGGCATGGATGAGGGCTGATGGTATCTGGTACTGGAAGAAACTTGGAAGGCCGAAAGATACCTGCGTAGTGACAGACATCTCCCCCCATCAGAATGAAAGTATCTGGGGAAGTTGTAGTCCGTGCTAGGCCACATAGGTGGCCAACGGCATGACCGGGACTGTCGAGGAGATAGAATGAACCGTCTCCAAAATAGTCAAACGCGGGGAACTGACCAATCCTGAGAGAGTCTGGGCCTTGGAAACTAATCTCACGCAGATTACGATTCCTGCCAATGGTAAGCTTTCGTCATCCACATGTTTTAGAACTATACATACGCGTAGTCGCTCTCTTGGATGGGTGATTCTGGGTTTGCCGGTGCTCCTGGTAGCATTGCATCTTTGAAGCCCGGCCCAACGACAAGATCTGTGAGATGAGGGAAGCTGGAAGGATCGCCGATGTGATCCCAATGCCAATGACTGGAAGCTTTAGTAACTATCAGCAGGTTCTCCTAGGTTGCTCAACTAACCTCCATATCACGGCTTCAATCTCAGCCAAGGGGACACCATTATCCTGCAAGATGTCTGCCACATTCCCCGCTACTTCGATAGTGTACTTGGTAGTCGGTAAATACTTGACAATAGACGGTGAGTAATTGTTGTAGTCTTTTCGAATTCCTAGGTCAAACACTAGCTTCCTCCCAGACTGGTGCTCAATAAGGAATGATAACGAAGGAGAACTCTTGAATGTTTCAAGGCCAGGAACAGCTGGTGCCATAAACCTCTCAAGAATAGCTGGACCAAAGTTGACAGGATTAATGAGCTTGACGGCTTTGATAGCCTCTCCGGGAGGAATCTCAAGTTGCGGTGCTGTCTCCATGCTGTCTTTGACACTTTGTTGTTGGTGACTTAGGATATTGCTAGACCGAGACAAACTTGTTGCTTTTTTCTAATAGTTTAACTTAAATGTTCTTAGGCTGGTAACCCCACGTTAAGTCAAGATCAGAGTGGCACAGATGACTAGAAGATTTTGAACTGTACAAGCTCACGCGTCAAGAAGTTGTCACCCCGCAACAATAGCGTCGGGCCCAGGCCATCGGCACAATGATCGGCAAACCAAAAGCAGAAAAGCCTGCCAAGCCCATCCAGCACAAACAATCCACCCCGGACTCTACCCCAGAATTTTACCCCGTACCATCCAGCGTCAAAGCAAGATTCAATCAAGATAAGTATCGAGCTCCGATCCACTCGAAATGCTCCCTCATCATTATCATCATTCATCATTTGATCAACAATGTCTGATTCTGAAAAGGGCGCTGCTATCAATCATCGAGAGGAGGCAGACATGACTCCCAAGCAAGGAGTCGAGGTCGACACTGTCCATCAGGATGAGGCGATGAAAGTCCTTGAGGCCTATTCGGGTGATGAGGTCTGGACTGAGGCGGAGGAGAAGAAATTGCGCCGCAAGATTGATTGGAAGCTTATGCCTGTTCTTTGTGCTACATGTAAGCTGCATGATCGTCGAGCAGGGGATGCAAGCTAACGATGTACAGATGGACTGCAGTATTACGACAAGGCTATGTTATCTCAGGCTGTATGTATGGTATCTCCAAGCTTCATGCTGTTGCTAACATCTTTCTCTAAGGCCATATTCGGACTCAGAGAAGACCTCGGTCTCCTCGCTGGTGATCGATATTCCATGTCGGCTGCCATTTTCTATCTTGGTTTCATCATTGGAGCTTACCCGGCCATGATTCTCGCACAGCGATATCCCATCGAACGAGTTGCTTCCGGAATTGTTACACTCTGGGGTGTCTGCCTCATCCTGACTGTGGTTTGCAAGGATTACAAGACACTCTATACTCAGCGGTTCTTCCTTGGCTTGTTGGAGTCAGGTATCAGCCCCATGTTTATGATGATTGTCGTAAGTCTGCCTGTCTCATACACGTTGAGTCCTTACTTAGTCTTTTTAGGGAAGTTTCTACAAGAAGAACGAACAGGCCATGCGCATGGGTATCTGGTACTCTTGCACCGGATACGTGTCCATCATATCTCCGACTATCAACTACGGATTCGGTCAGATCAACGGAGGAGTATCCTCTTGGCGATACATGTACTACTTCTCTGGTGCTCTCACCATCGTCTGGGGCATTATCCTCGTCTTCGTCCTCCCTCCCGATCCTGTCCGCGCCAAGGGCTTCAATGAGAGAGAAAGATACATTCTTGTTGCGCGTCTCAAGACCAACAACTCTGGTGTCCGCAACACTCATCTCAAGGTCGCTCAGATTTGGGAGCTCCTGCTTGACCCCAAGTTCTGGACCGTCTTCTCCATTGCTTTCTTGTCTATGATTGCCAATGCCCCCATCTCAACTTTCGTTCCTATCATCATCCATGGTTTCGGCTTCAGCACCCTCAACTCGCTGTTGCTCATGATGCCTTGTGGCGCATATGCTGGAACACTTCAGCTTCTGTTCCCTTATCTAGCCTACAAGTACAGAAACAACAGGTCCTATCTGGTCTTTATTGCTCAGATGGGCACTGTCCTCGCCGCTTTGTTGCTTTGGCTTCTTCCACTCTCAGCTACGGGAGCCCTCTTATTCGCCGTATATATTTTGCCATCCGTTGGCGGTGGATATGCTGTTCTTATGGGCCATCAGATCGCCAACACTGCGGGATACACCAAGCGATCCGTCGCCTCGTCTGGTCTCTACATTGGCTACTGTCTCGGTAACTTTGTTGGTCCGCTCTGCTTCAAGAAAGGAGACGCACCTCGCTTTGAACCTGGTTTCATTGTCGTCGTCGTTACTTCCATCATTGCCGGCCTCCTTGCTCTTGTCTACCGTGGCCTATGCATGTGGTCCAACAGCAAGCGTGACAAGTCTGGTACCACTGAAGGATTCGATCATGCCTATGAGGATGACCTCACTGACAAGAAGGTAAGTCGTCTGCCGTCACTCATGGGTCTACGTACTAACAATTCAGAACATGCAATTCCGCTACATTCTGTAGATGTCACAGTTGACAGGTTTTTATCGAGTTTGGCTCGGAATGGATATAGTCTTGGTTTAGTAGTCTATGAACTTTAATACAAGCTTTGAATGGGTTAAATTTTGATCAGTATTCCAACATTCCCATGAAATAACACATAGCATGCTGCTATCTCCTGTAACGAAGTGAAAATGGTGTGAAGTACTCAGCTGCCCAGATCTATCTCACCGAGTAGTGAGAAGTCAATGGTTTCAATATCGCCGCAAGGGCTTACCCTGAAGCAGCATTGAAATCTGGATAATGACCTAAACTTGGTATATGATTCCCTAAATAATTATAATACTTAGTAAGTAACTTCCTAAATATTCAAAAGATTTATAATTTATGCCAGAACTTAGGCCCAAGTAGAATAAACTCATCAAAACTGAAGGAAATGGTTGCTCTTCCCACGGAGTTATGGAAGGACGCGTCAAACCCCGCGTGGGTGAAAAATACGCCGAACTTAACTTAATCTTTAGCGGAGCAAACTCGCTACAGGCGTTAGCCCCTGCTAAAACCATCGGATCTCCCCCCCGATTGCAACCTGAACCACGACCTCGGCTTCTAAATCTGGGGTTAGTCTGGGGCCAGAGTTAATCTCGCCTTGAGCCTGCATCGGCATTCAACCTCCTCACGTAACCTCTCACAACAACCACACTCTCTCATCCGGCAATGACTGAACTCGTCGGCAATTGGCTCCACTTCAGTGCTCGACAGCCGAAACGAAAGCGCGCTGAAGTTGTTTGTTTCTTTTGCCATTCTAAGAAGATCAAGTGCGATTTGCAGGTCAGTCCCCGCGCTCGTTGACGGGCCGGGCTTTGAGCTGACGGTATGCCAGAGCCGGACGTCGCAGGGGCAGGCGAAATGCTCCAATTGTGATAACCAAGATCAAGATTGTCACCTTCGGCCGTCGCGGAGGGGAAAGCAGCGTAGGAGAGCGTCTACACAGGCTGAGTGTGGCACTGAATGCGATACTATTGTCGCCGCAGGTAGGTAGCTCCATGGCATCACTTGGACTGTAGTAACACTGAGATTGAAGGCGAAGATGTGGGCGAGAGCAACCCAGAACCGCCTGATGCAACAGAAATCGATTTTGACGATAATGTAATTGACCCAGGCATGGGTGACACGCCAGCGCCAGTGCAAGCGACACCAATTCACGTCGCGTTCAACATACCATCAACTGAGCGCGCTCCCGATGCTGCGATCAATCACCCGACCAAGTCAAGCACGTCGCCAACAGAAGGCGCTGGTCGCAGTCATGCTGGAGATGTTGATACCGGCTTCCTTCAGATCTACGGACCTGAGAATCAGCTTGAAGCAGAGCAGCAGGAACTCGTCGCCAATCTCGAGCTTCGCAATCCGGCGTCGGACCCTCGGCAACAAGAACTGCAGCAGAGCTTCTCAGAAACATACTTTGAGTACTGCTATCCATGGTGTCCTGTCCTCGATCACGATACGCTCGACTCTGAGCTTGCGCGATCACCTATGCTTGCGAATGCCCTTGCGCTCGCTGCGAGTCACATTCAACCGCCTTTGATACCCCACCAAGGACCGGCTGCGTATTATGAGAAAGCGCGGATAATGTTTTACATGGATGAAGAACCGGACATACTCACGTCTCTAAAGGCTGTCTCCCTATTCTACTGGTGGGCACCTCGTTCACCCGCGACGGCACATCGGCATGCAAGCTGGTGGTGGACCAGCGTTATAATACGACATGCACAGCAGATGAACATTCACCGTGAGCCGAAACAGGGGAGCGTGGCTTCGAGCGCACTTCACCTGAGTTTGCGGCGGCGATTATGGTGGACTGTCTTTGTAAGTTCTAATGGACCTGCAGTTTGAGGCGTACTGACATGTTCTAGGCACGAGAGCGATTAACGTCTCTTTGCCAAAGCAAACCGTGCATCATAAACCCTGAAGACATGACGATCCAAGAAGTCCAACCGTCAGATTTCCCGAGCGATCCGGCGTCACAGAAGAAAGGTCGAATATTCAAGCACTGGGTTCGCCTTGCCGGTATAATGGGCAAAGTGTCCCAGGCACTATCCAAGTCAGTGGACTCGCCTCCGGAAACGGCGACTTTTCCTACAGAGCTTAGACAAGAGCTCGTCGCGTGGGTCCAATCGCTACCTCCAGATCTTCAGCTACCGATTGGTTCGAGTCGAACAGAAGGCTTCGACAGGGATGTTCATCAATTGCATCTCCCATACCTGACAACGATTATTGTGATGCATTTACAAAGGACAACACCAGACCTGCCGCAAGCTCTGCCACCCGCCATCTTAGCGGCCTCATGTATCGCAAGAATTCTCAGAGACATCTTGTCGCGCGGCAATGCGCGATTTCTCATGGCGATTACCTGCTGGTATTCCGGCACAGCATTTATCGCGTTGTTACAAGCAAGCCGGATCAAGCAATTCTCTCAAGAAGCAGAAGAGGGCCTGGACATTCTGGACCAAGCAGTCGGACAGCTCCAGCAAATGTGGGCTTCTGCAAATATTATACGACAAGGCTTCGAACGACTACGGGCCCTACCTCGAAGTATGATGCATGCTGGTAAAGGCAGAGCGGCAGGGTCCAATGGCTCTGGGGACGCACCGTCGAGTGACTTTGACTGGAAGCTTCTGTTTCCGTTTGTGACGAGATCCACGAGTCGGATTGCGGATTGTTTGCTTGCTGATGATGAGTTTGGAACTACGGCGACCGCACTACCATCGCCCGAGAATGCAGTGTTTCATGAAGACCTGCTCAATCGGTATCATGATTTGCTTGAGCCGTTTGTTGATTACAACTTTGACTTTTCAAATATTAATCTTGATATCCTATAGTAATGTAAAGATATTTGATGCAAGCAAGTAAAGTCGTGTGGCAATTGGTCTGTTCCTTGCCGTTATGCTTTGTTTGCTGAGTCTGTTATAACAACTCTCTGAACACTTACAATCTCAATACCAGAATATACGCAAACTCAATGGCAATCTTGACATGGGGATCTATTTGAGAATTTATAATTATAGATCTAATACTATCTTACTTTGAAATACTATAAATGGTATCGTTCTCAATCAAGCCTCAACACCGAAGCGTTTCAGCCTTCTCTACATACCAGGATAAATCGCTCTTCGGATCAAACTCAAACTCGGTGAACCCATTACCCATGAATCTAAACGGATTCGCCGTGTTGTACTCAATCTCAAAGTCCTCCGCGCGAATATTCTCCAGCATGCGATTGAATAGATGCGCACTTCCACCAAACAGGGCCGTAACACGGCCGTCAACCTTGCCTCGCTTGTACCAACTCGTACAGCCTCCACTCCAGACAAGTGTCTTGTGGACTTGATCGCAGTACTTGATGAAGGCGTCGACCTTTTCCTTCTTGGGGACGACGTACTTGATGTCTTCGGTGGACATCTTCTTGATCCACTTGACGAAGTAGTCGCCTGTCCAGTTGAGGGACTCGACGAGGGAGCCGTGACCGCCTAGGCAGTTGGGACCCATCATCATGAAGTAGTTTGGCATGGAGGGGACGGCGACGGAGATGTATGCTTCTGGGTCCTCTTTCCATTGCTCGCGGAGATCAATGTTGTTTAGACCGACAATGGGATAGCGGGGACGGAAGGATACGTCGAAGCCAGTGGCGTATACGACTGACGAGTGGTTAGCATGTTACTCGGATGTGAGAGCGTGAGGAACTACTTACTGACGTCGAACTCATGTTCCTTGCCATCAGCAGTCTTGAGGCCCTTCTTCGTCACTTGTGTGATTGGGCTGTCTGTCAAATGACAGTTCGGCCGCAAGAATGACTCGAGATATCCAGGACCAGGCGTAATACGACGACAGCCCAACTCCCACTTAGGAATAAGCTTTGAGCACAGCACAGGATCGTGACCAAGCTTCTCAGCCATTTGCTCCGCAGCCAGCTTCATACCGCGCTCATTGTTCTCGCCCTTTCGGAAGATGTAGAAAGACTTATTCGTGCGAGAAATAATACCCTTGCGGTGCTGGAGATGAAGCTCTGGGTCTTGGAAGCGTGCCTTGTCTTCCTCCGAATAGCGAGGATTTGGGTCGTCGTCCTCTCTGCCGAGATGCTTTGATGGTGGAGCACGGTAGTACACCCATGCTGGGCCTCGGACGAAGTTTGTGACTTCTGTTCCCGGCAGTTTTGCCATCTGCGGAACGATCTGGATCCCCGATGAACCGTTGCCAATGACAGCGATGCGCTTGCCAGAATAATCGTAAGAATGGTCCCAGCTGGCTGAGTGAGTGGTGTGGCCTTCAAAGTCCTTCAGGCCAGGGATCTTGGGCCACGATTCGTGACTGAGGAGTTAGTAATTGCGGTTGATAGACGGGGAGATTGGAGCTTACACTAGAACTCCTTGTGCTGAGATCAATACGTGACAGAACTCTTCTCGTTGGATACCCTCGTGCTCAACCGTGACCTTCCATTGACCTAGATCATCAAGCCACTCAGCGCCGATGACTCGAGTGTTGAGTTGCAAGTCACGGTCGAGATTCCACTTCTTGACCGTTGCCTTCATGTAAGACAAGATGTCACCACCACTAGCATAGAACCTCTCCCAGTTGGGATTGGGGTCAAATGGGAATGCCTAACACTGTAAGTACAATTCGTGATCATAGAAGGACAGACGTACGTAAATGTGACTCGGCACATCGCACTGAACACCAGGATAATTATTTGCCAGCCAAGTACCGCCAATATCACTGCGCGCCTCAAAGATAGTGTGATCAACAATGTCCTCCATCTCAGGGAAGCGATGTTGGAACTTGTGCGCCATCAAAAGACCAGAGAAGCCCGCGCCAATGGTAAAGACCTTGATCTTGCGTGGTGTGTAGGCATATTCTTGGGCCAGTGTAAACGGATCTGCTGTGTGACCGTTTGTATGGCCGTTGCTGAGTCCATTCTTGATGTCATCTAGCTTAGTGACAAGTTCTGGGAGCTCAGTTGCTGGCATTGAAGACAAGTCCTCGGCGGATTGCGCCTTGGTCTCTGGTGACTCAAAGGCAGGCATTGTGACTGGTGTTGAGGGTGGTCTTCTAGACTGCTCAAGATGTTTGTGAGAGTGAAGTGATGGTGAGGATGAGATTGGTCTTGTAAGTTGAGTCAGTTCAAGGTGTTGTTGAAGTACTCATGATGCTTAACAATAACGTAGGTAAAATAGCTGGTGTTGTCTTTGCCCCATCAGCTCTACCAGCACTAGTCTGGGCCGGCAAAGCCTCAATCAGGCCATCGCGTTAGCATCTCGTGCCTCTTGCGTGGTCATTGCCGAAGTCATCTCCCTCTTTGCCAACCATGCTCGGCAAAGTTGTTAGTGTTGTTTGATGAATGGCTATCCCGAAACGGTATTGCCGACTGTTAGTGGCCACCTGATGCTGAATGCGGGGTTACAGCGATATCGCACAGGGACCGAACCGGCCAAGATGCGCGACGCCGTAATAATATCTGCATACTTAGAGGGAGATAGGGAATAAGAATTGCATTTTGTCAATTTTAGCTCAAGTTTATCTGGTTTACCTAAACTTGTAAAGATCCTCTAAAATCTCGTCTGATTTGTTGCTCCACGAGATCATTGCCACCAATCCCAAGCCCACCAAGCTCACTTACACCATGGCTGTCAACCGCTATGCTTACAATGGTCCAATTGACCACACAATCGCCCCTCAACTCGAGAACATTCGAGGCAAGTCGGTGATTATCACAGGCGGTGCCAATGGCATGGGCGAAGCTTTCGTCAGAGACTTTGTCGCCGCTGGCGCCTGGGTAACATTCGCCGATGTCAATGAAGAGCGAGGCAAGATAGTTGAAGCAGAACTCAATGCCGACGGCCAAAAATGTGTCTTCATCAAGTGCGACATCAGAGACTGGGATCAACAAAAGGCCATGTTCGAAACGGCCAAAAGCCAAAGCCCAAGTAATTCGGTTGATGTTGTCATTGCAAATGCTGGCATTTCTCGCAGTTCGGGAGATAGCTTGTGGAATCTTGATGGTGTGTGCTCACTGAACCCTCTGAAAGTTTAGTGGAAGAGCCCTGAACTAATGGTACCTACAGACCCCAATGGAGAACCAACAAAGCCCGACCTGAACATTGTGAGGGTCAATATAGATGGAACTTGTACGTTGTCACCACTCACGCCACTACGCAAGCCGCGGTTAACACGTTTCTAGTTTACACGTGGAAGCTTGCAGTTCATTATTTCCGTCAGCAGCCAGTGAGCGAAGCAAGAGACCGCTGTTTCATCATCACAGGCTCGATGGTCGCCTGGATTGATAGCCCAGTAAGTCCCCGACAAAGCCCCGCTAGGCTTGGAGGGCGCGTCAACAACAGACTTCAAATCTGACTTATATGCGATAGGGCAACTGGGAGTATACTGGAACAAAGTATGCGCTGCGCGGCTTCATGAGAACAGTCCGAAGATCAAGTCACGAGCAGGCTATCCGCATAAACTACGTCGCGCCCTGCTGGATCAAGAGCGCCATTAGGACAGCGGAGTACGAGAAGTGGCTGGTCGACCGCGGTGTGGAGTTTGGTGAACAGAAAGATGTCTCCAGCTGCATGCTGAGAATCGCAACTGATAGAAGTATCAACGGTGAGTACAAGAGATCTCATTATTAGTCAGGTACTAATGACCATCACAGGTCGCTCGTTGATGATCACGCCCCGCTCCATCGCAAAGGAGGGCTTCGTAGATATTGACAGAGAGGATTACAAGGACACACCCGAAGATGAATATCTGAAAAAGGTTCAAGCATCACAGCTGGTAATTATTGAGGATAAATGGTTGGACTCATATAAAGTCCGAGTGTATAAAGAATAGCCACTGTCATGAGATGAAGTACAAAATTGATCGGAAAGATTGCGCCGAGAGAGGCAAAGTACGAAATATGCATATAAATGATAGTGCAGATGGTTCAAGACGACATGTTCTGGCCTTCTGTAAATCAGATGCAGCCCAACGTTCCTTTTTCTTCCTTACCATGAATGCCATCGTCTATGTGAGAGGCGAAGCGTTGACACAACGCGCGCCATCGTTTTGCGATGTCTTCGGGCCATTAATCACAAGAGATTTCTCTCCAGTCTATAAATGTTCGTTAGTAACCCACTGAATATCGCCTTCATTGTGACTTACCTCAACGTTGAATCGGTATATGACTCCAGACGTATTTTCCGAAGCATACATAAGCTTATTACCCACCGAATAAGCCGCTCCCCTGGTCCTCGAATTAGTTTCACACCGTGGTATGCAGTTCAAAGTACTTACCAAAGGTTATCACCTGCGATATGCCCGAAGTCCTTGATAATTTCCCACGTGAAAGTGTCGAGGCTCCATCTTGCCAGGACTGTCTTCGACGTGTTTCCTTGAAGAGCATAGAGATAACGACCTCCTCCAGGTACTGACACCCAGTCGGCGCAGTTATTTGCGGACGTTGCGGTTCCTTGTTGAAGAACCTTGCCATAGGTCGCAGATGTTGGGTTCACATCGATCTTCGCCCACGCCTTTCCATATGTCGAGATCCAGAAAATACCATCAGAATCGACATCTCCAGTGTTCCAAGCTGATTCTCTGTTAGCTACTGTCCTTTGACCCTTGTCAAGTCATGATGTCGATGGGGTTACTCACTTCCATCAATAAAGGTGTTCATCAGTGTGTATGATCCGGTGGAGCCAATCCGAATGACTTGGCTCTTGCCGGTTGCAATCTGGACAATGCCATAGATGAGATTATCCTTAATATTATAGCCAATAGGGTTGATGGTTCCGCCGTTGGTTGTACCTGAAGGGGCTCCCGGTCCAACATTTTGTGCTACCAGAGCGTTTACTCCTGTGACCAAGTTGAGCCTGTAGAGAGTTCGGACTTGGATCAAGTACCCTCCTTCATCACAGCTGAAAGCTGGAGGTGGTGCTGGGGTTTCCACGATCACAACACCTCCGTCGTCTGTGCCGGTCGGCTGAATGGTTGTGACAGCTCTGGCCGCATTGATGCTGGATGTTCCTGAGTACTGGCGATAGCTGGTGGATGGCTGAGGTGCAGGTGTCGCGATCACCACGATCGGTCCATCGTCTGTGCCTGTCGCTGAGATTGTAGTCACAGTGATTGCCCCGCTCAGACTTGAAGTACCAGTATACCGTCGCGTGCTCGTCACAGTCGCAGGCGGTGGAGTAGCAATGATAACTGTTCCTTCTTCACTGCCAGTAGGGGTGATAGTAGTTAGAGTCACTGGCCCAGTTAGGACAGAAGTTCCAGAATAACGTTGAGTAATGGTCACAGGAGGGGTCTCGACGACCACGGTCCCTGCTTCAGTTCCCGTCGGCGTTATCGTTGTAACAATGGTCGGGCCAGTCAGAACATCTGTCCCAGTCCAGAATCTTGTGATAGTTACTGGTGGTGTCGCTAGGATCACAGTACCTGGCTCAGTTCCGGTTGGTGTTACAGTTGTAAGTATAAGAGGACCAGTGAGTACTTCGGTTCCGGTGTAGAACTGTGTCACCGTAACAGGAGGGGTCTCATAGATGATGGTACCGTCCTCCGTGCCACTCGGTGTTATTGTTGTTATAGCTATTGGGCCTGTGATCACTGATGTACCAGTATAGAACCGTGTGACTCTCACAGGCGGTTTCTCAACTATAACGACGCCAGCTTCTGTACCAGTCGGGGTGATTGTAGTGACGGTAGTAAGCGTAGACAGGATCTCTGTACCTGTGTAGAATCTGGTGATTGTGATCGGAGGTGTTTCAATCACGACCACGCCCGGTTCTGTGTTTATGGGTGTAATGGTAGTTACAGTAATTGGGCCTGACAAGATCTCCGTGCCCGTGTAAAACCTCGTGCTTGTAATCGGAGGAGTCTCGACGATGATCGTGCCAGGATTATTGCCCGAAGGGGAGATCGTTGAGACCGTAGTTGGGCCTGTGAGAATATTTGATCCAGTATAAAATCGTGTCAGATAGACTGGAGGTGTCTCGATGACCACCGTACCCGACACAGTAGTCACAGTCGTTGGGCCGGATAGTACCTCTGTGCCTGTATATGGCCGCGTGATTGTTACAAGTGGTGTTTCGATAACAATAGTTGCCGGATCGTCAGGATCTGTTGGCTGAAGAGTTGTCACCGTGATAGCCCCGTTGATTGGGGAAGTCCCCGAGTATTGACGATAGCTGGTGACAGGCTGAGGTGAGGGAATACCGATTATTACAGTTCCATCCTCTGTCGCACTGGGCGTAATTGTAGTCAAGGTGACCGTTAAAGAGCCGGAGTATCTTTGAGTGATAGTGACTGGCGGTGTCTCAACCACGACAGTAGCAGGATCGCTCCCAGTCCCGTATAGAGTAGTCACAGTGATTGGGCCAGAGATTGGACTTGCTCCAGTATAAAACCGCGTTGAAAACACCGGCGGCGTGGCCATGACGATCGTGGCCGGAACCGACCCTGAAGCTGATATGGTGGAGATAGCTATTGGTCCTGTGATCAACGATGTTCCTGTATAGAGTTCGGTTACTGTAGTTGTCGAAAATGGCACATCTACATAGACAGTATCGGTGTCCCCAGGCATAGCGCCTGTTTGGGTGCTAGTCTCGCTGGTTGTCACGCCTCCGTACCTATAGATCGTCGCATATAGTTGCGGGAGGTCTACTAAGACAGAGGCAACCTCCCCGTCAATCGTAGGCATCTTAGTCGTGATGCTGCTGGCTGTCCCATACCTAGTCACAGTTGTATATGACTGTGGGAGATTGAAGATAACCGTAGCAACCTGGCCTTCAACAGACGCAGACTCAGTTGTAATACTGCTGATTGTCACGCTGCCCCATCTGGTTATTGTTGTGTAAGGTTGCGGAAGCCTTTCAAGCACCGTGATAGTTCCCCCGAGGCTCTGAGGTGTTTCTGTTACTGTCGAAGGAATTGAGACACCTCCCCAACTGGTTATCGTTGTATATGCCTGTGGTAGCTCTACAACAATCACCACCGGCCCGCCTGCGCTTATTGGCAACTCTGTGGTCATAGAGCTAACTGTGACACTTCCATATCGAGTCGTGGTCATATAGGCCTGTGTCTCCACTATGACTGTCCCTGGATTTGCCCCAGAATTAGGGATTGTGACTGTAGTTGGCGCGGTAAGAAGTCCCACGCCGGAATACAATCGGGTAATCGTGACTGTTTGTGGTGGAGCGGTTGCGATTATGACTGTGCCGGGAATTGATCCATCCGCGGGAACTGTAGAGATTGGCGTCGGCCCGGTTAACATAGCTGTGCCTGTCCAGAGTGTGGTGACCGTGACTGTCGCGTAGGGTCTTTTGATAACGACGACGTATGGCTCACCAGGTCTGGTGGTTGTCTCTGTGGTGGTCTCGTCCACACTAACACTTCCATACCGGGTCGTGGTTGTGTAGGGTTGGGGAGATTCTAACACGACAGTGACTGGATCTCCTGGGTTTACAGGACTCTGGGTCGTCGTTGATGGGACTGAGATTGAAGCTGCCCAGCGGGTTATTGTTGTGAAAGACTGTGGCCTATCAATGATCACACTCCAAGTCTCGGAGCTCCCAGCACTTTGAGTCCTCGTGGTGGAGGCTGTTCCATAGCGAGTAGTAGTAACGTATATCACAGGTTTCACGATGATAATCGATCCCGTTTGACCAGGAAGAGTCGGAGCCACCGTGGTAGAGTATGGCACAGAGACTGTGTGGTCGAAAGAGGTTGTGGTGACATAGGGTGTGATGCTTGGAGGGACGAAGACGACCACGGTTCTAGTCTGATCATCGGGCGAGTCTGGTTGCCTTGTGATAGTGCTGGTTGTACTGCCTGTCCAAGCGCTCGTCTCCGTAACATAATTGACAGGAACAGTTGGTAGGATTACCACGATCGTACCCGTTTGGCCGTCTTGGGTTGGGAACTGAGTAGTTCTTGATGTAGCAGTGCCTGTACCAGTCCTGGTTATTGTCACATAAGGTGTGGCGGAAGGAGGTAGCACGACGTATATAGTCCCCGTAGCGCCAGTCTCAGTTGGACTTCGAGTCGTCGTAAGAGTTCCAGTCTGTGTCCCACTGCCTGTGATCGTCGTAGTAACATACGGTGTTATGCTTGGGGGAACAAAGACAACGACAGTTCTGGTCTGACCTGGCGAGTCTGGTTGCTTGGTAGTGGTCGTCGTGGTGCTGCCACTCCAAGTTGTTGTTAAAGTGACATACTTAGCAGGAGCAGCAGGCTCCTCAATGATAACAGTACCCGTAGCGCCAGCCTGGGTTGGGGTTTCGGTGATAGTCCTGGTCACACTTCCAGAGCCAATGATTGTTGTGGTGATGTAATGGTCGATAACAGGAGGGACCATAACGATCACAGTCCCTGTATTCCCGGGGCCCGGCGTCTGAGTAACAGTCTGAGTGGTGCTGTCGCTTCCTGTGACCGTTGTTGTGGTCCAAGCAATCGCAGTAGGCGGCACCTCAACTAAAACCGTACCTAGCCTGCCGGAGCCAGATGGCATTTGAGTATATGTACGACTTGTCGAGTCTGTCCCAGCGTTGGTAATGGTGGTCCAGGAGGTGATCCATGGTATTTCGACCACAATAGTATCAGTTATATCATAGCCAGAGTGCTCTCTTGTGTAAGTTCTAGTAGTAGGACCAGAGCCAAAATTGGTTACAGTAACATAACGCATGGCTGGAACATCATGGTGTATTATTACCGTTTCTCCAGGCCCAGACGGATACTCAGTCCAGAGTCTTGTTGTAGAACCTGACCACACGCTGCTAGTATCAATGTAGCGAATACCAGCGGTTGGGAATAATATGTGCTTTGTACCAGTGCCTCCGGGGCCGGTTGGAGGAATAGTCACTGTCCGTTTTGTGGAGCCCGTCCAATACTCGCTGGTGACAACGTAGTGGAGAAAATCTTCAGGATACTGTACTACTACAGTGCCAGTAGTATCAGCATCAGACGGAAGTATCGTTGTAGTTTTTGCTGTTGATCCTGTCCAATATTCGGTGACAGTAACAAAAGGAGTAACATCTGGTGAAACGACTGTTTGATCAGAAGCAGAGACAGTGGAGCTTCGACGGCTAGTTACTGTAACGTAAGTCTCTGCATCAGCTGGGACTTGCACTATTACAGTCCCTTCTTCATTCGGGTCAGAGGGCTTCTTTGTAATCGTTGTAGTTTCCGATTCATCCCATGTTCTCGTCGTGATTGTATACTTATATGGGGTCAATACTATCACGAGCCCCGTTTCTCCGGGGGATTCTGGCTCCTCTCTAATAGTTATTGGAGAGTCGATATCACTGCCACGGATTGTAGTCGCCATAGGGTTAGGAAGGTCAATGATGACCCATCCTGAAGAGGAGCCTTCTGCGAACCGAGTAGTTGTTTCTGGTGCTGTCACCTCCCCGTATCGAGTGGTATAAATGAGGCGAGTGTTGATTGGTGGTAGCTCAACAACGACAGTCCAATCGTCGCCCGAACGGGTAGGAGATATTGTATGGGTAACGGGTTGAGTTACCGAACCGACATGAGACACGGTAGCCCAGCGTACGGGAGGGACCTGAACGATCACCACACCCGTTCCGTCCGGGCTGTTTGGTGGAATGGTTTTCGTCACTGGTGCGGTGAGTGATGATGCAACTTGGGTGATAGTATTGTAGTCTGCGTCAGTGATCGGGATTTCAACGACCACTTCACCATCTTTACCAGGCCCATTTGGAGTCTCAGTGTACGTCTTCGGAGTTGAGCCAGTCCCGAAACGCGTGACGGTGTTATATCTGCCCAGCGGGGCGGGTGTGTCAACGTAGACGATCCCCACATCCCCTGGGTGTTTGGGCGGCTGCGTCGAGGTCACGGTCCCAGTACCAGTCCCAGCACGAGTGACAGTTGCATATAGTACGGGGTCTGAAGGCAAAATTACGAAGACAGTACCAGTGCCCCCCGAGCTACGTGCAGGCTCTGTCGACGTGACCGGGGTAGACACGCTACCAGTACGGGTGACTGTTGTATACGCAGGCGTAGACTCTGGAACCTCGATGATGATGGTGCTGACACCGCCTGAAATATCTGGCTGGATTGTGCGCGTGACTGGAGACTGAATGTCCTTTGTTTGGGTGATGGTTGTTGCTTTTGGCTGCCCAACAACAATTGTAGTTCGGTCGTCGACATGAACGACCTTAGTAACAGGGTCTCCATTGCTCCCTCTCTCCGTGATAGTGGTGTAATATCCCATACCAACGGTTTGTATCTCGGGATCGCCCACTTGGACGGTCCCTGTGCGATCAACTTCAACGCCTTCTGTGCGAGTTCTGTACTCAGGCTCTTCAACGATCACAGTAGTCGGATCGCCAGGTTGATCAGGAGTCAGTGTCCGGGTCCTCGCAGTTGTCAATGAAGAGATGATCGAAGTGATTGTGGTTAGAGGGGTTCTCTTTATGACAGTCCCAACCGGTGGTGTTCCCTGCGGTGCGATCGTGTACGTAGAAGGAGGTCCAACTCCAAAAACGGCTGTTGTGATGTAGGAAGCTTCATGAGGTATAAGAAATGTACTGTAGCTATCAGTTTTCTGTGTACGAGCAGTAAGTTAAACACCAACCTGGCTAATGTTGTGTCAAATGTGATTGAGCCGTCTACAACCTTGATTGGCTGGATCTCGGCACGTTTCTCGCCATTGGGACAATCAACAACTGGATCCCAGGCAGATGCGAAAGCAAACAGCACGAAAAGAACTCCATAACACGTCAATTTAGGCGCGCGCATGGATTTAAGCATATTGTTTAAATGGAATAAGGTGTTGTACCTGCCGCGAGACAGATTGGAGGAAAACATGTCACGTGCGAGTGCCAATCACGGAGCAAACGAGGAAGGAGCGCCCTGCTATATATTTAACTGCTAACTACGGAAGGAACGCATAATAAATTGAAGAAAGTGATCAACATGCAAGCAGAGTTTACGGGTATTAATATGGAAAGATCGATTCTGCTAAGCCTTGGCATTCCGATTGCGTTCAGATGTACTGTGGCGTTGATGGTTCTGGCCTAGACCTCGCTGACAGATATGAAGATCAAACACAAGCGCCATCTGCGTTCTGGAAGGCTGACTGTGGAGTAATTAGAGTGGCATGATTCTAGATCTCAAGAAGGCGCTTGCTTTAAGACAAAAGCAGGGTCTTCCCGCCACAAGGCTCCAAGTTCCTGGATCGCTAAACTCTCTTACGGCTTTGATGCGAATTCGCTTATCGCCGGACACCAACTAGCTGGTTCCTTGGCTATACATTTCCCTGGATTTTCAATATTTCAAAACATTCCAGGTCGACCACAAGGCTACCGTTTGAAGATGCCTAACCTGCCAGCTAGGTATGGCCGCCGGGAGGTCTCGACCATTCCATGCATTCAACTTGACGGTCGACTCTTTTCTGGAAGCTTTCCATGGACTTGCCGACTGTGTGTGATTTTAGTGAAGCCCTTTTGATGCCGTGACATCTCATGAAAAGCCATAAGTACTCAAAATGTCTCACTCATCAATATGTTGACCCAGACATATCCAACACTCCTTTGACTTTACACTCAGCCCTACTACACTCCTTTCATCCACATTGATCTACACAAACACTCTCTTGCTACCATCATACCTATAATACTTACAGATCCAAACCAAATCGCCATAATGAGATTAACAGCAATAAGCTGTGGCCTGAGCTTCCTATTACCTGTATACGCCCGAGTCATCTCTGATCCTTGCGCTACAACAACCACTCTACCTGCCATCACAGTCACAAAAGGCCCTAATGGGTACTACAACCAGTACACCCGCACATATCAAGAGTTTTACCCTCAAGGCCTGACAACAAAAGTTTACACTATTACACAATCATGTTCAGGTGTAAATTGTCAGCCCTTACCCATTGAGACCGCACCTCCACCCGGCTTCACATCTGCCGTGGTCAAGTGTGACAAGTGCGGAGGCTCAGGAACAAAAGTCGCTACTTTGACATTTCCAACTGAATCTGTGCAAGCATATTCATCTTCTGGCTATGTTGTTCTACCTATTGCACAACCAACTCAGATTCCCCTTGGTCAGAGTGGACAATCCCATAGCAGTTCAGTTTCTGAAGATGGTTCTTCTGGTTCTGATGCTGGCCATGTACTGAACAACCACGGTGCTTCTCTTTCTACAAACACTTCTCCAGAATCTGGAGATTCGGCCCCACAAGACTCCAGCAGTGGAAGTCAAGAGAGCCAAGATATCAACATTGGATCCACCCAGCCGCAATCCAACAACCGGGGCTCTTCAAATGGCGGAGAATCTCCTGATGACACAGGTGCCGATGTCCCTGGGTCTCGGCCATTGTCTGAGACACCTACCGTCGTTTATCACTTTTCCCCCTCCAGCTCTTCCCCTGCTGGCTCCGATAGCCAGTCTTCATCTCCAGCAGACGGCACAGGCTCATCTGACACAGCCGCCGCAGGAGACGACACCTCATATCCCATTCCTAACCAGAAAACCGGCAACCCATATGCAGGCGACACTTCCGGTGCTTCGAGCAACGGATCCGGCTCGTCTGGCAACAATTCCCCCTCATCTCAAAATGATACCCCCTCTACTGGAAAACCAGCCACAAAAGGCTCTGGCGATGACAGTTGGAGTCCCGATTCCCCGATCACTGTTAATAGTGCGGGCTATATCAAGACAAATATTGTTACATGTGTATTAGCGAATATTGCTGGCATGTTTGTTCTGAGGTTGCTAGTATAGCAACAGTACCTTCTTGTATCTAGCGCTAAAACTAAATAATTACAATTACTGAGACACAATCGAGACCACCTGTGGCTGTACATGTCGTTCCATTTTCTCTAATGCTGGGTATACTAGCTGAAAATGACTTGGATCTAGCAATACATGGATGCATCACGGAGGAAGCGACCGTTTCTCGCGGGGAACTTCGAAGCATCTTTAAGGTTCTGCCCTAAGGTTTGCCCTTGCTTGGTTTGACAGATCGCATCGGCTAGCCCCTGCCAAGATTTCACAAGCTAATTCCAAATCCGTATGTTTTTGTTGCAGATCAGGAATCTTGTGGCTTAACATTGTTATTTAGCGCTGAGCCACAACACCACAGCAGAGCTCTTTTCGGATGAGAATAGTTGAGACATTGATCACGAGTGGCAGAAATATCTCGACAAGGTTTGAATCTTGTAAGCCAGATTTAAACTTGGTTGACTACTCATTTCTTGCCAACTACACCGAGTCCAGCCTCTTTAGACACAAGTTCCTCGGACAACGGATCACCCGAGGGGCTGGATCTTGGGCTCAATTAGAGCATGCCACGCGAACTATTCCTCCTGGTGTTCATGGATCCGAACGAGGCTACGTAAAACCTAAAGTCGGACCAGGTACTCGGGCCCCTCGCTTATTTAGAGTCAAGCCTTGTCCTCTGTGGGAGAATGACACTGATGTTCTTGGCAAGGGCTGCTTCAGCCTTTCGGGTTCGCTTAGGTATGCCATAAAACTACTCGGTAGTCTGTGAGAAGCTTAAATCAGGCTCGACGAAATCAGACCACTTTTGATGCCGGCATACAGCCATACACAGGAGGTTGCTTTTCCAATGTATGGAATTCTAAATGGTGATATTGGTTGCCAAAGGCATGACCATTCCTCTTCGACTGGGATGAGTGTTTTAGGAGTATTGTTCAAGATGGATCAGTACTGTTCTAATACTTAACTGAGGGGTCAAGGTAATTGGTATTCTAGCTAACTAAATTTGTCCCAAGTTGACTTGGTTATCTTACTCGGAATCAATGTCGTGTGATGCAAGTATCAGATGTCAGGTCTATTAACTCAAAATGAGACGCTCAATGGACCCCTAGACGCAAGGCCTTCTTAGCAAGTCGAGCGAGGTTTCGCAAGAAGCTCGAGCAGCTGGCTTTGTGAGTGTGAAGCTCAGAGTTCATGGAACCGATGTCCGAAAACTCCAAGTCCCTCATTCGTCATTCTGGCGCGACCGGATCGAACCGCACCAACTAGTCGAGCGCTCCTCACAGCAGAAACAGAGTTCATTCTTGATCTCTTGTGGCATGACGTGGCTCATTAAGCCACCCACTCAATTGCGGCTTGAGTGATGACTGGTCAACATCAGCCTGATGCACTTTCTGCAGTAGATCTCCAGCCTTCTGAGTCGCCAAGTGCTCTGTGCTAATTCAAACGCTCAGCCATAATTATCCCAACTGCAACTAACATATCTCTCCTGAGTCGCTTCAACTCGAGTGGTTATGACTGTCAAGGTAACCAGGCCGCTTGAGTCAGAATCGCCCAATTTACTAACAGAGAAGTCATTAAGGCCCGTCATATCGACGTCCTCATTTATCGGCAGTTGGAGTGACTTAATGCAATCCAACAGGTATAAAGTGGAAAGAAATTGAACGTGGAGACGACGGCGGGGGCCTTGGCCGAGACTTTTCAACTAATAGGTTAATACGAATAACCCATGTCTCTTTTTCTATTAAAGTCTTCTTCTGGGTCGGGGCTTGCTGAAACTTTTATTGTTCTTGTTAATAAAAACGTCACCTTAAAGACGCAGATAGAACTTAATAGCCAAGAGTAGCTATTATAATATATTAAGGCGTCTAAAGAGTTAAAGGAATAGTAGATTCTGACTTAAAATTATATCTATTTCTATTTACTACTAATAAATATTAAGTAGTATTATTATAGATACGAGTTATAGTGCTGGAATATAAATAGAACCTAGAGTGTCTTTGTATAGCTTTGCGGTAGCGTCCTATATTGCCTGGCAGACTTCTAGCCCTTATACTTGCTAATAGTCGACACAGAGAATGGCTTGCCACGAATGAATCTTTCAACGCATTTATCGAATCAGGGAGGTGTATTAACTTTGCTGACACCGGCAGCCTTGAAAACTCCATCGACCCTTGGGTTGTGACGGGTTTGGGAGGTAAAGAGAAGGTCCAGTTTCAATGCGCAAAGACAAAGAACAAAAGTTAACACCGATGGGTGATGTACTCCTTGTCCTCCCTGTCGCTGAATATCTTGATTTCGGCCGGACCATTTGAGAATCAATTTCCTCGAGCTCTCTGAGAGAGGTGTCATGGAGAGGGAGCCAGTCGTGACCTCTCCAGTTTCGAGCGTGGCAATGTCCAACGTTCAGGAACCTCATCTTAACGGACCCACTACTGATATTTTTGACACACCGTCGAGATGCGGTCCGGGGAGTTGAGCGTCGCTGACTGTGTGTTGTGTTTTTAGGTGATGCACCAACTGAAAAACCAAATGATCAGTTATACATTACGGTGACCTGTATTGACAAAACAAGATTCCTTACTATATTTGACCCGGCCGCAGCTGTAACTGGCACTGAGCCAAATCAACAGCAGGCCAAGGGTCGAGGTAGATGTGTATCAAGGTTCTTGTTGCGAGCTGGTGTCTCTGGTTGGTTGTTTGAAAATTCTGACCAAGTTCGAATAACTTACCTGCTAGTTGGGACTGGAACATTTGCTACAAGGAGGGATCTTGTTGTTAATAATAAAGAAGTCTGGTCTCCCAGGTCTCCAGGAATATGCCTTGCGAAAGACTTTGAGAAGGGGGTATTTCCGAGAGAGAGGAAGATGATGCTGCATCAGGATGGCTGGCTTGTGAAGCGAAGGGGAGATGTCGAAGGAAAGTCATATTGCGATGCTTTCCTTGAGATTTCTAAAATATGAAAGAAGAGAGAGGAGAGCGAGTCCAGGAGGAGAGTGGTTGGATGAAGATGAGAAGGGAAGAATGAAGTGATATGGGTTAAGTTGTCAATATTTGGTGAGGAAAAGGCCAAGTGGACACCTGATATATCAGGTTGCCTTAGAAGTGAGTTATCCATTTTAGCTTCCACGCGTTTTATAGCATCTGTGTCACTCAAAAAGAGATGCTCGTAAAATATTGGACTCTTGCACGTATGTAGGAGGCTGGTAGCTTCACGGCTAACTGCATCTCACCCGATAAGGCTAGTCTTAGTTCCGGGAATCGTACTGAGCAAGCACGTGGCACAGCAAGGCATTCTATCTTAGCTCCCTTCTATTGTAGAGAACTCGAGACTTTTAAACAAATATTACAAGAATCTGCTCAGAAGCTTTAAATGTGGTTGGTGATGAATGTAATAGAGAGTGAATAAAAGTATTGAGACCCTATAAACTACCACGACACCTCTCGAATTGTGTCGTCCTTTAGTTACCCAATATTACCGCTACGCTTGGCTCCTGCGTCCCATGCTTTGACTTCACCCCCAAACAAGATGCCAAAATAGAAGCCAAACTCTCGATCGCGCATTCCGATATCCCATTAAGACCAGGGAATCTTCCATATTTGCATAACCATTGCCGTACTCTCCTGGTTCCTAGCTATTGAACTGAATCCCATGCAGCATTGAGTCTAATCCAAACCGCAAGGTGAAGACGTCTTAGGAATTAGATCCTATAGTGGTTTCGAGCCTTTCCACCTCTTCGGGAGTGCAGATGGCGTGAGCGATACGTCGGAGGCAGTCTGGGACATTGCCAGTCTGCTGGACATGCAGAGACCAAAGCTCTTCAATGTCAACCCTGTCATCGCGATGCTGATTTTCAAAGCAGTATTTTGCTCTCCAAGCCAAGTCGCCTCTCGGCTCTCTCACTCGCACTTCTTTCTCGTTGGCTGAAAACAGTTTGATGCCATTACAAACCCGATCCATGAGACGACGGGCCTCGGTGGGGTTAGAGCTTTTGAGTTCGAAAGCCTCGTTGGCAAGCTGGCTATAGAGTCGCAAGAAGTCCGAGCCACCTCCTTTGAGTATGCAAAGATTAGAGGCCGTGGGAACCTCTCTCTCCTGAATCCAAGTCTCTCGGTCGTCATCCAGGCATAACCTGATCAACCCACACCAGCTGGGCGAATATTCTTTGCACCAGAAAGAGAGTGCCTTCTTTATATGCCGAGGCATGACACGGATGTTGGACTCACTGAGCCACATGTCCAATTCAAGCTTGAGATACCATTGAAAAACGCCTGGCTGGCCAAGCTTGCCCAAGACCTCAGCGGCAGACTGCAGGGCTTCAGCTCGGTTAGTCACCATTATCACATTGATGGGTTCATCCTTGCCGGACTCGTTGGAATCAGTTGCGGCGTTTTCGTTCCTACCCATCGCGATATCAGGGTCGATAGGTGTCGCCAGTTCCTTGATTCGTTCCACAATCTGAGCGGGCAGGGCGCGAGATCCTGAAGGGGAGGGATCGCTGGTTAAGACAACCCAAACATCATTGTCACCCTGGCTCTGACTGATGAGTTCAGGCTCATTGATGCCTTGTACGGTTCTCAAGAGGAAGGGCTCATTGCGCATCTGCTCATTGAACTTGATAGCAATGGGTAGCCACTGAGACATGTGACAGTGTCCAAATAGACGTGTAAAAGGTTGGTTGTCTTCAGCAAACCTGTCGGTGTTGATTCGCAGACGGCGGATGGCGAGCACCACGATGACGGAAACCAGGTGAGGTGCTGGTATACAAGGAGGATACCCAAACTGGGACTGTAGCTCGATTGCGGTCTGGAGATGTCTCTTGACTTTCTTCCATCCCTTGTACTCGCTCAGGCTTGTCGCCTGTAGAGGTTCACCGTGGACAAGAGTCTTGACGCACTTTCTGAAGCAGATCAGGGTTTGTGCCTTGTCTAGATGTAAAGATTTGAAGACTTCTTCCACCATCCGCGCGTAGACTTGCTTCAGGGCTTCCCGCGAGACCTTTCCAGTCTCAAGTTTAGGGCATCTATCGATGCTGAGGTCGTTCAACACAAAGGAGCCATCGTTTATCTTGGCAATAATCTGTTGCTGATTCAAAGCTGAGAGGTGCGACATTGCGACTGAATGTGGTCAGAGGAAAGAGAAAGGGCTCAGGGAGGGAAGAGGTCGGGACCTACAAGGATTGCTTGAGAAGAGAGGGCGGGATATCTGAAGGGTATCGCGATGGCTTTCCCAAGACTTCTAATACATTGAGGAATCGAAAGAGGTAAGATGAGGTTGATCAATGAAGGAGAATGTGTCGGGTGTTGAGTGAGGATGGAAAGGAAGATGTTGAATGGGTCGAGAGGGACATTATTCTTAGGACTTGGGAGCTAGAATAGGCACTTAGAGCTGCCTGAAATCTGGGGTCTTCGCTATGGGATCTTTTCCTCTCCCAGTAACTCTACTAAATCTAAATGTTTGCTCAATATCGAACTCTTGTTACAGGCAGCCTGAGGTAGGTAGTTAAATGGCCATATCTAAGTCACCCGATATGGTTAGTCGGGTGGGGACTAACCTGCGAGCCGATTGATCGATCTGGCAGCGGCTGTGTAGTACGTGGCGCAGCAGAGCATTCTTGTCTTTATTGCTCCCTTTGATCGTAGAGAACTTGAGACTTCCATCATTAATGATAGAAACATTTGCACCATGTGGACTTCAAAGTTTCTCAAAGGTCGAAATACAAGAGCAATCACAAAGACCTCGATTGCAGCTGCTGCCTCAGCGCCAACATCACAAGCTGAATCCAGTGCCAACTCTCAAGCGTTCTCGGTAGCTGTGACTGAGCTGCTGGAATGCCTGGACTTTGTCCTTGATCAGCTGGATGACCAAGGTGAATAAGCTCACTTGAGATATACTCAGCATGCTGATAGACGTGTGAACTAGGAGAACATGGAGATTTGTTACAGTTCCATTTGTCACGGCTTGCCAAAGAGATATCAAAGTATAAAAACTCCAAGGTCGATGAACAAAGGTCACAACCATGGTCCGGGTACATCTATCCGCCCCAAGACATTAGGAACTTTTCTAATCTAGTCATCTTTTGCAGGAATCGTGACGTACTCGAACTACTGCTTGCCGCCTGCAGATGCGCATGCTCCGTCTACAAACCAGACATCCATCCTGGAGGTGATCTCGTACCAGTGATCTCCCGGACACCTTCTATTACTGGGACAGTCAAAGCAACTTCAATATGGAAATCAGAAGATACAAATACTCTGTTTGTTTCCATTAGAGGCACATCTTGCAAGGCAGACCATCTTGTAAACTTTAATAGGAACCACAAGGACTCGGCCTCGGTCTTCGTAAGTTCCAGGAGCCTTTTGTTTCTTTAAAACACTAACAACTGTCTTGAGGCTTTCCCTGGCATTGATGAAAGGATATTTGCCCACAGTGGCTTCTTGGCTTGTGCAGCTACTCTTCTTCCCTGGCTTACCGAGGAAATCGTTCGCCAGGTTACAGCCGACATGAATTTGAAAGATATAGTATTCACAGGCCACTCGGCAGGCGGAGCGGTTGCAGCCATGGTGTTTCTGAACTTTATTTGCCACTGCCCAGCTGAATGTAAGTACAGGTCTTCCTACCTCGTGTCTCACAAGCTGACAGCCTTCGTAAGTATCGAATGCAAAGTTCTCGCTCATCACATTCGGAGCCCCGCCTGTCACTTCAATCAACATCACTGAACTGGCTCAAAGCCTTCCTCAAACTCGGCATATCTATGCTGTTGTCAACGAGCACGACTTAGTTCCGAGGGTTGACCAAGGCTACATCACATCAATCATCAGTTTGTACCGGTCAGCCTACGGCCTACCATTATCCGACTTCAATAACACCACGTTTACAGCCAACACCCAAGCAGACAAAAACCAGGATTCTACGTGGAGACTACCTCCACCTGATTTCCATATCGTTGGAAATATCGTTGTTCTAAGAGCGAAACTCGATTACAATGCGCTACGGCTGACATCAAGCCAAACCAGTGCAGACACTACTACACCGCCACAGAAGCTAGATATACTGCGAGTTTCCCCGATGGAGTTTTGCAAATTGCTATTCTTTGAAATATCTGTACATAAGAGGAAGATATATCTCAACAGATTGGAGAGACTAGTACAAGAGGCAGGGGGAACAGCATGATACACTGAAGCAAAACGTGATTTGTGGGGTTTACTCTCACATCTGGTTCCACTAACTCTTCTTATAGACATCTCATTTTAGTGTCTTGCCCAGACCTCATGATCCATGTTGCTTACTCAAACTTGTGAATCCTATCCTCCTTCGTTATGATGAAGACCGCAGGCTGCCTTCTATTTTGGTAGACCGTTCTGATCCAGTGTGCTGAAATAACCCTTGCGGCGAGTGAATTCTGGTTCCGCTACACTTTTTGTTCCGCCAGCACTCTCGTTAAATAGGGCTTTCGCCTCGTTGCAGGTCTCAAAATGGGACTGATAACCGCAGGAAGAAAATACATCGTCGCGATCTCGACTGATCACAGCATGAGCCTCCAGGCGAATCTAACACCCCTTACAACTAACACCACCTTCAATTTGGCCAGTGGTTGGATCATACCATGGGTATGCAGTGGACATCATAAAACGTTGGTTCTTTTGTTCGCTCCGCGCCTCTAAGGCCTGGACTGCGTCCGAGGTCAGGAGACCAAGCTCTGATAGTCTCCGGGTAGCCTCCACCTCTGCTAGTAGTAAGGCTGGACGTCTGGCCGGTCTTTCTTCCATGGAATATATTCCAGGAACCGTTCTCAGAATGTATCCAGCAAGACAACTCAAACGCTTGGCAGATAGCTTCGTGAGCTTGGATAAGGCGGACATGCTGATAACACGTAGCTCAGGAGCATTCTCAATACACGCGAAACAGCATCGAGTGGCAGTCAGCAGACATAGAAAGCCACCGAAGTTTTTGCAAAATTGGCATGTTTCGCCTATCAAAGCGCGGTACATGTCCTCAAATGTGAAATGAGTCGCCAGTCGCATACGCAGCATGCCGCGAAAGCCTTCTATACCATGTCTGACAACGGCCTTGTATTCTTGAAGCTCACTTGCCAAGATTCGGGCACGTCTGTTGACATGGCGGAATCGGAAATATGATAACAGATCAAGGTTGCGAAGTATGATGTTCAATAACTCATTGGGAAGAACATCCAGTGCCCCTAATTTCACGGTGGGCGTCGTAGTGAAAGGCTTCTCTATAGATTCCCGGACAACCTGGCTCTCGTGAGGCGGTGATCGAATAAGTACCAGGTCGAAATCGCGTCGATGATACGCGCAAACATCAAGAATAGTAGCCGCGTTGGTGCTTACCATTGTTGTTTTGGTTGAGTTCGAGTTGGTGGGGAAACCTTTGTTGGATTGTTGTGATGTAACTGGTCTGACCAGGAATCTCAATCTCGGGCCGAGAGATTTTCCGAACTGCTCACGTATAGGTAATATTTCCGTGTACTGTGATAAATACCCTGTGCTTTTTAGATTCTCCTTGAATTTTTCACTGATTGGCTTATTTATGCGTTGTTTTAAGTGAACCTACTGAACTGCCTGACGTTGGTTCTGACAAGTTGCAATTCCTCGAAGGCTACAACCACTACAAATGGCTTTAAGGCGACATCATAAGCGTCGATTACCACAGGAACACTCAAATTGCGGCATTCATTTGTATCGAAATCTTATTACAGAACTTCTCAAGGGAGTTCTCGTCCTATACTTCGTGTTTCCGATATCCTTGCACAAACCAATAGCATGGAAGCTATAGCAGGTCATGTGAGCTCATGTCTTGCAGAAGAATGGAGTTGAGGTATTCAGCATCTCCAGCTAGTAATGTTCTTGAAGTACTCGACGGTCCGGTCGTCCTCTGGCAAAGTCACGTTGAGGTTGTAGTTGTAGGAAGAGCTTAGACCCCTGTCATCACCCTTATCATCACAGCCGGTATAACTGTTTTATTCAGTTAGATCACTGCATCTGCGGGAGGGGGAAGTGAGAACTTACTGGTAGAACTGGCATGCGCCACCAGTGTTGGTGGAAATGGAAGAGACATTGTGGTTGAACATGTCTGAGATTGAGGTTGGATCATCGCCCTTCTTGGGGTCAAAGTCGAAGTAAGAGACTGTCCATCATCAGTATAGGAGTCATCTTGAGACGACGGGGAACAACATACCGCACTTTCCGGGCTCGGAACCAAAGGAAATGCACTCAGGTCTAAATCCAGCAGTAGTGCACTGAAGGACAAAAATGTAACCATCTTCGAGGGTGTAGTCTCGGTTGGGGTCTGGTTCATAAACCTTGGGTGCATCACGCTTGGTCTTGCCACCGGCATAGACGAGGGTTCTACTGTTTTCGAAACCTTCCTTTGCAGCACTGTTCATGACCTTGCCAACAAGTTGGATGTTGGCTGCTTGGACACCAGCTGCAGCTGCGGCCAGGACGGCAAAAGCGGTGGAGGTGTACTTCATCTTGATTACTGGTTGTATGTCGAGGTTGTGCTGAGATGGTATGAGACAGGCCAATTCCTTGGGGATTCATTACGCTTATTTATAGTCGAAATGATCTTGGTACTACGATAGATGTTCTATGCCGACTCGGAAAGTATCGTTCCATTCTCGATGGTAAGGTAGCACTGCGCCAACTTCTCAAATTCTCTCATAGCTTCGCAGAGTGTTCACACGTTAGAATTGACTTTACAGCCTCGTGTGCATCTTTCGGATGCTTCGGGGGCATTGGCCGCTCAGGCACTGCAGGCATGAATTGACGATCCTTTGATGTCCTCCCGCTTTGATGGTCGATGCTTTTTGAACCGGTAAACTGAGGAAGCGCGTGGACGTGGCGGCACAGACTTGTTTGGGGATTCCAAAGCTAATTATGGGCATAAATGCTTTGATGACTTGTGAAACAAGAAACTAGAATAATTTGGAACCGGTCGAAGGTTTGCTCGTTCATAAGGATCATCGCTGAGCCGTTGCGGAGGTTGCATGAGAGTGCAACGTTGGTGCGTTCAAGAAAGTTTAATGACTTTATGCAATTAAATAGTCTTCCGGCAGTTACAACATCAGTTTAATGCCATCACAACCTGCACCTCGTTCTCAAAAGACGGCATTGCGTTGGTCTTGTGCCTGACACAAGATCTATTAGGTTTTTGCTTGGTTGCATTGATAGACAAGAGACAGGTTTTTATGCAGCTTCTAGCAGGGATCTTGGCCGATCGTTGAGGAAACAGTTCCCCAAATAGTAATTTACTATCAAAAGAACCCGAGAGCCGAGTCGTTGTCATCCGCCCAGTCGTACGGGACCGATATCCCGGCGTTCGTCATCGACTCGCACCATGTATTATACCCGTTGATTATTGAAGCTGCCTCGCTGTCTCCTACACTCGGAACGAACGGGGCGTTGTCGCAGTATGTGCGGGCACCCTCTTCTTCCAAGTGTGGCCAGCACAGCTTGAGAGTGATGTCGCGACACTTGGAGCTATTGGGATTCAGCTCGGCCATGGCTCCCATGATAGATAGGGACGCCTGGATTTGCGCGCGCCAGTCAGGGGCTAGTGCGTGATGGGGGTTCTGTCTTAAGCAGTGGACAGGAATTAGTGTAGCGTGGAATAGGAAATACCTGTCCTTGTTAGCAGATGGTAAGCAGAAGTTTGGGCATAGCTTACAGGATATAAAAGGCTGCGAGCCTTGAATGTGACCGAGATGTCCAGTATCCTTGGATATGCGTGATTGATTCTTTCGCGGCATCCAGACATCTGAATACAGCGAGGTTCTCGCTACTCGTCAGGTTTTGCTGCGCATTCTGCGCGGATGATCGTGCCCAGCGGACCAAGAACGGACGATACATGACAATTCTGAGATTTCGATAGCGCCACTCTGAAATACCCATGCCCAGTGCAAACTCAGAGTCTGGGGGTGGAACTGCGAGATAGTAATATGGTACTTGGGCTAGCCAAGAGCCGATGCAGACATCATCCAGAGTTATCAACTCCGTCGCGGATGGGAAGGGGCTGGTGATAAGGCGGTTATAGACAGTCATGGTGCTAAGATGATAAGCTGACTGAACTCGGATATAAGTGTACATCGTGATACCCTCCACTTCTGGTGGGCAGTGAGTGGAGTCTTGGGTTAGGTCCTGGGGTAATAGTCAATAAATGATCTCCTTGTTGATTTCAATCGACTGACCTTTTCGTGAATATTCAGAGGGAATGCAGTCTCGACACCAGCCTGTGGCCAGTTCAAAGGTCTGCCATATGTGATAGTAGCGCCAACATCCAGCACGCATAGACACCACCATATCCGGCGCCGAGTCTCTGTCTGTAAGGGAGAAAGACTATTCCCCTCCAAGTCCTTATGAAGTCCAAGACCAATAGCTAGTCGAATAGCTAAGCCACCATAGTTGAATCCAGTATTCGGCTTGTTCCGCTTCTGCATATAGTTTGATGACAAACTGAAAGCTTGTACAAGAGTTAGGTTTCCAACCTCGAGATAGTTTGAAAACAGACTCTTTTGTGCAGCCTGGAAGATGGGGAGGTCTGTAGCATCAGCAACGTTACTGCTGGCAAATGATCCCAAGGCTGCGAGAATGTTTGCCAGAGTGTTCCAGTGGCCTTTGTTGGCACAAGGAAGGGTGCCTGCATACTGCGCTCGAAAAGTGGGCTCATGCACGATAGGAAAGGTAGGATGATAGAAGACGAAAAAAGCGTCGATGAGGTTCTCGACAGCCACTCTGGTCAACATAGCTTGAGAACGAAACCATTGTGAGTGATCGGAGTGTTGTTGAAAAAGAGATTCAATTTCATGTAGTGCCACTTCGGCGTCAACCTCTTCTCCATCTGGACGGGCAGATAGAATCTGACGCAAGAGGGCAGATCCAGAAGCAGCGCCATAGTATCCTCTCTTTTGATCGCCAATGGTCAGAGAGGCCATGCCGTCCATGATAGCTTGGGGGTTTCCATCAACATGGTTTGTTATAGACCAAGTGGCGGGATCGTATGTTCCCCATGATGTCTCTTGTTCGTTCCACTCAAAGTTGTCAGCTGGAGCCAGAGTGGCCTCGAAAGCTGTATCTTGCGATGCAGTCCAAAGTCCAGGCGCTGCATCTAATTCACCGATGGGTGCCAGAAGCAGAGGATCCGTAGTGAATGTTCCTGCATTTCCTGTACCTGTCATATAAACACTAGAATCAGGTGTCTGATTCGGTAGCTGGAGGAGGTTGTCCACATTGCCCGGGGTCGGGGTTGCATTTGGCAAGCCGCCTAATCCCGGCGTTGTCCCCAAGGTTAGTGCTGGTGTAGGTGCCGATTCAGGTGCAGTTGCTGGCGTCGCCGCTGGTGCCTGTTGATTCTGAGTTACCAGTCCTTCTTTTGGACCTTCCAGCATTTCTGCAATCTGGCCATCAGTGTAATGCCGCCTCAGGACTGTCTCAGCCTTCTCAAGACGCTCCTCTAGGAGGGTAAGTTGTCTACGTTATTGTTAGTGCGAGGTTCCCCAGTTAATCATAGACGCGGCCCCATGTATGTACCTTCGGGTTAGCCGGGTTCTACTGTGCTTGTCGTAGAGACAATGCCTTCTGTACTTTCGGCAAATTGAGCAGACGGGCATAACACCATCGCATTTCACTTTGCGGCGTCGACATTCTCGACATGTTGTAGGCTCTTCTACAGTAGGGGCTTGTTGAGGAGGAGAAGGCTTGACTGGGATTGGGTCCATGATTCGTCCAGCCGTTGAGGATCGAAGGGCTAAATAAAGTCTGTCTGAAAGGTTCAGATGATGGGACGATGGTTAGAATTTGCGACGTACGGTGGCTAGTAAACCCGTCCCAGGAACCCTTGACATCCCCGCAATTTCTAGCCCCGCAACTAATCCACTTTAGGACCGAATCGTGACCAGACTTTCGGATCTAGAACAGGAAAGTAAGCTGACAGGCGTGACCATTTGAAGCCACGATGTTGACGATATTGCTTTCAGCGGATTCTCTAATGCCAGTCATTGCTATTAAAGTGTGGATTAATGCCTGTATTTCATTATGAATGGGACATTTCCCAACTGGTTTTTCCTGCTCGCTTTTTGGACCCCCACCAAACCACCCACGCTAAGGCAATCCCAGCATAGTAACCCCCACTAACGTGCGTCAACACTTGTGGTTTGGTAACATGCTCGAGCGTATGGATACCTACCATTGGGAACAACAGTCTCGAGTTAAATTGCAAAGTACTTTTTAGCATTTTCACATACGGTTCTTGTCCTAACAGCTACTAGTTTAAACATTGTCTCATTTAAGATTGCCCTTTTAAATATACGGGCTTAGGGTAGCCAAAAATACCAACTACCTATCCTATCCAAAACCTTAGACAAGATAACGGAAGCCCTTTTGGACACGGAGAGCTTCATCAGCCTGTGCCTCCCGAACCTTCTCGGCCTCATAGGCCTGTGTTTCCTCCCTCTCAAGCTCCTCAAGTCGCTTGTTCAATCTGGAAAGCATCATGCGAAGAACAAGAGCACCGACGATGGTGCAGCCAAACATAGCTGTGACAATGCCATAGCTCTTACGGTAGCCATTCTCCTTGAGACCCCAGACGTAACTTCCAGCAATGTTACCCAGTTGAGCAAACGCGTTAATGAGGGCGATAGCCACGGCTCGCTTTGCAGGAGGGCGAGGGAATGTTGAGCTGATCCAAGAATAGAAGACGATGTATCTAAGTTGATGTTAGTTTGTGTTTTCGATATGTTGGCAATTTAAGAAGAGCGACATACCCAGCGTAAGAAGATGCTTGGAGGAAAAGAGCAAGATATCGTGCAGCAACATTGAGTGTTGACATGCTAATGATGAATCCGACTAAACCAACGCAGATGGGACCAACAATGTGCCAGAACTTTCACAATGGTCAGTATGAAGAGCATAAATACTAGGAGTCTATGAGAACATACCTTCTCCTGTGTTCGATCAGAACTCCAGGCAACGATCAGAGAAACGATGCATGCAAAGAGCCAAGGAGGGGAGCTCATGAGGAGAGTTGGTACGTAAGCAAAGCCAAGGGTACCAGTGAGAGATGGCTATAGAATGTTAGTATCTAGAAACAATGCAGAGGATAGAGGAAGTCTTACGAAGAAGGCATTGAAAGACAGACCGACAACGTAGACGGCAAAGGTAAGCATCATGACATAAATCTTGCCATCCTTGAGGGCCATCATCAATCCGGCAACAGCTCCTTGACCCTCAGCATCCTCATCAGCCTCACCAACGTCCTCAATCATTCGGAGCTGAGCTACTGCGAGCTCCTCTGCAGAGAAACCGCGAGTGTTGCTGGGAAGATCGGGAAGGATGAAGACGGCGAGGATGGCGATGAACATAGTAATAGCACCCTCAACTATCTTGCTGTTAGCCGTGTTCTTTTTTTCTTGGAACAGATGGAACACTTACTCCAGAAGAGCCATCGCCAGGAAGCATGCCCGAGCACGCCATCCATCTCAGATAACACTCCAGCAGCAATCAAAGCCGAGAACGCATTGGAAATCAAGTTACCACAAAAGAGGACAGCATTTCTCTTTGTGAGTTCCCGGCGGGTATACCACTTCGAAAGAATGAGCAATGCTCCGGGCAGGAAGGCTGCCTCAGTGAAGCCAAGGAAGAAACGGATAACAACCATTCCGGTAAAGTTATGGACGTTTCCTGAGAGGGTTGAAATCAAGCCCCAGAGAAGCATGATAGCACCGAGGTATAACGAAGGTCGTTGGATCTTATTGATAAACATGTTGGAAGGGACTTGCATAAGGATGTAGCCAACATAGAGGATACTGAGACATGTGGCATACTCATTATCGTCTAGCTTAAGATCATCCTGCAAGCCCTTGAGACGGGCAGCCGCAATATTGTTTCGATCGAGATAGTTCATGATGTAAATCAGAACGAAGAGAGCGCAACGAGCATCGAGCTTGAGTTTGAGACGCTTCTCAACTCGAGCACGAGTTTCGGGATCCATTGTTCGGGCAAGGGCAAGACGATCGCTGTGAGTAACAAAACTCTCGAGATTCTCCTTTGTCTCGAAAGAAGGCTTCTCAGCTCGAGCTGCGCCGGCCGCAGTCGAGTTGGTGATCTCGTTGGCCATGATGGCGAGAAAAAGACCACAGATTCCTGATAAGATAAGAAGAGAAGATAAAGGTGGATGGAACTCCAGATGAGTGATGATCCTCTGGGGCTTGGGGAAATAAACTATCTGGGGACCCCAGGAATGGATGAAAAGTATTTATGTCAATTCACAAGGTGCCTTCATCGGCCAACTCCATCCCATCCATCTTCTTGGAGTTTCAGCTTCACGCGAGCAATTCTCTAGTTCCAACCCCATGTCCAACAGAACTTGGAGAAATTCGGAGACCACTTACCAACTCTGGACTAGTCGCGAAAAAGTCAGGTATGGAGAAAGGCTGACTGTCAGCTACCAATCGGAACATTCACCCTTCTCCTAGGATGGGCCTTCTAGTGCCGGTAGTTTGGCTTGTGCGCGGGCGACAGTCAGCCTGGCAGTGGGACACGATACGTAACTAGCTAGAGTCTTGGTTGGGGAGAGAAGTTTATTATCAATGAGGCTCTTTCTCCACGCTACCAGTCTGTAGCTCTTGATCCCCGTGGGGGGTTCTCCGGCTTTGAGCGGCATGAAAGGAGACTCCGCACGGTCGAGTCATGATCTATCGGGCGCTATTCAAGTTGACTGTCGACCTCTTCGTGGGACATCGTCAACATCGTTCTTTATTATCGTTCATAGTCTGAAGTTTCCATGATTTTGAGCATCATCTGCGCCTTTTAGATAGTTGACTGTCGACCTTGTCATGTGAAATTTGAGGCGGTGCAGCATCATGGCTCCCATCAGCTTGATTGTTCCAAGTGATTCTTGAGGAATTCTCGTGTATTTAAATCCTCGATTGGACGCGTTATAAACTGTAGATAGTTCTGTATCCCAACAGACAAGCTTCCAATTTAATCACTTCCTCTTAATCAACTACCTATTTTGATATCAACAACACAAAATGGAGATTACCAAAGTATTTACCCCAGACTAACACTACCTGTCCCCAATGTCACTAACGCAAGCCTCCACTAGGTCGGGATTATTGGAGCTGGCACCATGGGGGGGGCGGTGTCCCTCCTGTTTGCTGAGAAAGGTCTTGATGTGTCCACTTTCGACACATCGCGAGCAAGTCTTGATAAGGTCGCGAAGAACGCGGAGGCAGCTGGACTATCGAAACGGGTCCACATCTGCGAGGACTATGATTCCCTCTGCGAAGGACTTGGTTCACCCAAGATCTTTATCTTCAGCTTACCGAATGGTCGTCCTGGTGACAGTGTCGTCGCTCAACTCAAATCACGTGTCTCAAAGGGGGACATCCTCATCGACGCTTCGAACGAAAATTACGAACGCACACAAGCGAGACAAGAGATTCTCCGTTCCCTTGGTGTTGCATATATCGGACTCGGTATCTCAGGTGGTAGCTTTGGAGCTAGATATGGTCCATCACTTATGCCGGGTGGTGAGAAATGGGCTGTCGAGCAGGTCCTCCCCCTTCTGTCTAGGATCGCGGCCAAAGATGATCAAGGCCGACCTTGTGTAACCAATATCGGTACTGGTGGAAGTGGACACTTTGTTAAGATGATCCATAATGGCATTGAGCATGGCGTTATGTCTAGTCTCTGCGAAGCATGGGAAATTATGGACAAGTGCTTGAATATGACTGGTGACGAGATTGGAGACGTGTTTGACTCTTGGTGCGAGAAAGGAGAACTGGTAAGTGCTTTCAGAAACTGCCTATCCAAAGCTTGCTAACCATTCATGATATAGAAAGGTAACTTCCTCGTATCTATCAGCGGTCCTATCTGCAGAACCCGAAGCCCTGTGGACGGAGGCTCTCTCTTGCATCAGATCAGAGATGCCGTTGTCCAAGATGCCAACGACTCCGAGGGCACCGGCGTTTGGGCCAACATCGAAGCTGTCGCCTCTCACGTGCCTGCTCCAAGTCTGACCGCCGCCCATTACCTACGACTTGCCTCAGCCGAAGTCGAGCAAAGGAGTGCCGTCCAGGCTTCCATCGGAAACGTCTCGCCCAAGCCCTTCGGCGTTGGACCTGAGAAGCGAGCCCATATTCTAGAACAACTACGACAAGCCGTATATGTCACAAGTCTTGCATGCTTCATCCAGGGTTTCGATGTCATGGAGCGCAAGAACCGACAGGAAGGTTGGGGTGTCGACATGACACGAGTCTTGCATATCTGGAGAGCTGGCTGCATCATCAAGTCTGACTACATCTTTGACATCCTTGACGTTGCATATGCTGAAGGCTCTGACGTGCACCCTCTGTGCAGACCTGGGGTGCCGAACGAGATCAAGAAGTCTTGGCCATCGCTCAAAGCGATTGTGCTTGAAGGTCTGAAGGCTGATGCTCACTTGCCTTGCTTGAGTGCCACTTTGGAATATCTCAAGTACATTGGAGGAACCGATCTTCCTACTTGCTTCTCGGAAGCACAGCTGGATAGTTTTGGTGCTCATGGATTTGATCTCAAGTCAGAGCCTATTAGACATCTTCTGAAGGGTGAGTTATGCTTATTATAAATCAGGCAGGAAGCTAACATAATCTTGCTAGGAAACCACCACGAGACATGGTCCGGTGCTTAAATTAACATGGCATGACCTAAGTTCAGCAGCCTTCCCAATGAAGATGGCTGTAGCCGGATACTACTTAACATTTCATACTGTTCATCAGAGCCTGTTCTCAACAGAGGGCATATAACAACCTAGTGGTTGCTGCCAAAAACCTTCTTGCACAGAACTCCAGGACAGCAACATGCTGCTTGCTTCCTCAGCTATAGCCTCAAAAGCTGAATATTCACAAAGTGTCAGATATCCGGAAAGTCTGAAAAGCATTAGGCCATCCAGGGTGAACAGGATATGATCTCTTTGGCTTGGGAACACAGTAGAGGATAATTTCTGGATAGAATAGGTTGCTGTCTGCGGAAGGACTGTCAGTGTGACTGATTTACTTCGAGGGAGGACAGAAGCCATACCAGGATGTGGTTGCCCTCTCTATTCATTTCTTTGAAAGTTACACATAGAAAAAAGTGCAAGGGAAACTGGAAGAAAACTGTAAGATTGCTTTTCAATATTTGGCGTACTAGCTGGAAGATATCATATTCATTCTAATCATTTAATTAAACTCCAGTCCTCCGGCTCGTCTAGCAAGATATTTCTGAACCAGGAATCTCCTCGCTACACCTCTACAGCAACTCAGCCTCTGTTCTGACACTGACCCTTAGGAACAAGAAGGTACCGTTAACCGGGTGCTAAAGATGTATTTACTCGATTATACCCAAAGCTATACAAATTATTTGCTAAAGCCCTAGATCTGCAACCTACAGTGATAGTTTACAATTCCATAGCCAATACCAGGAAGGTTTCCACAGTGCAATGAATGAAACAATCCCCTACCTTCTTCCTATCGTTACCTCCCATCTCGTCTACCTATCAAAAAGTTGTCCGAGTCTATCAAGGTTGCAGGCGCGCAAGATTGCGAAGAGGACGCCGCTATGAGGCTAGCAGACGTTGCGTAGCTATCATGAGCTATTGTGTAGTGCCGAGTGTTCCGATTAACGTGTTTTGAAGGTCACCGACAAGGTCCACAAGTCGGGTTTCACGGAACAAGACAATTAACCATGTTCATTGCAAACCTAAAAAGCGAACCTTTGACCAACCATCTCCTCACTCTTCCTCCAAAGCAGCTCTGCTTCTGTTGAACTTGTCGCCCACGGTCTTACTGTATCAGTCATAGGGTCTGCTAAACGGCATTCAAGCAGATATGCGCCATTATGTTCTATCAAGATCAGTATACATGGACATGAGAGGATTGGATTCTGCTTACCCTTGAGTTCAGGATCGAAAGCAGCAAACGCGTGGGTTGCAGCACCGACCTCAGGGGAAACTGGGATAGTTGACCAATCTACCCAGCCCCAAGGGTCTCCCATTGCACGATCAGCTTCAACTACTTTCGTTAGCTTGATAGCATTTGCAATTCATCCGTTGAGCACTGACCTAGACTATCCAAGGTATCTAGATGTTTAGCTAAAGAAGTGCCAAGGATTGCACCGGGATGAAGGGAGAATGCTTGGAGTCCACTTCCGCCGAGTTTCTCAGCAAGAGAGCTGGCATACAGCATATTTGCTGTCTTTGACTGTCCATAGGCACTCCACTTGTTGTATCTTTCACCGTTCTATACGTAGGTCAGTAGTAGTTCCATAGTCAAGTATCGTAAAAGCTTACACTGAAATTGGGGTCACCCCATCGAATAGGCCCCAGGCGGTGACCGTTACTTGAAACACTGACCACTCGAGGCGTCTCTGAAGCGAGGATTTTATCCATGATCAAGTTTGTAAATAAGAAGTGGCCCAGATGGTTTGAAGCAAATTGATTTTCGAAACCATCCTCTGTGAGCTTAAAGTCCGTTGCCATGATCCCCGCATTATTGACCAAGACGTCGATCTTGGGGACGTCTGACCATCCATTGACATCTTCTGCAGCAGCACGAACAGAGCGAAGAGAACCAAGATCAATAGTCAGAAGTTTCGTCTTGAGGTTAGGGTACTTGACAGTAAGGTTGTCTACAGTTTGCTGAAGCTTACTAACACTCCGGCCAGCTAGAATAGCCAGTCCAGGTTCTGCGACTGCAATAGCTTCAACAAAGAGTGCACCGAGACCTCCCGGACTTGCACCTGTTGTGAGGATAGTCTTGCCCTTGATGATAGGTGCATACTCTTGTGCGAGCTGGTAAACCGTAGTCTTGGGGCCGTGCTGTACCATGATGGTAGAGGGTTTGAATGAAAGCAATGTAGAAGATAATGAAGATTTAATTCCGAGGAATGGTCCAATCCTTTTATATTCTTCCTGTGACTGCAAATAATGTGGATCTCATACGATCTGCAGGCAATGTTTCCAGGATAGTGTCTGGCTGGCGTCAGCCAGATCCTAGTGGAGTAACGATCCAGGTCAAGACTCCGACATGATTGGGTGGCTCAACCTCAGTTTCTGGCCCTTGAGCAGTGTCGGATGTCAACACCAAATCTTTCAATGATGCTACACAGTGATGTCAGCTAGGTTCTGTCTCCTGATTTAAGCTCTCAGCCACAAGCCTCAACTGTAAATAACACGTCTGTAATGTCAACCCTAGGGAATGAGGAGGTCCCAGCACCTAATGGCCATTTTAAGATATCTGATTCTGAAGCAGTGAGAAAGAACTTTGTGTTGACTGCCATCGTAACATACATAAATATAAGCTTCTCTGTCATTGACTTATTGTGTTACTGAGGCATTACTTCTGTCTTGACAAGTCAAAGACTTCTCAGCCAAGATATTCTAAAGTTAAATTTTGATCAGAACTTTCATCTTGAACTTTCACTAAATTATAGTTCTTAATCAATTAATCGGAAAGTTTAACTGAGTATAAAACCTCCTCTCTCCTCGAGTACTACTTGTCTTATTTTTTTCTATCCTTCACTCTTGATTGTTATCCCACCCATTAATGCTTCACGATGGCTTCATCATCAACCAGCTCGACTCCCCCACCCTCAAATGACCTACCCAGGCTCCCATTCGAGATCTGGATAAAAGTCTTTAAGGATCTTGAGTCACTAGAAAACTTGCGGTCCTTAATCTCTGCTTCACCCACTGCCTTGTATTTTTTTCAAGGTGGCAAACGGTACATCCTACGCCCGTTGGTGGACAATATAAACAGCCGCCTCGACAGTTACATTATTGCTTTCCTATTGTCATCGTTCAAAGTCAGGAAACTGCTGCGCAACACAGCGGGCCTTACCCGGACACAAATCGAAAATGAGCTCTCAACGTTTCTGATTCCTCTTTATAGACCTGGCACTATAAATCCTTTTCAATACTGGAATCAGAACCTATCAGCCGTCATCAAGCTCACCAACAGCTTCCGAAAGATCTCCAGCGCGGTGTTGTTTTACCGAGGGATCAGAGACAGTATGTGGCTTAAGGAATGTAGGCCGTCCGTCCAGACCTCTACCCGTCCCGAAATATCCATACCTGAGCTCAAGAAGTTCTTTTTCGCCTTCATGGATCACACAATCCGACTCGACTTGTTCATTTACAATAAAGACACATCGTTAAATCCCAGAGCATCTGTCCTGGACCCAGTGGCGTGGCAGTCAGCCAACCCGAATTTTGACGACGTGGACCCAAAGTTATGGCAACCATCTTCATCTCACGCGGGGGGGTTGGCTATCAATACTCGTGGACTGGTGCGCGTTGCAGGAGATGTTGCCAGTATCCTCCATCCATCGAGCGAAGATACCAAAGGAGAATATACCCACATGAACCCTCTCAAGAATAAACTTCCATACTTTGTAATAGAGGAACTACGGTTGAAATAACCCTGGAACGCCGTCGGTTTCTCCGTTGCCGACGTTCATACCCCCTTTTTCGGCTCGGCTTGATGGAGGGAAACGTTGATAGCGCCCATTCATGAATTACGCGAGGCCATGTTAAGGATAGTTGTAGGGAAAGGCCTCTCTTCGCCCATGCGACGATTCATTGATCTACAGGAAGCTTCGCGGAAGTCTCATTTACAAAACATAATTGGAGAATTTCGAATCTAATTGGAGAGCGTCATAGAGATATTGTATTACTATGATGAGATGTTACATGCGTAAGCGCAGAGTTGCCAAGGGGTATTGTGTGACGTAAAGTTACAAATTGTGATACAAGATCCGGTCTCAACATTCGTTCCACACCCATCGTACAAAATGATGAAGGGATTAAAGCAAAAACTCCGAAATAATGAGTAAACAGTGAGCACCAAGCTCATATCCCAGAAGTGAACAGTCTTTGGTAAAAAGAAGAAACGGTCATGGTTGCCCTACAGAGTGCACAGTCTATTGACGCAAGCACAGATTCCCAGCGACGTACACAAGTTGAGGTTTGCCATGCAGTCATCTTCAGTAGAACAAGAAACATCATCAACGCAGACTTCTTGTTGGCAAGTTTGTCCTGCGCTACACTGCGCGTTTGTCGTGCATGCGTCGACGTCTGACGGTGGACTGCACACCGCATTCACACAAACACAGAGGCCAAGGGCGCAAAGAGGTTGCAGAGACAAGAGACAATCAATACTGTCGGAACAAGATGAGGTGCCTCCGTTTCCAGTACCAGGGGATGATGCCCTGCAAAAGCCATCTGCGGCGCATGTCTGGCCTGCGATCGTACAGTCGCTATCGTCAGAACATGGCGTTTCCGAGCTAGTTGGGGCTGGTGTATTGTCCGATGTGACAGTGACAAAGCCGCTGCTCGGGTTTGCAGTCCGTTGACAAATCAGATCTATACAGGCAAAGATCCCCAAAGCATTTGCGCCAATTGCTGCGACACAGTCCTGGTTTGTCGAGCACCCGATATCGGTGGCGCCCGGAGACGGCGGCTGAGTTGTCGAAGCTCCAGCTCCTGTAGTTGAGGTAGTCTCCTGGCATAGAGCGTTGACGCAGACAAAAAGCCCCAGCGCCTGGGCTCCGAGAGCGACAACACAGTCTTGATCAGTATCACACTCAACGTCAGTTGCAGACCCCGAAGCAGAGACCCCAGTGTTAGTGGTTGTCGCTGCAACGCTAGCTGTTGCTGTCTGTTGGCAAAGAAGATTGACACATGCAAAGATACCAAGAGCCCCAGCTCCAATGGCAGCCACACAGTCTTGGTCCGTTGAGCACTCGACGTCAGTTCCTTGCACAGATGCGGCAGGCTGGGTAGCAGCCGCACCAGCTCCAGAAGCTGTGGCCGTCTGCTCACACAAGAGATCTATGCAAGCGAATATTCCCAACGCGTTAGCTCCCAAGGCCGCCACACAGTCTTGATCTGTTGAACAATCGATAGGTGCTGTGATGGTGGGCACCGCGATGGAGCCTGTTTGCGAAGCTGTGGTACCTCCATTCGTAGGATTGGCAGTTGGCTGAAGCTGGCAAATGAGGTCCACACAGACGTAGATTCCCAAGACAGACAATCCTAGGGCAGCAGTACAATCTTCAGCGTTTGCGCACGATACTGACGTTTGTGCTGCTGGTGCTCCAGCTGTCGTGGTTGGGTCACCATCAACGCCTCCACCACTATTCGAGTCAGGTCCAAGTTGGCATACAGCGTCTACACAGACACACAAGTTGAGCCCACCGACAAGGCATAATGCTACGTCTGCCACACAGTCGTCGCTGCTAGAACATGCCGATCCTGTCTGTGTAGCCGACTGACCAGCTGTTGTGGTTCCTGATTCGCCGGCACCAGACCCTGGGTTGTTGCCAGAAGTCGTGCTTGAAGCTGGAGAGCCACTCGTTGTCGTGTCTCTAACACAGACTGCGTTAACACAAGTGCAAAGGTTGAGTACGCCGCTCAAGCACAACGATACATCAGCCAAGCAATCATCGTCATCAGTACATGGTGTACCTCCACCACTCTCGGTCGGCGTTGATGGATCAGTGCCCTGGGTTCCAGATGCCGCAGTAGAAATAGCACCTCCTGCAGTGGAAGTATCGTCTGGGTCTGTGTTTGGAACACACACTGCATTCACACAAGCGCAGATGTTGAGTCCTCCGGAGACACAGAGCTCGGTGTCCACGGCACAGTCATTGTCATCCGAGCAGGATGTTGGAGGTCCGTCAGTGGATGACGAGCCTTGGCCTGTAGTTGTTACAGATGAAGACTGGCCACCAGTTGACTGACCATTGGAAGAACCAGTCGTTCCAGTCCCTCCGCTCTGGTTGGTTCCCTGGGAAGTGGTCGCTGAAGGTTGACTGCCACTTGCACTTGTCTGACCTCCAGCGTTAGGGCCACCATCAGTGTTGGAAGATTGTCCACCACCTGTTCCAGATCCAGTTGTATTTGGAGAGATTGGTTGGCTGACAGCAGTATTTGAAGTGCCTGAGCCTTGGTTTGCGGTGCCAGTGCCAGTGCCAGTGCCGCCTCCATTACCACCTGTTGCCGACGCTCCGCCGTTGTTCGTTGAGAAGCTGCAGGACCCTTCTGAGCGTTGAGTGCTCGTGTTACCACCACCATTACTATCTGTTGGCGATGGGTCGCCATCTCCGCCACCTGTAGGATTTCCTTCAGGGCTTCCAATCTGCCTCGAAGTAGATGTCACCAATCTCCCAGTCGCTCCCGTTGACTCTGGGCCGGGATTGACAATTGGCGCCCCATCAGATAGAACAGAAGTTGGCAATGTCTGGTCTGTTGAGCCTGTAGCTCCTGAACTACCTACTCCTGAAGGCGCAGAGCCGCCGGATACAGACGCTCCCGACGTTGCTTCCGAGCCTCCATTGGACACAGGGTCGCTCGAGTCAGCGTCGCCGTCGCCGCCTCCCTCTGTACCCCCAGTCTGATTCGGAGAGGACGTTGATTGCAACCGACTGCTGGGCTCATTGTTGCTTCCAGAGCCATTTCCTCGGCTACCAGTTTGGCTTGGACGGGTTCCAGCTTGTGAACTTGAGGTCTGTCGGCCATTTGACCCTGTATTATCAACACCAGAGGTGTTGTCAGTATCAGGATCACCACCACCAGGAACATTACCCTGTGGTCTGGCCGTAAGAGCTGGTTGACGTGTTGTTGGTGAACCATTTCCTGGTGATGAGCTGGAGCCAGGCGCAGATCCAGAGCCATTGCCGTCACCATCTCCACCATTTGATCCTGAACCTGAACCATCGCCGGAGGGTGAATCAGACCCTGTATTTGATCCGTTGCCTGAGCCATTTCCGTTCCCTGGACTCGTCCCAGGTCCTGAGCTTCCACCGTCAGAAGAGCCACCGCCGGAACCTGAGTTGGAACCAGAGCCATCTCCAGATCCAGAACCACTACCAGACCCAGATCCAGACCCAGAATCCCCAAAACCATCACCACCAGAGCCTTGTCCTTGTGTACTGCCAGTCTGTGACCCATCATCAGAAGTGTCATCGCCAGAAGCGCCGCCATCAGAGGAACCTCCGTTGCCCTGGCCTTCCCCGTCTGCATTGTCGCCGCCCCCGCTGCCACCACTTGAAGTGGAAGTACCATCATCGCCTCCATTACTTGAACCGCCACCCTGGGTTCCTGCACCTCCGCTTGAGCCGGAGCCTGTGCCGTCGATGGGAACGCAAGCACCCTCTTGACAAGTCTCACCAGTAGGGCAAGCAACGGAATTGCAGCTAGCTAGACCTGGACTTGGTGTGCAGATGTTGCCAATACAGACCTCATCGCTACTGCAAGTCTCGCCGCCACAAGAGGTAGGGTCACCAAGAGCCACGCAGGAATCTTGGATACAAGCATAGTTGATGGGGCAATTAACGCCTGATGTACCGCAGTTGACGGGTCCATTAGCCGGTACGCACTCGTTGTTAATACAGGCAAATCCTGGCTGGCATGTCGATGTCGCTTGTCTCTGTAAAAGACGCCGGAGACGATTGGATGAGGTACCGCAAGATGACGGGTCCTGAACTGAAGCGCATTGGTTGTTGATACAGACGGTATTGCCAGTACAGGCTGGATCGCAAGTTGAAGCTGGTGACCCAGAGCCAGTATTTCCTTCATCCTGGCCTGACGATGCTCCGTCAGCACCATTTTGATCAGATCCACCTTGATCATCTTGTCCATCTCCGTTTCCTGGGCCAGACTCTGAATCAGATGGAGAAGCACTTCCGGAAGAGACGTCTGTGTTATCTTCACCTCCAGAAGTCGAGTCACCTCCTCGCCCAGCATCGCCCGAGGTTCCCTCTGGTCGAGCTGAGGTTGCACCATTCCCTTCCGACGAGCCTCCATCGCCAGAGGCGTCTCCACCATCGGAACCATCAGGCGATTGTGCACTTCCATTGCCGGATGCATTATTGCCTTGGCCACTTCCATCAGAAGATCCCCCCTCTTGCCCGTCGGCATTGTCTCCCGAGCCGTTGCCACTCGACTCACTGTCGGCAGGGCTTCCGCTTCCTCCAGAGGAAGTGCCTCCAGTGTTCGACTGTGTGTCTCCATCCTCATCTGCACCAGGAATACGTGCTCCGGGACCTCCAGATCCAGTACCACAGGCGACCCGAGGAGTGTTGGACTGGTGGACCAGGTTGCTGACACACTGGCCCGAGACGCACACTTGGTTGCTTCCGCAGGTTTCTGAGCTGCTTCCGCACTGCGACAAGTCGGTTGAGATCTTGATAGGTGCACACTCTTTGTTCGAGCAGTAAGATCCTGGTTGGCACCTTCCATTTGAGCCACAACTGGAAGAAGTGCTCGAAGTAATGTTGAGCGAAATACATTGCCCAGAGACACATAGTTGACCGTCGGTACAGTCTTTTGGGCTGGCTCCAAGACCGCAGCCATAAGTGTCGGCCGAGATGAAGGCTTGACGACAGTAACCGCCCTGGCATGATGCGCCAAGGGAGCATTCACTACTGCTCTTACAAGACTGGACGTTGGTACCAAGTTGAAAAGGCACACATGATTCATCAAGGCACCAGTTGCCTGAGGCACAGGTCGTATTTGAAGCACCGCAGGAACTGGGGTCTGAACCAATGGCCAACCTTTGGCATCGGTCATTGACACATAATGAACCAGGTCCGCATTGCGTGTTGGTACTGCCACAGCGACGGGAGTTTGCCGTCACTTGGATTGGGGCACACTTCCCATCATCGCACCATTGACCCGGCTCACATGGCCCAGAGCTATTGGAGCCTGATGAGGAAGTGCAACTGTCGCTATTTGACCCATCAAGAGGATAGCATCCGCCAGCAACACAAAGCTCCCCAGCTTTACATGAGTTGCCACGCTTCCCGCATTGTGTAGGGTCGAGTCCGATCGTGACGCTTGTACAGCTCCCCCATGTACATACGCCAGGAAGAGGACAACCTCCAGCATAGAGCATGCCGGTTTGCTGGTTGGGTTCACTGTCGCAAGGGAGAGTATTGGATGGGATAGGGGAGAGAATTAAGAGTGAAGCCATCACAGCTCGCCAGTTCATATTGGGAGCCATGATTAATATCTGGTATTGTTGAACTTGGTATTGATCAACCTCTATGATCGTAGAATGCCAACGAGATGATCCTTCATCTATATAGCAACTGAACGGGAGCCAGGTGCCGCAACTACCATGAGTGACACCCAGGCATCTCCGTCAACGGTTGGCCTTTCGCCATATAGCCATGTCGTCATATCAAGGGTCCAGAGGCTCCTCCACCAAGGGTCCTCAGGCTGACTGCAATATGCAGCGACATCATGAGTAGAAGTTTAATCTGCCCAGAGGCTCCCAACAGTTTCGAGCATACCTGTCACGGCCAGTGTTATCAGCGGACAAGACCAACTCAGGACCGGCTAACCTACTAGGCTTGAAGAGGGCTACTCAAATGAGCTCCATCACACCACCATATTCGCCCACCAAAATTCTGGGATAACCTCAAATTTCGTCTCCATTAGCTTGCGGATCTGTCATGTTTCCGGTCACGGGGCACACCTTAGGACCCTCCCGCCAACGTTCACAGCGGGCCCAGCAGGAACTAGTGACCGGTTGGCGACTTAAGCTCGCGATGAACGCTCCGGATGAGCTTTGACTGCATGAAGATCCGGGGCGAGGAGCTGAAGATCTCTAGAGACTTGGCGTCTGTTGTCGATCGTTAGGGCGCGGGAATGTCTCGGTGCCGGGAACAAGACTGAAGGTGTGCGCCCAATCTGCGCCTCAATTCCCCAGACCTTGCTTGGTTGCTCAGGGCAGCTGCCGTTTTCGGCAGCACAAAACGGTCGAGGAGGCTAAGACTGACCAGCGCGGCTGTGGAGTTATCATTGCGGGCCGGTTCAGTTCAAAAGAAGCATGTAGTATAAGGCTTAGCAAGATGAATCAGGACCTTGACTATAACACTGGGATCTGAAGTGACGATGGTGACTAAAGATTCTTTAGAATTAGAAAGTGCTACCCGGCTCACTAAAACTCAAGGCAACCATGACTCCGGATGTGAAACCTAATGGAAGGACCTTCACCCAGTGCTTGGCAATTCTCATGTGTCATTCTGAAAGCACTTCATTGGTTATCTTCATAGGATCTCTTCAGTTGATCTTTGAGGCTATCTCCAGATGGCCGCTCTTGGTCTAATCAAACAAAATGAAGATCAACAACAGAAAATGAGATGTGATACCGTCATGTCCTAAGTATGGAACGACATCAACGGCTGGCTTTTCCTGTCTACGGAGTATGGTGTCCGCATTCTTGGCCTAGATCTAGTCTGTATGACAACAGATGAACAATCCTATTTACTCTTCGGAGGAGATATCTTCTATCGGCTAGTAGAGAGGGAGCATACCTTAAAATCAGACCATATTTGTGGCAAAGAGGCTTCAGATATGTTGCACCTCTTTGATTTTCTTTTTTGTTTGCTTCCTTACACAGCTGACACTGAGCTTGGTTTTGAATCTAGGCAAACATTACTGTAAGCTAAAGTGTCCTTATGATATCCTTAGCCTTCGTGTTGACTCTATCGTAGTCACCCACTTGGACCTTCGTCCGCTCGCGTATCTGATATCACTGTGTTTTGACACTTTTTCCGGGTCTTGTTTCCGGTGGCTTGCCTTGGCGCAGCCTCATGCCAAGGGTTTTTCGCATTCAATACTAGTGAAAAGTATCTCGTCTCCCTTCACGACACCTTATTGGACAACAGTAAGCTGAAATCGGTCAAATTAAGCGACTGGCAACTGACTGTTTGTGGGAATAAGCTTGGTAGATCCGTGCCTTGCAGCTTATGTGACAGGACATTCTCAACGGTGATTGTCAAGCTTTGCATGCCACCCCACACTGACATAAGACCTCTTTGTTATGACGATCAGGCACAGTTACAGGGGATTCATAGGGTCTGAATCCAGATCCATTCTTGACAGGTCGTTTTTTCCAAGACGCCAACGCCGTCCTAGGACTAGCTTGCAGAGCCTCAGCCATGACAATAACCACTTCAAACGTCATGTTCGAGACCCAAGACTGAGATCGACACTGTCAGATCATGTTCAACCGTCAAATGAAATAGTAGGTAGCTCAAGAGAATCTCGAGAATGTAGATCCTTGTTCGTCTCGTGCCCTCCTAGCGAGGGATATCCAGCCTCCAGGGCCGGCGGAAGTTCCCGCAAGCGGTAATCTCAATCAAGCGAGCTATGCCAGCTGGTCACCAATATTTGAATTCATATTCGAGTCCTGTTATCTGTCAAGTTCAAAATGTTGAGATCCGTTCTCTCGGATGTTGGGTTACCGTAATTGTATCATGCGCCCTGTTGTGACCGTTTGGGGAGATTGGAATTTAATGACGTATGACGAGATTCAGTAACACAAAACACGTGAAGGAGACATGTTGTAACGTATCTTTGCTTCTGCCTTACTATTAGAGTGTCAATAACTTTCTCTCTATTGTTTATAGCAGGGCTGTCACTTGAAGAATATTCCTGTTCATCATACTTCAGAAGAAGCAGTCGCTTCTCTGATGGTATTTGTAATTTTGTGATCGAACTCTATAGGTTTCGGCTGATTTGGAAGATTGCTGTATCTGGCTGCGAGCTGATATGTCGATCAAGACGACATATCCAACCCCATGGAAACAATCATTTCCCTCCATGATCCTGTCTCCCGGAAATAAACGCTTCACAAATTTGGACAAAAGTGTGATTAACATGTCTCGTAAACCAATCGCATTGTCTTGCTGTCGGTGGCCCTTGATCACATTCCTTGACAAAGTGATCCTAGCGCAAAGGGTGACATCACAGGTCAGGGAGTGGCATAAAATGTATGACTTTAATCATAAGTTACAAGAACAATTTTAGGATGAGTAACTTGGGATGAGCTAAGTACAGACTCAGACTACCTAGCCCAAACATCATTTCCCCCTCAAGTGGTCAGACAGCCTCCCATGCTGGGTTGAGATTTGAACGTTCAAGTAGTGATCAGGTTCCTAGGGCGAAACGAGGTGTCAGAGTGTTGTTATTCCCATTGCCGAGATCTACCACGGGACAACCCGTGTAATCGAGATCCTGCCAATCACAATGTGCTTGTCTCATGTAGGCCCACTGCTATCACAGAATTGTTTGCAAGAACTCTTATGGTACGACCCGGGGTGACTGGGTAAATGAGTTGTAACAAATACTTGGACCAGTCAGGAAAGCTCTAGACAGCCCAAGAACAACGGCTATCTCTTATTAATCGTTCATAGCTTGAACAGGAATCTGCCTGTGGAGCAATATCATAGATCCTACCAGTACTCCACCCGTCGTTTCTGTATTTCCTAACTTACAGGACCCTGAGGTGCGGGCCTCTTCAAGCAGATGTCAACCCCATTCGGCACCTGCGACCCAGAGAGCTTACAGCTGATACCTTAAGGTACTAAGTTAGGATTGGCTGCCGGCATCGCTCAGGCCCGGTACGTTGACATTTGGCTCTTGCCTTGGTGTTGTGAATAGCTTCGCTCTTAGGAAAGAACATATGGGGCTCTGGCGATCCAAAGGCTGAACGAACGCGAGTAGCAGCTTCCTTTGTAACATCTATTGCCTCATATCAAGGTGCAGTGGCGGAAGGTGTCTTCTGATGCGGTTTTAACCTACTCTTCCGTTGCGGCTTTGCCTGAAAGTTCATCCTAACACTTCCTACAAAATTCAACTTCTGTCGAGGAAATTTAGCCAAGGCACACTCCTCAAGTACAATCCTACCCAGGTGAGTCAAGTGGTTGTCAATCAGTCCTGGGAAGTGAATACTGATATGCGTACGGCTTAGAAACATTCCGGTGAAGGGCAACGTGCAGCCTACCTCCAGTCTCCAGGCGAATAAGAGCGGTTGCTTCCGGCGTGCCCCCCCAATCTCGACAACTCTTTTTCCAACCCGTTTTTCAGGCACTCAGAAAAGTAAGTCTAGGGTTGGGTGCGTGTGTGTTGGACGTGGGCTAATATTGACAGTGGTTCGACCAAAAAAGAAATCAGGGACAGTCTCTCCCAGCAGGGCAAACGCTCCGCCGGGATTATTAAGTAGAATGCCCCTGGCAAAAAACAAATCTCGACCTAGACGGTCCGCACAAGTTCTGCAACTCGTGAGTCCGGATCTGGATAGGTCTTGATGGTAGTAGCAAATACTGACGATATGTGGGACCAGAGACGGAATGAAGTACGCGCACGCTTCATGGAATCGACCGAACTATGCATGAAAAAGATCCAGGAGGAGGCCAAATCCTCCGTCGTCGACGGTTTTTGCCGTCTGTCGAATAAAGTCCCCAACAAAACGAATGGCTATGTTCAGGTCAGCTCTGGCGGGGGGAACAAATTCGCGTTGCTGCATGAAATTTTGCTCTGGTCCATAGGTTTAAAATGCCCTGGAAAGAACACGTCTCACATCTTTGTGGCAGGCCGAATTGTTTGGAATCGTCCCATGTATGCGTGGAGACCCCGGAGGAGAACAATAGCCGCAAGAACTACGGGAAAATCGTGGCGTTAGGCACCCCTGGGGGAGGGAGGAAATTTGTAGCTTTGGGAACCGCCGGGGAGGGACACCAGGTATATTAATACCTGTATAATTCAAAGGCCACTGCTTTCAATAAACTTCTTATTCTTTCCTCCTTTACTTGCAACCTCAACAAAATCAGATCAATACGACAATCACAAGCACCCAGGGCGCTCCCCAGCGCAAGAGACCCAGACGAAGCACAGCCAGGAGACGACAAGGATAGCAGAGGATAGCAGAGGAGAAGGGGAGGAAGCTAGTCTGATTCCACTATATATATATATATATATATATACTAAGCTTAGCTAAGTCTCTCCTCAATTTACCCAAGGTTATCCTACGACTGGGTACAGTAGCTAATCAGGTTCAAGACCCGTGTGATGAGCATCATGACGCTATCTTCAGGGGGGAGGTCTTTTGCCGCCACTTGTTCCATGTACCCCTCGCCAGCTTGGCTAGATGCGCGGCCTGGGATAGAGTCTTCAGAGACAGAATAGATATACCTGGCCACTGCCCTTGCCATTCTCCTCGAGGGAAGGGTGAACACTCTGACGGCGAGTAGCGGGATTCTTGGGAGCCTTTCTGCTAACGGTCTCCTCCCTCACCTTGACCAACGAGTGTGCACGACGCAAGCCCAGCTATCAGGTCTACCAACTCAAATACCACTCTCATAAATACATTTTAGGCACACCAACTGCTCACCGGCCCAGCGAGCGGCTTGCAGAGCAAGGTACTCTTCGACCTCGACTGCGTGTTGCTGGAGCTGGGCGATTTCTTCGTGGTGATCTTTAATTGTTGGCAGCAATTGGTTAATGGCCATTCCCTCTGCCTGTAGCGCCTCTAGCTGGCGTTAATTTGGTGACGAAATGTCACTAAGCAGCTCCTTTATTTTTTTGGGCATCAGCGTTGGCCGCCCTGGCGCGTCGATCCTCTGTGTCATCTCTGCGGCCGATTGATGGTGTTGTACCATCATTTTGACACCCTCAAGAAGACAGTCGCTCAATTGTCCGGTCGCCTTTGCGACCGCCTGAACGGCGATATCTGCAACTTTCTTGGTCACTTCGAGTCGGCGATGTGATCCTGGAGGTTTTTGGTGGCTCACTCTGCGATCTCTTCGCAGGACTAGAGGCGCTCATTGTCGGATGAATGTTGCGCCATAGGGCGATGACCAGTCTCAGGGTTGCTGGCCTGATGGGCACATATGTTCTAGTTGTTCGACTGTGGTAAAATAACAATATATCCGGGCGCTATAGGTCTCTGCCTTCCATAGCAACGTCGACCTTCTATGCTGCCATGGGGAGCCAGGATGCAATCATGCATATACATATATATAGTTTAACCCGGGGTTGTTTACGGGCAGCTCGGCGGACATGGTGCTCATCGTCGTGATCCAGGCCTGTTGAGGCTCAACGCTTTGTGCGAAAGACGTATGTTCTTGGGTCAGGGGGGGGGGGCAAGGTAGCAGGAGGCAAGACGCAGGAAAACTTGGGACTTCTATCCTCAGAATGACAGAAGCTTTAGGTAAACTTAGGATAAACTTAGGGTATTTCTTCAAAATTTAGGATAGGCTTAGGTAAGTTACCCTAGGTGCAGTGCAAAGTCCCTCTCCCCTGGTTTGCCATGGTCGCCCTTGTTAACAAAAAGAGGTGACAGTGTATGCAGTGTTCGAGCGTCATTTCAACCCTCAAGCCCTTGGGTCTGGTGTTGGGGAGCGGCGAGCCTCATAGCAAGCCGGCCCCGAAATCTAGTGGCGGTCTCGCTGCAGCTTCCATTGCGTGGTAGTAACACCCTCGCAACTGGTACGTGGCGCCTTTCTCTTCTCCCCTCGACGGTGAGTAATGGTATCCTTGCCGTCGATAGCCGTCTGGAAGGACTCGGTACGGGTTTGGACAACAGCCTTCTTTCCTTTGCCCTGCGCCTTTTGGTCACGGTGCTTTACGCTCAAGCCGTTGTAGAGACGGATGATGTCGTGGTCTTCAAGCGCGAGGAGGCGAGCGATAGCTTCGTCTAGATAAATGTCAGCAGCTGGAAGAGGAACGGTAAGGTGAACATGAATAGCTTACCAAGGGTATCGGGGTTCCAGGACTCCTTCATCATGTCAATGGCTGCATCGCGGAATCTCCCCCCGTACTCGAGGGGTTTCTTTCCTTTACGAATGTTGATCGGAATGCCGGTCTCAGCCAAGAAGGCTTGGAACATGGTAAGGATATCCTCATCCGCGATGAATGAATCAACTGCTTCGTTCTCGATGAGGTTGGTGATGTCTGAAACTCCGCTCTTGCGGCTGCTGGCCGAGGATCGTCTGCTTCGGGGACCGACCTTGAGGTCGGCGACCATCTCCGTGAGCTTTGAGACTTGGTTCGAGAGCTTCATATATCAGTGGAGTCAGGACTGGAGGTTAATGGTAAAACGAACATATTCCTGGTTGTTTAACAGCGCGATGAGCGCTGGGGACGCAGATGAGATATTCTCAAGAGTCATCCACGACCTTGTAGAGCGCGCGCCTTTCGCAGTGAGGTCGGCAGGGTCAACAGCACGGCTAAAGCAATCCTATTTCCCCCTCTAAATTCCCCAGGGCGTTCGAGACAGCCTCGACCTCCCCAGACGCTTGATTCTCTTTGATGTCCTGGGGCATATCTTCGTGACTTGTGATACCTATGTTGGAGAATCTCAAGAGAATCTTGGGAGGGGCTTGTGGGGGCCTTGGGAGACCGGTGGTGTTGAGAGAAGGATAAGAGGGTGCAGGAGAAGAATAGCAAAAGAAAAGTTAAGTTTCTTTTAGATTCGTTATCCACCTTACATATTAACTCCGGTTCTAAGGTAAGAACAATTGGCAGTGTGAATCAGTGCTAGTGTCACTGTCCGGCACTACTGTCAGTGCCCACGAGTGTGAATCATGGAGGCAAGCAAGCAAGCAATAAGAGCAGGAAATAAGTCAACAATCAATCCATAAAAAACTTCTCTTTCTCTACCTTCTCACTTTTCCTTATACTCCTCCCGCTCTTCCGTTTCTTCTTATTCTTCAACCCGCATTCCCTTCTTAACATCGCTCGACGAAGCTATCATCATCTTCGCTGCCCACTCCTTCTGACTACCTTCCCCTTCTCTCCCCGTCGGCTGTTGCCAGGCCATCATGGATGATAATAGTTCGATCCAGTTTCCGTCGCTCAGCGATCCCAACCTGCCTTCAAGTGACCAAGACAAGCAGCTCTTGGAGCGACTCAAGGATGCTTGGGATCGGTATTCTGACAAATGGGACGACAAAAGCAAGAGAGAACTCGTTTCCCTTATCAGAAGAGGAGAAACAAAAATCACAAAGACAAACCAAGTTCAGCCAAGCGGTCATCGGCTTTGGAAAGCTGACCACATGACCTTTGCCGTTTGGATTATCTTCCGGATTACCTACGACGACTACAAGCTCTCCAAGCCAAAGGAATGGCTTCGTGCCAAATACAAGAACATAGACCCGCAGTCTTGGGCAAGCCCTGTGTCCAAAAAGCCAGTCAAGCCTCGAGGAACCAAGGGGGAAAAGGCGCGTTCCTCAGAGGAGAGCCTCGCGTCACAGGAACCCAAATCTCCTCAGTCGATTGAGGCTATGGATATCTGTGACAACGAGAGCGATTATGACGATACCCATGGCGATGGCACTTATGAAGATGACAACAATGACGGAGATGATCAAGATGAAACAAATGTGAGCTCCCTGAAAGGCAACTCCGAGATTCTTCTGACAAGCATAGGGCAAGACGGTGACCCGAAGTAGGTTCAAGGCAGTAAACGTTCCTGAGCCAAGTCGAGATCTATCACGAAAGCGTGGCACTTCAAATGCCTCTCTCAATCCCCGCACAAAGTTGCAGAAGTTAGACTTCCCTAGAACTCCATCATCGGCTGAGGCAGCCCGTCTACGTGAGTCAACACGATCAGAAGCAAAAAATCACCTCTAATCAATGAATAGTCGAGGCCTCCGATCACCCAGCGGCACCCGTAGCCGATAGCCAGGCTCGTTCTCGTACTCTAAAGTGGAAAAATAAGCTCCACGAACATAGGGATTCTGGGCGTGGTCTGAAGCAGAATCGACCTGCATTCAACCGCACCTCTTCGGCCGGCGACCAGGCCTTCCGCTTACCTGTAACTCCTTCGCGCCAGTGGGCTAGAAGCCAGGAACGAAGCTCACGCCTAAGTGCTCCTGTTGTTTCTTACGAGAAGGTAAATGATCAGAGTGTTTCAGATGATCCTAGAGATCGTCTGCTGTTTCGTGAGCATTCAACTCAAAGCGACCATGCGAGAGCCAAGTTCGGGTTGGTAGACCAGCGTTCTGGCGAGTCTGGCGCTTCAACACAACGTCTGCCGCGGTCAATTGAGGGCAGAGGCAACATTTCCACTATGGCTCCCCAGGGTTCCTCTGACTCTTTCGTGTTCTCATCGAGTTCTCGTGAAAAAGAACACTCGCGTACTGGAGAACGGCTACCTCTTCGTCTCACCACCCGTGAGTCTCTTGGAACTCCTGGCGACGTATCCACACAACAGCCATACGGTCTTCGACAACTCCCTCTTGACGACCCTGATGAGCCATCTTGGTTCCGTCAATTTAGAACACAGTATTATTCTGACTTGAAGGAGACCCGCGAAGGGATCGCATACCACATCAAAAGGCAGGTCACAGGTGTCGTTTTCCAGGCGGTTCATGATCTCATCCAACCGCTGAGTAATTCTATCACTCAGTGTGTAGATACTCTGGCGAAGCACAACGCCAATACCGCAGGAGCAACAGGGCACATCGGCCAGGCAGTTTCAGCAGTTAAGGAACTCAGAGACATGAAGCAGATCCTAAGCAACATCGTGGATACAAGTCGAGTACAGCTGGAAGCCTCCCAGAGGGAGGGAGCCGCGATCCAGGGGCTGGTGCTGCCAGCCATAACTGAATATCGGAAGGATATCGACGATCTTGTGCAACGTACTACATCAATCGAAGAACGCACATCAGATGTCGAGGAGTATCTGGAGCTTCAGCTCGCCTACAGGGGTGGCGATTCAACCCGCAACGCTCCGCAGGTATATGAGAACAATCACCATGCCTTTGGAAATCACGAGAGCACGGGAGGAGAATAAGCCTCTGATACTCTGGCATGACCTGGCTCAAATTCGACCAAACATACGTGTTTCCCATGGCGCTTTCGTTTCGTCTGTCTCGCACTGTCCGAAGATACGACGCGACCAACACAATGTCTCCTCAAATTGTTCGCTTTGACTATTGCTGGCACTTTAATTGATCTTCACACAAAGATCATGTTTGTATTTGTTGTTTTCTTGTCGTCTTCTCTTGTCTTTCGTCCATTGCGCGAAGATTATACAAGACACCCTCGCTGGACTTTTGAGTCTATGGGCAAGTCTTCAGCACTCTGTTCGTTTTGTGTTATCTCCAACAATCAGCATCCTTTCTTCCCTGGCTTATGACTGGGGTGATATGCCAGTTTCTTCTGAGTCTTTGTAACGCAGAGTCACATAGTGATGATTTTGTTGCTTGGGTAAAAATTGTGTGTCTGCTTCAGACGATATGGTAACTTTTGTCTCAATGTTGTTGTTTTTTTTTTCAGGACAGAGAGCCATAGAAGATGTGGAATTGAGACCCAGCCATGTTTGGGCAGAATTGAATTTAGCAAGCATAGAAAAGCACGATGTACTAAGAGACAAAGCGCCAGGTAAAAACACCTAATGCAATAAGACTGATCACTTCAAACAGTCGTCCCTATCCTAACTTTACCTAAGCTTACCCTAAATTTATAAAACTATCCTAAGTCTATCCTAAGTTTACCTAAGACTTCTCATCATTTAGAGTAGACGTCCCAAGTTTCTTGTCTCCTGCCTCCCCATGACAGCCCTACGAGATCTCCCACGCGGCTGGTCCCGCGGTGAACGAGATCTGGCCAATCAAAAGCGCCACATTCAGATGGACCCCACATTGCAGCTTGACTTTCGAGGAAGGAGAACTCAGCGAATATGGCCATGCCGGACTTCACACGACGGCCTCAACACCACGAATCCGACGATATGAGCTTTTAAATCAAGAAAAAAAGATAATAATCTTCACGAGAAGAGCAAAAGGAATCTCCGGTGCGGGGAATCGAACCCCGCTCGCCGCGGCACTCTTAATTGCAGAACAATTGAAAACGCGGAATGATAACCGATACACCACACCGGATGCTTGGATGTTAGTCAGCGCTCGAATTAAGGCTTATACAACCTTTCTCCAGCTCTACTCACTCTCTCGTTATGTCAATTGCAGGTCTGGGACGTGAGGATTGAAGATCATCGCGGGTAGAGACAGCTGAGGAACACCATCAGGGCCAGGGCTTGTCCGGTGTGAAATGCTGATAACAGCGGGATTTATGAACGCTGTGTAACAGCGCGATGGTTCCTCGTCTTCGTCGTCAATCTGGGTGGATCCAGTGCAGAATAGCTCGCCGGCATTGTGACCTTTCACAGCAGTAAACTTCTGCACTGGTATTAGAGAGAATCACTCGAGAGGGACTCGTTTGGTTCGAAAGAGCCATTGTCAAGTAAGAGATATCCGTAGCAATGGAAGGAATCTCGAATACACAATCGCCTTCCGTATCGCAAGTGCCACTGCAGCTGTATGTGACCTCGAGACGCCATAAGTGACACCTCACAAGCCACCACCACTCGGAGAATTATCTACACATCCTGGCAAACCCTCCGAACCTAGAGCCAATTCGATAATTACGATCCGTTAAATACAGAATTACGAAAATCTTAGCAATTGCCGACATCGAGTCTGGTCAATGGGCACGTGTGTTGACGTTTCCCCGCATTCTGATCATATCAGGTTACTTGCTAGATCCGAGGGTCCCGCGGTGAAAGTCAACGTCGACCAAACACAATCGTTCTGATACAAATCAAGTCGAGAGAATACATAAACGTCCAAGGAAATCAGTATGGTTTGTTCTTTTTCATTGAGCTTCATCTATCTTCTCTATCATATTGCTCATCAATATTTGGTTGTATATCAGATTATTTTCAACCTCCACCTCATCTCAGCCATTGCCATAGCGAGACCTCTCATGAACGAGCATGTCCAGCTCTCTAAACCAGAAACCAACTTGGAACAATCAACGCTGACAGAAACAATTTTAGATTCCATAACCGATCCGACGCCGTAATGCTACTTAAGCAACGGGCTTGATGACAGCGGGGGGAGTGCCCACGTTGTTGCGGTTGCGGAAGAACAGAACACCCTTACCAGCACCCTCGGCACCAGCGCTAGGCTCAACCCACTGGCACATACGGGCACTGCGGTACATGGCACGGATGAAGCCACGAGGACCATCCTGGACATCAGCGCGGTAGTGCTTGCCCATGATGGGCTTGATGGCCTCGGTGGCCTCGTCCGCGTTATAGAAGGGGATGCTGCTGACGTAGTGGTGGAGGACATGAGTCTCGATGATGCCGTGGAGAAGGTGGCGGCCGATGAAACCCATCTCACGATCAATGGTAGCAGCAGCACCACGGACGAAGTTCCACTCATCGTTGGTGTAGTGGGGAAGGGTAGGGTCGGTGTGCTGGAGGAAGGTGATGGCAACTAAAAAAGTCAGTATAAATCGCAATTGCATGATGGAGAAAGCTTACCGAGCCAGTGGTTAACCCAGAGGTAGGGAACAAAGTACCAGATGGCCATGTTGTAGAAACCGAACTTCTGGACGAGGAAGTACAGAGCAGTGGCCATCAGACCGATACCAATATCACTCAAGACGATGAGCTTAGCGTCACTGTTCTCGTACAGAGGGCTGCGGGGGTCGAAGTGGTTGACACCACCGCCAAGGCCGTTATGCTTGCCCTTGCCGCGGCCCTCACGCTGACGCTCGTGGTAGTTGTGGCCAGTAACGTTGGTGAGAAGGTAGTTGGGCCAGCCGACAAGCTGCTGGAGAACGAGCATAAGAAGAGTGAAAGCGGGGGTCTCCTCAGTGAGATGGGCGAGCTCGTGGGCCATCTTTCCGAGACGAGTAGCCTGCTGCTCGCGGGTTCGGGGAACAAAGACCATGTCACGCTCCATGTTGCCGGTGGCCTTGTGGTGCTTTCGGTGGGAGATTTGCCAGCTGAAGTAGGGGACAAGGAGGGAAGAGTGAAGAACCCAGCCAGTGATGTCATTGATGATGCGAGAATCGGAGAAAGCACCGTGGCCGCACTCATGGGCAATAACCCAGAGACCGGTACCGAAAAGACCCTGAAGAACGGTGTATACAGCCCACAGACCAGCGCGGGCGGGGGTGGAGGGAATGTATTCGGGGGTCACGAAGTTGTACCAAATGCTGAAAGTGGTGGTAAGGAGGACAATGTCGCGGAGGATATAAGCGTATCCCTTGAGAGCGGAGCGCTTAAAGCAGTGCTTAGGGATGGCATTGTAGATGTCCTTGATGGTAAAGTCGGGGACCTCGAACTGGTTGCCGTAGGTGTCGAGCATAACACCATACTCGGACTTGGGCTTGGCGATATCGACCTCGGACATGGACGAGAGCGATGTGGAAGAGGCCGAGTGGCGGGGAGAGTCTGAAGGAGAGACGGCGGCAGACTCAGAATCCGTCACAGTAGTTGAGGTGACGGTGCGTCTAAGCGCAGGGTTCTGCTTGGGCAGAGCCGAAGTCGAAACGGACGCCATTGTGAAGAAGAGGGTGGGTTCACGGCCGACAATAGACAAAAGAGTCAAGAAGTCGAAGATGCCGAAGAAGAACTGTCGAGGAAAAAGAGAAAGGGAGGTGAAAAGGAAAAAAGAAGTATGAGACGGCCAAGGGGGGCTGAAGTTTTAAAGTGTGTCCCTTTCAACTGTAAAAGTAAAGGTACCTTTACTTTGATGCGTGGATGCTTGCTCGGCACCCGTTTTGTTGGGGCGTGGAGCCTGGGAAAAAGGGCAGGTACTGTACTCACTGTACTGTAGTCTGTAGGTACCTTTTAGCTGCCGCGGGCGGGACAACGGACAAGCAACCCAAACCAAAACGTCTGGCCTCTCAGCGCAGCGGCAACACAAAGCAGAAAATGCGGCGAAAGCGGGCAATACAGGTACAATGTGGAACGATAATGGAAAATGAAATTGACAGGTCCATCCCTTTTACTTTGCAGTCCGATACAGTTTACCGCTTTTCCCTGTCTTTGGCAAAAAGATCGACAATCTCAGAGGGAGACAAGTAACACGCTGCCACAGAGAAAGTTTACCCTGAATTAGTTTAATTACATTAAACTCTCAATGTTTTCACGGTCAAATAAATCATTATCTGCAGTGTCTATTCACATCTGAATTCTCATATTCACACAAACTTACCGTACGATACAATTCCTACATGAAATCGCCGCTTCAAGGGAAGCATCTTCACTTGACTTGAGTCGGGAGCAAAAAAATCCCTACCCCAGAAAAACACGCTAGAAAACGGGTCGTGCTTCTAACCCACCCCTGAAATGTGGCAATAGCTCCCGTCGAGACAGTGACGGGGTGGCCGTCTGATGTGTGTCTTATGTCTCGGTCGTACAGCAGCTGAACAATTCACCAGCCTGTGGTATGTCCTCTTTCAACCTGCGAGTTGATGAGGCTTGCAGGAGGCTTGGTATTGTCTGCGGAGGGGGATGGCTGAGCCCACGATTAGTATTGTCACTATTATAATTAAGCTTCTGGAGGATTGCTATCGGATAAATTGCCGTTCCCGATACAGCCTGCAATGTTCTTTTTCTTCTGCTGTCGTTGATTCTACTCGCACATATCTATATTCTATCCGTAAAAGATACAGTAAGCTGCCGAGACCCGGCCCCGCTCCCCAACTTCGGCCGGCGGAGCTGTGGGCTTGATAACCGCAGTGGCATGACTCTGGACAACAAAAGCTGTCGCCTCCAAAAAAGGCTTTGAGATTTTGCCATCGATGGATATGCAAGATGCTAGCTACAGTGCTTGATACCTGCCTATCATCGCCGCTGTCTCTTCAGCCTCTTTAGTCTAGATCTTCACACCGCCTGAAGAATGGATCTGCCTCCGCTAACGGGACATGTCCGACTGATACACAAAGGGTGGCTTAGATCCGTGTATCTGATACACAGAGCCCGTCATCCATTTGAGCGTTGGCAGTGTCTTATCACACTTTTGGACCCTTCATTGGCGACTGACGGTGTTCAAATAAAGCGTGTGACCTAGACGAGCCTCACGATTCATCAGGCCCTTTCACACACTCGAATTGTTCGCCCCTCTCGAATCGGCTGCAAGCTTATGCGGGTCAAAGTGGCTACAAGCTGGCTTAGGGCTGGAGATCATCGACATGTGAATCAGTCCCCTTTGGGTGAACGGGGGGAACCGGGAGGGGACAACGTCGACGTCGACCACGTTCGAAGGGGGGGCACGCTTAGCGGCCCAGGCCAAGAGACAAGGTCCCCGATCGTGGCTGTCGCTGATTTTGTTGACGATGTGAATTGGATACGAGTCGATTGGTTCCAAAAGGCGGGAGGAAAAGCTCAGACAGCGGGCAAGGGAGATAAATCTGGTCAAGTCCGACCCCGGTTGTTTGTGGAGCTTTGATAGTAGCGATAGAGAGCTCAGGCAGGATAAAGTCGCCTCTTGAAGGTATCGAGATCACTTGAAATCATGGTTGGCGGCCTCCTGATACGAATAACGAATTATCGCATAGATGGCTAAAGAGTTTACGGCTATCGACTATCGACATGTGAAAATGTCGTTGTTTGGAGGACCAACCGAGGTGAGAGGTCAGCTCGTGCTAAGATAACCTTAGTTGTACGGAACGGCCATCCGTCCATTGGGGATGAGGGTACAGAGTACTTGTGAATCTCAATTGGGGTCAGGAAATTGTGTCTGGTCAGGCTTCTGTACAGCTTCACTTGCATGTCGTAGGCCAAGATGTCATGTCTTCTGCACAAACATGGGGAATATTGAAATGCGGCACAGCAAAAGAGTGCATTACCGGGAGTCAACCGGCTAACCTGATGCTGGCTTGACATCTTAAGCAATGGCCATTCAGGGGTCACTCGAATTCAAGCTTTTTTCTCGTCGTGAAACTCTACTGAATTATCCGGAGCATTTGTCTGTCTTCCTTTTGGTGGAGAAAACGGATGTTCCGATCCATTCTGGTAAGGAGTAAAAGCAGAAACCATGTCAATTGGTTGAATCTGTGAAATGCTCGATTTTTTTCTCGTCTTCCGTTCTGTTGGGAATTTTGTTGAGTTCCATGGGCGGGACCCCTGGTCTTGGCATCACAAGTCCAGGGTTCAGAGGGTGGAGCAAGTGGGGGGACTCCCGATACAGCACAGGCTGCACAGCACAGCACAGCACGACTGGATGGCTGTGGCGTAAACAGGGGAGAGTAAATGGCCAGTTGATTGCTTGTTTGACGTGCTTGGTCGTGTTTGAAAGGATGTCAAGATGGCAAGAGAAAGCATTGACGGTTGACCCATTTCCTTTTCCTGACAAGTTTGAACCTTGTGGTGCATCGTAGCAACGATTCAAAGAAGAAAGGAACAATTTTAGGTGTTTGCCCCTTGTCCCCCAGGGTCCAAAAGCCCCACGTGTCGCTCGCTTGTTTCCCGTTTTTGCGGCGGCTCTGTCAACCCCGCCTTGATACTGAGCCCAAGCAACATACAGAGCAAGCATCACTTTCAATTGCTACTATGATCATTATACAAGTTGTGCCCCAAGGCGAGGCCGACTTCATAATGCAAACTATTTGAACGAATTCACTCTCAAGTGAGAGAAGTAGCATCAACACTTTCCTTACAACACAGAACAGAATGATCGGCCGCCATCGAGATACTCTCCGAGAGCATCTTGCCGAGTCAGATCATGATGGTTCGATATCACGAATTTATGTCGGTTCCTGTTTTCGTTTCAACCACTGGGATCATCAATCGTTCGTAATCTGCTTTTGTTGAATAGCTTCCCTGCTGTTCCCAGCACCCTATCACCTAACTAGAAGAGACGAAACCTTACGGCTTCTCTCCTAAGTGATGAAGATACTGACGACCTCTCTCATAAGTGATGAAAATACTTAGGCAGCTCTAGCCTAAGCTCAGTAGACTTCTTACCAAGTTTATTTTCGTCGTATCCTCTTCCCAAGTCTCCTGATGTACTGTACAAAGTGTCTCTTCCAAGTCCGAAGCCAGGGTCCAAAAGTCACACAGTGGTTGTTGTGTCTTCCAAAATACCGTTTGCTGCTGAGTCTCACAGTCAAGATCTGTGGTTCATTCTGGGGCCCTCCGATCGCGGTCCTAACTCTTCCAGCCTTTCTAGGAGTGTACGATTCTGGGCCCTGATAAGGAGGTTCTGTCGGCGAGTGGACATGTTATCAAACTCAATGGTATCCTCTCTAAACCCTCTTGGTTGGCTACGGTGGTGGGTTTCTCGGTTAGCCACCCATGTGTCTGGATACTGTGAGCTGGGACCCCTGGGGAAGCTGCCTTCGGGCCTGCTCTGTCGTTCTTGGGTTGGTGAAGATGGTCTCGCAGGAGTCCGTGGAACCGGAGGTGCTCTGTTAAGCTGTTAGTCTGTGATATTTGCCTCACTCAAGTATTCATACCTTGAAGGCGAATGCTGCCTTTGCCGCTTTAGCTGATTGCCGGATAGGTTCCTGTCAGGTGTGCCCCGACCGAGATGAGGTGAATCATGAGTAGGCGTGATTCTAGGAACCGGCTCTACACTCTTTCTTTTCCTTCCTACCACATTCTCGTTCGACTCAGGCAATGAAGTCTGATCGCTGCTAGCCATTGGCAATGGAACAGCACGAGGGACAGGGAGCTGTGACGTCGAAGCGCTCTCAAAGTATCCTTTATACATTCGGCAGAATCTTTCAGCAAAGACTTGGTTCCACGAGTCAACCAGAGTATCTAACTCTGGTTGACTTTGAGAAATCGCCGGCAAGCGACCTTCGCGTAGCAATGTTCGTCGAACGAGGCACCAATACTCCACACACTCCTTGAGAGCTTTCCCAGTTTTGACCTTCGCAGCCAAGTTACGATCAAGCTTTTCGTTTAGAACCTTGGTCCAGAAGGGACCTTGGTCGTGGTTAAGTGCTAATGGCATGTTGAGGTACTCATCTCTTAGTGTCAGGCACATTTCTATGGCCTGACACTTTTCTTTTGTCGTAAACGACCTTCTTCGGATGTCCTGCGGGGTTTGAGGAGTGGTGTTCCCATTGTTCACATTCTCATGAGGTCAGCAAAAGCACGTTTGAAGGGTAAGGATACAAACATTATTAGGGCCCGATCTCGTTTCTGCTTGAGGAAAGTCGTTGCTTGAGAATATTGGTAGGCTTGGGTGCGGCTGCCCTCGGTTTGGTCTAGGACCTATGGATAGAGACGAGGGCGAAAATCGGTTCTGCCCGCCTGTCTTGCTGGATTCTGAGACAGTTCCTAGGGGTGTCATGTTTGTTCCGGTGCATGTGGCTTTACTGGCGTTTGTGTCCCTTGAGGCATTGGTTGAGGGCACGTTTTGGGCGGGAGGATCGTCGAAGTAAATGATGCTGCTCCGCGCAGGTTCTTTTCCTTTGGCGCTTCTGTGTGTCGAATGACTACGTGAGTTCATTGTTGCGGGGGCCGATGTGCGTTACAAAAGGAAGTGTTATGCGTAAGGTGAGTAGGTAGATGGCTTTGGTGAGGGCTAGATATTTTGCAGTGCCGTACGAATATCTGCAGAGAATGGCCCACTGGCTGCACTGCCAAACATTCAGCACTCGCTCAGCCACCGCAACAGCTTGTCCTTAGGATAGGCTTAGGGCAATCAAGTTAAGTAACGTATGCCATCATCTCGTTTGCTACAACTCGTGGGTACGTAAAAGGCTCGGTTCACGTTCGCAAGGAAGCATTAGTCTGTAAAGTATTGCTGCTTGTCTAGAATTCTTGTGATATTATGGCAAAGCGTAACATATCTGTACTAATAGCGACTTCTAGCTTTCTCGGCATCGTGTCCTTTTCATCGTATCTCTATAAGCAAGTGGTTCTTCCCAAACACTTATACTACAAAGTTAAAAGCAATGAATCAATCCTCTTGTGCTCCTCGACCTTGAGGCTCCTTCTCCCGCTGACTTCCAGAAGATAGTACCAATCATTGCAATGAAGCCCTTGGCAAGTTTGAAGCAATATTAATAACAACAAAGCCGAAAGGCGAAATGCAACTGAGATCAAAACTCAGAGATGTTGTTCCACGTCCAAGTTGGATAGTGAAGTCTGAATGATGTTGTGACGGTGAAGAGATGGATTTGAGATTAAAACTCAAAAATACAGTTTCACATCCAAATTGGATCGTGAAGTCTGAGTAAGGCTTTTGTGTATGACTTCTGGTCACTTGTTGTCTCTATCCTTGTCGTCGGCGCATGTCCCGAAGCGCTGTGTACAGCATAGCTTCGCGAGCACTAGGCGTCATGGCCTGGAACCCGGCAGTTTCCTCCCGAAATCTTTCATCTGGTGCAGGTCGACGCGAGACACTTCTCTTAAAGGCAAAGGGTGTATTGGCTTGTCGACCTACAGAATCAGGGGTCACAAAGAGGCCAGGTGACACTTCTGTCATCTCCTCGGGCTTGGGAGTAATGGCCGCACCCCTAGGACTATCCCCGAGTTCGGTGGAAACCTTGCTCTGGGCCCTGCTTCTGTCCTTTCTCTCGCTATTCTTTCTGTTTGCTCGAACTGCAGGGCTCGAGTTAGGAAGCGGTTGCGTCGTCGCGGAGGATGCACGGCCAATGCTCGAGCTAAAAATGTCCTCAAGAGACGGGAGAAGCTCAGACGAGCAAGCTGTAGAAGCAGGACTGTATTGGCTTTGATGAAGTCGCTGTCTCTTTCTATCCACAGGGGTCGGTGTGCTCACAGCAGCGAGCCTTCGGTCCATCGACTTGCTTCTGATGGCAAGAGCAGGCTCCACTGAATCCGATGCTTTTCGTTTTCGGGAGGCCACCTCTGGTTCATCTTTGTCCACTGAACGAAGGACAGCAGTCGCTGTCTCTGTCTCGAGTTTGGCGGTTATTATCGTATCCCGGTATCTCTGCTCGTAGCGGCGGAGTTGTCTCATAACTCGTGGGGTGACGATCGGAGTCCGAGGCTCGATGGAATCAATGACCGACCCTCTGTACTGTCGATCAGGTTCGTCCGGATCTTCGTAGGTATCATCATCGCTTTCGTCAGCATAAAACTCCTCAAAGTCATCGAAACCGTCGAAACTTTCACCTCCGTCTTCATCCTCTCCAGAGTCGTGTTCAAGTCTCGTCCGGGCCTCTTCATCATTGTCACTCTCTTCTTGGGCTTCTTGAACTTTGTGATCAATGTCATGATCAACCTCTTCAGAATTCTCATGAGCACTCTCGGGCTCATCATTTGCCTCGTTATGATCAGTTTCATTAGTCTGATCATGTTTAATACCAGCCCCATGATGCTCTTGCTTATCAACAGTATCTTCGAGCTGATCCCGCAATCGCTCCTCTAGACCTGGTAGAAGATCAAGTGCCATAGACATGACAGCCTCAGTACTTCGTATTGCCTTGGAATTTTTTCCCGCAGCCTCTGTACGATTCATCAGATACTTCAAATACACCCGGTATGACTCTGGAGAGCTGTTGGCTTTCAACAGGGGTGGCCGGGTGAGAGACTCGAAGGCCTGCAGCCTTTCCCGCAGTTTTTCTTCAGCCCAGCGCAGAATCCTCGACTCTGCGAATTCCATCAGTTCATCTTTGACAGTAGGCCAAATTGATCCTGCAAAGTCCAACCCCTCTGGTACTTTCTCGCTTGGGGGATTGCTCTCATGGCTGTCCTGAGGGTTGTGGGCGGCATCTGAGGGGGGACTGTTTTGACTTTGCTCAGCAGCTTTTTTCCATCCTGCTGCCTCCAAGAGTTTTCGGTTTGCAGAGCAAAACTTTTTAGCATATAAAATATTCCATTCAATAATCAGGGCACCAAGCTCAGAGCCTGGCGCAGCGGGCCCAGTCTCCGCAGCTTGGAATCTCAGTGGTTCACACCACTTTTCGACGCAGCCTTTCACAACTTTCCATTTGTCTCGGCGCAGTTCTTTTCCCTTGATTCTGGGTGAAAATTTCACTTTTGACCCGACAGTCTCCTAGAACTGTTGGCTCTCTCCACCGGAATCAAGATACAAGTCTTTGTGCTCAAGGCAAGCCCTCAGAAGCGCTTCCTGCTCAGCCTTCTTATAGTTACCTAGATCTATCACGATCTTTGGTGTCTTTTTCTTATCAGATGATTGCCCTTGCTTTTCGTCGGCGGCCACTCGGCCAGAAGTACCCGGAGGACGCATAGCTACAGGGCGATAACCAGCCGGTTGCAGATCCCCTCGTTTAGCTTGGGGCCGGTTCAGATCATACTAGAGTCGTCAGTGCACATCCATGCTACCCTATTTATATATATATCAATACTTACAACATTCTTCCCACCTTTGTTCAGGGTTGGTAGTGAACACTGGCTAACGGCAAGGGATTGTTGCGGAGCTGAGATCGAAGACTGTGTCTCTCTTTCTGGAAGAGAATCCATCACCCGAGGATGTTTGTATCCAGCCTGGCTTGTTTCCTTGACCGGCATACTGTCAAATGCTTTGGGTGGTTGATACGGCATACCATATCCACGTCTCAAAGAAGGCTCACGAAACTGGCCAGGAGGAAGTTTGGACATCCGATTGTCGTGGTGGCCAGTCCCGGCGTCCCTGATATCATAACTTGTGTCTCGTATGTTACCAGGAGTTTCCATCGATGGGTCGGCATGTGTATCGTTCAAATTGTGAGTATTGAGGCCTGATGTTGAAGTGTCTAGTTTGAAGCAATCATTTATCCACGACAGACTTGACTCTTCACTGTCTTCTCGGGAGTTTCGATCGTAAGAATCTGAGAATAATGGGGTTTCAAAGCTCACAGAATCCTCGCGGGAAGATTTCTTCTTCTTAGAGGAACCCATGATTAGAAAGGAGTCAAAGAAGCGGAGTAGTGAGTGAGAGGTGCTGAGGCATGTGTAAGAAGAAAAATGCGAGCAAAAGGTAAGCTGAAATAGAGAAGTGAGAGCCAATTTGGAAATCTCGATTGTTGAGGGGAGAGAGTTAGGAAGAGAGAAGTGAAATATTTGTGGCAGTGGGGAGTGGAAGAGGTTGTGGGTATCAGAGCTCGCGGTGCGAGGCAACTGGCAGCATAGGGCATGCAGCCAAAGAGCCAAAAGGATAGCGGGCAATGAATCAGTGAATGCAAGAGAATTTAGAGGTTTTGGGGTATATGCCCTATAAGAAATAGCATACCATGAGCATGTGTTTAAGGCTTGTCATCGAACGTACACCTCGAGTACCAAGACTTGAGGATTCTTAGGATCTCGTGTGAGTATTGAGGATCTCAGCTTCGTTAGGTCTCTTAGCTATACAGGGGCTTTCATTACTTCTCTGAGCTCTTTAATGTCGGGAGCATGCCCTCGTGCATCTTTACGCGGCTGACGGCAGGTATACAGTCTAAAGGATATCTCGTAATGCTCAGGCCGACATAGTTTGCTGTGCTGACTCTTCAGTTTCATACTCTTTCCCCATAATGAATCATGTTATCTGAATGGTCGAGAATTGGAGTGAACCTGATATTGGTATGGAAGTTAGGCTACAGGGCCAATACGATACTAGAAAAGACATAACCTTTATAAAGTCGACTTGTGGGCCAGCTTATCTTTGGTGTGTGACATGTAGAAGGGCTGTATCCAATGTGCTCCCCCAAGTTCATCTTCAACATCATCGAACACTAACTCAGCAACTAGATGACTGCCACGAGGAACTCTCTTTTCATCTATATCAAATTCTACTATCTGTACTAGCCGATGATCATGCCTCACTTGTTTTCCATTTATCCTCCATCAAAATTAGCCCACAACTACTCCATACCAATAACATCCATCCCCTTGGCCAGGTCGAAGGAACATCAAAGTTCCGACCATGACACCACAGACAACCTCTTGCATATTTTCTTTTAATTCAACGCTTCGTAACAGCATCACAGACAAGACAACGCCAAACTCATAACAATCACCAAGGTACCAGCGTTCCATCCGAATCGATAACCTGCTGGAGTCGCTGCGGCATGAAGTCAACCCACATATTGACTCTCTCCATGTCGAATCCTGCCCACACGTCTTTAACCATCTTCTGGAGAGTCTCGTCCTCCCAGTCCTTGGGCGCGTCCAGATTCCACTGCTTGCGGTTGGGCCAGAGGCTGTCGAGCGGGTTGAGGTCGGGGCTATCGCCGCAGTTGTAGTAGTATCGTAGGCCGTGCTCATCCTTCCATTGCTGAACGAGATTAACCTTGCTTGCAGCGCCGTGGGCAAACGCCTCGCAGTCTTCTTCGAGGATGAAGCTCTGGGGGCCGGTGGATGTGAGCCATGGCTTGACCGTCTTCTCGAGGATGTGGTCTTTGTACTCTTGCATGGTCATGACGCCGGTGCAGTTCGGGCTGGTGGAATCTTCGTAAAAGACAGCTTCACTCTTGAACCCGTAACCTACAGCAACCCAAGCATGGGCCTTTCGCAAGTCGCGTGGCCATTCAGCCTCGGGAGTGGTTGCGCATGTCTCGCAGAAACGTTCGCCAGGTCGGGGAATAAGACGCATCTTTCCATCAAGGCCAAACCCAAAGTGGAGCTCGATACTGAACCGGATAGCTCTCCAGTCCTGTGGATGGGGGTACGCTTCAAGCATGCGTCTGGCGTATTCGACTCTCTTCTCACGAGCCTTCTTGTGCACCCAGATCCTCGGACATCCCAGGCATCGTCGGTAACCCAACGTTCCCATTGTTCTGTGCAGCGTCCTGGGGTTCACATCAACCTCAACCCCAGCTTCCTTGGCCAGTCCATGCCAGTTCAAGTTAACGTTGACGTAGGCGTCATTCCAAAGAATCTTCTCCATCTTCTGCTGGTCTTCCTCAGAGATCTTGAGGGGTCTTCCACGCGTTTCCTCCCATTCGGGATCATTGCGCTTAGACGCGGGGACGCTCAACGCGGCATAACCTTGAGATCGCGACAGATCAAAGTGCCGAAAGATGGCTGACTTGTTGACAGGTAGGCCCTGAGACTCGAGGTACGAGATGGTGCCTCGAACCATGGCCTTCTTTGGCGTGTCGCCATGCTTATATCCGGACGGCATACTGAGGGTCGCGTTGCCCGTTCGTTATAGAGGGGTTCTTGCGGTGTAAGTGGGTGGAGAGAATGATTGGGACGGTGGTGTTTGGATGTTTTTGTCTGCTCTCATTCTTCGCGTGGCAAGTGGTGAGGGGTCAAAAGTTGGCGGTGATCACGTGGCATGCCTTGTTTCACCAACCACGTCGGTTCTTCTTTCATCGTCAATGGCGTTCGATGAAGCAAATACGTTAAAACGGTGATTGAGTCATACGTTTAGATACGTGTCAAATGATTTCACTTACGGTTTGCATACACACAGATGTTGTTGGTGCGGATCTATTTTTCGATTTGTCTCATGGTGAGGGTTAAACCGCGTATTTTGACAAAAGCTCATATGAACGGTGATTACGCTTTATCGTAAGACATATACCTAGTCAATGTCACAAAGATCTTCCAATTTGATTAAACCAATTATTCGATGATAAACTTGCCTCTTTACCTGAATCCTAAGCCCAATGACCCGGCTATTTGTGTCACAACTTTTCTACTGCACGAGGCTGAAACAACTGTCGAAAGGCTTACCCTGTACCAAATCAGATCTGTTAAAAATTCTACTATGCTAACAAGTCAAAGGACAACAATGGTGCTATGATATGTTATGTCCTGAGTAACTTGCTATTAAGTCACACTTGGTTCGACCCTGTTGTCGCGTGCGTACGTTACACTGAAAGGTTGTTAATTCATGGCCAATTAATACGGTTAGTACGGCTTCACAGCACATCACCAACACTCATACTCCATCCGATTTGGGTGTTTTGCGTCTCCAACGTCAAGGGCAGGATGCACAAGGACAGTACGAATGATCATCAAATATGTTTGATTCAAAATCTCGTCATCCAACCGTGGATGACGGTATATTACGAAGATAAAACCGCTCTATAGTCTCACGAGACCTTTCATAAGCATGCCTTCTACTTTCAACCAAAATACCCGCCACATTCCATGTAGTAAACGCCGTGAAATGGAGCAGATATGTCCACCATCTATCCCGAATGTACAGCTTGATTCTCAAGCCCCAGGAGCCTTCCCAAACGGGTGGCCCGACTAAACGCCTTAAGCTTTTCCTGCCTCTCGGACTGACATCATAAATTTGTCCTCGGCACCGACCTCTCCTGCGACTCTAGCCGAAGAGACCTTGGCGTTTCTCCCATCAAGAATGGTCTTGACTTCTTCGGCGGTCTTAGCGCCGAGAAGCGTCATCTCCCTGCTGAGAAGAAGTGCAACAGCAGCTCGAATGAGGAGTGCATCTCCTTCAAAGACATATACGTCCCAAAGACGGGCTGCTTCGTCTATCGCCAAGTGTTGTGTGAAGATGGCTGTCAAAATTCCTGAAAAAGAGCGTTCCAATTCGGCAGTAGGGATTTTCTTGGAGAGGTGCGCGTGAAGAGGGGCAGATTTGAGAGAAAGCGTCTGCATGATGAGGTTGAAAGCGGACGCTTGTGCACCCGGATCACCAGTGTAAAAGGATAGAGGCAATGGGCGATTGAGGACGTTAGCGAGTGCGACGAATGCAGACGCGGCATCGGGCAAGTTGAGAAGCAGCAACGCAGCGATTGTCTGACGGACTTGGTTAGCAACTCAGGTGGCACAAGATGTGGCTGTTGCACTTACGTTACAACCACGGACATAACCAATGTCGCTTCTGTACATGGCATATGCACTCAGCACATCAACAAGGCTTTGGTGCAGTGGTCCCTCGACGTCAAAAATCCGTAGATCCTCCCACGTCTTCTGTGCAGCGTCCCTTCGGATATCCTGGAACCATCTTGCCCTCCTGGCATCCTCGGCATCGCCCTTATCGTCCTTGACTCTGGCTTCAATTTCTTGAGCTCTAGCAAGCGCTGCTTCATACGACGTTTCCGATAGTCCCAATTCATTGCCAATAGCTCGACCCCAGATTTGGGCGCGGCTTCGGGGTGCGATTCCCTTCCACCATAGTTCTCTTGTCCTACGCTCGCGAATAGCATCGCTCCAACGTGGAATCACGTCCCTCTCCCAAATTTGCATGAGGTTGTCGGCGGTGCTGTCCCGTCCCTCGATCTTGGCCTTGCGTGAGGCTTCGCGTCGCTCCTCAGCCTTGGCACTTGCTGCCATCATCTTTTGATATTCCTTCAGATGCCGGCGCTCCTCAGCGGGATCCTTGGGTGGTAGCCATGAGGGCCGTGTCCGGCTAAGGACAGCCTCCTTCTCCTTCGAAACGGGAAGAGGGTCGATCATAATATTCGTCTTGCGAAGAGGTGGCAGCTCGGGAGTTGATTTAACACGCTGCTTCTTGTCAAACGTGTCAATAGATCGTTGAGTGGCGTTCCAGGTGTTGGGGCGCTGATTCGCGGGGCGCTTGGCTTGTTGTTCCTCCATTTCGTTGGCGTGCTCCTCGAGCTTCTCTGTCAACGTCTTGGCCTCGGCGTTTAATTCCGCCAATGCAGCATTCCAGCTGTGTGCCCTTTGCTTGGCTGGGCTGCGAGGGTTGTCATCGGTCTTCCAAGTTGGTGATCGAAGAGAGCCTTGAGCTTGCGCGACTGCGGGAGTTCCATTACCGACACTTCGCACTCGTTCTTTGGATCGATTGGGGGACGGAGAAACAGAGGATGGCCGGCTGGGTGTGCGCTCCTGCATGGGCCGGGGAGAGAGCGGCACATTGTCCAGAAACATGCCGTCGGGGATATCATCGCCATCGTCTTCATCACATTCACGTTCGAGGTCGGTAAAAGACTTGCGATCGCGGCCGGCCTGCCAGCTGCCCCGACGAGGTTTTTGAGGGAAACTTGGGTCTCTCGGATCTCTCGGGTTGAGCGAATAGGCAGGGCTTGGGCTTCGACGTCGAGAAAATGAAAGAGACGCCGAGGATGGGCTTGTCAATGTCTTTGGTCGCGTAGCAGAAAGAGGCTCGGCCAACGCGCTCAAATTGGTGCTTCTGGGGTTGGAGGTGTATACGTTGGTCTCGAGGGTAGGGAATGGCGGTCGGGCTTTGGAGGCGGTTTTGCCTGCTGCGAGGGTTCGGCTCGAGGGGGCTTTGGCTAGAGTGGTACGAACGTCGACCTTCGATGGGCTCTTGAGGGTCACGGTGTCGTCGTCGAGACCAATTTCTTCAAAATGGCCAACATCGGCCAAGACGCTGCCATCGTCACTGTCGAAAGATTGAAACGAGGAAGTCTTGGAGCTCTTTGAAGTCGTCATCCCTGGCGGAGAGTCGGGGCTGGGGAGAACACTGCCGATGTCAAGAGTACGGATCATTGTCGCATCTCCAGGGCAACGACAGATGGCTGGACGAGAGGACTCTGTCGACTCGCCCGGGGGATCTCAAGCAAGTAGATCTCTTCTGATATGGGTTTTGTGTTCGTCAATTAAGAGTGAATTGGTTCGAGATCGTGGCTTGTGATGTGGCCGTTGTTTGGCTTAGGCGGCGCTTCTGTTTTGTTCAGCGGCGCCGTGCTAGGAGGCGGTAACCGTTGTTATGGGCACTGGAATATCGGAGCCGTTTCAAAAATGCCGGGGTTTGCGAGAACCAAATAATAGGGCCAAAATGAAGTCGTACTAAGCAAGTCTGGTATGGAAAGGGAGATGGAATAGCGAGGGAACGAAGTGAAAGGAGGCCGAGGCCGAAAGTTGTTTTGTTGTGCCGGTAAGAGCGATATAATGGTATCAATCGATCAACGAGAGACTAGGGTTGAATAGCTTAAAGAGGATGGATAAGACAGACTCCAACACTCATAGGGAAACGACCGAACTCGAAGGTGGGAACAAGATTTTGCAACCCCGGACAATGGTAAGCGGTCGCAGCCGGGATGACGAGATATTACCCAATATTAAGCGCGGAGTTGAGAAGAAGTGGCCTCCAAAACAAAGGGGGTGATTAGTCTAAGTTGAAGGGTTTGAGACAAGAAGACGATTGAAGAATGAAGAAATGATGCAGTGCCGAGAGTAGAGACAAGAAGCAAAAGGGAAGAAATGATGGGGAGAGAGATGACAAGGAGACGACGGAAAACGAGTGAGACTCTCAAGCAACAAGGCAAGGAAGTTCAAGAACAAGAACAAGCACAAGCAAGTCAAAGTCAAGATAAACCGGGAAGTGGATGACGATCCCCAAACGAGAACGCCAACGCAGCCAAGGAGATGATCCCACCCACACTTTTGATGGAATGCTTGTACCCATTCATACTAAAATAGCACGCTCGTGACCTTTGCCTTAATTTTTCAATGTGTGGGTTGTCATGGGTGTGGACATGGCCTTATCGGATCAAGCCACCTCCAGGGGCTTGCACCGTGAATCTTTTTTGGAGACTGTGTAAGACTGCTAATTGATCCAGGACTCGAAGGAAATGCTGCAAAATGCACAATTAATTTCTGTGTTATTGAGTTTATGCGATGAAATCAAGTTCCTATTTTCTTGCAGCTACAATTAATACCATGACTATCTATTAATATAATAGCCTCTTGCAATTGTAGCTTTAAGATCAATGATCGCCACTGTTTAACCCATAAATATGATCAACAATTCATGGCATATCCTCTTTTCTTGCACCGTCAATCATCTCGATATTCATCGAGCTGTGTCTACAGTGCTAAATGGAAGCGGGCCCCTGTCAATTAATCTCGGCCGCATATGCGCGGCTAATGAACAAGCACAACCAATCATGTCTCACAACTCCAAGATTTTCAGCTTCCATGTCAACATGCAACCTCAGACGTTAAAAAACAAGCAATTTCGCGATTTATTTATAATAACCCCTCGAAGCCCCTCTGCTGGGGTTTGCGGGTGATGACTCCAGACTTCCTTAATAACTCTCATATGGAGAGACCTTGTCAATCAACTGTGTTGAGCCTTGAGCCTTGCTTACCCCTGGTCCCCCCTTGTCCTGCGTTATCTCCAAAATGTGACTTCATCCGTACGTGCACATTATTACATCCTGACTATACATCGATTCACATCTCCGAATGCCCAATCTCACACATGGCATTGAACCTGCTTACTTGCTTCTTCGTCCACAGCTCGTTCCGCCTCCATATGTCCTCTGCCGTTTCTCTGTGTCCGCTCGCATTCTGGCGATCAGATCAGCCCCGTTGAGATCGGAATCGGAGTCATCGGATTCACTCTCAGCGTCTGTATCTCCCGAAATGAGGAACGCATCCACATCTTTGGGCTGCGTCTTCTTTGTCTTCTTCTTCTCTCGGAGCCTCGATTTCTTTTGCACTTGGGCGTCCTTGTTTTTATTCCGCCGTCTGATTTCCTGGTTCTGCATAGCCTCCTCAACAAACGTTTCGAGTGCCTTTTTCTTTGCTGTAAAAAGCGGAATAGGCGAGCCTGCAAGTCTCGAAAACTTCATCGTAAGATTGTACCAAAAGTTGCTGTATTGCTTGCTGGTCTTGATTCCCCTATATTCTAGTTCCGCTGCTACGGCTTGTGATTCGCGCTCACTCAGGGACGCCGGCGTACTCCAGTCAATCTCCCAGTTGTACTTTTGATTCGACTCGTCGCTTGTATCGTGACTGAAGCCTTGCCCAGCGGCGATTTTCTTCTTGAACAAAGCAACTGTGGGCTTGATGGCGTGTTCTGAAACGCCATCACGGATGATCGGGGGCTTGATTTCCTTCTCGGAAGGCTTGGTCCAGTGTTTGTCTGTTCCTGGCTTCAACTGTTGCTCTTGGAGCTTCTTCTCAACTTCATCTTCAGACTCTGCTATGTCTGTCGTGTCGTTAACGCGGGGAGGTCGCCTTGCGACAATCTTTGTAGGCGTTTCTTGTCTTGAGGCTGCGTCGCTCGCGGCGGTATCATCGGGGTTAGATGGTAAAGGCATGAAATCTTTTTCTGGGATATCAGTCAGTATGTACACCTTGACGCAAAACAAGTGACCTACTTTGTTGAAGCCATCGAGCTCCCTTTGGAAGTGGCGGCGTCCAGTTCTTGGGTAGGAGCCTCGGCAATGTCACCGCCTTGGGCACAATAGCCCGGTGAGGAGGTGTAGAGTAAAGCTTCTTTTTGAAAGAGCTAACCTTGGCGGCAGTCCCATCCTATGAGACTCTACGCTCAGAAGGCCGGACAGCCTTTGCTTGCTGTTTGCTCTGCTGTATCCGTTCCGTAGGTGATGAAGCGGCGTACTCATCTCCAGAAAGGGGAGAGATATCCGGGAAGGGAGAATACACACTCTCGTTATCGCTCGCACGACCTCGTCCACCCGAGCCCTTAAGGATACTCTTCAAGCCGAGGAGGGAATCCCGATGGTGAGGTCGGAATGGCGATGGTGTACCAGGAGTGTGGCTCTGCATGAGCTTCTCACCGCTGTAAACTGGCTGAAGCTCATAGATGGATGGCGAAAGACCCTTTTCGGTTTTGATCGGAGTGGAGAAATTGTTCTTCGGGATGCCGAACGTATTGCTCAAATCCTTGTTGGCGGAATCAATTATGGCCGCCTCTTCGAGTGTGGCAGAGACAGCTTTCGGAGAGACGTCTTCCTGCGGTAGCTGATATGACACAGGTGGCGATGATCCAACATTTCCATTCTCTTCCACCTCGTTGGTATTGGCTTCATGAGACACCTCATCATCACTTAGGTCAGGAAGGCCTTGGTATTCCTCCTCACCGTCGTCGTATTCCTTTTCACGGTCTTCGTCGGCATGCGACTCGTATTGCTTGACAAAAGAAATGTTCATGGGACTTGAGTAGCTCTCCTTTTTGATGTTCTTGATGTCCTTTTCGTCGAAGTCTTCTTCGTTGTCTGAGGATTGCCCACACACCGAGCTTCTCTCTTGCTTGATAGGGCGCATGTCTCCATCGCGAGACTCTTCATCACTGCTACATTCGTCATCGTCGGAGCAGTATTGCTCAATGCTCTCTATCTTGACGGGTTTCATGTCACTATCGTGAGCTTCCATCTTGACTTTCTTCGCTACGGCATCATCGTGCTGATATTCAGGCGCGGTGGAGAAGGGCACATCATGGTCGGGAGACGGGGAATTGCTTCTGGAGATTGAGGAAGCTTTCTTCAACTCATCATGGCACCAACCCAACAAACAATCCGTGATGTGCGGCGAGGGCTTCCTCTGTTCATTGACAGGGACGGTCTCCTGCGGGGCAGGAACGGCGTTGCTGTTGGTGGGCTGCTTAGCAGCAGTGGCTTGGGGATTCTGGACGTCGAGGATATGCCCGACTGGTGTTGGCAGCGCTGGCTTGGCCAGAACCGTAGTCTCTTCGTCTGAGAAATCAGAACTATCGGAGGGCTCCTGGGTAAGATCGATGTGTAAAGTTTTGCTTGGTGTGGTGTCGCGTGTAACCGCTGACTTAGCAGACGTAGGCCGCTTTGTAACAGAGGGAGGCCGAGTCTTGGGCTGAGCTGCAACCTTTCGTTGCTTAGCAGTCTCGGCCTTGATATCTTTGTCGGCTGTAGCGCGATGCTTGACCGCCTTTCGTCTTGGGGATACCAGAACCTTGACAACCTCACAGTCCGAGTCAGACTGATCTTCGTCGTCTGCATCGATCGAGACAGGAGTATCGATTGAGTCGCCAACTCGTCGTCGCTTAACATTGGCTTTCTGTTGTTCAAGCTGATTGCGCTTTTTCGGAGAAGGCTGAGCTTTCTCACTGTCGTGGTCCGACTCATTCTCGTTCTGGGTTGCAACCTCGTTCTGACGGGGTTCGGGGGGGATATGAGTTGGAGGGACAGAAGTGCTTCGACTTGGGCCTGCAATGCTCGAGGTGAGGTTGGGCAAGGGTGCTTGAGGAGGTACAGAAGCAGCTGGTCGCCCTCTAGCAGCTGGTCGTTTGTTCTGTCTTTGCAATGTTGTGCCTTTTGCGAGGACGGATGCTTTGATAGAGGCATAGCCTCGATTGATAGATTCTTGCTGATCAATCTTGCGCTTCTTGTTGGGTCGAGCTCGTGGACTGGGTGCGACGAGTTTGCGCTTTGGCGATGGCTGGACTTTTTCAATCACACAGTCTGAATCAGAGCTCTCTCCAGATGAAATATCAAATGGTGTATTCGGTGAGTTTACTTGAACTAATTGACTTGTTCGTTTTGGCGTTTGTTGGCCTTGACTACTCGCCGCGACTCGTTTTTTAGGGGGAGTTTCGGGGACACGTTCATTCCGTCCCTCCAAGCGACGCTTCTTCGTGATTTGGGGAGATGACATATTTTTGGAGATTGGGGTAGAGGGAATAGCTGGTTGTAAAGATGCTGCACGGGGCACGAAGGTTGATGCCTGCCATCTCTGCCTCTTGGGCTTCTGATTTGGCTTGGGCATGGCTTGTTGTGACTCTGCGCGGCCTGGGTTGGGCGAAGTCGACTGGCTGCCACCTTTCGCGGCTCTGGCTGGCGATGGTTTGTTACGCTTTTTGATGCGCTGTTTTGATTGTTGAGAGGACGGTGAAGATGAAAAGAAGTCGACAATCTTGGATTGCTCCATTGGTTTGGCGATATCACTCAGGGAGCGAAGATTCTTGCGATGAGAAACAACCTGCCGGAGCAATAAATGATAGTGAATGTACAAGTGACTTATGGGGATTGCTGAGATATGAAAGACTTTCAGAATAAAATAATAAAGCAGCAGGTAGCTATACGACCGTTGAGGTGATGCTGATGATGCTAAAGTTGAAGTCTTGCGAGATCGTGATGATGCGAGCGCAAAGAGTGAATGTGAGAACTTGAGCATAAAGAGCCGGGAGAATAATTAACAGGATAATGTAACGAATTTTGTCATTCAATAAACACAACAATAGAGGCGAGCGACAAATAATGTGCGCCAGGGTTTGTCAGTAACAACGCAAGGCAGTGTCAAAAAGGAGTTGCGGACGGCTGGCACTGGCACAACACTGCTCAATCAAAAGCACGCATTTGGGAAGTTCATTGTTCGTCATAAGGCAAGGCTCATTCACGATGGTCCTTTTTTCCATTTTTTCCAGCATCTATGGTATCATTACAGATCATCATGGTCTATGCACATTGACTCGTCCTCACCGGCTACCGAAACCAGTCTTACATACGCTCTCGTCGACGAGGAGCTGCCCGAATGATATCGTCCACTCGAAGAAGAAGCTGTTTGATAATGTTAGAATGATGTTTTTAAAGTCTTTGGATAAGTGCTTACCTCTGCGGCTTCGCTGGCCGAAGACACCACAGCCTTCTTCAACTTGTAACTCTCGATAACACCGAGATCTCGCATATCAGCAATACCACCGCCAGGGGTCGTCAGGTCCAGGCCATAAGTGGTAAGACCATCGTAGAGAGCCTTGCGTAATCTGGCAACGAGGTCACCAGAGTCGAGACCGGCGTTGTCGGCAAGGATGGTGGGAAGTTGTCGAAGAGCGATGGCAAAGCTAGAGACAGCCAGTTGTCGCTTACCCTCAACTCGGGTAGCAGCACCCTCAACCGCCTTGGCCATAAGCATCTCAGCACAACCACCGCCAAGGGTGGTTCGGGGTTCCTTGACAGTCTGTGACAGAACAGCAAGGGCATCGTGCAGACTTCGCTCGGCCTCATCGAGGAGCTGTTCTGTGGCACCTCGAAGGACAATTGTGCAAGCTTCACCACCAGCCACGCCAGAAAACTTGATAAGAGTATCTTCTCCAATAATAACCTCCTCAATAACGTCGCAGTGGCCAAGCTTGACTTGATCGGGATGGTCAAAGGTCGAGGCAATCTCACCGCCTGTGACCAGGGCAAGACGCTCAATACCGTCGAAGTCAGCATGCTCAATGGACATGATGCCAGCATCAGTAAACAGCTGCTCAGGCCAGTTGTAAATGAGCTGTCGGTTGATGAAGCAGTTGATGCCGTGTGCCTTGATCTTCTCAACCTTGGCCTTCATCTTATCCTTCTCGGCCTTCTCAAGCTCGGCAAGCTTGCTTGTTGAGCCAACCTTAACGCGGGCACCAAAGATCTTGACCTTGTCAGTGTCCATAGAGGTGTTGGCCACCAGAATCTTGGCCTTCTCTAGTCGCTTGGGCTGGTTGACACCGATCTTCTTATCGAGAATGAAACCTTCGTCGAGGTAGGAGTCGCTGAGTTTGCCTCCGGCCTTCTTGATGATCTGGATGTGGTTGAGATCGGAGGACTTGAGTCGGAGGACGGCATCAACGGCCAATTCGGCGAACTGAGTGCGGTCCTGGGCCAGGACCTTGGAGCTGAGTGTTGTTCGGGCAATGGCGAGCAGATCTTGTCGGAAGGCCTCGGGGTTCTTGCTGTGATCAACGGCCGATCCTTCCAGCGCCTTCAGCGCAGCCTGGCTAGCTATCCGGTAGCCCTCAATGATAGTCTGGGGGTGGATCTTCTTGTCAACCAGCTTCTCCGCCTCTCTCAATAGCTCGGCAGCGAGAACAGCAACGGAGGTGGTACCGTCACCGACTTCGTCGTCTTGGACCTTCGAAATATTGACTAGAACCTTTGCGGCGGCGTTATCGAGGGCGATCGACTTGAGGATTGTGGCACCGTCGTTGGTAACCATGATTTCGGCGGTGGAGCTAGCATCATGTTAAAAGGGGGCTTGTCGAGACCGCAAGATGGGCGCAACGTACGCTGACTGGAGAATCTTGTCCATACCCTTAGGACCAAGGGTGCTCTTTACCAGATCACCAACGGCGATGGCACCGACAAAGGCGGAGAGACGAGCATTCTCACCCTTCTCCTCAGTAGTGCCCTCCTCAAAAATTTGGGTTGGTTGGAAAGACTAGGAGGGGCATGTTAGCATACGGTATACTCAGTATGAGGAGATGAAGTGTTTCAACAAGCATTCCTCACCAAAAGAGGAAACATACCATGATGGGCTCACAATGTGACTTTGTATACGGCGAAACCTATAAAAACGTAAAGGTTGTCGTCGTCGTCAACGTCAATATGCTTCAGCCTTGGGGTAGACGTTGCAGCCTTTTTTTCTGGAGCTCCCATCCAGCTTAGCAACCGCAGCCCCTCCACTCCAGGGGCCAGCAAAGCCCACACGTGATTTGCCCCGCGGTGGGAGCCTCGAGCTTCGGGCCAGTATTATCATTTCTCCGCATCACGCACACTTTCGTCGGGAAAGTTGAAGGAGAACACCAAATTTGTGCTGAACTAGGTTGGCCACCGCAACATCAAGACTCCGCACGTTCCCGAGCGACATTCTGCGCCGTTCTAGACAAGCCTTTGCGTGTCTTCCAGAGGTCATATCTCCCGCGCGCAAAAAGGCCATTTTCGCAAACCTGTGCTCGGTAGCCGAACCCTCCCCAAACCCTCGAAAAAAACCATACAGAATCGAGTGAGAGCGGGGCATTTTTTCTTGCACCCCTCCAACAACCAAATATCGCCCATCATGGCGCCCTCTTTCGACCACCTCCGCGAGGCCGACCTTGACGATGACGAGTTCAACGATGATGATATTGATATCTCCGATCTGAGAGAACGATTCGAGGTTTCGCTTGAGCAAGGCTATGATAGCTTCGTGGTTCTCGATGGCCTGCCTCAAGTCACAGAGGATCAGAAGCCCAAGCTTGTCAAGTTCTTGTTGAAGAAGCTCAACACAGTCGGCAAGACACGCGAGGACTTGATACATATGCCCATGGGTGACGATGGAAAGTCTTTCCGGTAGGTGCAATGCTTGGAAACAAAGTAGTATCGAACTTGGAGCTGATCCCTCATTTTAAGATTTGCCTTTGTCGAATACACTTCGCCCGCCGAGGCTGCTGCCGCTACTCGCGAGCTCGACCTTACCCCCCTCGACAAGAAGCACACCCTCCGTGTCAACAAGTTCACAGATATCGAGCGATATGGACGAGAAGGTCGTATCGACGAGACCTACCAACCCCCTCACATCGACGAGTTCACCGAGAAAGAGCATCTGCGATGGTTCCTCAAGGACCCCTCAGGCCGCGGCCGAGACCAGTTCGTCATGTACAAGGGTGAGAGCGTTGGTGTCTACTGGAACAACGAGAAGGATCAACCTGAGAACATCGTCGAGCGACAGCACTGGACTGAAACATTTGTTCAGTGGTCTCCTCTCGGCACATACCTCACCTCCGTCCATGCCCAGGGTGTCCAGCTTTGGGGCGGTCCTTCATGGACACGACAGGCCCGATTCGCTCACCCTTTCGTAAACCTGGTCGCTTTCTCCCCCGGTGAGAAGTACATCGTCACCTGGTCTAACCGTCCTATCTCTATTCCCGACGAGGGCCACCCCGCCCTTTCAATCGACGACCATGGCAAGAACTACGTGATCTGGGACATCGCTACCGCTACTCCTCTGCGATCCTTCGCCAACCTCGAACCCCCCAAGGTGGAGGAAGGCAAGGCCGCGCCTAAGATGCAGTGGCCTGCCTTCAAGTGGTCTGCTGATGACAAGTACGTTGCCCGTCTGAACCCCGGCCAGTCCATCTCCGTATACGAACTACCTCGCATGAACCTTCTCGACAAGACCTCCATCAAAATCGAGGGTGTTGTGGACTTTGACTGGGCTCCTGCTACCCCCAAGCGCGATGGTGTCAAGGACTACGAGCAGCTGTTCTGCTACTGGACTCCTGAAATCGGCAGCAACCCCGCCAAGGTCGGCTTGATGAGCATTCCCTCAAAGCAGGTCGTTCGATCCCTGAACCTCTTCAGCGTTAGCGACGCTAAGCTTCACTGGCAATCCGAGGCTGCCTACATTTGCGTCAAGGTCGACAGACACTCCAAGTCGAAGAAGTCTCAAGCAACTACACTCGAGATTTTCCGTGTCAAGGAGAAGGGTGTCCCTGTTGAGGTCGTTGACACTATTAAGGATACCGTTATCAACTTTGCCTGGGAACCTAAGGGTGACAGGTTTGCCATCATCTCCACAACCGAGCCCGTGGGCGTTACTGCTGTCCCCCCCAAGACTGCAGTTTCTTTCTTCTGCCCTGAGAAGGCCAAGAAGGGCCAACAAGTGGGTAACTTCAAGCACCTCCGAACGCTTGACAAGAAGAATAGCAACGCCATCTACTGGTCACCCCGCGGTCGCTTTGTTGTTATTGCCACCATTGCCAACCAGCAGAGCTCCGATCTGGACTTTTTCGATCTTGATTTCGAGGGCGAGAAGCCCGAGTCCGACAAGGACCTTACCGCCAACCTCCAGGCTATGAACACCGCCGACCACTACGGTGTCACAGATGTTGAGTGGGACCCTTCAGGCCGATTCGTCGCCTCATGGGCTTCTGCTTGGAAACACTCGGTATGCTCCGCCTGTCAAACTTGTTATGATACTTATACTAACCTGATTTAGATGGAAAACGGCTACCACATTTACGATTTCAAGGGTGAGGCTCTACGAGAAGAGCCGCTTGAGAAGTTCAAGCAGTTCTCATGGCGCCCTCGGCCCGCGACCCTGCTCACCAAGGAGGAGCAGAAGGCTGTGCGCAAGAACCTTCGAGAATACAGCCGCGTCTTTGAGCAAGAAGATGCCGACCGTGGTGCGTCTGCTGACTTGGCTGTGGTTGAGGCTCGCCGACACATGCTCGAGGAGTGGTACAACTGGCGCGAGTCCGTCGAGGCCGAGACTCTAGAAGAGCGCGAAGTTCTTGGCCTACCAAAGGATCCCCATGCTCCTCTGCTAGAGGCCTACACAAAGTCTCTTGAGGGCTTAACATCAGAGGAGGATCGGGTGATTGAGGAGATTGTGGAGGAGGTTCTTGAGGAGAGTGAGGAGATCCTCGCATAGACGTCTTCACTGCATTTGCATGGGAGTGATTTGCTTGTATCTCGGTAGAAAAACTGGTCAGGGCGAGGGGTCACGTAATGAAATTCATTGTCATGTTCACGAAAGATAGGTCCAGTTGCTTGGACTTTCTAAAAGCATTTTTCGGAGTATTCTCTGTTCATACATATCACTTGCTCATCCATTACCTGCTGCGTGATACGATACGTAGTTGGCTTGGTGACAACTCTGTTGCTCAACACGTTCATCTCAATCGCTTGTCCGTTTACGATGCATAACAACATCTTCTGGCCCGAGACAGAAGCTGAATGTCTTGGCAATCCCGAAAAGACGATGTTTTCAACTCGTAATCTCTACAACAAACTTGTTTGTTCCCAGCATTTACCCTGCCAGTCCAAGCTAACTAGTTTTCCATATTCTGGATTGCCAAGAGAACATGAGAACATGAGAAGCTGTCTCGTTGTCTCTGTCGCCCTTGATATTCGCTTTCGTGCATCGCCCTGCTGTTCAGCCTCTCCTCATGGCGATGTGCTCAATGTGCTCGATGCCAAGATATTGCAAAAGCAAATCTGGCGTCCGAAAGCCCTACCACGAACCGTGATATCCGTCGCATCTATCTTGGCGAGGACTTTAGAACGGCATAGTTATAGGTCTCGGGTGTTTGTCGCACGCAGCCTCTCCAAATCAGTCTGCAACCGCTAGGAACCAGTCATTTCCGCCACTTCATATTAAATGTCCTCAGAATAATACATATAAGGCTCAAAATATTAACATTTCCGTGTTTTAGCTGATAACAGCTCAGAAGAAAGGGGTAAGCCTCGATATGGTCTGGGATATATAATGTGTCAAGCGGTCTGCTTGCGACTGGGCGCAACACTCCATATTTGCCAGTAGCTGTACCTTATATCAGATCACTTCAACGATATCGCGTCTTCAGATAGCAGCCGATTGTTTCTCGAGCGAATACGATTTTATATCTACCTGTGCCGTCATTAACTCGACATCTTGCCCCGAACCATGCTCAGTTCTCCCTGCATGATGCGCGACGCCCTCCTTCTTCTCAGTAGCATTACTGCCATAGCCACAACATATGCTTCTCCAGTAGCTTCGTCAACGACTTCTATAATTACTCCGCCTCTCACCACATCAATACTTGATCCAGTTGCGCCCCCTGTCATTGCAGCCGTTACGACTCCAGAGGATATACACATGGTCATTCGGGCGGTCCGCAGTTTAGCTTCTGACATGTATTTTACTGCCAGTAATATTGGAGGCCGTGGTGTAGAAGTCGAGATCATCGGGGTATTACAAGTTTTGCCTCATCTAGTTGACCTATACTGACCTCCTGGAAGAATACATACCTACGATGTCGAGATATGATTGAAGGGGTCCAGCAGGCGTTCGACAAGATCGGCGGTCGGCCCCAAACCCCTTTCTCATATGAGAATCAAAAGGGTATTTGTTCCATGTTCGACTTAGTAGGTAACATATCTGCATCATACTCATTGCGAGACATGATAGATGGTTTTGAGCGACCCTTGATCGACTGATACTAACATTCCTCTCCAGTTCGGCATCGACCAATCAAAGCTCCTCACAATGTTGGTGAGAGATCTGGAGAGTATATCAAGGGACGGCTTTATCGACCACTTTGGGGATTGCTTCCAGCGTCTTCAGCCTGCACTGAATATGTTTATTGAAGAACTGACATCTTATGCACCCGATTGTGAATTCGAGATGCTGAGGAGAAAGGACCAGCTTGAGGTTGGGCTGAGTAATGCATTGGGAAGGGTGCTGGGCTATCGGGCGGGACATGCCCCAGACCGCATTCCTTTGGCATTAGACTGAGGTCATCATCTTGGCTCTTTTTTAGCAATTATGACTTATCGACTTGGTCTTGATGGTTGCTGGGCTTCTGTCCGATTTGACGATCATCTCCCTCGGTGATGGACCAAACTCCAGTGCAAGCACTCATGGCTTAATCAGGGTCGGTTGACGTTCATAATGCATGGATTACACCCAGTCACACTTTGTCTTTGATAAGGGAGTGAACCCTAGCCGGGAGCGCACAGATGAGTAAATAATGTAAGGGGGTTGTGTTATATTACAACAAAACGAAACATATAAGACATATGAGAGTCCAGGCTGTAGCTCACGCTGAGCGGTCAAAAGTTACAAAATGTTGAGATGTTTGCCTGTAACAGTGCACAAGAACGCGAGTTTCTGGTCCTTCCAACTTCTCTCTGCTCTTACCTACTCAATCTGCCGTGATTGAAATTGCCAATTTAGAAAACAAACTCAATTATGTGATTGATGAATTACGCGTCCATCGAGTTCAATTTGACAAACTTCGCTACCCTAGAGAAATTTGAAGTCTATCATGGCCCTTCCTCTTCAAGTTTCGTCAAGGGAGGACCGGGGCGCACGTTAGAGGGTCCCCCGAAGCACAGACCATCCGATCCGGGGTGCACACAAGCGAAGCCCACAAAAAGAGAAAGTCAGAACAGAAGAACAGTGTGAAGAGTCAATTCAGGTTGGTGACAGTAGCTCTGAAACGGCAATTGAAGGATTGCGAATCCCTATTGGAGGATAAAGCTTCCAACCTAACTCACTGTGGGGAACATAGCACCTCGTCTTTCTGTATCCATTTCTTACAAGAATTACTTCCTCCCTGCATTGCCCTTTGACCCTAGATGACACAGCGTCAGCCTTCACATGCTTAACAATGCAAGGGAACCTCGATTTGACCACAGCTAGACATTTTGAGATCGAGTTTTTATCGATGTACGTAGCCAAGGGGAAGCAAAAAAAGCAATAACGCAGGGACTCTCATTTAAGTGATAAAAAGATTTACGTATACTAACTAGTAGACTAAGTACTAGGTATACTTTACCAAAGCTTTAGACCAGTTCATTTTAGCACCCCGTCTCGACGTCAGAGGTTTTCTTGCTCCCCAGTGCTGTCGGACACTCGAGTCTTGGCCTTGCGCCAACGGGATGGTCTGGATCGCCCACAGTAAGAATTTTACTGGCAACACGGCCATCATACCTGGCGCAAGCCATAACCCCTCTCCCCTCGACTGGTGCAATTCCTTGCCAGTCTCTGGCCTTCTCTACAACGCCCGTGCCATGCTGGGTTGGCCGCCCGTGTCAGCAATCGCTGGAGGGTGAGAGAAAAAGAGAAAAACCATCACAATTCTATTCTAGAGTTATATAATTCTATTATAATATTGGATAAAATCTGCAAAGACTCATCATAAGTCGTAAAATACAATAAAAGCTTAGAATAGAAAATTACGATATTTAGGATGAATTAAGATAAAGTCATCATAATGTATACGATTCCTGCATACGTTCCTTTTCTTACCTCCGAGGGGAACAATTCCAGGGCAGGGCAAAGAAGGGGTCACTCGTAAAACCCGGGCTCCTACCCCAACCTTTTCTCCGTGTTCCATCCAACCTGCTCTATTATTCCACCTAGAATCGCATTTTTATCAATATCTTTTTATCAATAACGTTGCGTGGTGTTGTGATTTAAATCGTGAGGTCTGCTTCGATTTTGATCCCCTCCTGCGCGCTCCCCTCCGAGTCGGCTCCGTACCTACCTACCTACCTACCTACCTACGAACGAACGAACGGACGAATCTGTGGTGTGACGTGACTACCCAACCAAGATATCGAATCTTTCATCCCTTCCATCCATTCTATGGCTTTTGCCGATTTACATCCGCCGCACTAAGCCTCTCATCCTCTCTAATGGGTTCCATGTGATCAATCACATCGTAATCCTTATCGAACATGCTGCGACGACCTCCGGGCGAGGGGCGTCGGGCCCTACAGCAACAGAGACTCTTCATCGCCTTTGCTATCATCCTTCTGCCATGGCTACAGCTTGTTGATGCTCAGCAGCAGCATCGACCAGTTGAACCAGGTCTACCACAACTGCAGCGCCCCGGCGGCCGCAGTCAGCAGCTAGCCGATGATGCCGTCCATCAATGGGCCGCGACCCCCGTTGACGTGACCAAGTCGGCTCGAGAGACTGTTAAGAATGTAAGGCAGGCTTCCGTTGCCAACCAACGACAACCAAAGCAGCAGAAGAATGAACCTGTCCGCAAGAACCGGAAAAGAGAATATGAAAACGAAAACGAACATATAATTATCCCTGACGATGCGAGCGCCCTCGCAACTTTGGCTCCGGCTCAGTCCGTAGGAGCACCAAACCCTTCACGACGGTCCAGCAGAATTCCTGCTTCTGGGCTTGCCTCGCCGCAGATTGCGCGGAGTCTGAAGGATTGGGAAGTGGAAGACTTTGTGCTTCTGGCGACCGTCGATGGAGACCTATACGCCAACGACCGAAGAACCGGAAAGGAACGTTGGCATCTCGAAGTCGACCACCCTATGGTAGAGACCAAACACCACCGTTCAGAGAGGTCTATCCTCGATGAAAATTATCACCAAGTCGACCATTATGTTTGGGCTGTTGAGCCTAACCGCGACGGTGGAATATACCTCTGGGCGCCCGATTCTAATCGTGGATTTGTCAAGACTGGCTTCACCATGAAGAAGCTTGTCGAAGAGCTGGCCCCTTACGCCGACGAGAGCTCCCCCGTCGTCTATACTGGCGACAAGAAGACCACTATGATTACTCTTGATGCAGCCACCGGGAGAGTTCTGAAATGGTTCGGTGCTTCAGGATCTCATGTTAATGAAGCCGAAAGCTGCGCACGCCCCGACACGTTGTACGACGAGAACAGCCAGGAGTGTAGCTCTACTGGAACAATCACTTTGGGCAGGACCGAATATACTGTTGATATCCAGCGACGTGATGATGGTCTTCCTATCGCTACCCTCAGGTACTCTGAGTGGAGCCCCAATAACTACGACAGCGACCTATTCCAACAGCACCAGTCTTCATTGGATAAGAAGTACATCACAAGCCAACACGATGGCAAGGTCTACGCGTTTGACTACGCAAGGTCTGAAAAAGCAGAGCCGCTTTTCAGCGAACACTTCGCAGCACCTGTAGCTCGAGTCTTTGATGTATGCCGACCAGGAGATGCTACATCAGACAGCAACCCCGATCTTGTGGTCCTCCCTCAACCGCCAATGCCCCCACAAGATGAGACCCACGCCCGTATGCGCAGCAACAGTATCTTTCTCAATCAGACTCGGTCTGGGGATTGGTATGTCATGTCTGGACGATCGTACCCTCTTATCATCCATGCCCCCATCGCTCAACTATCCCGCCCCGATTGGTGGGACATTGCTCCCTCTTGGGACACCATCAACCAGACCAAACTCTCGAAGGTCTTGGTAGGCACACATTTCCTCGATACTGTCAACAACAGAGGTGGCACACACACGCCAAGTTTGCCTGCTGGTGCAATCGAAGGCCCAGAAGTGTATGACGTATACGATGACCGGGATGATTTTGAGAATAATGACTCGAAAACCACGGACCTAACATTTTCAGATGAGCCTACCTTGTTTACCAACGTCAAAAAGGTGCCTCTAATTGCTGCCCAAAGCGTTAGGGATTTCATCACCAACCCCGTGGTCATCATCATATTCGTTTCATTGCTCTATTTCAACAACAAGAATATCCGTCGTCACCTCCAGCGAGGGAAGAGACGCGGTTTTTGGAACGAATTGCAAAATATACTGGGTTTTGTTGAGGCCCCTGTCTACACGGAGCAGCCGGAGGAGGTTGATAGCAGCGACACTGACGGCAACGTTGACTACTTGGCCGGCCCAGTCGGCGAGGAACCAAAGCCTGCAGCACCTAGAGAAAGTCTGGAGGAGAAGGTCAAGGAATCCGTGGTCCCCGCCCCTGAATCATCCAAATTGGAGCCCGGAACTCTACCCCAAACGCCTATCAAAGAGGTAGAGCTCAGCGATAGGGAAGCGACCCCGAAGCCCAAGAGGAAGACTCCCGGCAAGAGGTCAGTAGATACTCCCGATACTCCTCAACCTCAACCTCAAACCAAGGCTACGGCCACAAATGAAAGTCAGGATGGCGGAGCCCCTGAAAAGAAGAAGAAGGCTCACAGAGGCAGACGTGGGGGTGTCAAACATCGCAAGGGTCGTGCTCAGGAAACCTCCCTATCTCGAGGTGATGATCCGGCCACGGCCACTGTCGAGGATGCGGTCAACAACGCAAAGAAGCTGGGCGAAAGGCCTAGCCTCGAGCCGGACGTAATGACCGTACATGACGACATGCAGTCTGTGACAGGCTCAACGATTCGTATGGGAAACATTGAGGTGAACACAGATGAGCAATTGGGCACAGGAAGCAATGGCACTCTAGTCTTTGCCGGCAAATTCGATGGAAGAGCGGTCGCCGTCAAGCGCATGTTGATTCAATTTTATGACATCGCGTCCCAAGAGACAAGGCTGTTGAGAGAGAGTGATGATCACCCGAATGGTAAGCTATTATACCATTGAAGAACAAACACTCTAACACTTCCAGTTATTCGATACTACTCCCAACAGATCCGCGATGGATTTCTCTACATTGCCCTGGAGCGTTGCGCCGCTTCATTAGCAGACGTGGTCGAAAAGCCCAACTATTTCCGGGACCTTGCCAACGCCGGCCGACACGATTTGCCAAACATTCTTTACCAAATCACAAACGGCATCAGCCACCTGCACGAACTCCGAATCGTTCATCGTGACCTCAAGCCACAGAATATTTTGGTCAATATGGGCAAGGATGGCAAGCCTAGAATGCTAGTCTCTGATTTCGGACTGTGCAAGAAGCTGGAGGGCGGTCAATCATCCTTCGGTGCCACTACGGGTCGTGCCGCTGGAACATCAGGCTGGCGTGCTCCTGAGCTTCTGCTCGACGAC